TGCATAAAACACTTTGAACTTTCTTTTATGAAAGTTACAAAAATTTATAAATTAATAGATAAAAAATAGATAAACACAATACAAAACAATTCATCTATTGGATGTGGTATTTTTGTTGCTCTAATAATAACATCCATATAGTATCATATTATTACAAGACAGATAAGTGCTCGGGAACAAAAATTCCTCAAGTACAAATAAATTAAAATTGCTACGATCGAATATAGATCTTACTTCATCAAGAAGGCTCAGAAAAACAATTAGATAAGTCAAAGTATAATCATGTATAAATATATATAGAATCTATAAACCCACATGCATATGGTGCCAACACGGATAGCCAAAACAAATTAAGTTGAACTTTGTTTTGGGGAGCTGTATGATAAGTTTGAAAAACATTGCGAGATCGACCGACAAAACTTTTTATAAAACATTCATTTATAAACTACAATATTAGAATACTAACTTATATCGTATAACTGATATCTCCTAATTGATAAGATATTCCAAGCCCGAGTTTATGATTTATTCCCGGTTATTTGTCGGGTTCTTGTTACTTATTTTTGATTTTTCGTACAGTATATTGTGCAATGTTGTTTTTGATGGGTTTTTTTTTGGCCCTGGTATTGTGCGTTTTTTTCCGACTTAGCGTTTTATGCCCCCTACAGTATATGTTTCTTACCTGAAATGATATGTTCATTATATTTCAATAGTGAAAGAGAGGCGAAAGATATCAAAGGGATATTCAAAATCATAAGTCGATAATAAACGGAAAACGCCATGGCAAAAAAACGAAAAGAAAAAAAAAAGACAAACAACAGTAAACAAAACACAACGTAGACGTTTCATGAAAAAAATACTTTGCCTCCGCAGACATAACTGATCATTGGTGATTTAGCTCCGCGTTTTTGATTTGAAATGTAATAGTTTTGAATGCACTAACCTAGGATCAAACGCGCGTCTGGCGTATAAAATTTTAAGCCTGGTATCTATGATGAGTTTATTGACCGCCATCCAAAGAAAAAGAGTGCTGGAGATTGTTGTTTTGTTAAGATCTAAATACATATTGCTGTTTCTATGCTGAACATGCGTAACTAAGGAGTACCGTAAACCATAGGAGCTTAGTTGTTATGACTCCAACTCATTGTGGAAGTCTATTCGTTATGCCTGTATCTGTAGTGATGTTTTGGATTGCAATGAACGTAATCTATGTATTACTGGTAAATTATTAAGTCAGGGATTTCGTTATCATAAATTACTTAAAATATTTACTAGTTTTTTCCATTGATACAAAGATTTGGTTTGGAAATTTGGCTGTACCTGTAAAAAAACGTATTTGAAACGGGATAGCACATCCTAACTTTTACGGAGATGTTGTTTACCGAGCCCGAAAATTTAAATACGATCCGGGTAAACTTACCGATCATTGAAATAAACTTATTCTTAAAAGTTACCAATTTAACACTGTAACTAGATCTTTGAATATTGTTTTATTGGTATAGATATTGATTTTTTTATCAGTAAATTAAAATCAAACTAAACATTATTTTTGTATACATATGCACATGTAATTATTAAGTCTTTTATAGAGGATCTGGCGTACAAAATGTTAAACCTGGTACTTATGACGAGTTTATCAAAGTCTTTTGTGTTTATCTATACACAGGCAAAAAATGTAAATTCATTTTAAGGTAGATTATGTGTCTTTTTATGAGCATTCCCTCTGAGCATGTAAAAATATTTTACCGAGTATCATTTGATATACAACAGAAACATCTAAAACTTTAATTCTAAAAGAGCTTCCTCCACCAATAAAAACTGGCCGCCACGAAATAGCCCAAAAAGCGGTGCTTAAAAGTGGCTTTAAAACACCAAAAATCAAATGAAATCAAATCAATTCTGAAAGATCAAACTATCAAAAAATAAAGTGTCGTTAAGTGTATTTAATATTTTCAGAAAAAAAAAAATCAAGACAGATAATTATTTTAGATTTGATTGGACAATTTGTGTTTTGTATTATTTTTCAAGAAAATATGTCCCATGACCCGCTAGTTTATCGGATGTATTTATGAAAAGCAATTATCTCTTTGAATTTTAACTGATTCTTTCGTTTAATGTTTCCTCAATAAGTAAAATTACGTTTCCCTTAAATAATCCATATAAAATAACTGTGATTTCGTCAATGTCTTTTAAGGAAAAAACAAGGTCCGTTACCCCCGAATTAATATTGAAATTTGAAAGTACATAGACCCAAAAGTCTTTTACAGAAGTTTAAGAAAACTCTCTCGTCGAACATGAAGACGCCCCAGCTAACTTAAGTTTTAAAAAATGATATTAGAAATGGTATCAGAATTTTTTTTCGGTTAACACAGAAAAAAAACCCAAAATATACCTGCTGCTTTAAAACAAAACCTACTGATGGCAAGAGTTCTTGTTTTTGTTTTACCTTTTAATTAAATCATCTTCTCTCAATCGTTTTGTTGAATCTATTTAGCGAACTGAACAAATACATTGTAGAATGATCATGACCACTATGCAACGTTTAATAAAGCGTAAAAGCATATTTGTCATGCAAACAATTTAATTTTTCGAATAAATAAACAATAACCATGATTGGAAAATCTGATTAAATCTAAGCAAAAAAAAATATGATAGAATTTTGCAACTGATTTAATATACATAATCATATATTTGCGTCTTTTCACGCATCCTACTTTAATTTTCTGCATAAAATGATTACGTTAACTACGAAATTTCAATGTACCAAATGGAAATTTTTTACATAAACAAAATTCCGCATTTTTCAGAAAAAAAAAAGTACTTTACGCAAAAGGAGAAGGTTCCATAAAGTTCCTATAGGACTGGTGTCTGTAAATCTGAACCTTAACCCAGTCACCATATGTCACTTACATTTGCAAATGTTTATCATAATTCTAAGTAATCCTTTCATTTCGTCACATTTGAATATCCAATAAAATGTTTATGGTGCAGGTTTGTTGGTATATAAAGAAATTGGAATTCCGGAGTCTGTGGTATACATCCCATCACTGCTACTTCATCAACCGATAGGTAAGATTTCCCGCCATTTTTGCCATGTTCGGAATATGAGAAAAGGAGTTAATAGAAATTCATATTGGATGTAACAAGGATATAATTATTATATTCAGTGTTTTATTTTACTGTCTAATGTGTTCTTAATCTGTGAGTATGTAACTGTTCAAGGCGTTGCAAAACCGGATTTGACAGGGTCGAAAGAACACATATATCTATTGCAAAAAAAATTAAAATGAAAACATTTGCTTGAACAACCTAAAAAATATTTTGTTTTATTCCTAACGAGTACATTTCTTATTTTCCATTTTTAACACCTTTGTCTTTATTCCACCCCCTTTTAAATGTGTAAGGAGTAAATATTATGTAATAGATACTAGTATTGTGACCGAGTAAAATAATGTTGTTGTTTTTTTTTTTGTATTTTCAAGACAAATTCAGAATAAGTGTAAAATGATTGTAAAAGTGTTCGTATATAACCCATCTTTCTTTAATTAGTAAAATAAACTGTTGTATACAAAATTCCATTCAGTTGTTTTTATCATTATCCTTTTGTTTATGTTTACATAACTTTGAATTTCCGAAAAACTGAGGTTTTTCCTACCTCAGGAATAGTTTACTTTAGCTGTATTTGGCAGAGCTTTAGGAATTGTGGGTCCTAAATGCTCTTCAACTTCGTACTTTATTCGGTCTATTTATTCGAGCATCACTGATGAGTCTTTTGTAGACAAAATGCGCGTCAAAATTTCAATCTTAGTATCTATGATGAGTTTACTTTTTATCATTTTTACTCGCTTTTCTTTTCTTCTTTCTGGTTTTTATAATTTCATTTGAAGATGGGGTTTAAAGATGATATGCGTTTTTTTTTTGTTTTTTTTTGGGGGGGGGGGGGGGAGATTTAATCTAATATAGACTATTACATACAGTTTAGTGTGTAACCAGGATACCCGCGCAAGCGCGTGAATAATCGCCGTATACTTTAAAAGTTTTACTGTTGTCATTATGTATATATTGAGATAGTTTTTTTTATGCGTATATCCTTATTTTTTCTCTTTGGCAAGTTGATTCATTTAAATTGTATTACAAACCATCCGATTTACATGCCCGTTTCATGCATTGTTTTGATCTAACATTTATCTTGATGTAACCAGTGTCTGTCTAAACGTTTTTGGTGTTCCTGTATTTTGCAGTGACAATGTCTGTCATTATATGACAGTAGTTGTTACAGTATATGTCGACATCGATAGTGTTTTTATGAGAGAATTTCATTTATGAATTAAGATCATTGAAATACTCCGTATTATATACCTCCATTTGGAGTTTTTTCCAAAGTAAAGAGAGAAATAATCTTACCTATCATGAAGATTTGTAACGTCACATAATTTCATTACATTTTACTGTTGCGAGAATATTTCATTCGCCATAGGAATTTGAAATAAACGCATAGAAAGTTTATACTAGGATGAATTATCTAATACGAGAACAAGAAGTACATACTTAACTAAATATGTTTCGATTAGAACATGAAACAATTCAAAAAAATTGTTCCTTTAATATTAAAAATGGCTAATGCTTTTAAAATAGTTGTAAAAACAACAGATTTCAACATATCAAATAATCTAAGCACTTATTAAACCAAGTTATCATACTTATTTCAAAATATTTTACATTGTGTCCTTTACAATCTACAGCACGAGCTTAATTTATCAAAGCATACAGATATGATCCATATAATAAAACAGTGTTAATAAAAATAAATAGCTATCATTTCCTGGCTTTTGAAGACCATTCTGTATGCCAGTTGATCAAGTCATAAAAAAAACCACGAATTTTGTTTGAAAGTTGAGGACTGACTTTTTTATAGAGAACAATAAATGCTTTATTTCAGACTTTTGTAGATAAAGCTATATTTCAACAGCATCTTTATCTCATGATTTTTTTTCAGGCAGTGATGAATATTTTAGGGCCCTTGCTTTTACTGGCCTTTGCTGGCCACGTAAAAGCTTGGTGGGCACAACCTACTGGTTACGGAGGCGGACATGCACAGGGTTCTGCCCACGCATCTGCAACTGCACATGCATCTGGATATGGCGCAACACACACAGCAGGATACGGAGCTTCAACACATTCGTCAGGCTATGGAGGTGGACATGCTGCTGCCGCTGGTCAGCAGGGAGGGAACTATTCTCCACCGGGATATGGATACGGCACCTATACTAAACCTGTTGACTGTGTGGTATCTGAATGGGGTGCCTGGAGTCAACCTGATGCTAGTGGCTACTCTAGTCGTTCCAGACAAGTGAAAACACACCCATCTAATGGTGGACGTAGTTGTCTTGCATTGGTGGAAACAAAACTTGGTAAGTCTTAAAAGGATCCTTTAGTGTTTAAACTTGAGCCAATGCCAAATACGGATACTTTATAGCAAAAACAAAATGCATCATTTTCCCCAAAAGAGAAACACTTTAAAATTCGTTAAAACGATTCAAAGAAACATAGACATAGTGTACCTCTTCTCCTTGCTTTTAAAGCTTTCCAAGAAATCCGGGACCAGTGTCATGAAAAGTATGTGTTTAGTTATACAGTTAACTTTTGAAATTGAATACGCTTATAAATGGCATTGAATATGCAACGTTTTATGAAAAACTAGTCATGGGACCTTTAACAAGAAAACATCTAAAACTTAGTTTATATGTTCTAGAAATCGGTTTATTCAGAATACAAATAAGAGCTTTTCTAAAAGCTAATTTCTTACTGGAAACGAAATTGGTAAGGAAAATTATAGTGATCTGATAAAGCAATTGAACTCCATCTAGTATATGAAGCAATTTCTAAATAGCTAGCGTTATTAAAAATAAAAACAAAAAAATAATCTAGCACAGAAAAAAGACAAAAGAAGCAACTTTTTGTATTATTTATTATTATAAGGAGCAATTGTCTTTGAGTTTTAGTCATTACTCGAGTATTTTTTTTTATTCAAACAGTCACAATCGACTGCAAGATGGGGCCATGGGGAGACTGGATTCTCATAGATGGTGCCCCTGGTAACTACGCTCGAAAAAGGTCAACATTGATCCACCCACTAAACGGTGGTCAATCTTGTCCTCCTTGCACAGAATATAAAAAAGGTAAGATTTTTAATTTAAGATTTCTCAGTTAAAGATATAATTAAGGATATTGATAGAAACAATTCTATATTCAGACTGGCTATTGAGTAACACTCATTATACCTGTGTGCCTAATTATGATGAAAATCATAATGGAGAGTAAAACTTAAATGGTAACATGTAAAATACGTCACTGTTTGTGATTTCCTGTGCTGTCGTTAATGGAAGATGTTCGTTGTTATTCTGCGGTTTACATGTTGTAACGACTATTATATTATTTATTTGTGCGTTTCTTTGTGCTGAGTGTTCTTGCGTTTGTTTGTGCTGTATTTCTGTCACGTAGTGTTGTCATTTTAGCGATATTTTTTAACATTGTCATATAAGCGGGAGGTTTGGCTAGCCATAAAACCAGGTTCAACCCACCAAATGTCATGTACCAAGTCAGGAATATGGCAGTTGTTATCAAATGTTCGTTTCTATGTATGTTGGCGTTTGTTTTTGTTGCACTTCAGTGTTTCTGTTGTTCCGTTGTTTTCCTCTTATAGTTGATGTGTTTCCCTCGGTTTTAGTTTTTAACCCGGATTTGTTTTCTCTCAATCGATTTATGACTTTTGAACAGCGGTATACTACTGTTGCCTTTATGCAGATAAATTAGAAATAATAATAAAAGACTTGATATAGATGTATAGATAAGTTATATAGATTATTTGTTACCTACTTTAGTTGGACTATTATCTACATTTGATTTCACACTGATAAACCTTGAGTTTCCTTAATTAATCTTCAAACTGTTTTCCTATTTGATATTAACATGGGCATGTTAACATAGGATTCAGGTTACCTGTCACTCTTCTTGATCACAAAAGCATTAACTAAAGAATTCTTAGATTTTTACAAGGTTGTTTATGATAAAGATATATAATTTTTTTGAAGAAATTTGATTGACATATCAAATTATTCGACATTGTCGTGACACACGTGTCGTTACATTTATAGGACATCACACTGACATTTCTGTGCTAAAATATCAAGATTATATCACTCTATATATTTATTGATAAAAGTTAACATAATTTTGACTGCATTTGTAATTAATTTAGTCACATAGAAAGAGCTCGTTATCTTTTTTATCATCATCATGTAAGGAAATGTATCCTTTATTTCACATTTTATAGCATACTAAATTTGAAAAAAAAAGCATTGCAGTCTCCATGGTTAAACATGTTTTGTGGGTTTTAATATTTTATCAATGAGATCCCCTTTTTGTTAATGAGAGAGATTATTGTTATTATAAAGTTCCTCAGATTCATTTTAATGTTGATAGCCTTTTACTCAGTAAATTGAAATAATATATCAACGGTAGCAATTTTATTGCACCAGATGTTCATTTCAGCGTTGAATGAATACGCTTAGCTTACGATTCTAAAGTGTTCATACGAATATTGCTGAATGCCATGTAATAAGCCTCGGATTACAACAACCTCTTCTTCGTCCATAAATTATCAAACAGCGAGAATTAAGAATTGAGTCATTTAACTACTTTAATTTGCATCCTCAGTCATATCAAAACTGTTTTTGGGGAGGTTTCTAAAAGTCAATATTTGTAGCACAAATTAAAATGTTGCAATCAAGTCTACATTTCGTACGTGCTACTATTAAAAAGATTGAGATTATCAACACATGGCCAGAACTTCCAAAAATTCCAAGGAAAAATTCGATAAAGGATTCCAAATCAACAAGGAGACCCATGTGCAATCGGTCGGATATCTCTTAGAATCAATCAATGATTAAATTTTTATTAGTTGAACATTTCTCAAGTATTAATCATTAAAGTACAAATGTAATAACACGCCAATACAAAAGCACCTGCGACGGGACTATCATTAGACTTGAGGATGTGCAGACTACTACCATTGGCAATGGTCCAATATTAGCTATACAAAGTAGCAATATAATAAAATTAATACGACACACTATACGCACATTTCAAAATTTTTATTTTTTTTGGTAAATAGCTATAAATCAACCATTAGAAATTTAAAAAGCAACAAATACTGAAAAAATCAAAAGAATGTCGAAAAGGAAATCCAAAACTAACTAAGGTACACCTGTGTATGGAAGGATAAGCTTATAATGTTCCAAAAAAACAAAACAAAATGCTCGACTATATCAACTAACGGAACGAATGACCAAACGTGTAATCTAGATTTAAAAGATAATTTACTTGTAGATCATCTACATGACCAAAACACGTTACTCTTCCGAATTTATCGTCTCCGGATGACCAAAACTGAAAAAAGCAGATCATTTCAACATCACCAAACATGTTTTTGTTTAGATAATTTAGATCATCTCAAAATCAACAAACAGGTTATTGTTAGGATAATTCAGAAAATCACAACATGACCAAACATGTAATTGTTCCGATAATTCAGATCATCTCAAATGAACAAACAGGACATTATTTAGATAATTCAGATCATCTCAAAATTAACAAACATCTTATTGTTCCAATAATTCAGATAATAACAACATGACCAAACATGTCATTGTTCAGATAATTAAGATCATCTTAACATGAGCAAACATGTTATTGTTCAGATAATTCAGATCATCTTAACATGAGCAAACAGGTTATTGTTCAGATAATTCTGATCACCAAAAAATGACCAAAACATGTTTTTGTTCCGATAATTCAGATTATCAAAAAATGAGCAAACAGGTTATTGTTCAGATAATTCAGAAAAAAACACAACATTTCCAAACATGTTATTGTTCAGATAATTCAGATCATCTCAAGATGAACAAACAGATTTGTTGTTCAGATAATTCAAATAATTTCAAAGTGACTGAATGTGTTTCATGATCAGATTATCAGTGTAAATGGTTTAGGTAAAAATGTATTTGCACGTGCCAGATGATAAATAAGTTTCAAAAAAATACTCCTTACTAGTGATCAAGCATATTCTTACTGGAGAGTCCATTTTATCAATTTACAACCGAAGGTCGGCAAACTATGAATATAAAATGTAGATTATGCGTCATTAATAACTCTACTTTGCACATTCCGAAACGTTTTTTAATGATTTGCAATATATTCATGACTTTGCTTGCATATGTCAATAATAATGAAGTTTATCTAATAAAATGGAATTATATGATATCCCGTTAATTTTTATTGAGATGTTATTAGACAGAGTTAAGAGTTATAAAGGCGTTACCATAAGTAACAGATTGCAGAACTATCCATTGAAAATGAATGATTTAGAGAGATTTTTATATGATCAAATATACAGTAGAAATAAACTTAACAAATAGTACCGACGTACTTGACTTTATTACAATTTTCAATTACTTATTAGAGACATTCCGGTTTGATTTCATACATATTGCAGAAATGCTTAAAGTTTCGTGAAATATCGGCTGTTGGAATGGTCAACCGGTTGAAAATTTCTAAAGAATCGAAAAAAACATTATTTTTTTTTCTCTAGATAGCAAGTACATTAGACATTTTATGAGGCCTTCTAATTTAGAACAAATCGAGAATATATTAATTCCTTTTGCATAATTGCATATAGCTCGTAATTATTAATTTTACAATATGCACTTGTAAACAATCCGACTCCACAGTTATGATCAAAATAGCTGTTAACTCATTGTTTATCAGTTTTAGCAAGGAAATATTACATAACTAATTGTATGATAAAACAGCTGAAATAATATCATGTGTTATTTGGGTTTATGTTATTTTGATACACAGTGCAAAAATTTACATAAGTTATTTGCATTTGTGGTAGTTTTGAATAAAAATAGATAACTCGGTTCTTATTACCAATATCGTACATTATTTTAAGCAAAAATTAAGAAAAAAAATGTGTCCATTTGCTTTTATTAATTTATTTTTTTTAATTAATCAGATCTTTACTATTACTTTTAACGTTTTGTTTATTCTAATAAAGTTAAGTAAAAAATTTTAAAAAATACATAATTTTGTTTTATTCATTTGTGCATTTCTGGATTAAATAATGCTATAGAAGTCAATTCTTCTGACACAGAAAGTAACATATTGAAAGAATTCATATCTATATTCAAATCTACAAAATAAATATAACAAAATTTATTCTTCCAGTAAAACGAAAAACTTGTGACATTTCTTCACCTAGAAACTTGAGAAATCAGGTTTATTTCTAGCAAAGACGAGTGTTATATTTTGCATTTTTGGGGTTTTTCTACTCTTTTGGTCTTGATAAAAGTTATGCAAGAAACACGTGGCATTCGCACAGAAATGGGAAGCATATGTTTGTTTTGCAATCTTTTAAACAGATGATTTAAATTGTACAGAAATGCCTAAATACAAAATCTATATTAAAAAAAAATGTATTATGCAGTTTCTAATTACATTGAAAATATATAACTCAAATCATTTCTTTATAGTTGAAAATATAACAGCTTTCAATTGTTATTTAGCAAATAGGAAAAATGAATATAAATGTTCGTTTTAGAAGACATTCCCTTATGCTTAATTGATTTTGAATTGAAAATTCCGACAGTATGTAGATTTTTTATCCAACCCACACATGTCGCCAATATTAAAACGTTGAATTAACGGAGTCTTTCTTTAAAATTAATCGACGAAAATCTGTTACAAAATACTAAAACTCTATTTATTAAAGAAGAATGTCAATAAAAAAAGAAAGAAAATAAGTAGTATTAATATCTAAACTCGTGAAAACATCCATGTTAACTAATAAATGTCATTTACATGCATATTCATTGACATGTAGACATTCCTATGCATAACTGCAGACAGTATACATGTTTGCCTGTGGTTAATCCTAACTTTATATCATAGAGTGCCTCATAAAATTAGCAAACAAAAAGTTTAAATAAAAAATATCATTTTGATAAACCACCATTCATAAACTCGCCGAAGAAAACATACTAACACTTATAGAATTGCCGCGTTACTATCCACACTGATCTGTGTCCACAATTGTTTTGATAAAAAAAAATAATAAAAGAAAACAACATATAAAGGTATGAATAAAATCAATAAAAAAGCACGACATGAATAGAACCTTAAGTTTATTTGTGAAATAACATGAGTTAAAATGAAATTTTGTTAAAGCCAATTAAAAAAAGGGGCAAGGAAAACGATTACTACAATAACAAAAACAACACCGACAATATACATTTATAAGCCATGCTTTGGTCTTGCATAATGGACAAGATCATAAAGACCATGTTAAAAACTCTAACAAAACCAAAACCAGAACACCACGACAGACAATACTATAGATAATACAATCTTTAAAAAAAATAGGTTAAAGAACTTTATTCTCTATGAAAATGGAATCTACATGCCTACATTTTACAAAGGATTTTGTTGGTTAGGGTATAGTAGTCCCTGAATTAACGAAATTTGAAAATATTTCAGGCCATGCAAAGGTTAAAAACAAAACGTATGATTTTAATTGACATCTGATTTCATTCTATCGTTTCATAAAAACACATTCTAACTGTAAAATTCATACATATTAAAAACGTTTTATCTCTCCTTTTTCTAGTGAAGGTCGATTGCGTCGTTAGCCCATGGGGTAGCTGGTCAACAACTCCCGATGAGTCAGGACACGTTGTGAGGTATAGAAAGGTTGTACAGTATCCACTGAATGGAGCTGGTCCCTGTCCTCATATAGAGGAATACCGTGCAGGTAAAGACATCTAATATTAAAGCAAAACCCATTCACATGTTTGCAAATGTTCATGATCATGGTAAATTTCAATAATAGTGCTACAGCATCTTTTGGTTAAACATTTTGTTGTATTTAAAATGCTTACATTCAATTGACGTGATCTTGAATTTAAAGTATAAGACAATCCAAGATTTTCAAAATGCAAAATAACACTTTATAAATTCCGTCTGTCCGAAGCGCTTTTCTTGATTTATATTAATCTTGAACGCTCAAACTGAAAGATAATGTATTTTGGTATCAGTTAAACTACTACTATTGACTGCTAAACTAATGCGTTTCTAATTATTTCCTAACAGTTCCATTACCTTGTCTTGTATGCGAGTGGTCAAAATGGAGCGAAGTAGACGAGACAGGAACAATCTACAGATTCAGAAAGGTCATTAGACCAGCCATGAACGGAGGCAAAGGTTGCCCACCTCTTATTGAAATCAAAAAAGGTAATATCATCTTTTGATTACTCAAACTAAAATGGAAAAATTATTTTTTAAGCATTAACAAAAGAGGAAGCTTTCAATGTTATCATTGTAAATTATTGTACAAATAATGGGGAAATAAAAAGAAATATCGTATCTACAATATAAGAGGATCTGGACGGGGTCTACAGAATAGAGAATAATGCCCACACAGTTCCCATCCAGACCTTCATATAACAGACGTGGATGAAAATTTAAATTATCTAAAGATAACTGTTTGGAATGAAGAGAAATGATAAATTTGACTTGTTTTTTTTAAAGGGGTCGACATTGTTGATTCAGTCTCAGGCAAACTTAAATCCGAACTATCCCCTTAATACTATCATACCTTTTTAACAGTTCCTTTGCCATGCATCGTCAATCCATGGACTGAATGGGCTGGCCCTGACCATACCGGAACCATGTACAGAACCAGATGTGTTAGACGTCCTGCCCTAAATGGTGGCACAGCTTGTCCTGCCTTAATTGAAATGAAAAAGGGTATGCACTTCTATTCTTAAACAGAAATAGAAATAATAGGAATAACGATTGATGTTCTTAATGATATAACAGCTATACCGTTATTATCAGACAAATATGCAAAAAAAATCAAATGAGAAAATTTGAAAAGGTAAACAAAGCCTATCGATAATCAATAAGCTTAAACTGAAAATATTTGAGATAAAAAATGAAAGTGAAAATCTAATGTATATTAGAATTATACGTCCTTGGTCAGTCGTACAAAATAAATAAGAAGATGTAGCATGAGTGCCAATGATTCAATTTTCCATCCAAGTCACAATGTATAAAAAGTACGGCCTTCAACACGGAGCCTTGGCTCACACCGAACAGCAAGATATAAAGGGCCCCAAAATGACCAGTATAAAACAATTCAAACAGGAAAACCAACGGTCTAATCTATATAAAAAAAAATACGAGAAACGAGAAAAACTTATGCACCGCACCAACAAACGACAATCACTAACAGTCTCCTGACTTAGGACAGGTACAAGTCTCGATATAACTTACGATCAATTTCATCAGAGACATATACCTCTGATTTCATTGAAAGACTCTTTTGGGGAATAGCTCCTGTCGTTTTAATTTTAATGCTTCTGACCATTTACTCGAGTCCTATAGATACTGTTTAAAGTTGGTTTGCAGCTACACTTTTGATATGTTTTAAGAATATATCTGAACAGGGACTAACGTTAGTATAGACTGTCCCTGGTCTGAAAATGAATGTATATTCCTTATAAATCTTCCGAAAACGAAAACCAATCTTTTTCTTTCTTTCTATGGTACCGTAGATTTATTTGAAATCGTATATTACAATGGAATTATTCCAAGATTATTGTCATGTTGATAAAAAAAATGTTATCAATTTTATAGTTCCGCTTCCTTGTATTGTTGGTCCTTGGAGCAGTTGGTCAGTGCCTGACGACACGGGTACCAGGTCACGTATCAGATTTGTACAAAGACCACCTATAAATGGAGGTCATGCATGTCCTGAATTGATACAACTTGGACAAGGTTAGTATAGCAAGCACAAACATTTCAAATATATTTATATTATTTATGTGCTTTATTATTTAAATTGTAGCATCCTTCTCATGACATCAGTTATTTCAGTAACACTTTTCTTTGACAGTTCGATGGTGTAGTATTATATATACGCGCGTCACCATTAAACATGTGTGCGCAAACACATTAATTTGTTGCTTCTTGTGTCAGCTTGTTGTCTAGGTTATTCCTGAGACTACCTATAATGTTGTATTGTCGATTTATAAAACATGAAATTTTCGTATTTCCTTTGAAACAATTGATAAATAATTGAATGTAATCTCTCAAATTTTGCATTTTCTAGTTACAAACTACCAACTTTTTGTTTAATTTTGCAAAAACACTTCACCAGTTAATTCCGGAATTCCCTTTATCTGTTCCGAAGCATACTTTGTTACTTAGAAAATTGACATCCTGTTGAAAGAAATATTTGCGAAAATTCGACGTTTTGAAAAGTGACATTATTATTATCACGGTGATAGATGCCATTTCAGATATAAATCAGGTATGGAAGTTAATAATAAGAGTCAAGTTTTACCCGAATATAATGTCAGTATTAATAGCTACCGGTTTATAAAATAATGTTACAGTATTCAGTATACTAATCCTGTTTTATTTAAAGGGGCATTAGCTGTCAAAACCATTTTCACCGATTTGACTCAAATTCTCATATTTGATTTAAAACATACTCAAATGTATATTCAAATTACAATTAGTCGGAAATAAACAGTTAACAATGCATGTACTCGATAATATTTATAAGAATTTAATGTGTATTTTTGTCTAGACAGAGACATGTGTAACCAATCTCTATCTAATGGGTTAAATTGAAGGTCACATGGATACAGATTCAATGAGGTCGAATTATTCACTTGTAAGTGAATAATTCATCAGCGAAGTTTCTTTGCTTATTTTGACAGAATTGAACCAAATTGGTTGCTAAAAGCAAATTATGATTTCATTATTTCACTTTTATTAATGATTGAGCCAAACTAAATCATATAATTTTTTTCATATCTCATAGCTAATGCCCCTTTAAGGTTCATCTAAAGGAATTGAAAAATATGGCCGTTTTTACACCACAAAATCTACTCTGAGTACAGACAAACCGATGCATCTACAATGTACAATGTAAGAAGGTTTTAAGGCCTGGCTGGACCTAGATATATAAAAGTTATATGTAGTTTATGTTTCAGGAAATTAGGAACTTACCTGCATTTTTTTTTCCAGTCTGCAGAAGATAGCAAATTACATGTAAACTTAACACCTGAGTTTCATTTGGTACGGTCCACTCAGTTACACCGTTTAAATCACCTATTGTTTGGAGATGTCTGTTGTCCATCTATTGATCATTTAAATCAATACAACTCACAACATGTATTATGTTACGGGAGCTTCTCAAACTTCTTTCCCAACTTAGTTTATTTTGGAACCTTCTGCAGGAACGAAAAATTATGAAAAGCCAAATCTAGTTAAGTTTTTTAATATTCTGAAAATTAAGATGCATTTAAATTTTATTTATATAGGTTCAGCCATACTGTTCCAGGTGCACAGGTTTGTCTATACTCAGAGTGAAATTTGTGATGTAAATACGGCCATATTTCATGTTTTTGTGAAAAGGTTATGATGAACTTTGATATAAAAAACATGTCTCTGTATATTTGTCCATGTTTATAATTTTTGTATTTGTATTTTGTTAATGTCAGCTGGTATCATCCTGTATAGGAATTTACACCAATATTGAATAAAATTATTTGATTTGGTTTGATTTATAAAAAAACATAAACTATCACTGATGTAAACTATTTTTATTAGTTTTACCCCATTACAATAGAAATGTTTAATAAATAATCAGTTGTAGGCATAGTTGGTGAAACCCAAATAAGACAGAAAAAACAATTATATTTCTGTGTTTTCAAAAACGTAAAGCATTTCTTATAAAACATATGTTTTATTGCCTTCTTGTATGTCTTTATTGAAACCTACATGTAAATCCAGTACAAATACTATGCAAATCACATGCTTGAGTTGTATATGATGTTTATGATGTTTATACATAAAATCTTTCGGAAAAACCAAAACTGGAAAAGGATTCTTGCCTATATGAAGAAGTTCTAACAGAAAACACCTGTAAAAGGCTTTTGTATTGCTAGCGTGATGAGTATTGACTTTTCTACTGTAACAAGGAATTCTATAATTTTGTTAAGCTTGATTTCTTTCTCATAAGTCTTGAACACCAAAAATTTAAGAACTGATCTTTTAGAACTCATGGGCAATCCTAGAGCAAAAGTGTGTAAAACAGCATCACAAGCTATTCTGTATTTTTAGCTTACCAGGCCCAAAAGGGCCACATGAGCTTTTCTCATGACTTGGCGTCCATCATCAGTCGTCGTCGTCCGTTAACTTTCACAAAAATCTTCTCCTCTGAAACGACAGGGCCAAATAAAACCAACTTGGCCTAAATCATCCTTAGGGTATCTAATTTAAAATGTATCTGATGATCCTGCCCATCAACCAAGATGGCCATCATGACTAAAAATAGAACAAGGGGGTAAAATGCAGTTTTTGGTTTATATTTCTGAAACTAAAGCATTTAGAGCAAATCTGACGGATGTTTCTTATGTTCAAGATCTATCTGCCCTGAAATTTTCAGATGCATCAGACAACCCGTTATTGGGTTGCTGCCCCTGTAATTTTAAGGAAATTTTGCAGTTTTTGGTTATTATCTTGAAAATTATAATAGATAGAGATAAACTGTAAACAGCAAAATTGTTCAGCAAAGTAAGATCTACAAATAAGTCAAACATGACCAAAATTGTCAGTTGACCCCATAACTCCTTATTATTGCTCTTTAAAGTCAATTTTTCATAATTTTTCGTAAATTTTTGTAATCGTTAACAAAATTCTTTTCCTCTGAAACTACTGGGCCAAATTAAACCAAACTTGGCCTAAATCATCCTCGGGTATCTAGTTTAAACAAAAGTATCCGATGACCCCGCCCCTCAACCAAAATGGCCGCCATGGCTAAAAATAGAACATGGGGAGGTAAAATGCAGTTTGGCTTATATCTCTAAAAAATAAAGCATTTAAAGCAAATCTGACAAGGTAAAAATGTTCATCATGTCAAGATCTATCTGCCCTGAAATTTTCAGACACATCAGACAACCCGTTGTTGGGTTGCTGCCCCTGAATTGGAAATGTTCAGCAAAGTGAGCTCTACCATTAAGTCAACATAATCAAAATTGTCAATTGACCCCTTCAGGAGTTATTGCCCTTTATATCAATTTTTCACAATTTTTTCGTATATTTTTGTAATCTTTTACAAAAATCTTCTCCACTTAATCTACTGGGCCAAATAGAATTAAACTAAGCCACAATTTTCAATAGGGTATCTTGATTTGAAAATGTATCCGATGACCCTGTCATCCAACCAACATGGCCGCCATGGCTAAAATTGAACATAGGGGTTTACTATAGAAGTCTATGGGAAAATTGTAAAAAAACAATTTCAAATGGTCACAACTTGAAAACTAATTTAAATAATGATTAGGGGTCTTCAGTAACTACATGTATTGTAAGACTACAATGGGATGACCTGCTTTAAATTTAACTACCTGGCCGAATTAAAACAAACTCGGCCTCAATCGTTATTAGGGTATATAATACTATTTATTATGATTTTAACATTATTTAACATGATTTTCAAAACCACAGTAGATACAGCCGAGTGACATGGGCTCTTGAGAGCCTCTAGTTTGGTTATTGCCCCTAAATTGATAATTTTAATGAAATTTTGTAGTTTTTGGTTATTATCTTTAATATTATCATAGATAAAGATAAACTGTAAACAGTAAAAATGTTCAGCAAAGTAAGATATACAAATAAGTCACAATGTCCAAAATTGTCAATTGCCCCATTAAGGAGTTGTTGCCCTTTAAAGGCAATTTTACACAATTTGTTCATCATCAGTCAGGGGTACTACTTAAACAAGTGATTTCAGAATCACTCCCTCGAGTGATTTTGGCTGTGAAATATTAAAAATTTTCACACAGACTTTTTAAAATCACTGAAACAAGTAATTTTAGAAGTTAAAATGTAACCACTAACTTACTGCCCAAACGCACTGGTGAAATTAATATACAAAGAAAAAGGGATAATTGATTGATGTAGGAAAATTATAGAAAAGATTGTGAAAATATGGAAAATCAATGAAATTAGCATTTGAAGATCAAAGAAAACACTAAAATCACTTAAATAGGTGATAACTGAATTTATCAAATCACTGAAATAAGTGATGATGAAATCACTTGTTTAAGTAGCACCCCTGACTGATCATGGTTGTTAACTTTAAAAAATCTTTTCCTCTGAAACTTTTCAAGCAATGGCAGCTAAACTTACGCTGAATGATCCTTAGAGTATCTAGTGTAAAGTTTATGTTTTATATTATGTTTCATAAAAAACTAGGCCGCAATGGCTAAAATAGAACATAGGAGTAAAATGTAGTTTTTGGCTTATATCTCTAAAACAAAGGTATGGAATGAATAAACACACTGATGCATACGGGAAGTCTATTTACATTAAAAAAAAATGTTTGTTCTCAATGTTGTGCTGTAACCCCACAGTCCTATATCATGTATATGTTAAAGACAGGGTTTGGATAAAGTACAAAAATTTTATCCCTCCTTGCACAACTCAAAATTTAATAATTTTAGTGGTTGTCATTTGTTGCTGTGTTTGTATTTGCTTTTCATTGATTGTTTTTAGCTCACCTTTCCTAATTGCCATGCAATACTTTCAGAATGCTGGATACTATCCACACTGGTTTGTGTCCACTCTTATTAATTCTACATTAAAAACTTAAAAGCAAAAGAAAAACTTTGATGAAAAATTTAAATAAAAAACTACAGGTGAGCGATTTAGGCTCTTCAGAGCCTCTTATATCATTATTCTTAAACAAGAATAACTTAAAATATAATTTTATTTCTAACATTTGAATGTGAATTACAATAAATAAAATAAATCACTTTCCAAAGCTATTAGAAGGTACAAATTATTTATTTATTATAAATTTGCTTAAAATGTATAAGAGAGTAGTCACCCATGACTTATGTCAGTAAAATAACAGTATCATCATACATATTATATATGTATAAATGCATTGAACGTACATGTAGATGTCCAGTCCAAATTAAAAAATATTAAACCTCCAATTCTTTACTTTTATTGCTTTGAATTGAGTTTTGCACTTTATACAATGTAATATTTCAGAGAAATATGTATTTGCATTCCAGGTTATGGCAATAAAGGCCCTCATGGGGCAGGTTTGGGTGGGCTTCACCCAGGCGCTTCAGGCCTAGGCCCTGATGGACGCGCGCTAGCAAATAGACTTCCTAATTTAGGAGGAGTGCATAGCGGGCCAGGAGGTAAAATTTGTATTATGATATTTTAATGATTAAAAAAAAAGATAAAATAAAGAAAATCTCATGAAGTTGAAAATTTCCTCCCAAATTTAGTTCGAAAAAAATAAATTTGATTAGAAGGAGTTGAAAAAGATATTTTAGTATTTGATGTAGCTAGTAATCATTTTTGTAAACTGTTGATTATCAGTTAAGGTCAGTGATTGTATGATATTTATTCATGATTTAAAAAACTACTTACTATTTATTTATAAAACTGTTTAGATAAAAACCTGATTTTAGACTTAACAAAGTTATTTTTGTAACAAAACACAACAAATCAATGCAACAGTAAATGTATGAACTAGATAAAAAATAATGAAATGTTTTTTATATTAACAATGTAGTGAAAATAAAAAATTATGTTGTACCCAGAACATGTATATGTATGTAGATACCATTTGACTAGTATCAACTGTTTTATAGGACCTCTTTCTGGTCATAATGGTCCCTGGCCTCAAGGATTTGGTGGGCCTGGCAATGGATTAGGACCAGGAGGACTAGGACCTGGTGGGTTTGGACCAGGTAATGGATTAGGACCAGGAGGTAATGGACTAGGACCAGGAGGTAATGGATTAGGACCAGGTGGAATGCCTGCAGGACATGGACTGGGACCGGATGGATTTGGACCAGGTGGGCATGGATTTCCACTTGGACTTGGACCAGGAGGACCTGGATCAGGACCAGGAGGACCTGGATCGGGACCATTTGGACCAGGAGGACCATTTGGACCAGGAGGACCATTTGGACCAGAACACAGTGGACCTGGAGGACCATTTGGACCAGGGGGACCATTTGGACCAGGAGGACCATTTGGACCAGGAGGACAATTTGGACCAGGACACAGAGGACCTGGAGGAGAACCATTTGGGCCAGGGGGACCATTTGGACCAGGAGGACCATTCGGACCAGGAGGACCATTTGGACCAGGACATGGAGGACCTGGAGGAGAACCATTTGGACCAGGGGGACCATTTGGACCAGGAGGACCATTTGGACCAGGAGGACCATTTGGACCAGGACATGGAGGACCTGGGGGAGAACCATTTGGGCCAGGGGGACCATTTGGACCAGGAGGACCATTTGGACCAGGAGGACCATTTGGACCAGAAAACAATGGACCTGGAGGACCATTTGGACCAGGGGGACCATTTGGACCAGGAGGACCATTTGGACCAGGAGGACAATTTGGACCAGGACACAGAGGACCTGGAGGAGAACCATTTGGGCCAGGGGGACCATTTGGACCAGGAGGACCATTTGGACCAGGAGGACAATTTGGACCAGAAAACAATGGACCTGGAGGACCATTTGGACCAGGGGGACCATTTGGACCAGGAGGACCATTTGGACCAGGAGGACCATTTGGGCCAGGACATGGAGGACCTGGAGGAGGACCAGGACAAAGAGGAGGACCTTGGGGAGGACCAGGAAATGGAAGAGGACCATTTAGACCAGGACAAGGAGGACCTGGAAGAGGAGGTAAATTTTTAGTGAAAGTTCCAGTTTTATCCATGAAGGTTCTTATGTGAGGACGATTGTATCCCTAGTAACAGTACAGAATTTTTCACAACAGATATAGATCACTCTTTATTGAAAGGATGTCATAGATGAACTTCATGACAATTGTAAAGAAATTTGGAGACTACACATTTCACATTATTCTATTCCTTTGAATGAACTGCTATTAAGTAGTTATTTCTTTTTTAGATAATATCCAAAAATGTAAAAATCAACAAAATATGAAGTGGAAAAGTGCTTTTGTTTAAACTGAAAAGAAATGTATATGTGTTTTCAATTTTGCTTTCTTTTTAAAAATGGAAAAAATTTAACTTTATGCTAGATGCTTATCACAATTTCCTTGTTACTTTTTTAGATAGTCCAATTTGGCTTGGTGAACTGGGGGGAAGTTGAACAGTCAGATTTTGCAGACCAACAATTTATTTTGATTTGTTAGATTTGCAATGAATTTGAAAAACTGCAGCAAAAATTATTGTTCACAAAATGATATTTAATTCTATGTTTTAACAGGTCCACTTAATGGTAGAAATAATTTAGGCCCTGGAAGAACAGGGCTTGAAGGTAAATTTGTTTAAATTTGATCACTCTGATCATTTTTTTAATCGTATAGTTAGTTCATTTAGATCTATTTAAAAAGAAATAAAATTAAAAACTTTATCCTTAATGTTTAGACACTTAATTTCAATTTTTGAATAACTTACTTTTTACTATCTTGTTGGTAAGGAATAAATTTTATAATATTCATTTGTTATTTGAAAAATTTCATTTTGTAGGTTATTTTTCTCAAAATATTTTTTTAATTATTCCTGCTGAAGCAAACCTTTAACACATTGAAGTAAAGATAAAAACAAATAATTTATTTGATTTGCATACATGTAATGGTTTGCCACACAGTGTTTTGCAAGAAACGTGAAAGTTGAGGGAACCAACTTATTCCTGATTTACATTTTATAATCTATTCATATTTTTTCAGGTCCGCTTACTGGTCCACTTGCTAATATTTTTCCCAATGGATTGTTGGGAACCCCAAATATGACAGCTTTATGTGCGCTTTGCGATAAAAGCAATCTAACTGGTCCCGGCGGCCCAGGCAGCGGGCTGGGACCTGGCGGTAATGGCACAGGAGCGCAACCTGGAGATGGTAAATCAGGTAAACACTGAAATATTGAATTACAAATGTTTGCAGGTGAATGGCAACAAACTTTTGAATATCTAGATGGTAAGCAATAAAGGATGAAAAAGGTATAATCTATGATGACATTGTCTTCCTTTGAGCCTTAGAGTTTTGTTAATAAACACTCAATAAATTACACACAAGGTTGGGTTCAGTCAAAAAGCTACTATTAGGTAATCTACTATTAAACAGGTATGGTGATTTTAGCTTATAACATTTTCATTTACAACTCTATCATATTATCTATGCAATATAGAGAGAGATATTTCAAACTTAATAATCATTAAACTTTATTTTTATGATAGTTTTGGAGGTAAATATGCTTCTGTGTCCTAAAAATGTCATCTCTGAAATGAGGATTCAACTTAATAATTAGAATTTGATACAAAGTTATCTCTGCTTCCTGGGGAAGACTAACTGATTCACAGCAATAGAGAAGTGGAGGATATGCAAATATTTTTAGTATTATAGTCCAGTTTAGTTGGAATTACATGTGGTTAATTGTAATTGTTGGTGTGTTATGTCCTAGCAATATTAACAGGTTGTATTGAAACAATAGAGATAATAGTCCATATGAAATGAAAATAAGAGAACGTGATTCAACACAAAATGGTAATAAATTTTGACTGCCACAGGAAAGATACAATGTATGGAGAGTTGGGTGGGATCTGAAAACTTGGTCTCAGCATTGGCCCCTCCAGTTAATCTACTCTTTAATAAGTGATGCTGAAGAAGTAGAAGTAAATTTTATGTGAGAAGATTTCAAGTAGTTACCAATTTCTATTTAACAAAATTTACATGAGAAGAAAAACAGTAATATTGTTTTCTCACCATTACTCTTTTTGGTGCAGGTAACCAGCAGGATTATTTTTTGAGTAAGGGGTTTCATTTGTAATTAAGTACATTTCTAATGTCAGGAAAAAATAAAGAAAAGATTAGATATTGAAGCTTACTGTCTCATTTTCTTATTTATAGTTCCATTGGATTGTGTTACTAGTCCTTGGGGATCTTGGAGTGGACCAGATCAAACTGGAACCTTTTCTCGAGTCAGATTTGTAAAAAGACCTCCTATAAATGGTGGAAAGAAATGTCCTGACCTCATTGAACAAAAGAAAGGTACAAATGTTTTTACAAACAATGTTACTGGTTGTGTTCTTTGAAAGCAACCTTGATATCTTGACTCTTCAAGTCATTTATGTTTGAACTATATTCACACCTGCCAACATTTCAAAATGCCCATGGGGGTTTTATGTGCAAGATGGCTTTCATAGTCCTACAAAACCTTTAAAGGGGCCTTGAAATTTATTTTAATGTTGTTTATTTGCTTCTTCATACTTTTACAATCCTATACCCATGGTAAAATTGATTGTTTTGTTTTAAATTGTGGACAAAAATCCTTCAAATCTTAGACTATTAGCCATATTTTATGAGTCAGTTTCACTTATATTGCTTTTTGTGAAAAAGAAGAAAAAATTACTCCTGCCTAGTTTCATAAATATGATAAACTAATTTCAATTACTTAATTGATTTCATTTTTTTCTGTCAGTTCCTCTTGACTGCATTGTCAGTGACTGGGCACCATGGACGAAACCAGATCAAACTGGAACCATTTCGCGAATCCGTATGCAGGTCAGACCTTCTGTCAACGGTGGAAAAGATTGTCCAAACATGATAGAATCCAAGAAAGGTTAGTGCAATTTTATAAATTCTAAAGCAAAATTTACTGAAGTATCTATGAAACTACATAATTGTTTACTTACGTGGCAAAATTGTTTGCCATAATCTTGATTAAGAAAAGTAGTGAATTACAATATATTGTAACGATGTTTATATTTTAAAAGATTCTTAATGGTAAATTAGTTTCACAAAAAAATTCTGAATGTAAGAAAATGGGCCAAGAGGTGAACAGTTCATTCTGTTGTTGTGATCTTTAACTGATAATATTTCTGTGTAAGCTGAAAACTTTTGAACAAGATATTATTTGATATTCTCTTTTGTAGAACCCTTACCATGTATTGTTGGTGAATGGGGACCATGGAGTGCAACAGATGACACTGGTGGCTCTTCTCGTGTTCGTCATGTTGTCAGAATCAACATCAATGGTGGACCAGAATGTCCAGAATTGATTGAAAATAAGAAAAGTATGTAACTTATTTGGTATAGAACTATGTACTGATTTTCTTAAGACATTTATTCATTTTTTATAATTTTGAAAGTTCTCTTAATATTCAACAGTTGTTGTGGAATTTACACACTTTAATAATCAAGGTGACATTCAGTTTTGCTGTCTTTTGCAGGGATATATCATGTGCAAAAATGAATTCTGCATGAGAGCATACCAATAGATCATTTAAAACATTTGCCCTCAGAATATGAAAAATATGAACTTAAACCAAATTGGATACATTTATGAACAGCAAATTACACACAAATTCCATAAGATGCAGTATTTTTTCTATTTTTAAATTGGATTTTTTAGTTTTCATTTTCTATTGAGATATTCTGTTAATCTGATTTTCATAGTTTCTTCACCATTTTTTGCTAAATTTTGAACATTTTTTTTTAATTTGAATCTTAATTTCAGATCCATTGCCATGTATTATGTCTACATGGTCTAGCTGGGTTGGTCCTGATGCTTCTGGTACTATGTATAGATACAGACATGTGGTTAGACCATCCATGAATGGTGGAGAGAAATGTGATGATCTTATAGAGCTTAAGAAAGGTATAGTTCTAGGCAGTGTTTTAGTTAATTATAACAGAGATGTAAGAAGGTATAGCTGAAGTTGTAGGTAGTGTTTTATTAGATATTTATAAAAGAGGCTACTAATCAGTTAAACAGTAAGTAATTTTACCCATTTTTTTTGGTTTTGTGGAAACTGTTGTAGATAGAGAAACATTGTAAATAACAAAGATTATCAACAAAATTAAATTTACAAGCAAGTCAACATGACCAAAATTGTCAATCAACTTATAAGAGTTATTGCCCTTTAATGACCATTTTTACCCTTTTTTATGTTTTTTACAAACACTATAGAAGATAGGGAGATTCTGTAATAGCAAAATATGATCTGCAAATAAGTCAACGAGGCTGAAATCCTATAGTAGTTAAATAATTGCCCTTAAGAGATGAATTTTACCCATATTTTTATCATTTTAATCTTGAAAACTATAGTAGATAGAAAGAAACTGAAAATAGCAAAAGTGATCAACAGAATAAGTTCAGCACTCATACCACATCTTCGTATTTATATCTACAATAAAGTCAGAATTCCAAAAACATTAGTTGACTCCTTATAGGAGTTATTGCTCTTAATAATGATTTTTTTTTCTAATTTTATGGGATTTTAGTAGAAGCTATAAGAGATAAGAGAGAAACTGTAAATGGCAAATGATCTGCAAAATAATTCATATCTTTCCATTTTTGCTTATTATCTTAAAAAACTAGACTGAAACTTGGTCCAGTGAAATCATCAGCAAGTCAAGATTTTTTCCCACTCAGTTTCCATTCAACACAAATATTCTTTGCATTGTATCAGTTTATTTAAAAAAAAATACCAGCTGAGTGATACCGGCTTCCTTGAGTGATTAGTTCTAAATCACTATGGATTTTAGCGAATGTTATGTCACTTATTCTCTACATATTTTTTTAATTAATTATTCTGAATTTTAGTTTTTCTATTAAGGGTACCTGATATGATGTAAAGGTGACATGCAGCATTGTTATATCAAAAGATTTGAATTTCAACATAAATATATTAATTACAGGACCACTGCCATGTATCATGTCTGACTGGACAGCATGGAGTGCACCTGATGCCACAGGAAGTAGATACAGAGTAAGATATGTTATCAGACCTGCATTGAATGGTGGAAAAGAATGTGAAGATGATGACCTCATGGATACTAGCAAAGGTAGGCATTTTATTTTTGCATGTACAAAAGTCATTTGTAGACCATTGCCTTTTCAAACATTTCTTGGAAATCTACACAAACAGATGTTAGAAAAGGAAAATACTTCGGAATAAAAAAATAGAACTTACAATAATAGAATTTGATGTTCATGTTATTGTTTCTGCAGAAAGACATAACAACAATTAATATTTTCACATATATGTCAGCCCCTGTATCTACTACTACTACCTTACCTATTTTTTATCTCACATTCTCTGCAATTAAAAAGAAAATGGACACACCTTGAAATAGTTCATTTACATACAAGAAATAGTAACGGTAAATATTAAAAAAATGTTTTGCAATATTTTCATGGGCTTATTATGTTATCTTTGAGGTATTTTACCATAGAATTAATTTATCTTTTTTATTTTCAGTGCCACTGCCTTGTATTATGTCTGAATGGACTGCATGGAGTGCACCTGATACCACAGGAACCAGATACAGAGTAAGATACATGATCAGACCTCCTCTTAATGGTGGCGAAAAATGTGATGATCTCATTCAGATTGGCAAAGGTAAGTTTAGATCTTCAGTGGTACAAACAGAATTAAACAGTCTTTAAGGGTGTACTTAGGTCAGGTTTAGGAATTTTGTCAGATGTTCGGACTCCTTGGTTTTTTTCCTACGATACAGGGTAAAATATTTTGTCTCACAACACCTATTTTTCTTATCATATAAGACTTCAATAGCTCATAAAAGGTCATTTACCAAAATTTAAGCAGATTCTACATTTCTTTTCTTTCGATTTGAGACCCAAATAATACCAATGCAAATATAAGGTAAAATTCCGAGTCAGCCTTTTCCCACCATTTTTAAAAAACTAAATATCTCGAAAAGGAGCTCCATAACCTATTAATATTTTTAGCTTATTTTGTTCCTTAACTGATACTCTCCTGACTTATAGTATTAATTTTAAATTCTAGATTTTTTTAATTTCACCTAAGAACATCCTTAATGGTAAAAAGGGGAGAATATATCATGAAGGCAGTCGAACAACATAAGTCGGAGAAAAACTGACTTCAGTTCATATGCTTTTGGTAATGGCACTTGCAAATGAGGAAAAGGAAAAAAAATTTTAATGGCAAAACAGAGATGTTTAAATTTCAGTAAATGTATTTTCACACATCTGATTTAATCTTGTGCATGCCCAGATCAGGTATAGTGAGATATAAGGTTATTTAGTTTGCAGCAAGACCTCACATAATATAAATTCATAATACAAAAAAATTATATTGGCTAATTTTACTCAAAATTTCAATTTTTGTGGTCATAAAGATTAACAGTTAAAACATACTGTAAGACTTTTTTACTTTCTGTAGTCATTTAACTTTAAACATTGATTTTTCTACTGTATAGTACCTGTGCCATGTATCATGGGTCCATGGTCTAGTTGGGTAGGACCTGACCAGGCTGGAAATATGTACAGATACAGACAAGTAATTAGACCAGCTCTTAATGGTGGTGAAAAATGTGATGATTTGATCACAATTAAGAAAGGTAGAAATTATTTTTTCATTACTAAATATCAGACAGTTTCGTATCATAACATTTCTGAAACATACAGTATTACAGTAGAATGGTTAGAAACCTTTTATCCTTTTATAACCGCATTTTATTGCTAGTGGCCAGGTCTGTAAAGAGTTTCCTATTAAAAACTGATAGCTGATAAATAAAATGACACATACAAACCTTAATTGAGTTAAAAGGTAAATTTGAATCATGCAAGCTGTTTTATTTGAATTAGGAGTTTTTTTTTTCTATAAGATAACACTTGAATAATTTTGGGTGTATGATGTGTTGTTTTGCCATACTCCTAAAAGTACTGTGTATTTTCACCTCTACATTGTTCTCTGAACAATTTTTTCCTATTTTGTTTGTTTGTTAAATTACAGAATATTTAACATTTTGATTGATCTCTGCATTACAGTATCCCTACCATGTATTGTTGGGGACTGGACTAACTGGAGTAAACCAGATCAATCAGGAAGTAGGTACAGGTTTAGACCAGTGCTGCGTCCAGCTCTGAATGGTGGAAAAGATTGTCCAGAAGAACTTATTGACATCAGCAAAGGTGAGTTGTTACAAAAAAAAAGTCAAATTTTTTTTTATCCAATTTTATTTCTGTCAATTTTGATAATTCGCCTGTAATGTTTCTGAGTGAGCCAAGCATTGATGGCATGGTTTTTGGTGGTGCCTTATAGAAAACATATTCAAGAATTCAGTTTATCATTCAAGATGGCCACCCAAGCCTATAATTGTCTAGCACACTTTGACAAGTTTGGCCAAGTGGAATTAAGTGTTAAGAAGTCCCGTTCAAAATCATATAAGGCAACTCTTCTGATTCAAGACTTTCATCAGAGCATTTGGTTGAATAAACGTTTTCAAAATTTTCCTTGAAACCAAATGCCAAATGAATCTAAAATTCTTGGGTGATCTTCTTTTATACAAGTCCCCTTTTCATCCAAAATTGCAACCAGAGCATCTGATTGGTTGTCATTTTGTTTCCTTTCCTTAAACCACTGTCCTTCTTAAATTTCCACTTATCAAATGGAATTACTTTGGATTCATATATTTTTTGTGTGTACCAATTTTTGTTGATTCAAGAAAAATTGTATTTTCCTGGTTACTAGATTTCCTGGTTGTTATAAATTCTGCCTCAACACCTATAGGAAATTTGTATTTTGTTTTATAGCAGAATGACAAAATACAGTTTCAAATTCTGCTACAGTTTAAAACAGTAGCCTTGAAATAATTATATTTCTGTTTTCAGTACCTCTGCCATGTATCATGAGTGATTGGAGTAGCTGGGTTGGACCTGATGCATCTGGAACCATGTACAAAGTCAGATATGTAATCAGACCTGACGTCAATGGTGGCAAGAAATGTGATGATCTTCTCCAACTTAAGAAAGGTACTTAAGCTTTAGATCTATGGTTGAAAGATTGTTTTTAAGGGTTTTTTTTGTTGATTAAATAGCATAAGCTATTGTGTGTTTTCATGTGAGTGGTCATTTTTGTTGTTGTGTTGGATGAAAATTAAAGGTTTTGAAGTCCAAAATGATCCAGAGGAATTTCTTGATGCAAATCACTTTACTTAAGATTTCAATTAGGTTTGTGTTTATTTCAACATCTTATTCTTCTTTTTTAAATCTCATATCCAGAAGCAAGAAAATTGGTCATCACACATATTAAAGTGTGTGTACACTGCTACTTTTGCATAGGTACTATTTCTGTGCTAAAAATCTGTAGTACTGGAAATTTACTTTTAATATTAAGTACTATTTCTTTACTTTAAAATTCTTGTAATATTTAGGTACCTGTATTTTACAGTACTTGATTTGTACTTGAAATATTTGGTACAGAAGTAATACCAACAGTGATAACAATATTCCATGTTTGAAAATCATAACTTTAAGAGATTTGAAATAGACAAACATACTTTCAAAATGCTGAAAATGTAACAGTGTAAAAAAATTTTGTAGTACTTAAATTTCAAGTACATATCAAGTACTGTAAAATGCAGGTACCTAAATATTTCAATAATTTTAAAGTAACAAAATAGTACTGAATATTAAAAGTAGATTTCCAGTACTATAGATTTTTGGTACAGAAATAGTGCCTATGCAAAAATAGCTGTGTAATGTTATAAGTACATCCAATGTTATTCTGTGTGTCTATTGTAAACATGAATCACTGCTACAATATGAAAATACAGAGGTTTGATTTGCTTGCAAAGTATACTAAGGAAATTTTCCTTTAAGGATGATCAAAAGTGATAGTATGGGGGTCAACTTTTTGAAGATTGAGTTTTGTTTATCCAGTTTGACCATTACTGTTTAGTTTTTTTATTAGTTGTACATGTACATTTGTTTTTTCTTCCTATTAATTTGTTGGAAGGGAACTGCCCTCAACTTTTTGTGGTTAAATAACATACAAAAATGGTGATACTAATTTCCATGTTCAAGATGTATGTTTCTTGAATAAGGTTCATCACGTATGTTGGAGACCAAAAGTTTGGAAACCCCCCCAAAAAAAGAAGGGCCTTATCAGGACACCTTAATCTTTGATGGTCAGCTTTGCCTTAGAGAGTTTAAACATTTGTTTTACTATGAATTACATTAAATTATAAAATGTTTGATATCTTCAGTACCATTGCCATGTATTATGGGTCCATGGACTGAATGGAGTAAACCTGACGAATCTGGAACCAGATACAGAGTTAGACCAATGCTGAGACCTCCACTTAATGGTGGAAAAGAATGTGATGACCTTCTTCAAATTGGCAAAGGTAAAAACATGAAGTTATTATTGGCTAAAAGGATTCATTATCTGGTCATGAGTGTTCTTATTTTTAAAGAAGAGTCACATTTTTGGGGTTATATTGTATTTCATTAAAAAAAAAAAAAAAAATTACAGATTACTGATAACTCGTCTGAATAAAGGCTTTCAGAATAAGAAAATATAAGATATATTTTTATAGTGCAATTTTACTTGAGACTGTGTAAACAATATAGCAAAAATTTGCCAAATTTTAGTAAAGAAAACATTATTTTCAGATGCAAAAATATACAGATATTATGACATCAATCTTCTCTAAAATCTCTAACTGTGTCAAATGGACTTAAACTTCAATCTTTGTGAATTATTTTTCACAATCTTAACATCATCATAAATGACATCTGCACCAGTGCAATCAAAACTATTAAAAAAGTGATGTTCCCATAGTGTTCAACTGTTACAAAAGTTATTAAAAAACTTATTGCATTGAAACAAAAATTGTTCAGGCAGAACTTGAGTAAATATGACATTTTAGTATCATAAATGAGGCTGTTTTATAGATAAGCAGTTTCTATTTGAAAGACTACTGTTTTTTTGAAAGCTCCTATCTAAGTCTAAATGAAAATGACAGCTTACAAAACATTTGGTTAAAAGACAAGTAAATTTTGTTCTAACATTCTAGGACAAAACCTACATGAGATTGGTTTTACATCATTAGTTTTATGTATATTTTCACAAATACATGTAGATTGGATATATGTTTTTGTTTTATTTCAGTACCATTGCCATGTATCATGAGTGATTGGACCAACTGGAGTGCACCAGATGCCACTGGAGCCAGTTACAGAGTTAGATATGTGATCAGACCTGATTTGAATGGTGGAAAGAAATGTGATGATGATCTACTTCAAATTAACAAAGGTATTTATGATTTACAGTAAAGGTTCTAAATAAATCTATTTACGTTAGGCAACCAACAATCAATAAATCTATTTAAAAAAGAGGGACGAAAGATACCAGAGGGACAGTCAAACTCACAGATCGAAAACAAACTGACAACGCCATGGCCAAAAATAAAAAGACAAACAGACAAATAATAGTACAGATGACACAACATAGAAAACTAAAGACTTAGCAACAAGAACCCCACCAAAAACTGGGGGTGATCTCAGGTTGCTCAGACATTTCAATTTGTTGAATATACAAAGATTTCATACGATGTATAAGCATTTGATAAAGTCTAATGATAATGGTGTCAAACAGTTGACAGAAACACCCAACTACATGGCCGTGCAACAATTATAGTACAATACTCGGAAGAATGCACTTTACCTGAGTTGTATGAGGGAGTGAAATCTTATAGATTTAGTATTGGAAGCTTCACAGTGTTGCATTAAATATGTTTTAATTCATTAACTTGAAGATTTGATTTTTGTTTAATTCCTGGCTCATCTTTTTCTCATTTGTTTTTGACGAGAAATTGTCTGATGACCAGAGAATTGTTTTGTGTAGCCTTAAAATAAAAACAACTACATGTATCTCCCTCATTCTAGTATGATCTGACTATTTTATAAGAGTGCTCATATTGACATTTACAGAACCACTACCATGTATCATGTCTGACTGGACTAGCTGGGTTGGACCTGATGCTACAGGAACCAGATATAGAGTAAGATATGTCATAAGACCAGCATTGAATGGTGGCAAAGAATGTGAAGATGATGACCTCATGGATACTAGCAAAGGTAGACATTTTATTTTGCATGTACAAAAATCATTTGAAGAACATTGACAAGATCTCATGCAAGCTACCAAAGGTAAACAGATTTTATTATGTCTTTTACATTATATAGCAAGCAGATGCCCTTCAACTTATACTAGATTGCTTTCAAGTGTTCAACTTTACTTAGATTAGGGGACATGGGGTTCTCATTTTGACCCAAGAAAATAAATACCAAATCTAGAATTCGTGTGAAAATATTGTGTCTGTTCCCGCATCACAATACAATTAAATTCCAAATTCCAAACAATTTAACTGCCTATTCCTAAATTTCTTGGAATTAAATGGCTCAATCCAGAAAAAAAGGTCCTTCTGCCGCTCTTAGATTGTTACAAAAGCTATTAGAAAAAGTGTTAGCTGTTAAAATTGACTTAACTCAAGTAGAATAGCTTAATTTTGAAGACTTAACTTGATTTCTGCTATAGAAACTGATTGCAATTAATTTTTTATAGGTAAATGTTTTTTTTTACAATCTAAATAAATTTTTCAACATTCAAAAGAAAAAATGCTAATTTTTTTGTAATGTTCCATTTTATTATGAGCTTGAATGTACATGCTGAAGAAAAATAAAGTGTGTTCAGAACACTGCAATAGTAATCATATATTTGGAATGATTTATGCAAGTCAACAATAAACACCAGCAGACATATCAAAGACACCACCAGTCAACAGTGGTGCAAAATTTATAGTTTAAAGAGTTTTGCAATTCTGTCCAACACTCTTGTTTGATTAAGGTTATTCAGGATTACTTCCTGTTACAAGATACCTTTAAGCTACTGCATAAATATGATAGTATCATACAATGCAAAGAGTCCAAATAAAGTAAAACCCATACAAATTACTTCTTAAATCTCTTCTTTCTTTCTTATATATTTCTGTTATAAAAAATATAGGAAATACAGGATAATTGTGGAAGGACATATGATGTCAGAAATCAATATTTTGATGACAAATGATATGTGAGGTCACACCTAGATGATGTGACATCAAATGCTACTTTTTGAAAATATTTTGATGTTTTATAATTGAAATGTACATTGATATAATTTTTCTCTCCTTCAAAATCGATGCTAATGTAACAAAAAATTTGTTCCGGCGTGACATTTGTTCCACCGGAACAAATTTCATAGAAAATATGTTCCACCGGACTTTAAATCACAGAAAATATGTTCCAGCACTGAAATATTTGTTCCGGAACTAATTTTATGACCAAATGTGAAATAAGTTTTGGAACAAAAATCATAACTCCATGAATTTTGTTCCAATTAATATTAAGAGTTTTAAAAAGTTAAACAAGTTCCTGTGATATTTGTTTTAAACAAACGTGTACATATTTCATAGAAATCAATGTATCATAATTTGTATTTATGTTTTATGTGGTATTCCTCCTTGGTTTTTGTTAACTGTCATGGCCCTGTGTTCTAGTCATACATGTACATAGGTCATAGCACAGTTTCAAAAGAGTGTGTCTTTTGTTTCTACATGTCTTTTGAGATAACTGAACAGTCATTTTTTCCTTTTCAAATAAGTACATATGTTCATCTTTAACTATACTAATTCTTTTTTCTGAATGATTGATTTTTCTTATTCTACTCGTTACTGGCTGAAACGTGTCATTTTGATATTTTTTACGGAGTATATAATTAAACATTTGCTTTACTCCACAGGATCCGAATTGGATGATTTACACTTTTTACTTTTTTTATTATTGATATAATACTTATTGAATGATAACTTTAAACTCACGGATGACAAATGTTCAGTATATAAGATAACTTGTTTAACCAGTGGAACATATTTCACAGACCAGGAACTTTCACCAGGTGAGGAACAAATCTCACAAACCCAGAACTTATTTCACCAGATAAGGAACAAATCTCACAAACCCAGAACTTATTTCACCAGATAAGGAACAAATCTCATAAACCGGGAACTTATTTCACCAGGTAAGGAACAAATTTCACCAACCCGGTACTTATTTCACCAGGTAAAGTGTGGAACTTATTTTATAGAGATGGAACAAATTATATAGAAATCATCTGTGAAAAAAGTTCTCCCAGAACATATTTCCTGTGATATTAGTTCCACTGGAACTTTTTTCACAGGAACAAATTTTGGCTCACACTAACGCGTGTCTATCTGGCAGCATAAGGATTGAACATTGTAATGAGATATCGTCTTGATACTTTTTAGAACTTAGTTTGATTGAATCAAAACAGTCTTGTATAGATTAATTCTAAAATGATTCTTTTTAATTTAAGTACCATTGCCATGCATTGTCAGTGACTGGACAGAATGGACTAAACCTGATGCCTCTGGAGCCTCATACAGAATTAGATATGTGATAAGACCTGGCTTGAATGGTGGAAAAGAATGTCCAGAAGATGTTATGCAAATCAAGAAAGGTAATTAAAACTTACTAATTGAAAGTCTTATGAGGCTCTTTGTAACTCAGAGTAATTTATAATAGTTTTATGCAATTTGACTAGTCCCATATATCATTTCTTTTATGAAGAATAATCTTTTCTGCTAACTGCAACAAAGGCAACTAGCTAGTTAGCTTATTTCTTATAAGGAGTAAATAGAATTGGGAATGGAAACAGGCAATGTGTCAAAGAGACAACAACCCGACCAAAGAGCAGAAAACAGCCCAAGGCCACCAATGGTTCTTCAACACAGTGAGAAAATCCCACCCTACTAAAGTTGTTTCAAAAATATGACCAAAATTCAGGAATATCCTCAGTGGTTGTTTATTGTCATATCTTGAAGATTTGTGCCATGTTGGGAATTTGATGTTGATCACTAATAGTCACTGTGCATTTCATTATCTTCACAATTCTTGGTGGATTTTTGAAGAAATAGATATATGCATTGTTTATATTGTCTGTGCAGTTACTACAGTTTACACATATGGGTTCTCACTTTTTAAAAGCCCTTATGATTAATTATAATAATTAATTATAATAATGTATATTATTATATTTAATCAAACTTTATTTTAGAACCACTGCCATGTATTATGAGTGATTGGTCAAGTTGGGTTGGACCAGATGCTTCAGGAACTACATACAGAGTCAGATATGTAATCAGACCTTCTCTTAATGGTGGCGAGAAATGTGATGATCTTTTACAACTAAACAAAGGTACTAAAATTATTATAACCAGTAGAAATGTTGCAATTTGTATTTAGGGACTATAGCAGGACAATTCAGATAAATCTATGAAAATTCACCTGGGCATCAACTAATATGATTTTAATACCTTACAATTTTTTAATAAGCTATTGATAAAAAATTAATTGGACTATTTGCAATAAAAATGTATAGTTTATGATGTATTTTATAAAAGAAAAGAATGTTAATATTATCCTTGTTCTCGTGTTTGTTGTGTGTGTGTGCCCATTTTTATTGATTTAAAAATAATGTCTGTAGGTTGTATGTTGTGCTTTTAAGGCCAAATACTGTCGATTCATCAATAATTGTGGGATACCAATTAACGGGGTTTCTTGGGTATAGGTAAACCACAAATTGAGACACTCCACAAAGTACAAATTTTCTTACGGTTGTATACAGACTTTGGCAAATGCAAGAAATTCAATACATATACGTACCTACGAAAAATACAAGTTTTCCTTAATCCATGAAAATAAATGAATCCACAGTAGCTGTTTTTGAGACTTATTAAATACCCTGACCAAAGTCAATTGATTCTATAAAAGGTTTTATTTCCTTATCAATAATAATATTTTTTTGTTATTACATAAATTCATAGTTTTCTTCTACTCATGAAATCCACAAAAAAAAAGCTGTACTCAATTATTGATGAGTACACAAATGAACTTTTTTGTTTGGTAGCTGTCTCAATGACCTCACATCTCCTTTAATATACAGTAAAAAAAGAATAAAAACATGCTAATATATAAAAAAAAATATTCATATTTCAGTACCACTGCCATGTATTGCTGGTCCATGGTCTGAATGGAGCAAGCCTGATTCCACAGGAACCAGATACAAATCCAGAATGACACTGAGACCTAATCTGAATGGTGGAAAAGAATGTCCAGATCTACTACAATTAGCCAAAGGTATTTAGTCAATTTAATCAATAAGGATAATGTTAATTCAGAAATTTTTGTGAGGTTTTTATTAATGTGAATAATGCGACTAGGTGAGTATTGCAAAAATATGAACTCACATTCTGAAATCTGACGCATATATCTGTATGCAGCTTTAAATGTTATTGCAATAATTATTCTCACATTTTGGTCTGTCATGTTGCAATCGCAAAAATAAATGCACACAATAATTTCTGAATCTACAGTAATTGAATTACTTTTTGCTTTATCTGTTACCTATTTTAATTTTAAACTCAACTGAACAGTAAAGCATCTGTCAATGTTGTTAATTTGTATGCCATTTTGAGCTGATGTTTGTTGTCTATAATTATTCATGTTCAGAGTTGTGTCTAATAACCCCTGTCATCTACAATCATTATCAATAGTGAGGTTTTTTTATTTGTATTTAACTGTGTATTTATGAAACTTTCTGAAGTAGTGCCTTCATTGACACTCTAACAAAATTTTGACCCTTTTCGTTTTAATTCTGATTAAAAAATCAATTAATTCAATTAGTGCAAGGATATATAACAGCTGATATTATTTTATTATTTCATCCAGTATCTATTCAAACCAGCCACTGCTGATATAAAAAGGGACAATAAAAATACAAAAAGGATGAGGGTAGTCAGTAGACAAAATTTATATTCTCTTAGCCTTAAGTCCCAAAAATTGGTGCTTTATCATAATGGTACATATATTTATCATCTATACAAACACTTCAAACAACTTTATATTTATATTAATAGTGCCACTTCCATGTCTAATGAGTCCATGGACTGCTTGGAGTAAACCAGACGCCACAGGAACCACATACAGAGTCAGATATGTACTCAGACCGGCTCTTAACGGTGGCAAAGAATGTGAAGATCTTATGCAACTCAACAAAGGTAAATGCCATCCATGGCAGTTCTTATCTGGTAAAAATGAAAAGTCAAAATTTATGATAATCAAACTATAAAGTAATGAAGTATAATAGATTCTATGTTAAAAGGACCTGGTAAAATAAGATTTTTAGTCACAACAGAAACTTATCATCTGATAACAAACTACTGTGCAAGTGGTGAATTAAAACAGAAAGTTTTTGAAAAAGGTTAATTTATTGGCATTACATTATTGATCAATTGCAACAGAATGACTCCGGTATTTTACCTTAATTAAGCATAGTTCTGTTTTTTAAGAGGTATCAGATTTTTGTGTCCCCTCTCCCTGTCTCCACAGTGTTACCCATGTCATTTATTCCTTATCTCATTTTGAGATCAAACAGTTGTCAAGATTTCTTTTGCTTCTGCCTGCAGATATTGGAAATTACAGTCCTTGGACTTAAAAAATTTCATGAAAATTGATATAGAAATAAGGAGATGTGGTATGATTGCCATTGAGACAACTATCCACCAGAGTTCAAATGAAGTAATTAATTAATGTAAGCAAATATAGGCAACCATACAGCCTTCAACAATGAGAAAAACTCATACGTATAGTTTGCCTAATTTATAACAAAATAATTTTCGAAAAGCACATATGACAGACACAAACCAAGGTTGACCACATTGAACTACAGGCTCTTGACTTGGGACAGACTCACAAAGAATGTGGCAAGGTTAAGCATGTTGGTGAGAGCTCAACTCTTGAACTTGTTTGGACTCTTTTGGTATAATCCTAAGCTGATTCTTTGTATTTTAGTTTATAATGATGACTTACAGGCCAAGTTTTCATTTTCTTCTGGTTGACAGACTTTTAGAAATCAGGCTGCAGTATATTAAATAATATTTCAAGATATATAGATTAATAATTAAATATGAAAAAAAGCTATGTCACAGAGGTCCAATTGAAACATTTGACTAAAATTTTCAGTAAAATAAGATTCCGTTTCAAAAACATTGTTGTGTTGTGTTTACTTTTGCCTGAAAAAAGTAGGCCCAGTAAGACCACTTTTTGGCCCCAAAATATAGCATTTCAAAAATTTATTTAAAATGTAAATTTTTAGCTATTTATTGGAATGTTGAATACTTTTGTTACATAAATATGGGCTGTTTTTGACAACACAATGCACATGCATCAGGTCCCAGCATCATAAGTTCATGCAAAATTACTAAAATCTTCACAATTTTAGCATTTGTGCTTATTTAGAGACGGTTTTTGTCTAAAATGGAAGTGGCCATGCACACTTGTGTTCAGTCTTAATATTTGAACATATGTTGTATTTGATAATGATACATAATGTTTAACAAATTGTGACTTGGATGGAGAGTTGTCTCATTGGCACTCATACCACATCTTCTTATATCTATATAACTTATATAAAGGTTGAGACTGAACACGAATGCGGCCACTTCCATTTTTGACAAAACCCATCTGAACAGTGACGTTTTGTGGCATATTTGATAGATTTTTCATATTTAAGCTTGAATTTAGACCTCTTTTAATGACCAAATCAGTTCAAATATTTTACACAAACTAATTGAATCCACTGAAGAAGACACTTAAGTGTGTAGAAAATGTAAAAAATCTTTCATCAGATGTACTTCAAATTTAAGGCCAAAAGAAGCCCTTACCTGACCTTCTCCATTGTCCAAATAGTTTACAATACTTTGTTTTTTTTCTTAAAGAAGAGGGCCAGAAATTCCCAAAATAAAGTTCTGTTTTATGTATGTAGTAGGTGTACTTTGTAAAGTGTTCATTTCCATAATCTTATTTTTTATTGTTCAGTACCATTGCCATGCATTATCAGTGAATGGACATACTGGAGCAAACCTGACGCTACAGGAACTAGATACAGAGTTAGATATGTGGTCAGACCTGGACTAAATGGTGGAAAAGAATGTGAAGATGAAGATCTCATGGAAATTGGCAAAGGTATTATTTGCACTCACAATCTTTGATTGTTTACAGAAGTAGCAATAGTTGTCTGCCATTTTTACTTGCCATCATATTTGGTTTTGAAAATTACATGAAATCATGGAAATTGGCAAATGTTTTTTTTCTGTTAGGATTGTGAAGCTTTAGATAAAATTATGGGAATATAGGTAAAACTTTATTTTTAATTTTGCTTGTTTAATGTTACAGTACCATTGCCATGCATTGTCAGTGAATGGACAGCTTGGAGTGCACCTGATGCTACAGGAGGCAGATACAGGGTCAGATATGTGATAAGACCTGGTCTTAATGGTGGCAAAGAATGTCCAGACCTCATACAGATTACCAAAGGTTTGTTGAGATGAATCGGGATTAACATTTTTTCATATCCCTTGTGCATAGACCTAAGGGGAGATAATAAAAGCAAGAAAATTAAAACGTGTTTGTCTCCCCGAGACATTTTAGATAACTTGTATTGTTTAACAAAAAAACACATCATAAATTGGTGTAAAATAGGACTACACTGCAACAGTAAAGAATTGGCTTATTATAATAAATAAATCATTGATTGATTGATTGATTGATTGATTGATTGATTGATTGATTGGTTGCTTATCCAGTGGTCAATATTCAGGAACTTAGAATGACTAAAATACTTTTTTCTTTTAATCTAGAACCGCTGCCATGTCTCATGTCTGACTGGTCTAACTGGAGTGGACCTGATGCCTCAGGAACCACATACAGAGTTAGATATGTAATCAGACCTGCTGTAAATGGAGGCAAAGAGTGTGAAGATCTTATGCAACTCAAGAAAGGTTAATTTATTTAAAGTTTACTGAATTTTGGAACAATTATATGGAATAATTATCTAATAACACTGATGTTTGATTTCTCATCTGTAAATTTGCAGACATTAGCTTTGGACAGATAAATTATAATTAAAATGATATTACTTTGTGCATTTATAATTGTGATTTCTGAAAAATGGACAAAAAGGTGAGATTAGTTATTGGGGATTTAAGGAAAATTTGCATACAGATTTATGTATCAGATGTCAAAAAACAATTTCTTATTTTTGCGATTCTCACCCAGTCGCATTATATGCATTAATAAAAACTTAACTAAAATTTGTGGATTGACATTAGCGTGTAGACTGACAAAGAAATATGTGGAAAAGAATTGGTTCTAATGCTCAAACATTTTTTTGTGAAGAACTTTTTACCATGGCATGATTTGCAGAATTCTTTGTTTAATGATTTAGTTTTAAATTAGAATCAATGAATATAGTGCCTCATTTACTCAAAGAAAAATTCAGGCCTGGAAATTTGTTTGTCTGAATTAGGGTCCTTCCACATTAATGTTTTCTTTTGAATTACAGTACCATTGCCATGTATTATGTCTGACTGGACCACATGGAGTGCACCTGATGCTACAGGATCAAGATATAGAGTCAGATACATGATAAGACCACCACTTAATGGTGGAAAAGAATGTGACGATCTCATGCAGATTGGCAAAGGTAATTCTTAGTTAAATTTTTTTTCACAAAATTCTGCTAAGAGTTTTTGCCAGAATAAATCTAGAAAGTTTTTAAATGTAAATAAATATTTATGCAATTTTTTGTCCATCTGTATGGAATGAATGATTTACTGATATTTCTTATGTTAACAATGCTTTTATTTCTGTTTGACTGTATGGTTTCACTCCTCATTTAACTGTAATTTAAATTTTGATATTTTTAGTACCATTGCCATGTATAATGAGTGACTGGACAGCATGGAGTGCACCTGATGCCTCAGGATCCAGATACAAAGTCAGATATGTAATCAGACCTGGTCTCAATGGAGGCAAAGAGTGTGAAGATCTACTTCAAATCACTAAAGGTGAATATATGTATTTTTTGCATCTTCTACTTTTGTTAGGCATTTTAACTAGCTTTACTTATTGGGAAGGCAAACAAACCTTTCCTCAGAATCAGTTGGAGTTTTAAATATACCTGTCCATTTAAAGTTTTGTTAGGTGTACTGTCCCATTGAATAAATGCTATTGTTCTCTGTGGAATTCATTCAATGGGAACTTTAAATTTCTCCTTTAAAAACAGATCATTTTGTTTTGGAAAACATGTATTCTTATTCAATAAAAGTGTGTACACCTGTGAATTTATTAGGTTAATCCAGTGTTATGTGAATATGGGGTGATAGCAATTAAACTTCTGGGGTGGAAAAGTAAATAATCGTGAAAGGAACCTTAAGATTTGCACCGAAAAAGCTTTCATTCATATTTTATATACAAAATAAACTATATTAATGTGAAAATCATAGATACTGCCTCTTTAATTTAGAATAATTCAGTGCATTTTATCTTTTTAACAGTTTTTCAGTAAGATGTTTTTTCACATTCCAACTCCTCATAAGCTTATATGACAACAATTGCCATGTAGAGAGTAAAATTTTGATGATGCTTATTCAACAGGAAATTTTCAAAATATAAAGGCCTGATGACCAAAATGTTTTTAATCAGTTAATGTTAATATGAAATTTTCATCAAAGATATTTTTATATATGTGGATTTTTAAATTTCAGTACCATTGCCATGTATTATGTCTGACTGGACTGCATGGAGTGCACCTGATGCTACAGGAACCAGATACAGAGTTAGATACACTATCAGACCTGCACTGAATGGTGCCAGATGTGGAGAAGATCTTATTGACATTGGCAAAGGTGAGATTTGCACAAACTTGAATGGGAAATCTTTGCCTTTTATGTCCATTACCTGTTTATTTAAATTTTTCTAGTCCATTGACATCTGATTCTAAGAAAAGATCTCTTCCTTTTTTTTTTGTTCTGTGTTTAAGATCTATATGTTTTTTAGCTGTCTTAAATATCTTTTATACACAGGAAAAATACATTTATTACTTTATACTAAGTGTTCATTTTTAGCTCGCCTTGGCCGAAGGGCCAAGTGAGCTTTTCTAATCACTTCTTTACCGTCGTCGTTAACTTTTATAAAAATTTTCTCCTCTGAAACTACTGGGCCAAATTTAACCAAACTTTGCCACAATCATCATTAGGGTATCTAGTTTAAAATATGTTTCTGATGACCTCGCCTGCCAACCAAGATGGCCGACATGGCTAAAAATAGAACATAGGGGTAAAATGCAAGTTTTGTCTATTATTTTTAAAACTGTTATAAATAGAGAAAATCTGACAGGGCAAAAATGTTCAGAATGTTGAGCTCTACCAATTGTCTATATATATATATGTCAAAACTGTCAGAGGACTTCTTATAGGAGTTATTTCCCTTAAATGACAAATTTTACCATTTTTGTTCATTTTTGCCAATTATCTTGAAAACTATAATAGATAGAGAGAAACTTTAAATAGCAAAAATGACCAGCAAGACAAGTTCTACAAATAATTCTGCATTGTCGAAATCGTCAGTTGACTCCTTATTAGAGTTATTTCCCTTTGATGACATTTTTACCATTTTTTTGCGTTTTTGCCTTATATCTGAAAAAAATATAATAGATAAATAGACACTTTAAATCACAAAAATGATCAGCAAGTCAAGATCTACTAACAAGTCAAATTTTGCCGGTATAGTTAGTAGACTGTCACTCTCTATAGGAGTGATTGCCCTAAAATGAGGATCTTTTTTACCCTCTTTTGTGTTTTGAGCAAAAACTAAAGAAGATAGAGAGAATCTAAACAGACTAAATGAAAAGCAATACAAGATCAACAAAACAGAGATTTTTGTCAGGAATTCTTTTCTTGTCTACAATGTTGGAGAGTGTCCTTTGTTGAATATGCACATATACCAAGGTGAGCGACACAGGCTCTTTAAAGCCTCTAGTTAAATAACACCTAACTCATAACTCCTTTCGATAGTTAAATATGTTTGAGTTTCAAGAATTGACAAACAGTAACTGTTATTCTGATTTAATTTGTACTAATATAATTTTATTCCAGTACCACTTCCATGTATCATGTCTGACTGGACTGACTGGAGTGCACCTGATGCCACAGGAACCAGATACAGAGTAAGATACATGGTCAGACCTGCTCTAAATGGTGGCAAAGAATGTGATGATCTCATCCAACTTGGCAAAGGTAATATAAAATATCACTTAGAAACACTAGTTGCTCTCAATCATGAAAGGAAGATGAAACTTGAAATAATTGGCAACATATACATTCAGTCTTAAATCATTTTTGCCCAGAGGAAAAATGAAATGTTAATTTGTACTTTAAGATGACTGTGAAATCTGATAAATAACACAACTCCATAGAAAAATCTATAACTTGAATTAATACAAACTACTAAAGCAGATAATGTGTTAGCTATAAATAAAGTAATATATATATATATATATATATATATATATAAGTCTGAAAATTACACCCAACAGTGTTAGAATTAGACTTTTATGCTGACAAATTTTTGTCCCTCAACGGGATTCGAACTCACACCTTTGATACACTACAGCACCAATCGCTTAGCCTCATGTCCAGCGCTCTAGACCACACGACCACATCCGCTATATTAAAATATAACTTCAATAGTCGAAGTGTTACCTTGTCACGTAAGGCGAATCTAGAGATAGACATAAGACATGTGTTTTAAGCGTGTGAAGATGTTATATTATTATTAAATACACAATGTATTTGTTATTTGTCAGCAATCTAACTCAACAATTTTTATATACCGTATGGGATAATGATTCAATTCATTATACAGTCACTAGAAATAAGTATATCATACAAACAAGTCTAAGCAAGTGACAACCATACAATATATATGCCCACTGGATCTCAGTGTGTTTGAGACGCAGGGTTAATACAAATATTTATATAAGTCTGAAAATTACACCCAACAGTGTTAGAATTAGACTTTTATGCTGACAAATTTTTGTCCCTCAACGGGATTCGAACTCACACCTTTGATACACTACAGCACCAATCGCTTAGCCTCATGTCCAGCGCTCTAGACCACACGACCACATCCGCTATATTAAAATATAACTTCAATAGTCGAAGTGTTACCTTGTCACGTAAGGCGAATCTAGAGATAGACATAAGACATGTGTTTTAAGCGTGTGAAGATGTTATATTATTATTAAATACACAATGTATTTGTTATTTGTCAGCAATCTAACTCAACAATTTTTATATACCGTATGGGATAATGATTCAATTCATTATACAGTCACTAGAAATAAGTATATCATACAAACAAGTCTAAGCAAGTGACAACCATACAATATATATGCCCACTGGATCTCAGTGTGTTTGAGACGCAGGGTTAATACAAATATTTATATAAGTCTGAAAATTACACCCAACAGTGTTAGAATTAGACTTTTATGCTGACAAATTTTTGTCCCTCAACGGGATTCGAACTATATATAGTAATTTTTGGGGCCCTTTATAGCTTGCTGTTCGGTGTGAGCCAAGGCTCCGTGTTGAAGACCGTACTTTGACCTATAATGGTTTACTTTTATAAATTTTGACTTGGATGGAGAGTTGTCTCATTGGCACTCATACCACATCTTCTTATATCTATACACATAATCATTTAGTATTGATGCATGGTTAAAATGGCTCATGTTTGTTCTAGAGTCTCAAAAATTGGAACAAAAATCAGACTTAATCAAATAAAGATGTACTCATTGGGAAATAATATTGTTTGAGTTTTAAGTCTTGACAAACAGTAAGGAGATAAGAGCATAAGAATTTTCTGTAAGTTTAGAAATTATTTTATGAGTTTATTTATCCAATTGTTGATCTATGAACAAATTTGTGAGATTAACTCGTTCAGTTATATCACTCTTTTAATCGTACTAATTCTTAAATTATTCCAGTACCACTGCCATGTATCATGTCTGACTGGACAACATGGAGTGCACCTGATGCCACAGGAACCAGATACAGAGTAAGATATATGACAAGACCTGCATTGAATGGTGGCAAAGAATGTGAAGATCTCATCCAACTTGGCAAAGGTAATAAAAATATTGAACAGAAACATCGATGGCTCCCACTTATTAACCCTTTCACCGATAGCCAGCCTGACAGAAGCTACTCTGAGACGATGGCTTCCCTGGCTATTATGACACAAGTGGGAGATCTTCATATTAAATATCAGTAAAAACTTGTCTGTAGTTATTTATGTCTTTAAATTATTCACTTACACCATGGACACAGTTTTGTTAATGTTTTGATCATTTTTTCTTCAAAAAAAATCAAAATTTGCAAATTTTCCGCATTAGAGAGATGAAATTCTCGAAATTCAACTTTTAACCCAAAATCGTAAATTTTTAACCCAAAACGGCAAAAGTTTGAAAAATTCAACAAGGTTGTACAAATTCCTTACACTGAACGATGTCCATTCCAAGTGTTTTTGTACATAATACGGCATTTTATGTCAAAAAAGTATACTAGTCTGGCTTGAATTCTTCCATATTCTTTCAAAAAAAATGTTTCCTTATTCCAATTTATAGTAAAATTTGTAAATTTCATCTGATTTTGACACGGTTTTCAACAAACGGAAGTGCCATGTTTACACTTTCATCCGGGTATTCAACAAAGAAAGATAACTTGTGTTTCCAATGTTTAGCGGGAAATGTAAAAGAGGTATTCCGATCCTGGAAAACCGGGATTCGTCGGCGAAAGGGTTAAAGTACGATTGAAATTTAGAATATCAGCAACAGATACTTTCTGTACTTATGATTTTTAATTCACTAAATGTCTTGTTTTGAAAAATGCTTTGTATTTAACAAATTAGATTTTGAGGTCTGTATTGTTTTTTGGGAGATAATCAGAGGTCCACAAACTGCCATTAGCTCAGAGTATCATGAATTATTTGTTATGTAAGATGTAAATATTTTAGTCTTGAAACAAATGGCAAAGTTATTTTTTTCCCATTGAATCTCAAATGAATTTTCTGAATCATAGTTCAGTTTTAGCATTATATTTAGATGGCACACAACATTTTACAAAAGTTAACAGTCATTGTTCTGTTCTAAATTATATGAAGAGTAGAATAATATTTTCACTTTTAATAAGACAAGAGATTTTATGATATATTTACCCAATTTTATGACATATGGACCAGCAGACATTTAGAAGGAGCAATATTAGTACATGGTGTACTGAGAATAATGTTTGATAGTAATTCACCATTAATAGAATTTTGATTCTAAAATCGCAAAACTGTAATGTGGTAGGAGAAGAATAAAATTGTATACACTGCTCTAAAACTCTTGAAGCATGTCTCAGATGTGATATTAACTTTTAGAAGACAAAATATCTTATGGACTAAATTACTTATTTCAGTACCACTACCATGTATTGTTGGACCTTGGAGTAGCTGGGTCGGACCAGATGCAACTGGTACCTTGTATAGATATAGGCCTATGGTACGACCAGCTCTAAATGGCGGAAAAGAATGTGAAGATCTAATTCAACTTAAGAAAGGTATTTTATGACAAGATTATTTGAGATATGCCAATAATATTTGAAAAGTCTGTGTCAATAATTATGTCAAACTATACATAAGCAATTTTTTATGTTTTTGAAATTGAATATTATCAATACTGTAGATATTGCAAACTGAATGAGACGAAAAGAAAGGGAGTAATCAACTTTATATCTTAAGAGATCTCCGTTTTTTTTACAGAACCACTTCCATGTATTATGTCTGACTGGACCACATGGAGTGCACCTGATGCTACAGGATCAAGATACAGAGTAAGATATATGGTCAGACCTGCCCTGAATGGTGGAAAAGAATGTGCAGATCTCATACAGATTGGCAAAGGTTGGTTTAAATTCATAGTCACAAACATATTTTTATATACATTCTAACTTCATTATATTACATTCATGTTAAATTTTCATAGTTAAATTTATCACAGAAATAAAAAAAAAATGTCAATAGTTGAAATTTCCTGTTGTATTAATGCATATGTTGAATGAACGATTAATTGAATAACCAAAGAGATTGAACAAACTGCAACCCCTAAAAAGGAATCATTTACAGAAAACCATTTCTATGTGTGAGCCTACTTTCTTGCAACTGGTCACTTAATTTGAATTAACAAACGATCAACATATTTATATCTGAATATTTTTTTAGGCAAATTTGGTTTCAACATCTCAAATATTTTAAAATACTGGTAGCTTTTGATGAAATGAAAAAAGGATAAGCCAGTTGTTTACACATGTAAGATTTATGCTGTAAAAATCTTAAGATATATTGAATTTATTTTTATCTTCCATTTCAGTACCACTGCCATGTATAATGAGTGATTGGACTAAATGGAGTGCACCAGATGCCACAGGAACCACATACAGAGTTAGATATGTACTCAGACCTGCTCTCAACGGTGGCAAAGAGTGTGAAGATCTCATGCAACTCAAGAAATGTAAGTCTTTTCTCAGCATTGCAATGTTAAAGCCTATACTAAATTAATTCAAAATTAATAGATTTATATCTAACAAAAGTGACCTCAAAGAATTTAGTGTAAGATTGGGTTTCAAATATCAAAATGGCAATTAGAAATATAGATTTAAGAAACGCAGACAACACCATGGCTAATAGAAAGGCTAATAGTGATCCACAAAATATAATTATGAAAAACTAAAAGATTGAATGAAATAAAACCCACTAAAAAAGCAAAGGGTAACAAAAGTATTTACTTAATGCAATAGATTTGTTAGTGATATGTATCATCTCATTGTCAATAATATGTAATAGCAAGAACAGCAATATCAGTCATCTATTACTTTAACTTGGATTGTTAATTATGGTCTTTAGAAGTTGATTCAAATGAGATCTTGTAAATGTAAATGCAAAGGACTAACTTTAGTGAATCACTGCATAAATAAAAGCCTCATATGTTCTCGAAAACACAGCAAAAAATGTCATTTTAAATTTTTCGTATAAAAGAAACAGCCTTATTTAAAATGCTGATAAAAGATTTACAAAATACTAGGATTGTCATTTAAAATATAGCATGACTAATTCTGCAAAAAGAAAGAAAAGACAAATAAAAAACAGTCAAAGAATACTGATATTGTAGAATCAAAAAATGTTTGTGCAAACATAAACATAAAATTACCCCCTTTTTAGTATTACATTCCTGAAAAAGTTATGACACAAGCAATCTTTTGTACATTTCAGTACCACTGCCATGTATCATGAGTGACTGGACCAAGTTTAGTGCACCTGATGCTACAGGAACAATTTACAGATTTAGATATGTACTCAGACCTGCTCTCAATGGTGGCAAAGAATGTGAAGATCTTATGCAACTCAAGAAAGGTAGTTTTATGCTATGTAAATTTATAACATGACATGCTGACCATCTGTATTTTCATCTCATGAAATGGACACGATAACATAACCCTCAGTCAAAGTTACGATTCAAACCCCAGGGCCCTTGGTCATAAAACTTTACTCAGTACTTGGAGTACAAAATTTGTGCTCGAAACACTAAATCCGATAATTTGATTGGTTGATTTCTGAGTCTGAGTACGATAATTGTGCTCGAAAGTTTTATGACCGCAAGGCCAGTACTCACAATGAAGTAACTCAGGAGTAATAATGCATTTAATCTTGGAGGAATTGATTTATTTAAGTTCACAATAATATTATTGATAATTCTAAGTTTATCATTGTTCCTGCAAGTGGTCATTTGATAAGATTTTTTTACAGAAGCGATTACAAAATGTTTGCATTTGAAGTCTACATTGATGGAGTGAGACAGTTTCATTCTGATAACTTTAACTGAAATTTGTTTGAGCAGTTTTGGTTTCAACTACCTTCTGGTTTTTTAATAGCTATTTAACATAAAAAGAATTGACCACTTGAGATTAGATGAGTGTTATCTGCTGTAACATGCATGTGATGCCAATGAAGCAGTATGATCCCAGTTGGCTTACAACCCGTATGAAAATTTCAACAGGAGTTCAACTGGACTCCAGCTGGACTTGAGACGTATTCCAGTCTGACTTTGAAAAGTCCAGTCTGACTTGAGCCGTACACATACTTTTTCTTATACTTGGGTTATTTGCCAGCCGGTATTTTTTTAAAAGTCCAACCGCACTTTTTGTAGAATATTTAGTCCATTATTACAAGAAGAAAAGTGTTCAAGTTGATGCATAAATATGTGAAATTAATCAATTTTTTGACAAGGTTTTCTTACAAAGCTTTGAAGTTAACACACTAACAGGCCGAAAATAGAGATTTCATTTAAAGTTGACTAAATCCTTTTGGATTTCAACCAAATTTTTACTCCAGTTTAATGATCTTCCACTGAATTGAACTTTTTTCAAAAGTTACCTTCCATGCTCAAATCACAGATTCTTTACCTTATAAAAGAGAGGCCAAGGATACCAAAGGGACATTCAAACTCATAAGTCGAAAATAAACTGACAACGCCATGGCTAAAAAAGAAAAAAGACAAAGACAAACAACAGTACACAAAACAACAAAGAAAACCATAGACTGAGCAACACATACCCCACCAAAAAATGGGGGTAATCTCAGATGCTCTGGACGGGTAAGCAGCTCCTGCTCCACATGTGGCATCCGTCATGTGAAACAGATATTCCATAACGGTCAACCAACTCGTGATGGTGTCCGTAAAATTTACAAAGGGATGATTTCAACTTCACCACTTGGAACTCTTGATTTAATAATTTCCTTGTAAGCAGCAACCCTCTATCAAGGAAATCATGATAGGAAAAACAAGCCCTGGAATATTGTATCAACAGGGAGATATATACTCTGTAAGCAGGCGCTGCTGGAATGTTGCTACATAGAAATGGAAAGTTGACAATTGGGAAGTTGAAATCAGCTCTTGTGTTGTAAATTTTTGTATAAACTTTTTTTCAGTTTTTTCTTAGTGTATATATTTAAGAATGGACAAAAAGTAATTGTATGTGAAAATAATATTAAAGAATTCTTTGTTTCAGTCTCACTATTTTAAAATAAGATTAAATTTAAAAAAAACAAATAACAACAAGAAGCAAGCAATATGTCATAGATAAAGGTGTCCATAGTTGAGCTCATTTTGATAGTCTTTGTCAACTTTTCAAATTATAATTAATAAAGTAACTTCAACTTAGTTTATCCTGAATTCTACTTGACAGTAGTTTTCATTTAAATTGCTTTCATTTCTAAAATCATACCATTTGTATGTCTCCTCCTCCTCCCTAAAGTGGCTGCAGGTATGTAATTTTGCTGTTCAATGTTATGATGAGTAAACTTGTTTTGTTATGTTTTAGTACCACTGCCATGTATTGTCGGTGACTGGACTGAATGGAGTAAACCTGATTCCACTGGAGGCAGATTTAGAGTCAGGTTGACATTGAGACCATCATTGAATGGAGGAAAAGAATGTCCTGACCTTCTACAATTAAGCAAAGGTAAGTACAGTCAAACCTGTATATAAAGGTAACCTTTGGGACAAGAGAAAGCTGACCTTATAAGAGATTTTACCTTTGAATTGAGGTTCAAAATGTACAGCTGTTACTACAGAGGGACAAAAAGAGGATTAGGCAGGTTTTTACTTAATTGAGGTGACCTTTATAGCAGGTTTGACTTTACCATTTTGGGAGGAGGGAGCATTAAGTGTTACCCTTATCTGTCTGTATGTATGTCCCAAAATTGAGTTTGCCTTAACCAAATGTTATGAAACTTATACACAATGCTTATTACCACAATATACAGATCAAGTTTGAATTTGGGTGGCATCACTTTTATCGTTCTTGAGTTATGTCCCTTTATAAAGTTATATGCAAGCAGGGGCATCATCTGTGTCCCATGGACACATTTTCCATTTATTTCACTTTTGATAATCAATTATTGGTAGTTGATTAATGATTTTTTATGTAGTTTTATTAAAACATTTCTGTTCAATAGTAGAGAATTGACCCCAATTTTTTCTTTGGTTGCTATCTTTAGGCAAAGTATATGCAAAAACACGATATTTTAAAATCTGATGATATTTAGTAAACAAGTCTGATGATATTTAGTATACAAGTCTGATGATATTTAGTATACAAGTCTGATGATATTTAGTATACAAGTCTGATGCTATTTAGTATACAAGTCTGATGCTATTTAGTATACAAGTCTGATGCTATTTAGTATTCAAGTCTGATGATATTTAGTATACAAGTCTGATGATATTTAGTATTCAAGTCTGATGATATTTAGTATACAAGTCTGATGATATTTAGTATACAAGTCTGATGATATTTAGTATACAAGTCTGATGCTATTTAGTATACAAGTCTGATGCTATTTAGTATACAAGTCTGATGATATTTAGTATTCAAGTCTGATGATATTTAGTATTCAAGTCTGATGATATTTAGTATTCAAGTCTGATGCTATTTAGTATACAAGTCTGATGCTATTTAGTATACAAGTCTGATGCTATTTAGTATACAAGTCTGATGCTATTTAGTATACAAGTCTGATGCTATTTAGTATACAAGTCTGATGATATTTAGTATACAAGTCTGATGCTATTTAGTATACAAGTCTGATGCTATTTAGTATTCAAGTCTGATGATATTTAGTATACAAGTCTGATGATATTTAGTATACAAGAAGAACTTATTGAACTGCATAGGAATTCTAAAAAAACGATATAAATGTTTTCCTAAAGTTTTTCTTGTAATTGTATATTCAGGAATCCAGAAGACTATGGATAATTTTATCAGTCATACCTCAAAATAAAAGTTACTTAAAATCATAGGTTGAGTCTTCATTTTTTAGGACATTGTTAGAAAATCATAATATTTTGGTGTACTCTTGAGATGATATTTTCTGAAGAAAATAGTATACACAAATGTGTGTACCTTCTGGCTTTTTATTTTATAGCTCATTTTAGAAAATTATTTGTGTATCTACTTGCCTTGCATTTTGTGGCTTGTTTTAAAAACAAAGACATTTCATTTTTGAACCTTGAATATAAGACTGTATATTGATCTTAGCAAGCATTCCTTGATTCTGTAATTTTTCCCTTGTAACTTTTCCCTGTGTTTTCCATTTGACAGTCATTTATTCACTCAAACTCATGTCCAGTAATTTCATTTGTCCACCAAGTCCATGCATTTAATTTACATAACAATAATTTAAAATGATCCTTTTTTCACTTTGTAAACAAAGCCCTGTTCCATTCCAACAAAACATGAGGTACATGTGTGTGACCTGACAATTAAACTTGCAAGGTTATTTGTATTTAGAACAATGCTTGCAATCAAAATGGATATTTCTCTGAATGTTGCTTGTTGGGAAATTCAATAATATCTTTTAAAAAGGTAATCTATATGTATTGAAGCAGTTTTTGATTGTGAAACTTAAGTTTTCTACAGTTTTTTTGCTTCATCAAACCAAACTGGCTGTCTATTAAAGGAGTCTAACAAGTTATAAATTTTCCTATAGGAATCAAAACAATTCTTTCATGTCATGCTTTATGCTCATTTTGAATCGGTAGTCATTAAACATATAAATGTTTTAAAGATTATGACAAATATAACTCCTACCAATATTAAAATTAACAAATGAAATAACCAGCCAGCATGTTATACCTGATTAACTTTTTCAGTACCTCTGCCATGTCTTATGAGTCCATGGACTCCTTGGAGTAAACCAGATGCTTCTGGAACCACATACAGAGTTAGAATGGTACTCAGACCTTCTCTTAATGGTGGAAAAGAATGTGAAGATCTTATGCAACTCAACAAAGGTAATTATAACTACAAGTCCATATTAACCTTTTTGAGTCTTCAATTATACATTTGCATTTAGATTTTAACATAAATTATCTGAAATGTAGTTAGATGTTGAAGTCAGTAGAGCAAAAATTAGGGGATTTTTGCCCCTAACTAACTTTTCAATGAAATGGACCTTATCAAAATGATACTGAAAAGTAATAATTATAGCAATAGATAAATGTTTTTAGAGCTTTGGTATCAATTTGATTAGAATTTATCACATGGAGAAAACAATGCATAATGCCAATGAACCTTAAATATGAGACTGTTGGTTCTATGGCTGAATTTTAGAAGCTTTGATACATTGCTGTTACAAGATACCTTTTGAAACAACACATATTTTTTACTTTTCATAATGATTTACTTAGTTTACTAAAGTACATTGGTTGTCATGTAGTAGATTGTCTGTCTTAGGGTCAGGAGGTTTTGGGTTCAATCATTGGCAGGACCAGAAGACAATTCATAAATTTGGTATTTTCTGCTTCTTTGCTTTGTCACACAGATATAGTTAAGAAAGCAAAAACTGGTATGTTCGAAGTGATATGTATATGTCAGGCTAGGTCACATTTCTGAATGTTGACTTTTGCTATGTATGATAGCACAGAACAATCACAATAGGTGTGTATGTATATGTACCAGGGTTGATTTTTATATTACCATTGTCTGTCTCCTTATATGCATGCAAAATTTGCTGTGTTTTTTTCCCCAGTTTTTCTATTTTATATCATTTTTCTAATTACAAATACTGTTAATAGAAAATCACATTCCTTTATAATGCTTCTTATTTATTCAGTACCACTGCCATGTATCATGAGTGAATGGACAGCATGGACTAAATCTGATTCTACAGGAACAATATACAGAGTTAGATATGTTGTCAGACCATCTGTTAATGGTGGCAAAGAATGTGAAGACCTTCTTCAACTTAAAAAAGGTACATATTTCATTCCTTGCAGTTTTTATATGCCCGTCAAAATTTTGACAGGACATATTATGGTATACAAATGTCCGGCGTCTGTCTGTCTGTCTGTCCGTCTGTCCGGCGTCCACATGTGAAACTTAACATAGTTGTTTTGTATGATAGTCAAACGATCTGTATACTTTTTGGTGAAAATAAGATTAAAACTTTTTGAGTTACGGGACTTTGTAACTAAAACAGTCGCGCCATATCTCAAAAACGATTTATGATTATTGCTTAAAACTTTACACACTTCTTAGTTATATTAATCTAAAGATCTGTATACTTTTTGGTGATGATTCAAAATTTTATTTTATAGTTATTGAGTTTATGTAAAAAAAGGGGGGGTTTTCACATGTCGTGCCGTATCTCAAAAACGATTTATGATTATTGCTTAAAACTTTACACACTTCTTAATTATATTAATCTAAAGATCTGTATACTTTTTGGTGATGATTTAAAATTTTATTTTAGAGTTATTGATTATTTTATAAAAAAAAAAGGGGGGTTTCACATGTCGCGCCGTATCTCAGAAACGATTTATGATTATTGCATAAAACCTCACACACAAGACGACAGGCGTATCATGCGCTCGTGGCGCAGCTGTTTATTATAACTTGATAGATTCGTTTAATTTTGCATTTATTGATTGACATGGAAACCAATGAATAATCTGTCAATTTGTGATAAAATTCCAGACAAAAAAGTGATTTCAAACTTTCAGGCTATCCCGATTCTTCTCTCCAGTACAGTATCTTTGTCAAAACATAAATAAAAAATTATTATAACAAGCCCTTATCAATATCAATGAAAGGGAAATGAGGAATATTATTCAATGATACAATAACTTTAAAAAAAAAAACATTAAAAATTTGGAAACAAATTTAAAATGACAACAAAAAAATAATTTTTAGGAAATAATTTTAAAAATGGCATTCCAAAATTTGGTGAGGAAGATGAGGTTTTCATACAAATGTGCTTTATGACTTGGATCATATTTTTATTATGAAAAGAATGTATAACTAACAATCAAGCAATTGATTAATTTATGTTGTTTTTTTACTAGATTTTCGGCCATTGAAGTTTAGTTACTAATAACAGGGATTCTCCAACTAACACTGTTTTCAGAGTAAATTGTTAAAACAGCAGAAGTCTAATAAAATTTGTTTCAAGGCTAAAATAAATTCATTTTGATAATATCAATTCAGTGGCGTATCTGATCAGAAATGTTTATAATATGTCAGCATTTGATAAATAGAACTCTGGAAATCAAAATTTGATAGATATATCGCTAGAAAATATAATGTTGAATTAAAATGAGGACTGTGATCTTCATAATTTTCTACATTGAAATAAAAGAAGCCAAAAGAAAAAGAATCAAATAGTTTTTGAGTTACCAGCTAGTAAACTATATTATATTACAGAACCATTGCCATGTATCATGAGTGACTGGACTGCATGGTCCAAACCTGATGCTACAGGAACCAGATACCGAGCTAGAGTGATGATCAGACCTGCACTTAATGGAGGAAAAGAATGTGAAGATCTCCTTCAAATAGGAAAAGGTTTGTATTAATGAATACTTGTTGTGAATATATAATAGAATAGAGAAAGGACAATGGGAATGTGTCAAAGAGGCAACAACCCGACCAAAGAGCAGAAACCAGTCGAAGGCCACCAATGGGGCTTCAGCTGTCCTCTCAACAATAATGTATACTAGTTCAGCAAATTGGACGCAACAATAAACTCTGAAACATACAAATGAACCAAAATTAAAAAAACACACAAGTCAAACTAAGTCTAGAGGTTCCTGACTTGGGACAGGCGGAAAAATGTGGCGGGGTTTAAAACGTTTTGTGAGATCTCAACCCTCCCCCTATACCTCTAGCTAATGGGAAATAAACAGACACACAACATTAAGCACAATGAAACTCAGTTTAGTTTTCTCTTAATTTTAATGGCCATTAATAACAAGAAATAAATAATGAATTTATTTATTTTGTTGTTTGATTAATTTTTTACACAAAAATAATCCCTGCATGTATAAGTGTGATTCTTATATTTATACAAAATACCTGTTATTGGAATGTTGTATGGTATGCTCTCTCTTTTCAGTACCTCTGCCATGTATTATGAGTGACTGGTCCAGTTGGAGTGCACCAGATGCCACAGGAGTATCATACAGGGCCCGCTATGTAATCAGACCTGCTCTGAATAGTGGCAAAGAATGTGAAGACCTTCTCCAAGTCAAGAAGGGTACAGTATTCTGTTTTTCTGTTTTAATTTTCGAATTAAGAACCATCTAAAGACAACTCCATGCATTTTTTTTAACCAGTAGATGTTTTGTTGTGAAGATAGTAGCAACTTTTTATATTTGTTTACTCACTGACTGTCCCCCAAAATATATGGAAAAGAATGGTTTATGTTAAGAAATTAGTCAATACTATCATTTTCTATACATTTTACCAATTTTCATTTTTTTATTAGTTTTTCATTTACTAAGGAACAGTTTCGTCCATCAAATAACAGGGAATCTGTTGGAATCTATATAAAAAATTTACATCTATTTTATTTATAAAATATTGTTTTCAGTACAATTGCCATGTATCATGAGTGATTGGACAGCATGGAGTGCACCTGATGCCACAGGAACCACATACAGAGTTAGATATGTACTCAGACCTTCTCTTAATGGTGCCAAAGAATGTGAAGATCTTATGCAACTCAACAAAGGTATTTCATAAATGCAAAAGTGTATATGTCTATATATTTGATCTTATGCAACTCAGGAAAGGTATTATATAGTCTTCAACATGTTTTCTAATGGACATTGATGTTTTTTAAAATTAGTAGTAAAGCAGTAAAAAAAATCCATGTGATTGTTAATGAAACAGACCCGCCTAATTTTGAAAAGAAACCAGCTGTACAAACCTTTTTTTAGATGCAGTTATGCCCTGGACCATACATATAAAGTAGATAGAAACAAAATAGCACAAACTAAAAAAGAAATCTAGAGGTCAATATGCTATTTGGTTTTTATTGTGAAAAAGCTGGATCCCCAAATTTAAGGTCTAAAACACCAACTTCATGCCAGTAATCAACAAAACTTGAAATATTGAGTTAAAACAGTTTCACAGTCATTAACAGAGTTATACATGCAGACTATCAAATAAAGCAAAAATTGTGTTCTGAATATGTTAAATGTACAAATAAATTGATATATGTTCCATCTTGTTTTGGAAAGGGAAACCCTTTTTCAAATTTGAATTTCCTTTTTCAACTTGTATTTCAAAAAAGAAATTCTCACTTAAATTTTATTTATTATTATGTAAAAGCCTCATTAAAATCTTCTTTTTTTCCAAATTAAAATGAATCCTTTTAATTTCAGTACCATTGCCATGCATTGTCAGTGACTGGACAACATGGTCAGCACCTGATGCCACAGGAACCAGATACCGAGTCAGATACACACTCAGACCTGCACTTAATGGTGGAAAAGAATGCCCAGATCTCATGCAAATTGGCAAAGGTAAGGATTTAAGTTTTTACCATAGGCAAGTTTTGTTTGTGTATTAACTTTTGATTTACAGTGAAACCTATATAAAATAGTAAAACATGACTTTGCAAAAATTAAAATCTGTCTAATGAGACCTGGATATATCAATAAAAGTTTTTTTTAACAATTTAACCTGTTAATTTAACCTGTTAAAATCAAACCCCTTTCAAAAACTACATATCTTTATTTCCAAGCGATTATTTTAGACAGTTACTTTCTGAATGTTTAGATATTTGCCATAATTATAATGTAATGCACATGGTATCTGCTATCAGGTTAAATACACCTGATCACTATTGTATTACTTTATAATCAAATTGAGTAGGGAGTGTTTTATGGTTGCAAAATAAGTGTAAAATAAATACTGTTTTATTTTAGTACCACTGCCATGTATTATGTCTGAATGGACTGCATGGGCTGGACCTGATGCCACAGGAACAATCTACAGATATAGATATGTAGTCAGACCTGCTCTTAATGGTGGCAAAGAATGTGACGACCTTCTACAACTCAAAAAAGGTAATTTCTGAATATGTTTATCATAAACTGGTTGTTATGATTACCTAAACAAGGACTAAGATTGAGGGTACAATGGGGAATAAAAATCAAACTGAAGAAAAACAGACAACACTATGGCAATGGACAATCAGTGATCCACTAAATATTACACAGAAAACAAAAAACGTAAAGGTAAACTCGGTGCTCTTGAAGGGTAAATAGTTACAGCTCCACTACTGACACCTATTGATGTAATCCATATTACCAGAGTACAAAACTACATCATTCAAGAAATGTTTTATGTCTTTGTTAAATAAAATGACATATTGCTAGCAATTTCGGGGTTTTATACATGTATTTACTAAACTGTTTAATAAAAAAACAGATCCTGAATCAAGTCCGAAATATTGAAACTACTACCTGAATACTGAATATCCACATTTAAAGGTTGATGTGACTATTACCATTGAATTTTATATTTGCAGGACCATTGCCATGTATCATGTCTGACTGGACAGCATGGAGTGCACCTGATGCCACAGGAACAAGATACAGAGTAAGATATGTTGTCAGACCTGCATTGATTGGTGGAAAAGAATGTGAAGACCTCATCCAAATTGGCAAAGGTAAAGCAGGACATTTTCAAAATCTTTGATATATACCAGGTCAAAGTTTTTGCTAATTCATTCACTTAAATTTATAAATCAATCACTTCCTGAGTATAATTTAAATCTTTTTTGGACTGAAGATTTTGTTTCAAGCTTTGCATAGGCTCAATTATTTTAGAATAATTACATTTATTTGTTGTTGGGTTGCTGTCTCATGGGTGGCATATATCTAAATTTTCCATTTTTAGGTTTCCTTATGAAAGTGAATCCAGAAAAGCGCTTCACAAACCCAAGTTTATAAAGTCTTATTTTCATTACATCTGCTGAATATAAAGAGCTAAAGCTTTACAAATTTTCAGCCAAAAAAAATCCTCCAAATGTTTTGCCATAATTATATCTCCACCAAACTATGATATAGGTATCAAAAAATTAAAAATAATTTCTTATACAAAACTATAATAAAGGTATTAAAAAAAATTACACAATATATTGTATCTTTCAGTACCACTGCCATGTATTGTTTCTGACTGGACCACATGGTCAGCACCTGATGCCACAGGAACCAGATACCGAGTCAGATACACACTTAGACCTGCACTTAATGGTGGAAAAGAATGTCCAGATCTTATACAAATTGGCAAAGGTAAGTACATTGTTTTATCACTTATGATATAATATTATTAATTGGATATTTTTAAGGATTTATGATTCCTTGATCACATGTACATTTGTATTGCTAATACTGTTGTGTTTAGCTTTTTGTAGGTCAAAAACATCATATTGCACAGGGCATACAGCATGTTACTAAAAATACATACTAGAAATCCCCAATTTTACATTGTTCATGCAATAGTTGTTGATTAATGATATAATAATTGTAGCCTTTGTTTGAGATCAATACGATGTTATATCGACCTAGAGAAGCATATCGTCCTTGGACTTCGTCCTCAGTCAATATGCTTCTCTTAGGTCGATAAAACCTCCAATCGACCTCATTCAAAGGCTATAATTGTATATTACCAGTTTGTTTAATCTTGCTGTAGTCTTATACAAAATTGTAAGAATACAATAGTGTTTTTTATGTTCCCCTTGAAAAACAGTTTTCTATAGAGCACTTATTGTGTTCATTGCATATTTCTTTCATAAAGCTGGTTAAGACTGTTAAGTCAATTGAAAACATGTGTGAGTAATGTTGAACACTACTTCAATTTTTTTATAAAATTCTTATAGAAAGAATTATTTAGTAGGAATGATATAAGAGAATTTATATTTTTCAGTACCATTGCCATGTCTTATGAGTGACTGGACTAAATGGAGTGCACCTGATGCCACAGGAACAATTTACAGATATAGATATGTTGTTAGACCTGCATTGAATGGTGGAAAAGAATGTGAAGATCTTCTTCAACTCAAAAAAGGTAATTTCTGAATCCTGTACCACAGATTAGAGCATGGGAGTATAAACAGGATGATTGATGTGTTTATTTACTGTAAACCGACTTATTTTCGCGGATACTTTATTTCGCGTTTAGCCCTTACCAGCCCATTTCGCGGAGATTTAATTTCACGATTTTCAAATAAGATTGATGTAGTTATGTAAGGAAAGATCAAAGTTTTACATATTCGCGACGATTTATATTCGCGTTATTTTTCTACTCACGAATTTTGCAAAAATAAATCGCTCGCGAAAATTAGTTGGTTTACAGTATTTAGCCATCCACATGCAAAAAGAATTATAGATCATCAACTGAATAAAGGTACAGTCTGGCAACATTTTTTAGTTGTATTTCTGTTCAAAAGTTAATTTCAGATGAGCTTTTGATGTTGAAGTACCTCATGTAAGCCCATATATGGTTAAAAGAGACATATGAGATTACTGATGGTAAAACATGTTTGAATTCAATATGTTGTCGTAATGTGGTCTTTAGTTGTTTAAATGTTTCTCACAGCATCTCTGTTAATTCATCAAAAGAAATTGCATATGTTTTGCTTGACTTGATTTTCCCAATAATAACAAGATTGATGCACTGTAAACCAACTACACTCATAAAGTTTTTTTTTTTTGTATTTTCTACTTTTGTGAGTAGAAATAATAGTGCAAATATAAGGAGTTTACAGTATTAAAGAATCGTAAGTCACTTTTATTGCTAGTATGACTACTTAATTTGTTTACATGTTGAATGGTTTCATCTAAATTTTTGTGTATTGTTTTATAGTACCACTGCCATGTATTATGTCTGACTGGACCACATGGAGTGCACCTGATGCTACAGGATCAAGATACAGAGTAAGATACATGGTCAGACCTGCTTTGAATGGTGGAAAAGAATGTGACGACCTCATCCAAATCGCTAAAGGTTTGTAATAGTAATGAAAATATAAAGTTAAGAAATGGACTACTGTGGATTCATTTATTTTCATAGATGCCAATTTTTCTCGTTCAAGAAAAAAAAAAATTCGTTGATATTTGATGTTTTGGTTTTACAAAAGTTTGCACACAAGCCTATAGAAAGTAGCATGTTCAGGTTTTTCTTCTTCTTTATTTTGATAGTAATACATGTGATAAGGGTAATATTTAAAAGAGACAGGAACCAAACAAAAATAAAAAAACTAAAGATTTTCAGAGGTCAGTTTGATTAAATGTATTTTACTATGATTACTTTTTTAAAAATCTGTGCCTCTATTTTACTTAATATTTATGTTTTGTTTAGTTTTCTTAAGTTGAGTTATATATTGTACTTTCACCAGTAAAATAAAAGTAAATGTTTAAAATTTTCAACATTAATCATACTTGTGTGGAAAAAAAAAATTCATGCAAGTAGCCTTGTTCAGTTAAATTTTGGTCAAGAGCTATATAACCATTGCTAGGTATTCAAATCAATATTGCTCATGAGAAAGAGCCTTACTCATGTAACTTTAAACTAAGATTTACATGAGATCCCCTTGATATTTTGTTATAATACCTTGCATATTTTAGAATGGCCCTTGAAAAACTGAGCTTAAATTGACTACTTCCATAAAATAACAAATGTGTAATTTATTATATATTGTAACTGTACTTAAAGTTTCAATGTCAGCAGATATGTTTTAAGATAGAACTATTTACTAGAAATAATATTATATGAATAATATTTTTCAGTACCACTGCCATGTCTTATGAGTGATTGGACCAAATGGAGTGCACCTGATGCCACAGGAACAATTTACAGATATAGATATGTAGTCAGACCTGCTCTTAATGGCGGCAAAGAATGTGAAGACCTTCTACAACTCAAAAAAGGTAATTTCTGAATATATTTATCATAAATTATCATAAACTGTCTTCTCTAGCACAGTATTTCGATGAACACTAATTCTGAGATCACTTTTACCCACACTGTCCAAAAAAATCATTACCTGAAATATATTTATGAATACACAGTAGTTCCATTTGCAAGTCCCTGTTGTTTTAAATTTCTATGAAAGGAAATTAAATCCCTTTTGTTGCAATTTAAGTTCTTTACTGTTTGTTTAAAGTTTTTTTATCTAGTCTGCAGCATAAAGAGGCAAATAGCATTGATTAACTCATGAACTGAAGGTCAATACTTGCATATTGTAAATAAAAGTTAACTCGTATTGTTATATTACAATATGAAATTCAAAAGGATTCTATTTCTAATTTCAGTACCACTGCCATGTATCATGTCTGACTGGTCCAACTGGAGTGCACCAGATGCCACAGGAACCACATACAGAGTCAGATATGTTGTCAGACCTGCTCTCAACGGTGGCAAAGAATGTGAAGATCTTATGCAACTCAACAAAGGTAATGTTTGCTTTATTTTTTACTTGGCTGTTTTATGATTGGTTTTAGAAAGCATGCAATTTTACTTAATAGATGTTAATTAGATGCAAATTAAGACCATTCAATTTATTCTCAATTTCGTTTTTTTACTGGTAAACAAATATTATTTATATCTACAATTAAACTATTTCAGTTTGTACTTACTTAACTACATAAATTTGAAGTTTTTAATTTTTTTTAAGTGAACACCTTAATTGTCTTTTATCAACTGTAATCATAGAAACAAAAAGGTTACACGGCTTTTCCAGTCTTCCTAGTGTTACATATTCCAGGATTTGATTGGTGGTAAAGTCTTGTATGAGGACTTAAATGTATTTTTTATAGTAATTTAACCTGTATGAATAAAAGGATTGATTGATTGATGGTTGCTTAACACTCAGTGGCAAATATTTCATGCATGTTCTGGGCAACTGAATAAAAGGAGATATAGGGTCTATCCCTATGAAAGAGCAATGCAACACCACATGAACCAAAACACATCTAAAGGCATAAAAAGGGTCTTTAACAAGTGTCTATATAACATGTCTATTAAGCCTGAATGACCAACAATCTAGAAGAGTTAAGTACACCAAGCATATGTCTACTCTGGCCTAACAATTTTTCAGTGTCAATAGTGCAATAGCAACTTTTGGAACTTATAAAATCTCTTTAGATTACTGTGGATTTATTATTATTCGTTGGATACCATTTTTTGGGGGTTTCATGGGTTCAGGTGAACCACAAAATTAAATATTCTACAAATTACAAATGTTCTATAGGCTTGTATGCAAGCTTTGGTAAAACTACAAAATCAAGTTTTCCTGATTTCCCAAAATTTGGTACCACTGAAAAATAAATGAATCCACAGAATCAAAGTAACTTTACTTTGCATACTATTTTGTTTGTTTCAATTCCAGTACCTCTGCCATGTCTCATGAGTGACTGGACTAAATGGAGTGCACCTGATGCATCAGGAACTACATACAGATACAGATATGTTGTCAGACCTTCTCTCAATGGTGGCAAAGAATGTGAAGACCTTATGCAACTCAAGAAAGGTAATTTCAAAATATGTAATATTAACTCTCTTCTCTTTCCAATAAATTGCACAATGTTTAAACATTACAAAAAAAAATATGCATTTTTTCACACTCTCACTGTTTTTGATTGTTACAGGAGCTATTTCAGAATTGTTAGCAGTTGAAAATTAAAAATGCTCAGGAGTCCCCAATGTTTTAACTTCTATATAAATGGATGGTTTATATATCTTTTTGTTGAGTTGTGATTGTGATAGAAATACACTTTACAGTCAGTTTGATAAAAAGCATAATGAATGATAACAAGAAGTAAGTTGTTTATGTCTATTTTATAGCATAATGAAGCTACTTGCAATGATTTTCTCAAGAGCTCAGTAAACTTACTGCACTCAAACGAAAGTGAATACGTGTAGAAATTGAACGTCTATATGATTTAAAGTTCTACTTTCATTTTAGTACAATTGCCATGTATCATGAGTGACTGGACTGCTTGGAGTGCACCTGATGCCACAGGAACAACATACAGAGTTAGATATGTACTCAGACCTTCTCTTAATGGTGCCAAAGAATGTGGAGATCTTATGCAACTCAACAAAGGTATTTCATAAATGCAAAAGTGTATATGTCTATATATTTGGTCATTGTAACTAGTGTAAGGTGTCTATATTTGGTCATTGTAACTAGTGTAAGATGTCTATATTTGGTCATTGTAACTAGTGTACGATGTCTATATTTGGTCATTGTAACTAGTGTAAGATGTCTATATTTGGTCATTGTATAAAGTGTAAGATGTCTATATTTGGTCATTAGCAACAGTGTAAGATGTCTATATTTGGTCATTATAAAAAGTGTAAGATGTCTATAATTGGTCATTATATAAAGTGTAAGATGTCTATATTTGGTCATAAAAACGTGTAAGATGTCTATATTTGGTCATTAAAAACATGTAAGATGTCTATATTTGGTCATTAGAAAAAGTGTAAGATTTCTATATTTGGTAATAAGAAAAAGTGCAAGATTTCTATATTTGGTCATTAGATGTAATTGAATGATGTTTTTACAAATTGATTTTAGATTTGGAATAAGTTTACTTTTACTGTGTTGAGAAAATGTTTCAAGCTGTAAATTGATTACTTGAAAAATGCATTTTTTCTAGATTCTTGCAAGACATAATTATTTTGTTATGATTTAACTTTTAGCTTACCTAATGATAACTTTCAAGTTCAATAACAAAGAATGAAATTTATTATTCTCCAAAGGAGTTGTTTACTCATATAATAAAATATCTCATTATTTGTTGAGGGATATTGGCAGTGGTAGCAATGTCAAGGGTTACAGTAGTATTTGTACTCATTTGATTTTCCATCATTCAATTGTTGTAAATTGGTTTTCTATATTTTCATTCTTCTTGAATTTCACACAAAAAAAAGCACTTCTCACTTTTTTTTATATCAAGCATTTTGAGTTTTTGGAAGACATTTTGGTACTATGGTACTAAAACTCCTTAAACATTTTTTGGTTCCAAATATTACAACTAAACTGAAATATTGCTATTGGTGTTAAAAGTAACTATTGTGTTTAAGTATAAATCCAAATCAAACGAACTAGGTTTGTGCGGCTCAGAATGTGCTTTGGACTAACCTTCATGGAGAACATTCAGATGAAAAATGCTTGGTACCGCAGAAACGAATAAATGTATGGGAAACTACAAAACAATAAATACCCTAAGAGCTAAATTTCTATTTCAGTACCACTACCTTGTATTGTCAGTGACTGGACCACATGGTCAGCACCTGATGCCACAGGAACAAGATACAGAGTCAGATACACACTCAGACCTGCACTTAATGGTGGAAAAGAATGCCCAGATCTCATGCAGATTGGCAAAGGTATGTTTACATTGCAAATCTTATTTGTTTTCTATGAATTTGGATCATCTATTAAACCAGCATCAATGGAGTATTTATCAAACATATTTGTCAAGCATATTACAGTAAATATTAATCAGCTCTTAATTTCCATTGCAGAAATTATTTGATGGTATTAAAGTTGATCCCTCATCGAGACATTTTCCTGTTCTGTATAAGATGTTTTAAACTTGCAGACATTTTACTTTTTTTAAATTTCTAAACTTTGGAATGGCAGGTATTCCTACTGAAGATTATTCCAGAAACTTTTGTGTTTTGAAAATGAAATCAAACATTCTTGAAGTTTGATTAGGTGGTAAGAGGAAATTAACATTGTGAAATTAAAACATGACTGTAACACCTTTTAAAAAATGCATTTCAAAATTATTAGTGGATCAAAATAATGAAATTAAATTCTTTTTTTCAGTACCATTACCATGTATCATGAGTGATTGGACAGCATGGACAGCACCTGATGCCACAGGATCTACTTACAGAGTTAGATATGTAGTCAGACCTGCTCTTAATGGTGGCAAAGAATGTGAAGATCTGATGCAACTCAGGAAAGGTAACAGTTTTATGATAATAAAAAACATTTGATAAAGTTCATTAAGGCATATCCCAGGAATGAATGATTTAGACAAACTTTTTTTAAAGTAGTAAATTTTTGTTATAAAAGATTACAAGAGTTTTTGAAAAATTGCTAGCTGTGGAATCTAAATTTGGCATATGGAACAAAACTTTTGGTTGAACATTTTTGATTTTACTGTAATAGGTAACACTTTTAAAAGCTTCTGTAACAATCTATTCAATAGAGATATTAATAATGAAATTATTACTAAAACATTTTCAATATATAAATAAGAAGATGTGGTATGATTGCCAAGTTTGTTTTCCTTGCTAAATTTCATGAATAAATGGCTGTTCTGTAAAGGCCCATTGGTTTTTATGCTCTCAAATATTTCAACATTTTTGAATTTCTGAAAAAACTTGGTTTTGAGTGTTTTGACAAAGGTTAGCATGGATGCAACTTAGAATTTAAACTCATACAAAATTAAAGTAAAGGACAATACAAATGCTGCAAAAAGTAAAAGTGATATATAATTGGTTGCCAAATTTACGGTAATTTGAATATGTTTTCAGTACCATTGCCATGTATTGTCAGTGATTGGTCAACATGGAGTGCTCCTGATGCCACAGGAACAAGATACAGAGCCAGATACACAGTCAGACCAGCACTTAACGGTGGCAAAGAATGTCCAGATCTTCTACAAATCGGCAAAGGTGGATATAGTTTTTGGAAGCTAGATTTTATTTAGATTGTGTTGGATATTATTGAGTTAATCAATTTGTTTACAATTACTGTGGATTCATTTTTTTTATGGGTAATAATTTTCATGGATAATTGATTTCCAAGTTTTACCAGAGACAGCATACAAGACTATAGGGAATTTATTCTTTGTTGAAAACTCGAAATTAACATTCACTTATACCACTTAATCCACAAAAATTGGTACCCCAAGAATAATAATAATTCCACAGTAGTTGTAAAAAGTTTAATAACAAAAATACCAAACTCCATGGAAAATTCAATTGGAAAGTCCCTTGTCAAATGGCAAAATCAAAAGCTCAAACACATCAAACGAATGGAAAACAACTGTCATATTCCTGAATTGGGTACAGGCATTTCCTTATGTAGAAAATGGTGGATTAAACCTGGTTTTATAGCTAGCTAAACCTCTCACTTGTATGGCAGTCACATAAAATTTCATTATATTGACAACAATGTGTGAACAAAACAAACAGACATAATAGGTAAAAATGTCAAAAAAAGGGGTACAGCAGTCAACATTGTGTTACAATCTTAATCACTATAAAAACAAACAAATATGTCAACAAAGAAAAACAAAATGGCATATAGACAAAGCACATAATTTAAAACTGCCCGGGCACTAATGACATCATTTTTTGGCATCTATAAATGACTCACTAAGCAGATAGAATCAATATGTTGATAAAATTGATTAGGAAAATCATGAGTAATAAAAGGTTTTTAACATGATCATTTATTTTTATTAAGATAATGGATATAATTTGCAATATATTATTACACTTGTGAATTCTTTAAAACAATCTTTATGATATGCCCCAATATGAAAACTGATCACCAGATCAAAATTAAGATTTTAACTTAGAATATATTATGCAATGTAAGATTACCATAAAAAAGGAGATTGCTAAATACCATATCTAATTTCAACTTTATATTTCAGTACCACTGCCATGTATCATGAGTGACTGGACTAAATGGAGTGCACCTGATGCCACAGGAACCACATACAGAGTTAGATATGTTGTCAGACCTGCCCTCAATGGTGGAAGAGAATGTGAAGATCTTATGCAACTTAAAAAAGGTATATTTGTAACTTTCAAGTAATTCGAGACTGAATGAAAATTTTAATAATTTTTCCTACTTGATAAAGAATTTTTTTCTGTCTATTTTTGTTACAATTTAGGTCATCTGGATAATAACTGGGATTTGTGACATGGTAATGTTTTATATTCAAGAATACTCAAAAAAACCAAAACACTAAATGTCAGTGTTATTTGCAATGAAAACTCATATAAGAATTGTAAGTGATATCAGATGCTCTATGAGTAAGCATAATCCACTTGGTAATGTGGTGAGCCAGGCAAAAAAACAGTTAATGTATTAGTCAGAGAACTTTTTATTTCAACAGCTAACACTTTTTTTTAATAACTCTTGTATTGTATAGGTGGTGTAGCTTTAGAAAAGGCTTTGTAACAAAAGTTTCAGACAAATCTTTTCAGAATTTAAAGATACTAAATATTCTTATAGATTTCTCAAGTTTGTGCACTGTTCCCTTACATTTTTGGATTGTTGCTTGGACTTCATTTTATCATTGATTTTACATTTTATTTTTCCATTGCAGTACCACTGCCATGTATCATGTCTGATTGGTCTAACTGGAGTGCACCTGATGCAACAGGAAATACTTACAGAGTCAGATATGTTGTCAGACCTGCTCTCAATGGTGGCAAAGAATGTGAAGATCTTATGCAACTCAACAAAGGTTTGTATCAGTGGCTTTTTTTTCTTTAGGGGACCTAGACAAGGGTAAGAGTTCATTTATGGTTAGAGTGAGGCTAGGTTTTTTTTTAAGTTTGGGTCTATGATTTTGGCATGTGTTAGGGTTGAACGTGGGCTTGGTTTAGGTCAAGCCTAGGGTTAGTTTTTATAGCCCTATATGTGGGTGGTTTCTATAAAATGAATGAAAGCCAAATCAGTGAATATATATTTTAAAAACAATTTTGGTGAGCATTACACATCACTTGAATAATCCTTATCATTCATTTTGATCAATGCAAGAAGTTTAAAAAGCCAAACACACAAGTCATTGAAAACATAATAAAACCATTCCTAAGTAGACTGACCAAATTCAGTTTAGATAGTTTTAAAACTACATTGAATTGAGATAAACCTAAGTTTAAGTAATAATTATATTTATTATGAATTCTGAAAACCAGTTCTGTATAAAATACCAGTTGGTAGAAATTCAAATACTTCAATTCTAATTTCTTAAATGAATTAGTGCTGTCTCTATTTCATCATTCCCCCTAAGGATGACTGGGGAATAGAAATATGGTCACTGTTGCAAGGCAAAATTTCTGTCCCTATCCAATATATCCTCATTTTCCAGTGGCAGTCCAAATTTCCCTGACCTTCATCTTGGACGGCCTCTAATGCAGGACCTACCTATTGTATTTATTGTTAATATGTTCTCGTCCTGATTATGCATGAAATATTTGCCACTGGATGTAAAGCAACCGACAATCAATCAATTTTCCACATAAAATACATTTTCTCCTAATTAGGATCTTGAATGTATAAATTAGTCCCATTCTTTACAAGTGGTTATTTTGATTATGGTGATTCATTAAATTAATTGATAATCCTTAATGATTTTTTAGTACAACTGCCATGTATTGTCAGTGACTGGACAGCATGGAGTGCACCAGATGCCACAGGAAGTAGATTTAGATACAGATATATGGTCCGACCTGCACTTAATGGTGGAAAAGAATGTGCAGATCTCTTACAGATAGGCAAAGGTGTGTGTTTATACTGAGTAACACTTACGCTTTAATTATTAGGGAAATATTTTCATAATTGCGGCTAGATATTATGTGCATTGATTTTTCTCTTGTAAGAAATTAAAGACTTTATGCAAATGGTAATATCTCAAGAACCATTCAAAATTAATTATTGGTGGGAGGTAGCATTTTCAGGAATAGATATTTAAGAATATATAGAATTATGTTGTGGTCTGATGTCCCACTGGAATTATGTGAGTGGTTAGGTTTTTCAAAAAGTACCTCTAGACCCCTTTAATATTAGATATTGAACAGTCTGTAATAACCAAATTTATAACATTTTATATGTATTATAAGATTAAAAAAATGTTTGATAATCACCATTTCTTATTTCAACTTTAATTTTAGTACCATTGCCATGTATTATGAGTGACTGGACAGCATGGTCAGCACCTGATGCCACAGGAACAATATACAGAGTTAGATATGTGGTCAGACCTGCTCTTAATAAGGGCAAAGAATGTGAAGATCTTATGCAACTCAATAAAGGTAATGTTGGCTTTAATTTTTGCTTGAAGTGTTTTAAAGATTTCTTATCAAAAGGATATTGCTTGAATATGTAAAAAGATTAATCACAATACAAAAAGTGACTGAATATAAAATGAATTAAAGTTTAATTTCAAGTCAGTTTCTGATTATTGTTGATGTGACCTATGAACAAATCATTTATGGTGATGCATTGTGGGATCACCACTATTTTGGATGCACAAATTGGTCCATTTAAATCTAGAAACATATTTATGAGCAAAATATGTTTTTTAGCTCACAATTATTGTAATGTAAAGGATTGGAACATTGCCTTCTGTATTATGAACTAGTGTATTGTTTTCCATCTTGATTTTATGTCATTATTGTGGTCATTCAAGTTTTGGAGTAAAAAAAATGAAAGTTGAATGATCATCAGTATGTGTAACCATTCTTCATGAATAGCTGTAAATATCAAGGCAAATTTCAAATAAATGGTGAAATTTAGATTTCCAGCTGTTATAAGAAACACTGATGTTTATGGTTTAATAACTATTTAGAATATACTGGTTTAACTTCAATATAAAAATAAGGAGATGTGGTATGATTGCCAATAAGACAACTATACATCAGAGTTCCAAATAAAGTGGATGTAAGCAATTATAGACCACCTTACGGCCTTCAACAATGAGAAAAACGCATTCCGTGTAGTCAGCTATAAAAGGCCCTGACATGAAAAATGTGAAACAATGCCAACGAGAAAACTAACAGCCTAATATATAACAAAACAATTACTAAAAACCAATATGACAGACAAGAACCAACGACAACCACTGAACTACTACAGGCTCCTGACTTCAGGCAGACACATGAAGTATGTCGTGGAATTAAACATGTTTGTGAGCAGCATTCTATCCTTTAAGAAATGATAGATTAATTGTTAATTGTTAATGTGTGTTATATCTCGTTTTGATGGCGCTTATTACTGAGAACTGATATTCTCACTACAAACTATGAATTTGATTTACTTTAATTTGTATTTAAAAAAAAATAAATAGGAAAAGTATATAAAATCAATATTGAAATAACTAAATCTATGTTTTCAGTACCACTGCCATGTATTGTCAGTGACTGGACCGCATGGTCAGCACCAGATGCCACAGGAACAAGATATAGAGTCAGAAACATGGTCAGACCTGCACTTAATGGTGGAAAAGAATGTGCAGATCTTATGCAACTTGGCAAAGGTAATGTTTGCTTTAATTTTTACTTGATGCTTTAGTACTAAATTAAGAATGGAAACCCTTTATATACTGTAACTCTATATATATTTTTCTTGAAACTTGGTAGATGTATTCTTATTTGAATCAGTTTTATTGATAAATTTGAAATTTGAAATCTAATTCTGATAAATTTGTAGGTATATTTTACTTGAGTTTCATTTGCAATTTTTATGGCCCCGCCACATAGTGATCGGGGCCATATAGTTGTAACCTTGTCTGTCATTCCCTCATTCCCTCATTCCGCAACGAATAATTATACAGACTTTTTTCTAAACGCCTTCACATATTGAGCTGATTTTTAGTATGTGAGTCTGCTATGATGAGTTACAGATCGTGTAACGTTTGGTTTCGCTCTGCTGATTTTTGAAGAAATTACAAGCTTTGGACTTTTGATTTGAAAATGTTTTTGAAAATAACAGTTATACAGACTTTTTTTCTGAACTCCTTCACATATTGAGCTGATTTTTAGTATGTGAGTGTACTTAATGATGAGTTACAGATCGAGTTTATGTTTTTTTGCAAGTGGGGCTTGATTCATGTCGTTCTTAATCTAGTTTATTTTTGTAGCTATAAATTTGGTTGTTTTCTTCTGTTTTTGGAATTATTTTTCCATTTTAAAAAATTTCAACAAGCTTTTATACAGGTGACCAGCTATAAGAACATTCGTTTATATTGAATATTTTGCACTGAAAACTTCGCTTTTGATTTTTTGGAATCTTTTCATTTATCTTTGGTTTAGCTTTTTTTGGCAGAGTTGATTGTAAATCTTAGGCAAATGATAATCTTTTTTCAGTTTATTGTACTGTGAATGCAAATAAAATGTGCATTCCACTTGTTTCTTGAATAACTTTTAGGAGGTATGCTCATGACCAAAAGTTGATCTGAGTATCATAACTAAATGGACCAAATTTTTTCAAGTTCAATTTGGTTTGATGGAGTGGAATACTCAGATTTTAAACAAGCAATGTGTGTACTTATTGAAGTAGATACAAGAAATGGCTATATTTTATAGCATTTGCTAGTTTTCATGATTTTTATGAAGCTTCTTCAGGTATTTAAAGGCTTTCTTATACATGTGATTACATTTTATAGGGAAGGTAATGTTGTTGTCTTTATTTCAAGAATAAAGCTACTATCTTTTTGCAATAGCCAATTCTATTATAACTGATGTGATGAATTATTTACATTGTTGACATGTAAAACTGAATGTACACAACTCAAATTTGTTTTTAGCATTTTCTATTTAACTTTCAGTGCCATTGCCTTGCATCATGAGTGACTGGACTAAATTCTCAGCACCTGATGCAACAGGAACAATTTACAGATACAGATATGTTGTCAGACCTGCTCTTAATGGTGGAAAAGAATGTGAAGACCTTCTCCAACTCAAGAAAGGTATCCTCTTCATTTATAATATTTAAATTAGTATTTTACTTTTCATACTAGAGATATGCCGCCTTATTGCGAAAGGGAGGATACTCTGCCTATGATAGCCTGGGATCCTGGAATAGCTGAAATTTGACCAAGATCCAGGCCAAAGTTGCTTTAAATTGCGCATGTAGTAATACACTCTAATGGAGAGATTGATCAGGTATTTCAATAATACCTTTAATGTATAATATGAACTAGTCTGACTTTGATTTAATGTATATTTATTTATTTCATTACAGTACCATTGCCTTGTATCATGTCTGACTGGTCTGATTGGAGTGCACCTGATGCTTCTGGAACCAGATACAGAGTTAGATATGTCTTAAGACCTGCTTTGAATGGTGGCAAAGAATGTGAAGATCTCATCCAACTTGGCAAAGGTATTGATGCTTCTAAGTTGAGCATTGCTCTTTATGCTAGCTTAAGCATTTGACACTTTAATGTTAAAGCTGCTTTTATGATTTATGGTCTACTTCCTTAAGATAACTTTACGTTTTGTTTTATATTGTAATGTGTAGAAATAATCAAATCCATATTATGTATGAACAATATATTCAATATTTTGTTTCACACTGGACATCTTTGTAATGAGCCAATTCAGAAATTTATTTTCAGCCACATGAATCATGTTGCCCATTCTCAGCATTGCAAATGACAGCTTGACCAATTAAAGTGTCCAAAACAGTTACTTTCTTATTGCTTAACACCATTAATCAAGCATTACATTTGAACTTTGTTGAGATTTGGTTCTTTCATATTTTAGTACCATTGCCATGTATTGTGTCCGACTGGTCTGCATGGAGTGCACCTGATGCTTCTGGATCCATATACAGAGTTAGATACATGACAAGACCTGCATTGAATGGCGGCAAAGAATGTCCAGACCTCATCCAACTTAACAAAGGTTTGTAACAAGCATTTCTAAGATCCTTGACAAATCATGGAAACTGTTAGGCCTATTTGTATCAGTACTAGTTCTATTACATATAAAGCAATATGTGATTAACCATTGGTATTAAATGAAATGAGCTTTATTGAAATCTCATTAGTTTATTTTATGCATTTTTTCAGTACCACTTCCATGTATTGTGTCTGACTGGTCTGACTGGAGTGCACCGGATGCCTCTGGAACCAGATACAGAGTAAGATACATGACAAGACCTGCATTGAATGGCGGCAAAGAATGTCCAGATCTAATCCAACTCGGCAGAGGTATGATAAATTACATTTATTTGTAAGAAACAATATATTTATTTGTTCCACAAAGCTTATTTTCAAGCAGAGATAATGCTATGTTTGTCTATTTGTAAGATTATGTTTTTGAAAGATGAATTATGATGCATTAACTACTCATTTAATTAGATTTTTGATATGGTAATAGTGTAATTCAATTTTTAACTATACATGATTTTGTACTTGAAAAGGCTAACATATCCATTAGTTGCTTTTCTTGGTTCAAATGTAAGTTTAAAATTACTTAGCATCGCTGGATTGCCAAAAAGGTCAATAAAGGTGACTTAATTCACATTTGATTTAAAATTCCAAACAAAATTTGTACATGTTTATGTATTGAACATTTAATATGAAAAATTTAGTTGCAATTATTTATCAAACTTACTTTGGATTCATTAATATTCGTGGGATACCAATTTTTGTGGATTTCGTGGGTAAACATGAAACACAAACTTAAATGTTCAATGATTAATGAAAATTGGTATCCCGGAAAAAAAAGAATCCACAGAATAGCTCCTTTTTAATGGCAAACATGTGAATTGCCATAAGTTGTATATCCTTTTAAATTTCATTATTTAGTACCAATGCCATGTATTATGTCTGACTAGTCTAATTGGAGTGCACCTTATGCTTCTGGAACCAGATACAGAGTTCGATTCATGAATAGTTTTAATTGTCTTTTACTCATTCTTTAATTTTTTATTTGCAGTACCACTGCCATGTATTGTGTCTGACTGGTCTACCTGGAGTGCACCTGATGCTTCTGGATCAAGATTCAGAGTAAGATACATGACAAGACCTGCATTGAATGGCGGCAAAGAATGTCCAGATCTCATCCAACTTGGCAAAGGTATTGAATGCATTAGGATGTTTAAATCTTTCACAGTTTAAGATACTTGCTCCATAACTATGATTCAGTTGTCTATTGTAAGAGAATTTTGAACAGCAAAAGGAAAATTTTCAATAATGGACAATACATAATACAAGTATCATTAGTCAAAATACTGGTACTAGAAAGCTAGTAGTTTCCAGTATTCCTTCAATAGGATAGTATTGCTTTCAAAAAAAGTTTACAAGAAAGTTGATTAAAAAGTCTATCGTTGTGATTGTTACCATTTGTTGAAGTTTACTTTCATATAATACAGTCATATTAAGAATTCCAACCTTTTCAAAGTTTGGACATAGGATTATCCTGTGCTAATTCTGAATCAAGGAAATTCAAAAATGTATGGACCACAAATTGCTAAGTAAAAACCAATGATTTATCCACAAACCATGAAAATTATAATCCACATGTAAAGGTAACCTTTACAATCCTGATTTCTGAGTCCTGAGTCTGTACGGTGAGCTGATATTGGATCTGATGAAGCCAGTACCAAAAAATGAATTCTGTTGTTCTTTGTAACAGCAATTGGTCTTAAGAATATGTTTCTTGGAATAGAATAGGAAATTACTCGAAGAAGTAAAAAAAACTTTTTTTTCCCTGTACAAAACATTGTGATAGCTGTTTGGGTGTATGGAAGACGTGTGCATTTCATTGATAAATTGAAGTCGATGGACATCAAAAACATAATGTTGCTGCTTGGTACATGATGTCACTGCCTTATATTTTTTAGTATCTCACACTGTCCTTAATGATAAAAACTATTGGACAGTTTGATCAGAGGGAAAATGTACAAATTTCCGATAATAGACAGTTCTAGTTGACCATTCATTTCTAAAATTTTTCATAATGGTATCCTGTTTTAAAATCGTAACAATATGAGATTTATACAATGCATATAACTAATATAATTGAATTCCAGTACCACTGCCATGTATTGTGTCTGACTGGTCTGACTGGAGTGCACCTGATGCTTCTGGAACAAGATACAGAGTAAGATATATGACCAGACCTGCATTGAATGGTGGCAAAGAATGTCCAGATCTCATCCAACTTGGCAAAGGTATTTTTCATTCCATAGATACTTGATTTTTTTCTAGATTTGTCTTAAAAAACTGCATACTTTGATGTCAATATATATTAAGATGTAATAAACTAAGATACTACAAAGCCCATTTTAAATTGTGTTGATAATCCTTATTCAGATTAAAATTACACTGACGCTTTTAAAAAGATTGATATTCACTAATCAGAAATGGAAATTGCTATTAAGGAGATTTGAAAGAATAACTTACCATATGTGAGGGTTTTATTAAGTGGTATTCTTAAAATCCAATTCCTATAGAATCTGATGGCTGTGATCATTCACTTTACACATTTGTTACAATACATTTGCACTTTGAAACTTACCTTATGTGCTTACACCTTAAAAGTTATTTTACATCATTAAGATCAAAGCTCACGGGGGTGATAGACATCTTGGAACTATGAGTTATCTTGTTTATTTATTTGGAGTTCACTTTTTTGGCTTTATTCTCATTAAACAATAAATATATTGTCGTATAATATATTTACCCATCTTGAATTATTATTTAACAGTACCACTGCCATGTATTGTGTCTGACTGGTCTGACTGGAGTGCACCTGATGCTTCTGGAACAAGATACAGAGTAAGATATATGACAAGACCTGCATTGAATGGTGGCAAAGAATGTCCTGACCTCATCCAACTTGGCAAAGGTTTGTTTAAGAATTTTCATGTTAGGGCTATTCAAGGAAAAATTGTATTTAATAGTTAGACAACACATATTATTTTTTTGTGTAGGTAATTGGAATTGAAGCAAATACATTTCTGTTACAAATGCAAATAAAAATTATGGGTGGTTGGGTATAAAAAAGAAAAAGAGTTGTGCCTCCCACGCATATTTGCCTAACATCTCTTTAACTGTAATAGATAGATAGAATCTTAAAATAGCAAAAATGATATGTAAGTTAAGATCTACAAATAAGTCAACATGTTCTAAATTGTCAGTTGACTCCTTATTGGAGTTATGTCTCTTTCATGTCGATATTTACCAATTTTTTGCCTGTTTGCTTATTATCTTGAAAACTATAATAGATAGATACACACTTTCAATAGCAAAAATAATCTGCAAGGCAAGATCTACAAATAGGTCATCATGGTTGAAATCCTCAGTAGACTCTATATTGGAGTAATTGACCTTAAATAATAGGGTAAAAAATTGAACAATGGAAAAGGAAACAAAGATTGATGACAAGATAAGTTTTATGAAGAGGGCTGACATTCTTTCCTTAGATTATATCTTAAAAAAAATGGAGATTGTCACTGTTGCAGGCAAATAGGAAAAGATTTTCAACACAGATTTCCCCTATTCATTTTATCTTCCAACAACAGCATAATTTGTTTCATTTGAAAATGATTACTGTACTGTTTATTTCTATTTTGTCTTATTACAGTACCACTTCCATGTATTGTGTCTGACTGGTCTGACTGGAGTGCACCTGATGCTTCTGGAACCAGATACAGAGTAAGATACATGACAAGACCTGCATTGAATGGCGGCAAAGAATGTCCAGATCTCATCCAACTTGGCAAAGGTATGAAATGTCGTATTATATTATGTACTTTTTTATGTTGATGCATAGAATGTCTGTTTTCACATCATAACATTTCTGTCATCAAATGATGTGTTTGATTGAAATTATTTCCTGTAGCATTATTGATTACAACAAATTTGAAAATTAATTGATGCAATCTGATATTATTGCAATCTCTATATATTGCCAAACAAATATATCAGATTTAAGAATATGCCTTGATTAGGGGTCATCCATAATTTGCAACCATTTTCTGAAGCAAGCAAAGCACATTTTATGGGGGAGGCTGTTGAATCATTGACAATTTTTGTGGAAACTTTTCCTTTTTTTTTTTTACTTTTTCCAAGTTCAGTTTTTGGAAAGGATTGCCAATTTGAAATGTATGTGTATAGCATGCATGCTTTGGAAAATGATTGACCATAATTGAAGATGCCTTAACTAAACTGTTAATCTTACTTATAATAGCAATGTTATAAATGTGTTTCTCATGCTATATGCATGCATTCAGTGTGATGCTTTGGAATTTTGAATTTGTATGTGAATAAAAAAACTATTCGATTGCCTAAAAAAATATTTTCACAACATCTAATCTATCATTGTGCCTTTAGATTACCAAAATTCAAAAACTTTTAGATTTGGGAAACTTTAGAGCTTTTACCCATTTTTTTAAACACTGTCTACTATTGAAGACATGTATGTTGACATCAAAATACTTTTGGTTTTTGGTTTTCTTGTGTAGCCAGTTTGTTGCCTCATTGACAAACACATCCACATTTACTTCTTTTTATATGAATTTGATGAAGAAATAATAAGATTGCCTTTAATATTGCAGTACCACTGCCATGTATCATGTCTGACTGGTCTGACTGGAGTGCACCTGATGCATCTGGAACCAGATACAGAGTTAGATATATGACTAGACCTGCATTGAATGGCGGCAAAGAATGTGAAGACCTCATCCAACTTGGCAAAGGTTTGTTAGCTGTAAAAACAGAGAACTTGTCTTCTTTTTGTTCTCAAATCTATTTGCAGTCAACTCTTGTTATCTCAAAGTTAGCCAGTCCAGAGAAATATTCCGAGATACCTGTAGTTCGACTGAAACAAATACTGAAAGTTTGACAGACCAAGGCACACAATTCTTGCTTAGCTTGGTAAGGCTTAAACCCAGATGAATATTTGTACAGGATCGATATTCTGGTCTGACATCAATGTATCTGTATGTAATGGCCTTTAATTATTATAATAAAAGTATATGTTTTTTTGTCTCTGAGTTGTTTCTTTGTACAGTAACAATTTTTCGTTTGGTTTGAAGCCAAGAGAATGATTTTAATCGATGTGGGCTAAGCGTGATATTTAAGTTGACAAAGTTGTTCATTCTTATACAAGAGATTAAGAAAATTTAGATTTCCTTTTTTTTTTTTTTTTTTTTTTTTCCTCAAAGATATTTCTGTATTGTATTATTATTTTTTTGTCTTTTAATTTTACACATATTGTCATTATTTAAAAATATTTTATAGTACCACTGCCATGTATCATGTCTGACTGGACTGACTGGAGTGCACCTGATGCTTCTGGAACAAGATACAGAGTGAGATATATGACAAGACCTGCATTGAATGGTGGCAAAGAATGTGAAGACCTCATCCAACTTGGCAAAGGTTTGTCCTTTTTTGTTTTACTTTTAACATTTATATTTCTTATGATGAAATTAAATTTAGACAACATTTCATTAACATAACTTGTTTTTCTCTTTTATACATATACATAATTGTAAATACTATTTGGATTCTGAATTTGATTATTTTCTGCATCATGTTGTTTGGCAAAAATAGTCCATGGCTATAGACATTGGTTTTGAACAGTTTTATGCCATAAGCATTAAAAACTGCTTCTTAGTACAATTTTGAAAGTTTTGATGAAGCAAGAAGCCTTCTTTTTTTAACCCTTGCATTGTATTATCTATGGCACAATAATTATCTCAACAAAACTACCTGGCAGGACAACAACAAAGATGTAATCTTGTTCGCACATTTTCAACCTTCAGAAAAGATTCCATTGTCCCAAATTTGAGTTTTAAACCATACTTAATTGAAAACAAAGAATTTCTAGATTTTTCCAAATTAAGAAAAAATAAGTAGCCAGACATTGACAACATTCAGGGGTGTCTGAAAAGCTAATATTTTATTTCAATCCTGTTTATTAACACAACTCATATTGATTACAGTACCACTGCCATGTATCATGTCTGACTGGACTGACTGGAGTGCACCTGATGCTTCTGGAACCAGATACAGAGTAAGATATATGACAAGACCTGCATTGAATGGCGGCAAAGAATGTGAAGACCTTATCCAACTTGGCAAAGGTATGGACAGCAACATTTAAATTTTACTTACTTTCTTTATTATGTATTTAATTTTTTTTCCAGTTCAACTTAAAAAAATGCACATATACTCCATTGTAAAATAAAATCACTGTTAATTCAGATTTTGCCATGTTTTAATTTGTTAAAATGGCAAAAGAATAGGATTCGCAAAAATAAAAAATTGCATCTTAAATTTTGATAGAATTTTTGTAAGAAACATTTCCTGAAATTGCATAAATTAATCTCACTTTTTGTCCTTGCTAAAAAATTCCAATGATAAATGCATACAATAATTTCTGAATTTGCAATATTGTTTATGGCTTAACATTCAACAGCAAACATTTCCTACTCATTCAAGAATTTTTGAAGAGCTCGCAATTAGATTCTTTACACATGTTTTGCTGCAATATGCAAAAAAGATATTGGCATCCATACTTATTTACCCCAGAAACCCTTTTTTTACTGGTAAAAATAAAATAAAACTGAAATTAAAGCCATAAAACTATATAGATTGGTAAATAATGATAAGAGAAGAAATTTTTGTCAGATTTGTCAGTTTTAATTTAACTTATATTAAAAGAAAAATATTTTGTATGATTGCAAATGAGACACCTATGGACTAAGAACAATGACGTGTATAACAACAGGTCTCCATACTGCCATCAAAAATGAGTAAAACCTATACTGCATAGTATTCTATGAAAGGCTTCTTCAACACTACTATTGCATGTATTTTATTATGTTTTAAATATGGATTTGTTTAATAACATTATTTATTTCTTTAATTACAGTACCACTTCCATGTATCATGTCTGACTGGACTGACTGGAGTGCACCTGACGCTTCAGGAACCAGATACAGAGTAAGATATATGACAAGACCTGCATTGAATGGCGGCAAAGAATGTGAAGACCTCATCCAACTTGGCAAAGGTATGGGGTTCACAAATATATCAAAATCTATATACAGAATGAAGAAATGGTATGAATTTGCTAAGTTAGGACAAGGGGTCCATCCATTAATATGAACTAAATTGAGAAGGGTTTGACAAAACTATAATAAACAATGTAAAAAAGAGAGCCAGCACATAAAAGGGAATTGGAAATAAACTGGTAAATATTTTGATAATGCATTGGGAGAAGCTCAGAAAAAGTTATACGTATTTTATATGTGTATAGATACATTTCTGTGGTGCATTTTTCTTATTTGAACCGAAAAATGAGAAAAATTTTGTTGCAATGTTTTATTATTATTGTGAAAATTGCAAAGGAATAGGTTTAGAAAGAATTGAAAAATGTTTTTTTTTTTGCCTTATCTCCTGCTGAGAATCATCAGATTTCAATTAATTATAACAATATATTCCAGTACCACTTCCATGTATCATGTCTGACTGGACAGCATGGAGTGCACCTGATGCTTCTGGAACAAGATACAGAGTAAGATATGTAACAAGACCTGCATTGAATGGTGGCAAAGAATGTGAAGACCTCATCCAAATTGGAAAAGGTTGGTATTGTTCATGGGATTAGTTGGATTGTATTATATGAATGTCAAAGTATATAATGTTTGAAGAAAAAGTGTCAGCTTTTATTGTTATTTGATTATAAAATTCTACTAGACATTCAAAAAGGTACAACCAGCACAATATTTTATTGAAAATCTCTTCCAAATTGAGCTTTTGAAATGTAAATGTCTAGCATTTTCATTGCCTTAGCTAATAACTGCTAGTCTTGTCTAAAATATATGTCTGATAACATTCCAAGACCCTGAATATTCATATACAACATCCAGTTTTATATAAGTTATACATACATATTATATAGAAATGTAAAATCATTAAATAATGTGTTTTGTACACAACATTAGTACCAGCTGTAAAGATGTAAAAAATTGACAGAATTATTATATTTAATTACAGCATAAACCTTTTCTGTTTTAGCCAATGGATCAATTTTATTTTTATCAGGAGTGATACAAAACTCATCTTTAAAAGTTGCCTCAAGGTAGCGCTAATGTAATTCTAAAGTAACCTCGATCAAGGTATCAAAGTTCCTAGCAATTTAGGGAGATCATGGGTTTGATCCCCTGCTTAGTTAGATCAAAGACTTTAAAATAATTATTTGCTGCTTCTCCACTAACCACATAGTGTTTAGGAGTAAGAGCAAAGACTGGTAAGCTTCGAGTCAGAATGATGTGTACATAGAGAGTAACATTTCTTCTTGCAAACTGTTACCTTGTGAACTAGCACTTTAAAAGTCTGACTCAGTGTGTCAGTCTATAAAAAACAAGGTTAGTATTCATATTAATATTTAATATTGCATTATAAACATGTTCTCCTGAATGTGCATACAATTTGCCACTGGAAGTTAAACAGCCATCCATCATCCTAGCAATATGACTAAAAATGTTTGTGTTCAATACAAATCAGTGGAAATTAATGGTAAAGTATTATATTTTAGTACCATTGCCATGTCTTATGAGTGAATGGACTAAATGGACAACAGTCGATGCCTCTGGAACTATTTATAGATACAGATATGTAGTAAGACCTGCTCTTAATGGTGGCAAAGAATGTGAAGACCTTCTTCAACTCAAGAAAGGTATGTCTATACATAAACTATATTCCAGTAGAAAAATCAATGGCCATATATACTGGCTATTAGATGGGGGAAATCTCTTACCAGTAAATGATAATTTATTAGAATGTAGTCCTTATTTGGTTAAAGAACTTTGGGTTTTAACCAGGTGTTAATGTGTGCCAAACTTGCCACTTGTTGACAACAAGTTCAAGTTTCCAATATACCTTTTCATCTTTCAGTAAACATCCACAATACAACCTTACACGACTGTTAATTTATTGTTGTGTGTAACTCATCGAAGTGATTTATTAGCATTTTGAATGTAAGAGTTTCATGAATAAGGAATAAAAAAAAAATCCAAATATGATATCTGAAAATTGCATTTGGGATCTTTTGGATAATTTAAGTTTCATTTTGCAGTTTTATTTTGCACTGAAAGCAAAAATGATCATAATCTTTTAGAATTTAGGTCCTTGTATCATGCAAAAATTGATTATGAATCCCTTTAGCCTTCATAAGAGTCAATACATTCACTTAATTACCTAGAATCTGGTCAAAATAAAAATTATTTACAGAAAAAATAAGCATTATGTATTTGGTTGCTTTGCAATTGAAGTAAATTTATCTTACAGTACCTCTGCCATGTCTTATGAGTGACTGGAGTAAATGGATTGGACCTGATGCCTCAGGAACAGTGTATAGATTCAGAATGGTACTCAGACCTTCTCTTAATGGTGGAAAAGAATGTGAAGATCTTCTCCAACTTAGAAAAGGTCATTAGAAATATATATTACCATGTATCAATTGCATTATTTGTTTTAGTATTATAAATGTCTTATAAAGGATATGGAGAATTATGAAATTAAGGCAAATAAAGTTTGTTGGTCATGGGAGTTTGTGGTTGCATATGAATTTAAGGAGACGAAAGTGATGAAATCCTTGATTATCTGTAAACCAACTAATCTGTGTAAGTGCTTTAGTCACATGATTTCTATGAGTAGAAAAATGAATGTATCAGCAGTTAAACAATTGCAAAATAGATTGCCTTGAAGTCTGCTAAAAAGATATAAACAAAGAAAACTATCAAAAGTACATGTGCTTTTCTATTTTCATCAATCCACGAAAATTGGTATATCCACGAGAATATAAATCCACAGTATATCAAAAAATAATTTTGTTATTTTATTTGTTATTACAGTACCATTGCCTTGTATCATGTCTGACTGGACCACATGGAGTGCACCTGATGCTTCTGGATCTAGATACAGAGTAAGATATGTAACAAGACCAGCATTGAATAGTGGCAAAGAATGTGAAGACCTCATCCAAATTGGCAAAGGTATTATTTATTTCAACAGAGTTAAGGCCATGTGTGTTTGTACATATGAACACTTTGCTATTCTCTTATAAACTGATAGATATTAGTTTTAAATTGTAGCCAAAAGAGAAGATATTTAGAATTTAAGTCCTGCTTCCTAGAAGTAAATTCTCAGGGTGTGAATATATTGAATTTGGTATCTCGTAATTTTGTGTTTAGAGCACACATTTTGTACTCTGTGTACTGAATTAAGTTTTATGACCGAGGACCCAGGAGGAAGATTTTTTTAAAAATGGCCTGCTTTTATAAATAAGAAGATGTAGTACGAGTGCCAATGAGACAACTCTCCATCCAAGTTAACAATTATAGGTCAGAGTACGGCCTTCAACACAGAGCCTTGGCTCACACTAAACTTTACTTATATAATGATACTTCAGATCAGTTTACAAAAAAGATGTAATATTTCTATTATTTCTGGAAAAGGTGTTCCTTTATATTTTCTGTTGATCTTATTTCATTTTACAGATCTTTAACTATTTGACTTTCAATGATTTGAAGGAAAACTGACAGTAAAATGTTTTCTGAAATTCGTAAATACTGCATGTCTTAAGGATGTTCACTACACTGTTTCAAAATAAAGAGCTTTTTAAAAGACTGTTACAAATTTATAGTATATAAATGAAAGAACTAAAAAAGTAGAAAAAAATGAAGGGTCTGTGTGCTTGTTTTCGAGATATAAGACATTGAAAATTTGGCGGGAAATGATTCTCTAGATTTTTCATACATTTAACATTGGCACCTTTTTTCATTCAAAAACAATGAAAAAACACCTTTTTTCATTCAAAAACAATGAAAAAATAACAAGGATTCTATACTATTTTCAAATATGGCTTTTGAAACTATATGTAATAAAATTATGAAAAGAAAAGTAGGGGTTAGGGGGCAACATTTTTAATGGCACTACATGGATAAAACCAGAGGATTCCGAATATCTGGCAAAAATTTGAAAACAAGAGGAGCAAACATCCTTAAATTCAGTATCTTGTAAATTCCTTTGCACTAAAAGTTTTTTTTTAATGATATATGTCAATAAATCTACCCTTGTAGTTTTGTAAAGCACTTGATAGAAAGTATGTCTAGTTCAGAATTGTAAAAGACTGATTTAAGCATCTAGTTTTAAGTGGAGAAAAATATGATAAAATGGCTAGATCATTTGGTATTTGAAGTATTGTGGTTTTCATAGAGAACACATGTTTGGAGTCTATTTCTTTTATGCTCTTTTCAATACAGTACCACTGCCTTGTATCATGTCTGACTGGACTGACTGGAGTGCACCTGATGCTTCTGGAACCAGATACAGAGTAAGATATATGACAAGACCTGCATTGAATGGTGGCAAAGAATGTGAAGACCTCATCCAACTTGGCAAAGGTTTGTAAGATGAGAATTATTAAAACCTAGAATTTCGGAGCTTGTTTTGAAGTTTAAGGGTAATTTTGGAGGAAAAGAAACTTAAGTTCAAATCCAATCATTTATGTAATGCCACTTTTGATTGGATGATGTCCAAGGTTGGTGGTCGGAGTCATAGGCCAACAACATTGCACAATTGCAGTAAACATTTCCAGGATCATTCAAATGTTTTATTTTGAACAGTGTACGTGTTTGGCATTTGAAATGAAGTAATTCTGCTGTGTTTTCATTGTTGCTATGTTCAGATTTAAATTTGACAGTGGTAACTCTTCAATAAACCTTTAAAAACAATTTCTGATAAAGACTTATTTTTAAATGACTTGCAAAACAGATACCAATGCCATTTTCAATTTTTGATTGGATTTTCATTACAGTACCACTGCCATGTATTGTGTCTGACTGGACCACATGGAGCGCACCTGATGCTTCTGGAACCAGATACATTTTTCAGACTATATTACTGCTTATTAATTATACAATCAGAAATTTCATTAATAATACAGTATGAAAAAATGAAAATCAAATTGACTGGCTAACTGATTGATTGATTGATTGATTGATTGATTGATGTCAGATTTGCCAGTTTTTTATTTGACTTTTATATAGAAAATACTTTGTATGATTGCAAGTGAGACAGACTAGAGACAAGTACATCAACAACTACAGGTTACCAGACTGCCTCCATCAATGGGTAAAAACCATCCTGCAAAGCATTCTATGAAATTTTTAAGCACATTATGCATTTCTCTAATTACAGTACCACTTCCATGTATCATGTCTGACTGGACTGACTGGAGTGCACCTGATGCTTCTGGAACAAGATACAGAGTAAGATATATGACAAGACCTGCTTTGAATGGTGGCAAAGAATGTGAAGATCTCATCCAACTTGGCAAAGGTGAGTGCATTAACAGCAAAAATCATACACATATCAACCAACTCTCTTTGTTATATCAATTTTCAATTAATCCATGGCTATTTGAGCTACTGTTTAGTATTGAAATCCATATGACTTTAGTGAAAGCTTACTTCATGTGATTTTCCCTTTGATATACCGATAACCTTTTTTGACCTGAGCAACTTTCAGTTTGAACTCATGATATTTTTTTTTCAAGAAAATTGAAGATTTAACTGAAAATTGCATGACACATGTGTGGTTCAAGTCACAAAATATGGATAAAATTATATATATTAAAAGGGCAGAAGTGATGATACATTTTCTTATATTTCTTAATTTTGTTAACACAATATACATGTACAAGTTTTTACAATGTATAATGTTTCAAACCAAATTGACAAAAAGAATATAAACTCAAAGGCAGATGTTGATTTTTGAGTGGCCTTAAGTGTCTGTAAATGGAGCTTGTCACATACAAATATCAGTTCAAAACCTAATTCATTTATCAAAAAAGTTTGAAAATTATCAACCAACTCCAGCTATAACAAATTACATTTATAATTTGGCATTTTTCTCAAAGCACTCTGGTTTTATCTTTTGACGGTATTATTTTAAATGTGTTTTATTCTGTGTTATGTTGTTAACTTACATCACAGTCAGTAAAAGAAATTTTGAAACAACAGTAAAGTATGTTTGGGCACCTCCTGCTGGAAGCAAATGATATGATTCAAGTTAATTTTTACATTGACTGTTTTGTTATTAACTGTGGCAGATGCTTCATAAAAAAAAATCTTTTTGACAGTTTGAACTTAAAAACTTAAAAGTTAAAAATAAGGCATATTTCATTACAAGCTTGAATTTCTTATCAACAGTACCACTGCCATGTATTGTGTCTGACTGGACTGACTGGAGTGCACCTGATGCTTCTGGAACCAGATACAGAGTTAGATATATGACAAGACCTGCATTGAATGGTGGAAAAGAATGTCCAGACCTCATCCAACTTGGCAAAGGTTTGTATAACTTAACCTAATAAACTTATTTTATATATTTACCAATTGACATGTATTGATTTTTACATTCACCGGGATCAAAATTTGCAATCACCAAGTCCACCATAATGACTAAAATCGAACAGGGCGTTTGATTTTTATTATGCAGTAGCTACAGTGGAGATCATCTTTTGCCATAGTCTTGTGCTTGGACCATATATTTTTATGTGAATTTCTATAAAAAAAAATTATCAGCATATCAGTAATTGTAACTGCTTACATATTTCAATACAGGACCAATTTGATCAAAACCATGTTAATCATGGTATCATTGCACAATGAATTATTGAACCATATGCGAGCCATATGTATCTAAGGTCCTGAAAATGAAAAATTTTTTACAATGTATTTGTATGTGAGCAGAATGGTGTCATTCTAGGTTAAAAACATTTGCTGATTTTTTCATGTTTACATTTCTTATCAACAGTACCACTTCCATGTATTGTGTCTGATTGGTCTACCTGGAGTGCACCTGATGCTTCTGGATCAAGATTCAGAGTAAGATATATGACAAGACCTGCATTGAATGGCGGCAAAGAATGTCCAGACCTCATCCAACTTGGCAGAGGTATGTCATATATCCCCATATATATCAAAGAAGTTGCAACCTTGACCATTAGATTCTCTAGTGGATAGTGGTCTCATTGGCAATAAAACCACATCTCTTTAATTTTCTATTAAGCTTAGGTTGATATTATACAGTTATTTAATATGTAACTATGCAATAGATCAAAATATATTTCCCTCGGTATGAAGATCAGCTCATTGTTCTATTGCCCGAAGCCAACGGCTGAGGGCAATAGAACAATGAGCTGATCTTCATACCGAGGGAAATATATTTTGATTTATTGCACTGTTACACATTCAATAACTGTTTTATTACCTAATACATGCTGAGTCAGTTCTAACAAATTCTTAGAAATAAAAGTAACAACTGTATTAATTATAATGTGTAAGAAGCATACATGTACAAACAATACTTTAGAAATTCAATAAAACGAACATGAAATCAGAGTAATGTAAATAACAAGAAATCATTAAAGTCAACAATCCCTATTCTCAAGTAAATCATTTAAGTCTCCATCATCAACATTTGCAAACCGCTCCATCGCGGAAGTTATTTGCAGACGATCAAAACAATAAACCCAAGAACGTTTAAAAGACCCAATTTGATTGGACAACATGAATACCTTTCAATTAATCAGATTATAGAATAAGAGGTCATAACAGGTCAGTGCAATAGACTGCACACAGGTGCAATAGAACGATAATTTCCAGTGCAATAGACCATGGAACAAAAAATGGCAGAAAAATAGCAAATAATATAGAAATATTAATAAAACAGTAAAATACTCTTTATTAGGTAATAAATTTTTTTGGTTTCACTGTAAATATAAACAATAACAATATTTTATTTTAAGAGAGTTACACATTTAGTTTTACAACTTATCTTCCCTAAGGCCCTCATCATAGAAAAGCATAAATTTTGTTGAAAAACAAAAGAACACAACCATGTACAAGGCATACACAAGTTCTGCATAAATTGATGTGAAAAAATATATTGCATTGGCAGAACAAGTTTTCTGCTCAAATCTTCTTCACTGCTGTATGTGTTTTTCTCATGATTATAAATTAGTCTCTGGATTATGACCCATAATTCTCTAAATTACTGAAGCATAAATACTTAAGTTACTTCTTTTTAAAAATGTTTTTATTTCAAAAATTCCACCTTGAATACTCTGAAATGTCTTATTTTGCATAACAGTACCGCTACCATGTATCATGTCTGACTGGTCTGACTGGAGTGCACCTGATGCTTCTGGAACCAGATATAGAGTAAGATATATGACAAGACCTGCATTGAATGGTGGCAAAGAATGTGAAGATCTCATCCAACTTGGCAAAGGTTTGTAAAAGCACAAAAAGTGGCAACTTCCATTTGAATTCTTGAATGTAAAAATAATACACATATAGTGTCGTCTTACTTGTGCAATTAGAGCTTTGAGTTTCAGTTTAGAAAAAAATGTCCTTTCACAAGATACATTTTTTAGACTATATTACTGCTAATTAATTATACAATCAGAAGTTAAAATTTCATTAATAAAAATATGAAAAAATGAAAATCACATTGACTGGCTAACTGACTGACTGATTGATTGATTGATTGATTGTTGTCAGATTTGCCAGTTTTTGATTTGACTTTTATAAAAAAAAATACTTTGTATGATTGCAAATGAGACAGACTAGAGAACAAGGACATCAACAACTACAGGTTACCAGACTGCCATCACAAATGGGTAAGACCATCCTGCATAGCATGCTATGAAAGGCTTCTATGTATTTTTAAAGCACATTATGCATTTCTTTAATTACAGTACCACTTCCATGTATCATGTCTGACTGGACTGACTGGAGTGCACCTGATGCTTCTGGAACCAGATACAGAGTAAGATATATGACAAGACCTGCATTGAATGGCGGCAAAGAATGTGAAGATCTCATCCAACTTGGCAAAGGTTTGTACAAAGTTATTTTATCATTGTTTGTCTGTCAGAACAAATCTATATATATATATTAGAATGCAATAGAATTAAAAAGAAAAGTATGAATTTGCTTCTTAGATCCATCCAATAATCTGGAATGTAAATTGGAAGTTATAAAGTGGGCAAAACAATACTATGATCATCCATGTTTAAAAAGAGAACCAGTGCAACAAATGGAATCTGAAATGAACTAATAAATATTTTAATAAGGCAGTGATAAAACCTTTTAAAATAAAATGGAAAAGAGCATGAATCTATAGCATGCTGTCTTTATGTATACATTTCTCTGGTGTGTTTTGTGGTTAGTAAATGGAAGTGGAAGAAACAGATACTTGTTTACCATCAACTATATGTTGAAAGTAAATTGTAGTTAAAAACTTTTTATAACAATATATTCCAGTACCACTGCCATGTATCATGTCTGACTGGACAGCATGGAGTGCACCTGATGCTTCTGGAACAAGATACAGAGTAAGATATGTAACAAGACCTGCTTTGAATGGTGGCAAAGAATGCGAAGATCTCCTCCAAATTGGCAAAGGTTAGTACTGATCAGGTATTAGCTAGATCGAATAATTGGAATGTCAGAGTACATTATATTTGAAAAAAAGTGATAGCTTTTATTATCATATCACTAAAAAAAATCTCTTTTCTCATTGGCTAAAAGCTTACAGAGTCTTCTTTAATAAAACATTATGTTCACTGCTGGAAAAATCATGAGAGGTTAATATAAGATTTGGAACAGCTAATGTGTACCTAAATATAGATATTCCAAGACGTAAGTTTATGACGTCATGCAAATTCTCGTTTTTTCTTTTTCTTCTTGTTTTCCGTGTATACTTTTTTTCTCCTCTTCTTGTTTTCCAAGTATTTTTTAGTAAACTTTATTGAATATTTCAACTTATGAAAGTTAGCAACTACAAAGGTAGATGATATATTTAGTATAAAAATAGGGAGCAGTTTTAAAAGTATCTTGAGCAAATGCTAGAAAATTGGAGAAGATAAAAAGTCATATAATAAAACAATTGTGACTTTTGAGTTCAGTTGATACAATGATTTATCAACCCCAGAGATATGACGTTCACCCTCGACTGTTGGCCTCAGCGAATATCATATCTCTTGGGTTGATAAATCATTATATCAACCTCATCAAAAGTCAATAATTGTATATTGTTATTTGAATATAAAGTTTTACTAGGCATTCCAAGATGATACAGATTTTCACTTTTTCGACACAAATGTTTTATTTTTGAATTACAGCATAATCCTTATATGTGTTAGTAAATTTTATTGCATGTGATCAATTTTATCTTTATCATAAGTGATAAAAAAAGTTATTGTAAAACTACTTAGTTAGAGCTCATTTAATTCTTAAGTAAGGTAATTTCAATGAAGGTTGTGAAAAATCGGAAAATATAATGAAGTTTTTGTTATTGAGAAAATTGCAACAGGAATTGTTTCACAGAAAGAAAATCTTATGTTTTAACTTTCAATGGTATTATTTGTAAGCAGCATTTCCTGAAATCGCATGTGTGTGCAACTGCATAGTTAACAATTACAATAATAAATGCACACAAAAATTTCTGAATTTACATTATCAAGCTTCCTAGCAATATGAATAAAAATGTTTTTATTCAATATCAATCATGGAAAAATCAATTGTAAATAATTATATTTCAGTACCATTGCCATGTCTTATGAGTGAATGGACTAAATGGACAGCAGTCGATGCCTCAGGAACTATTTATAGATACAGATATGTAGTAAGACCTGCTCTTAATGGTGGCAAAGAATGTGAAGACCTTCTCCAACTCAAGAAAGGTATGTTTACACATAAACTATATTCCAGTAGAAAAATCAGTGACCATATATACTGGCTACTAATGAGGAAAATCTCTTCAGATGAATTATACCTTTAAAATTGAAATAGTAAATATTTTATATGGCTAATGAAAATTGATAGATAATGTAATTCACAATATGAATCCATATTTCAAAAAAAAACAATTATGTAATCAATCAATTGAAAAAGGTTTTCTTCGAAAAGTTCAAGTATACAGCCATTAAAACAGTTAGGATGAATTTTGAATGCCTTTTTTCACATTTGGTGATATTACAAAAGGTCAAGATAAATGTACTTTCCAAAAGTAGTAATGCTAGCTATACAAAAATGAAACCAGTAAATCTAACCTGTTGAAATTCTCTTAAAGGAAGCATACTGATCTGCACTGTAATATCTTTTTTTTTTAACTTATTTTTCCTTGAAAACAATTTTTTGTGGATTGAGATAAAGTTTTGTTATAGTGGATATTTGATTTCGTGGTTTTGCCAAAGTCTGCATAAAAACTTTTCGAAAATTTGTACTTCAACAAACATTGAAATTCGTGGTTCACCAATACCTATGAAATCCACAAAAATCAGTATCCAATGAATATTAATGAATCCGTAGAACTGATGAATGAATTATTGTTTTGTATTGAAATTTGGATTAGAAAAAGAACTTTTTAATGATTGCCACAAAATTATAATTTCAGTACCATTGCCATGTATCATGAGTGACTGGACTGCTTGGAGTGCACCTGATGCCACAGGAACCACATACAGAGTAAGAATGGTCCTCAGACCTGCTCTCAATGGTGGCAAAGAGTGTGAAGATCTTATGCAACTCAACAAAGGTAAAAATGAATCAATAGTCTCTGTATTATAACAAAAAATGTTCAAGTGTATAGTGATTTTTCTTGCATGTGCTCAAGTAGTGGTGCCATAAGATTCTTACAAGTAAAATTATTTGGTTTGATTGTTATGGCTGACCTGGCTGACCCCTCTCTTTTTGTTGAAGTACTTACAGGTCAAATTTTTTTTAACTGGTAAGGGATAACTGGTATTCAGTATCAACCAATTTTAGAAATTACTGAATAAAAACTATGGATTTTGTAAAAGAACAAAGCCTAATGGATAAGCACAATGTTGAGTTTTTCTATTTTGTTTAGAAAAACACAGGAGTTGAGAATGAATATACATATAAAACTATGGAAAAGATAAAAAAGGGGCTTTCATAAACTGTAAGTAAAAAAAACAGGAAACACCATGGCCATAAAGAAAAGCAACGAAAAAACAAAAAGTCCATTAAAACTACACAGAAAACAAAAGATACTGGATTCCGAAAAAAAAACTCACACATTAAAAGCATTTTGTAATTTTACTCTCATATTATTACAGTACCATTGCCATGTATCATGTCTGACTGGACCGCATGGAGTGCACCTGATGCTTCAGGAAGCAGATTCAGAGCAAGATATGTTGTCAGACCTGCATTAAATGGTGGCAAAGAATGTGAAGACCTTATCCAACTTACCAAAGGTATTATACTTATTTCAACACCATCGAAGACATGTGTTCCTTGACATGTAAACACTTTGCTCTTTTCTTCAGATTAAATTTTTTTTTAATTTTTTATAACATTGTGACCAAAGGAAAACATATTTTTGAAAAAACATATACAGCACAGTTGGTTTTTCCCTGAAAAAAGAAAATTTGTATGATAACATTATCATATTATTATAAAAATCCTGACCAGAGGCTTTAGTAAATGTAAATATCAGCTTAAGCATGGTGGCATAGTGTTACTGCTAAGTCATTGTGAAGCAACTTTGTAAAGAGAGATTTGAAAATTTTTAGCAAAAAATAGTCTTATATTTAGGAAAAATTTGGCTAAATTAACATACAGTACCACTCTGCTGTCAGTCCATGGCTCTATAAACCACGTAAAAAGAAACACTTTTAGTAGTAATAGTGCCTTAGATGAGGTATTCTTATATCTTTTGACATTTGTTATTATGAATATTACCCATTTTGGACATTAGAATTTGTACAGGATTTAGGAAATTGGATGAAAAGATAATTTTCCTGAATTTTTCATGACATCCAAAAGCATCTAGGTTAAGTTATGACTAAATCTATCACAGTCATTGAATACAACTTTTTAGCTGTATATTTCTTATAGGAAGTGACTAGAAATTGACACATACTGAAACATATAAAACCATGTATTCAAACTTATTTCTATTTGTATTATAGTATCATTGCCATGTATCATGTCTGACTGGTCTGAATGGAGTGCACCTGATGCTTCTGGAACCAGATACAGAGCTAGATTCATGACCAGACCTGCATTGAATGGTGGTAAAGAATGTCCAGATATGATCCAACTTAGCAAAGGTATTCATTTAGAAGCCTTAAGTATATTTAGAATCATTGAACTTTTACTGTATAAAGAATTAACAATAAACTTCATACTGCTTCAATACTTAACCACAAGTCCAAATTTCTTATTCAATCATTGTTAGTTTTTTTAATTGAAATACATGTAAATAAACTCATCATAGATACCAGATTAAAATTTTATATGCCAGATGTGCATCTAGATGTGTATCTAGACCGATGACTTTTTTAAAAGTTTCATGGATCTCAAAAATGAACAGGTTACATATTTATGCCCAGCCTACAATAGATGGGGGGATATGTTTTCAGATCTTTGTGTCAGATCCTTCATCTGTCCTGCATCAGGTTTAAGTTTTGGTTTAAGATAGTTTATCATAAAATTGTGGTCAAATCAACACTAAACTTGGTATACATGTTGATCATGATGTGATCTTTTTCATATTTTTGCCAAATAAGGGTTTTGATCCTGATTTTATGTTTCACAGAAAGTTGTAATGTGATAGTGTGAGCGAGGCATGTCACCTTTGGATTCATAATCTAACATATGTCTTTAGTCTTACTTATGCCAAAATATACATGTTATCATCTTATAATGTGACTGATGTAAAATTATTAATTCAGTTTTGAACAAAATTTCATTTTACATCCTTAAGTCAATCAGATACTTTTTTAATCGTTGTGGAATTAAAATTTACCATGTAACCATATTTAATTGTATAACTTTCAGTCAAGCTGCCATGTATTGTTAGTGACTGGAATGAATGGTCAGCACCTGACGCTACAGGATCTTCATTCAGATGGAGATATGTTACCAGACCTGCAATTAACGGTGGAGCAGAATGTCCAGACCTCATACAGGGCAAGAAAGGTACGTATAAAAGCCAAACTTATACAATATTGTCACATTTTCTTGCCTTGATTATTGAGGTTAACCTTACTAAACCTTTACAAACTTCAGTTCTTAAAGGTGATGTCTAGTCATAGAGAAATTGGATCTTTATATCCTGGTTACAAATGTTTCGATTCTTCATACCAAAATTGTGTGTATGAATGTAAGGGAATTGTGCATAACCCTCAATGAGACAGCAACTTAACGACACAAAGATCCAAAAGACATCTACAGATTAGCTTATACCTAATTTGTGATAGTTTACAGTGTGATGAAGTGGTGTTAAAACAAAGGTAAAGTTTCATTCGGTGATATCTTTTTTATTGTAATTTTGCACACATGCATGACTTACCAGAAATGTATTTGTCATAATGTTCTATGCCTTGCCTTTTATTTTGTCCTGTCTGTAATGTCAGAACTTTTTGAAACTTTCACAGAATATTACTCACATGATGTACTTTTGCACCTCTCATTTTATTTCCTTATCCATATGATTTGGGGTTAACTTTGTCATGACATGGACTTTGTCATATCTGCACACTACATCTCACATTGTTAGCCACTCCTCCAAAACTCTCAATCAGAAGTTGATACAAATTTTCTCAGAAACTTCACCATATTATGATGTTGTGCTCCTACTATTTTGTTTTTATACTAAATATTTTGGGGGTTTCCTTATCAAATTATGGACTTTACAGGGAACAGAGGTGTCAATTTGTGACATGTGAACTGCCCATTACATAATTTCCTATGGTATCAAACTGAAATCATTGTCTCTCTTTTTAACAGTACCACTGCCACTTATTGTGGGTCCATGGAATACATGGTCAGCACCTGATGCCACTGGAAGCACCTTCAGATGGAGATATGTATTGCGACCAGCAATTAACAAGGATGAACCAATTCCAGATCTCATTGAAGCAAATAAAGGTAGAAACCTACTTATCCCAACCGGTTATCCTTTAAATTTGTCAGTATATATATATATGGACATCAGTCTTTTTATGTACCGAATTCAGCTTGTATAGTCTGCGGTTTTATTCTCCAAATTTGAACATGCCTGACAGGGTTGCGGATGATAGAGTACGATAAGCAAAAAATAAGAAAAAAAATTTGATTTCGCAAGGGATGTTCCTTTATGTTTGTTATTGAAATTGTAGAGGGCACTCTTATCATTTTCAAAACTAATAATTTTACCTAATCCATATTGATATGTTATTTTTATTCAAATTTAAAATTAAATGCTTCACTACAAATTTCTTGTTTCTTTCCACTGCATTGCTTAAAATAAACTGGAATCTGCTTGAAATTTATGGAATGAAAAAAGTGTAGAAGTCAACTGGGAACAAGCTTATGCATAACGATGTATAAACTACAAAACGTTATTGGTTGTTCATTCTGTTTTAGTGTTTCATATTGACGTATGTGTTTTGTTTTAGCTTCAGATCCTTTAAACATTGATGTGATAGATATGTTAAACATTATTTTACTCAAAGATGGAACTGTTTTACTTTCAAAGTTGCATTCTAGTGATATCTATTAAGTACGGATTTCCCGTACACTCTCATATATATATTTTCATTTACACATGCCATTCAAACTTCTGGTTTAAACATAAGTTTCTAAATTGCTTTTTATGTGATTTTGACTTATTTTAACACTTGTGAAGGCTTCTAGAACCATTTACAAGCATTTTCAAGTTCTATTTGATGATGGAAAACAGGTTTTTCCATAAAAATACGGCAAACGACCACTCACAATTTGAAATTACTGAAGTTTTATATTAGATGTTTTCTAACAGTTACAAAAAGTTTTTATGCCCCACTTAGGGGCATTATGTTTTTCAGTCTGTGAGTCCATTTGTCCCAGAGAAAAACACTTATGTGTAAATGAAAAATCAGAGAATTAGAACATTGAGATAATAAAATGCTGCTTACGTTTTTGATGTAGTATCATGGATTTGTAAGACATCAAACTTCTGCTATTGCATGCTCATAATGTTTCATTTTGCTGGACAATGTATAACATGAATATATTAACATAAATTAAAAAACAGTAAATACTTTTGTTTGCATTAAAATTGATTAGACTCTACCTTCTTGAGTAGATCAGTAATTTCTTCAAATTCTTAACCATATTAAGTAATTTGTATATTATAATTTCAGTACCACTGCCATGTATTGTATCTGACTGGAGTGCATGGTCTTCACCTGATGCTACAGGATCATCATTTAGATTCAGATTTGTAACCAGACCATCAGTAAATGGAGGAAAAGAATGTCCAGATCTCATACAGGGCAGAAAGGGTATGATTATAAAACAAAAAACAAAAGACATCTTATCGTTAAAGATTAAGGATTAAGTCAAACATTGATTTGAATTCTGTATTCATTAATTGGAACTGATCAAATAAATTTTAATTGTATTATCGTTATTACCAAATATTTCTTCACTCAGCAGTTTGATTGCATTATTTTAAACTGAGTAAATTCATTGGTGACCAAGTAGTCTTAGTAGTCCATCTACTGTGATCACTTGCCTACCAATAATGAGGTTGTAAGTTCAAAAATTGCTCAGTGGTTTAAACTTAGTATTCTGCTTTTCTCCACCAACAAAAACTGGCCGCCATGAAAAAACTAAGATTGCTGAAAGTGGCATTAAACACCACCAAACTATCAATCAATCAAAATTGATCAACTAGTTAATAAAATAAACTTGTTGCAAAAAAACAGTTTGTTGATATAAAAAAGTCATATTTATGAACACGAATGTGGCCACTTTCATTTTAGACAAAAACCATCTGAAAAGTGACGCTTTATGGCATATTTGATAGAATTTTCATATTTAGGCTTGAATTTGAGCGTCTTTAATAACCATATGAGTTTAAATCTTTTCCAAAAACTAATTGAATCGACTGAAGTAGATACTCAAGTGTTAAAAGAATGTCAAAAATCTTCCATCAGAGGTACTTCAAATTTTAGGCAAAAATTAACCCTTACCGGACCTTCTCCTTTCAAATCCATTGGTTTTTTTTTTTAATCATACTTATGGTGAAGGAAATAAACCTTTCCCAAGAATCAGTTGCAGTTTACCTGGACATTTAATTTTTTGCAGAGAGAACTGTCCTATTGAATAAATACAATATCTATTATTCTTTGTGGAGTTCATTCAATGGTTACTTTAAATTTTTTCAAGGATAAATTTTAATTTCCAATTGAATGAACTCTACTGAGAACAATAGGTATTGTATTTCTTCAATGGTAGAATTTACTTACAAAAATTTAAATCAGCAGATAAAGAGGTAGGGCCAATTTCCCCTGAAATATTTTCACAGAAGGGCCAATTTAAAAAAGTGCTGAAAGAATAAAAGTTACAATAAAAACATGGTTATGTTTCTATCACATTTTTTTGGATGTTTGTTTATTTCAAAGAGTCACACTGAAGTAGGTGCTTGTACATAACCAATAACACGCGAATTGATTATATAGCAATGAAGCCCAAATGTTGTGTGTGTTATACACATAACGAAAAAAGGCCATAGCAGAACAATTTCAAAACAACAAAAATATTTTTTCTAAATCTTGAACAAGAACGTTTTAGAAAATAGTATGATATGTAACAAATACAGACAGTAATTTTATCGCCAATCCACCAACTGTGTAGATACTAGTACTGGCATTGTAACATTGTACCACCGTCCCTACATTGGAACCTAAGTCATCAGAAAATGAAACAACACCACAGAAAAAATCAATTACACTACCAATCGCGACTGTAGGTAAAACATCAAGAAAGCATTGAATCTGTATCACAACATACAGTCGATCCATTTGTTACAATGCCGGGAAAAGACCAGATTACATGTGTTTGTTACGCAAGCCGTTCTAGTACCAACTGGTGTAAGCTGTTGTCCGGTTCATATAGACGGTGAACCTTAAAAGCTGGAACAGTGTATAGATATAGATACATCCAGATTGAGGAAAACAACTTCCCAGTTAAATGCGTCAGATATTTTTTGGCTTCTTGGCATTAAAACAGAGACCGATCTTGAATCAGATTAGCTGATTTATATCAGATAATTAGATTATTAAATGTTTCTTGTAATTATATTTAACCCCCTTTTTTAGGCGCCACTAAGGGGCATTCAGTTTTTTGGTCTGTGCGTCCGTCCCTTCGTTCGTCCAACTGTTCGTTCGTCCGTCTGTCCCGTTTCAGGTTAAAGTTTTTGGTCAAGGTAGTTTTTGATGAAATGATAGTACGAGTGGGGCATCCGTGTACTATGGACACATTCTTGTTTAATATTCTGTTAGTTTTAAGTTAAACAAAGCTGTGAAATACATGTACGCAACAAATCACCTACCAACATTAACACGCTAACTGAAGCACCATGTTTTTTTTTAATACAAAAATAATTTTAAATATCTATTAGTTGATAATTCATATTTTTATGCTCCTCAGCGGCTTTTACAAAAAAGATCAATATTGGTTTTGATAAACAAAAACAAAAATCAATAGTCTTGGCCTTGATTATTGTAGGAATACCTGTTCAGGGTATGAAAATAGATGATGTGACGTGTTTTCATATACTATAATTAGTATCTATTGGGCTATTTAAAAACATGATTTACCTAGCTAATCAAATGAAAAAAACTCACGGGAAAATGGCCCTACTTCTTTAAACTAAATCTGTGGAAAGGTTTCATTTAATTTGCAATAAATTGAAATGCATAAATAACATCTGATTGATATGAATTTCAGTCAAACTTCCATGTATTGTTGCTGATTGGAATGAATGGTCAGCACCTGATGCTACAGGCTCTTCATTCAGATGGAGATTTGTTGTCAGACCAGCCATAAGTGGAGGACAAGAATGTCCAGACCTCATACAGGGCAAGAAGGGTATGTTTATTAAAGAATTATACAATAAGTCTTACCGTCTGGACGAATAGATGATTTGTTTTATTTTTTCAGGGATTTTATGTTTTATTACCATATGGTGTTTTTCACATGCTTCATCATTAAAAGAAGATTAATTCAGTTTCAGAAGATTAAAGGAATTTTGTTAAAGTAACAGTTTCTCATTAGATTCAAAAGTCAAATTAGAAGTCTGTTCAGTACCATTACACAAAATCTTTGGCTTTTCAATTGGCCAAGCAGAAAGTCTAGTCACTACCAGAAGACAATAATCAGGTTATTCCCTATGGTAAAAATTTGAATCAATCTTTATATATATCAGTATTAAAGTACCACTGCCTTTGATTGTTTCTGACTGGAGTTAACTCTTCACCTTAATATTATATACAGATATTATTTCAACTTCATTCAATTAGCATGAAAACTTGATTTTTAGGTAACATGTAAATGACAAATAACAAAGAGGTAATTCTTTAAAGAGTAAATTTCATTTTTTTACTAAATGAATTGTAAAAAAGTCACTTCTGTTTCAATTTTTAAAATGGTCAAGAAAATTAAAATATGGGATGTAACAAAATATTTTACAATAGTAATGGTTTCAAAGTTTAACAACAATTGTGCTGAAAAAATCTTGTGATACTTGTACTAGCAAATTCTCAATCTCTTCAGGAGTCAAACTACACAAGTACACAATGAAGAATTTATTTCTAGTTCCATGGGAACAGCCAACTACAAAATTTCCTAGGGTATCAAACTGAAATCATTGTCTATCTTTTTAACAGTACCACTGCCACTTATTGTGGGTCCATGGAATACATGGTCAGCACCTGATGCCACTGGAAGCACCTTCAGATGGAGATATGTATTGCGACCAGCAATTAACAAGGATGAACCAATTCCAGATCTCATTGAGGCAAATAAAGGTAGAAACCTACTTATCCCAACCGGTTATCCTTTTAATTTGTCAGTATATATATGTATGGACATAGTCTATTGATGTAGCTTTAAGTTTTTTCATTTGTTTTCCTTTCTTCCCTAGAAAAAGCTGCTCCTTATCATTCCATAGTCTATGGTAGACATTACATAAGAAATATAACACTACTTGCGTATTACAGCTCTTTTCATAATGCTAGCAAGATAAAGAATTGTTTGGCTTGCTTGCTTTGTTTGTGTCAATGTTTGCTCAAGCATTGTAATTAAGATTGACATATGAAAACAACATAAAAAGGCGGATTTAAACTTGTATACATTATATTTAAATTTGATTGGACATTATCAAATAATTAAATTTACCTATACACAGGTTTAACTCCGCCTACTTATATTGTTTGCAGCTGTCAATTTTAATTACAATGCTTGAGCAAATATTTATACAAACAAAGCAAGCAAGTCAAACAAACCTTTGCCTTGCTAGCATTATGAAAAGAGCTGTAAACTAGCTCTACACTTTAGGATAGATAAGCAATTTAACATGTATTTGTTGATTGATGTGATTTAACTTTCTCAAAACTCAATAGGTTAAGTCATATATAGCTGTAATAATGATGTACTTAAAAATATGTATTTAAAGCTCACAAGTCTTAGTAGTTTATATTTTGTTTGGGAGAAAAACACTTATGTGTAAAAGAAAAATCAGAGAACTAGAACATTGAGATAATAAAAGGCTGCTTATGTTTTTGATGTAATATTATGGATTTGTAAGACATCAAACTTCTACCATTGCATTCTCATAATGTTTCATTTTGTTGAAAAGCAAACTAATTCATTTTGCTGGTCAATGTATAACATGAATATATTAACATAAATTAAAAAACAGTAAATACTTTTGTTTGCATTGAAATTGATTAGACTCTACCTTCTTGAGTAGATCAGTAATTTCTTCAAATTCTTAACCATATTAAGTAATTTGTATGTTATAATTTCAGTACCACTGCCATGTATTGTATCTGACTGGAGTACATGGTCTTCACCTGATGCTACAGGCTCATCATTTAGATTCAGATTTGTTACCAGACCATCAGTAAATGGAGGAAAAGAATGTCCAGATCTCATACAGGGCAGAAAGGGTATGATTATAAAACAAAAACAAAAGACATCTTATCAATTAGGATTAAGTCAAACATTGATTTAAATTCTGTATTCATTAATTGGAACTGATAAAATAATTTTTAATTGTATTACCAAATATGTCTTCACTCTGCAATTTGATTACATTATTTTAAACTGAAAAGTTTGCATTGGTGGCCAAGTAGTCTTAGTAGTCCATCTACAGTGATCACTTGACTACCAATAATGTGGTTGTGAGTTCGAAAAGTGCTCAGTGGTTTAAACTTATATTCTGTTTTCCTCCACCATCCGCCATGAAAAAATTTATAGTACTGAAAAATGCATTAAACACCATCAAACTATCATTCAATAAAATTGATCAACTAGTGAATAAAATAAATGTGTTGCAACAAAAAAGATTGTTGATATAAAAAAGTCATATTTAGAAGAAAATATTCTTACATTATTATCCAATGCATGACTTTCTATTTCATATGAAGATTAGAAATATTAAACAACAAATTAATATTTTAACAGTTACCCAAATTTCAAATCTATTGGGTTTTTTTTTAATCATACTTATTGTGAAAGAAATAAAACCTTTCCCAAGAATCAGTTGCAGTTTACCTGGACATTTAATTTTTGAAAAGAGAATTGTCCTATTGAATAAATACAATACCTATTATTCTCTGTGGAGTTCATTCAGTTATTACTTTAAATTTTATCAATGAGAAATTTAAAGTTCTATTTGAATAAACTCTACTGAGAACAATAGGTTTTGTATTTCTTCAATGGGAGAATTTACTTTACATGAATTTTAATCACCAGGTAGATTCAATTTGATTCTGTGGAAAGGTTTCATTTAATTTGCAATAAATTGAAATGCAGAACATAACATCTTATTGATATGAATTTCAGTCAAACTTCCATGTATTGTTGCTGATTGGAATGAATGGTCAGCACCTGATGCTACAGGCTCTTCATTCAGATGGAGATTTGTTGTCAGACCAGCCATAAGTGGAGGACAAGAATGTCCAGACCTCATACAGGGCAAGAAAGGTATGATCATAAAACTATATGTTCAATACATGACACATCAGATTTATATAACTTCAAACTAAACCACTATTGACAATTGATATAGTTTGGGCATGTTTCTCTAGAAACTCCATTCAATGGGCATCCCACACCAAACAAAAAATGACAAGTTTTTAAATATTTTATTTATGAAAATTAACAACTTATAAGAGGACATTCTTAAAATAACTGTTGGCATTTGATTGAATGAACAAAAGTTACCTCTCTCCAACTTTTTTTTAATTACAAGTAATTTTTTTGGTCTTACAAAATGCTTCAGTGCAGTATTGTCTATAAAATGAATAAAATTTACAAACAACTAAAACACATTTGGTTGTATCAGTGGTTTTGCAATAGGTTCAACAGTCAAATTTAAAGTCTATTATGTACCAGTAGACAATACAGCTTTAATTTTAAATTACTTTTGTATTGCCATTTGAATAATTTCATTTGGTTTCAAACTACTCTCTGGTCATCTTTACAGTACCACTGCCACTTATTGTGGGTCCATGGAATACATGGGCAGCACCTGATGCCACTGGAAGCACCTTCAGATGGAGATATGTATTGCGACCAGCAATTAATAAAGACGAAAAGGTTCCAGAACTCATTGAGGCCAAGAAAGGTAAATATAACTTTTACTTAAAAAGTTACAGGTTTTACCACTTTTACAATTGAATGCTACAGGTTACTGTATTTATACATGATGGCTTTGTTCTTTTTTTTAATAACAATTTACCAATTAGTTCTACCCTGCAAGTGATTGTTAATAAAAAGCAGTTGTGATGATAATATTCTTATCATTTAATTCCAATTATTGAATGTTTCATATTGTAATATACATGACTTAGGTTTGGGGGACTAAAGACAATTATAAAATATAAATAAACGAAGAGCTCTCAAATTACATCATTTTACTTTGAATTCAAACACAAAAAGAGGCTGATACAAGTAATAATCACAACAATGAATGATGAACAAGGCAATACAGTTCCAGAAAATACTGATTCAACATACAGATATACAACAATATGTAGACTACAAAAATCAAACAACAAAGTTTCATGAAACTCTTACATTCACAAGTCAGTTATGTACTTTTTAAATCACCCTTCACCCTTTAAGTAACTGTCTTATTTGTATAATTTTCAGTGGTTCTTCCATGTATTGTAACTGACTGGAATGAATGGTCAGCACCTGATGCTACAGGCTCTTCATTCAGATGGAGATTTGTAACCCGACCAGCAATTAATGGAGGAAAAGAATGTCCAGATCTTATACAGGGCAAGAAGGGTAAGGTTTATAAACAATATCATCAATATCTATACATGACTTGTCAGATTTACACATTTTTGAAGTGCCTAACTGTTGATCATAATATTATATGCTCATGGTATAACAGACACTCCATTGTATGAAAGTAATATGTAAATGACAATTAGAAATAAGGTCAACCTAAAAAGAGTAGATAATGGTGATTTTTTTCTAAATGAATTGTATTAAAGTCACTTTTGATTCAAATTTTTAGTTTAAAAGTATTAAAAACTATGATCTTACCAAAAATTTTAGAACAGTAATAATTCTTAAGTTTTACATTAGCTGAAAAGAATCCTGTTTTACTAGAAGTTTCTCAATCTCTTCAGGGGCCTTACTAAACATCTATTCTATACCAGTACACAATAAAGCATTTATTTCTTGTTCAATATGCACTGCCATTTAAATCATTCTATATGGTATCAAACTGAAATCATTGTTTCTCTCTTTTTTAACAGTACCATTGCCACTTATTGTGGGTCCATGGAATACATGGGCAGCACCAGATGCCACTGGAAGCACCTTCAGATGGAGATATGTATTGCGACCAGCAATTAACAAAGACGAAAAGGTTCCAGAACTCATTGAGGCCAAGAAAGGTAAATATAACTTTTACCTATAATGCAACAGGTTTGACCACTTTTGCATTTGTTTGCTACAGGTTACTGTTTTTACAATATGACTTTGTTCTTTTTGAATAACAATTTACCAATTACTTCTATGCTGCATGTAATTGTTAATAAAAAAAACAGTTGTAGTGTAATGATAATATTCTTATCATTTTTAAAAATTCCAATAATTGAATGTTTCATATGTAGACTACACAAATCAAACAACAAAGTTTCATGAAACTCTTACATTCACAAGTCAGTTATGTACTTTTTAAATAACCCTTCACACTTTAAGAATCTGTCTTATTTGTATAATTTTCAGTGGTTCTTCCATGTATTGTAACTGACTGGAATGAATGGTCAGCAGCTGATGCTACAGGTTCTTCATTCAGATGGAGATTTGTAACCAGACCAGCAATTAATGGAGGAAAAGAATGTCCAGATCTTATACAGGGCAGAAAAAGTATGATTATAAACAATATGTTCAATATCTATACATGACTTGTCAGATTAACACATTTTTGAAGTGCTTAACTCTTGACCATAATATTATATGTTCATGTAATAACAGACACAAACTTTTGAACAGTAATAATTCTGAAGTTTAACATAAGCTGTAAAGAATCTTGTTATACTAAAAGTTTTTCAATCTCTTCAGGGGCCTTACTAAACATCTATTCTATACCAGTACACAATAAAGCATTCATTTCTTGTTCCATATGCACTGTCATTTAAATTATTTTATATAGTATCAAACTGAAATCATTGTTTCTCTCTTTTTAACAGTACCACTGCCACTTATTGTGGGTCCATGGAATACATGGGCAGCACCTGATGCCACTGGAAGCACCTTCAGATGGAGATATGTATTGCGACCAGCAATTAACAAGGATGAACCAATTCCAGAACTCATTGAGGCCAAGAAAGGTAAATTAACCTTTTTTCATGGTTCTTATTGAAAAAAAGGCTTAAAGGATTGACCACCAATGCTGAGAAATAAATGTACCAGCTACTTCTTCAATCTGCAACTTCAAACTGGTCATTTGGTAAATAATTACACCTTATATAAGAATGCCGGATTTTGATTGGTTGTTAGCCAGTGTATTTTTCGCATATTCTAACATTTTTTCCTCATTTCAAACGAATTTGCCTGTTTTTTCACCACTGCCGGTGAATTTGCCTCGAATTCCCCTCTCTGCCGTGGTGTTTGCCATTTTGGATATTCCTTTTTTACCCTCTTGAGCCTGTTCCCGCCAAAATTATTCAGAACCTTTCTCACTTTATCCCAACAACATGGTTAAGCACTATTGATTGAGATAAACCGAAAACTGTCAGAAATATACATATAAAGAGGGGAAAAAATGTCTATACAAATGAACGATTTGATCATGGAAAAACAATGACGTTTACACATACAGATACCATGACGTTACAAAAAAACAACGCTAACGCATATAAGTACATGTATAATTCCCGCGGTACTACGATTTCCCTTCACATGTACAGACATTTTCAATCATAATCTATTTGGTGTAGTTAAACAGATATATCATGTTATGGAGGGGTATTTGCAAAAAATACCAGTCTTGGGACCAAATTTCCCTCGTGTTGTGGCTTGGGAAATTTCACTGTCCCTTGACTGTTGACTGGTATTTTTCGCAAATACCCCTCCATAACATGATATTTCTGTTCACAATCAGCCCATATATTGCAAAAAAAAAATTAGTGTTGGTATTAAGCAGTAAAAATTTACCAATCCTGTGTCAATGATTGACTTTTCATTTCTCATGAAAACTGGAATAGTTTTGAAGAAAATTTCCGAAACACAACATCCAAAAGTCAATTTAGTACTTTTTCAATCATTCTGAAATTAAAATTAAGCATATAACCATATTCATTTGTATAACTTTCAGTCCAACTTCCATGTATTGTAACTGACTGGAATGAATGGTCAGCAACTGATGCTACAGGCTCTTCATTCAGATGGAGATTTGTAACCCGACCAGCTATTAATGGAGGAAAAGAATGTCCAGATCTCATACAGGGCAAGAAGGGTAAGGTTTATAAACCATATGTTCAACAGATAAACATGGCTAGTCAGATTTACATTAACTCTTGACCATAATATTAAATGCAGATATTATATCAGAAAATCCATTCAATCAGCATAAAAACCCTTAATTTTTATACGACCGCAAAAAAATTTTTGTGGTGGTATATTGGTATGACGTTGGCGTCGTCGTCGTCGTCGTCTGGCGTCATCCGGCGTCGTCCAAAGACACATTGGTTTTCGCACTCTAACTTTAGTTTAAGTGAATGGATCTCTATGAAATTTTACCACAAGGTTCAATACCACAAAAGGAAGGTTGGGATTGATTTTGGGGGTTATGGTACCAACAGTAAAGGAATTAGGGGCCAAAAAGGGGCCAAAAATAAGCATTTTTGTAACTTCCAGACATAACTTGTGTGTTAGTGTATGGATCTCTCTGACATTGTACCACAGGGTTCCATATCACAAAAGGAATGCTGGGATTGATTTTGGGGGTAAATGCCTCAAAATTTTAGGAATTAGGGGCCAAAAAAGGGGCAAAAAACAAGCATTTTTCTAGTTTCATGACAATAACTTGTGTGTAAGTGTATGGATCTTTCTGAAATTGTACTACAAGGTTCCATATCACAAAGGGAAAGCTGGAATTGAGTTTGGGGGTAATTACTGAAACGTTTAGGAATTGGGGGCCAAAAAGGGGCCAAAAATAAGCATTTTTCTAGTTTCCAGACAATAACTTGTGTTCAAGTGTATGGATCTCTCTGAAATTGTCCTGCAAGGTACCATACCACAAAGGGAAGGCTGGGATTGATAATGGGGGTAATTGCCTCAATATTTTAGGAATTAGGGGCCAAAAAAGGGGCGAAAAACAAGCATTTTTTTAGTTTCAGGACAATAACTTGTGTGTTAGTGTATGGATCTTTCTGAAATTGTACTACAAGGTTCCATATCACAAAAGGAAAGCTGGGTTTGAGTTTGGGGGTAATTGCCCTAATATTTAGGAATTTGGGGCCAAAAAGGGACCAAAAAACACATTTTTCTAGTTTCCAGACAATAACTTGTGTTCAAGTGTATGGATCTCTCTGAAATTGTACTGCAAGGTACCATACCACAAAGGGAAGGCTGGTATTGAGTTTGGGGGTGATGAATCATAAGGGGGTTTAAAAAAATTTGGGGGGGGGGGGGGATTTTTTTTTTTCCTTTTTTTTCTTTTTTTCCTTTTTTTTTTTCTTTTAAAATTTTCCATTTTAAGTTGGTTATTTCTGATTTATATTTATAAGCAAATAATAATGATATGGTAGGAGATACACACCAAACAGGATGTGTAAATTATTATATAATAAGTATTGTGCAATAGCAAGAAATTTTATATTGCACAATAGCAAGAAATCTTCAATTGCACAGTATTGCGCAATAGCAAGAAATCTTCAATTGCACAGTATTGCGCAATAGCAAGAAATATCCAATAGCACAATATTGCGCAATAGCAAGAAATTGTCAATTGTACAGTATTGCACAATAGCAAGAAATATTTAATTGCACAGTATTGTGCAATAGAAGATACTTCATATAAATTGCTTGATCAATTTCAATTGGGTTTTATTCTTGAATTCTTGGGGTTCTTTAATATGCTGAATCTAACCGTGTATTTAGTTTTTGGATTTTGGGCCCCGTTTTTAAATTGGTCCACATTGAGGTCCAAAGGGTCCAAAATTAAACTTTGTTTGATTTCATAAAAAATTGAATTATTGGGGTTCTTTGATATGCCAAATCTAACCATGTATTTGGTTTCTTAATTTTTCGTTCCGTTTTCAAATTGGTCTACATTAAGGTCCAAAGGGTCCAAAATTAAACTTAGTTTGATTTTAACAAAAATTGAATTCTTAGGGTTCTTAGATATGCTGAATCTAAACATGTATTTAGATTTTTGATTATGGGCCCAGTTTTCAAGTTGGTCCAAATCGGGGTCCAAAATTAAACTTTGTTTGATTTCAACAAAAATTGAATATATGGGGTTCTTTGATATGCTGAATCTAACCATGTATTTAGATTTTTGATTTTTGGGCCCCGTTATCAACTTTGTCCACATTGAGGTCAAAAGGGTCCAAAATTAAACTTTGTTTGATTTCATCAAAAATTGAATTCTTGGGGTTCTTTGATATGCTGAATCTAACCATGTATTTAGATTTTGGATATTGGACCATAATAGGTGAATGTCCAATTTAAAATTTTTAAGTTCTTAGACCACATTCATTCTGTGTCAGAAACCTATGCTGTGACAAATATTTAATCACAATCCAAATGCAAAGCTGTATCAAGCTTGAATGTTGTGTCCATACTTGCCCCAACTGTTCAGGGTTCGACCTCTGCGGTCGTATCAAGCTGCGCCCTGCAGAGCATTTTATTTAGGTAAGTAATGACAATTAAGGAAAAGGTAATTCTTTCAAGAGTAAATTTCAGGTTTTTCTAAATGAATTGTATGAAAGTCACTATTGTTTCAATTTTTTAGATTCAGAAGAAAAGAAAAATCGGGATCTAACAAAATATTTTACAACGGTTATGATTATAAAGTTTAACAATAGCTGTGCTGAAAGAATCTTGTTATACATGTACTAGCTAATTCTTAAACGCTTCAGGAGTGAAGCTACACATCTATTCTATACCAGTACACAATGAATATAGATAAGAAGATATGGTATGAGTGCCAATGAGACAACTATCCATCCAAGTCACTATGTGTAAAAAGTAAACAATTATAGGTCAAAGTACGGCCTTCAACATTTAGCCTTGGCTCACACCGAACAGCAAGCTATAAAGGTCCCCAAAAAGACTAGTGTAAAACAATTCAAACACACCAACCAACGGTTTATTCTATATAAAAAATGAGAAACACTTATGAACCACATCAACAAACGACAACCACTCAACAACAGGCTCTCTACTTAGGACAGTTTCATAAAAATGCAGTGGGTTAAAATGTTTTAACAGGCACCAACCTTCACCATAACCTGAAACAGTGGTATAACATTACAACATAAAAAGACATACAACAAAACATCAATTGAAATGGCTTAACTCGATCAAAAAGACAATACACAAAAACAAGTAAATATACACTGAACGAAATAAGTTTGATCTCTGACACAATATAAATAAGAAAGATGTTCAATGTCAAAAAGACAACTTAAACCTAGGACAAAACGGAGCATTTATATTTTGTTCCATGTGAGCTGCGAATTACATAATTCCCTATGGCATCAAACTGAAATTATTGTCTCTCTCTCTTTTTAACAGTACCACTGCCACTTATTGTGGGTCCATGGAATACATGGGCAGCACCTGATGCCACTGGAAGCACCTTCAGATGGAGATATGTATTGCGACCAGCAATTAACAAAGACGAAAAGGTTCCAGAACTCATTGAGGCCAAGAAAGGTAAATTGACCTTTTTTTCACGATTCTTTTCAAAAAAGAAGCTGAAAGTATTTACCACCAATGCTGTGAAATAATTGTACCAGCTACTTCTTGAATCTGCAATTTCAAACTTATCATTTTGTAAAAAATAAGCCCATATATTGCAAGAAAAAAAATGGTGTTAGTATTAAGCAGTGAATATTTACCAATCCTGTGTCAATGATTGACTTTTTATTTTACATTAAAACTGGAATTAATGAGTTGAGTTTTGAACAAAATTTCAGAAGCATTATACATCCAGTTGTCAATCAAGTACTTTTTCAATCATTCTGAAATTAAATTTAAGCATATAACCATTTTTATTTGTATAACTTTCAGTCCAACTTCCATGTATTGTAACTGACTGGAATGAATGGTCAGCAACTGATGCTACAGGCTCTTCATTCAGATGGAGATTTGTAACCCGACCAGCAATTAATGGAGGAAAAGAATGTCCAGACCTCATACAGGGCAAAAAGGGTATGTTTATAAACAATATGTTCAATAGATTTACATGGCTAGTCAGATTTACATTAACTCATGACCATAATATAATATGCAGATATTATTTTAGAAACTCTATTCAATCAGCATAAAAAACCTTAATTTTTAGGTAACCTGTAAATGAAAATAATAAAAAGGTAATTCTTTAAGAATGTTTGCTCCTCTGTTTCAAAATAACATACTTTTTAAAAGATCATTATATAGGTACTTAAAAAGCAGAAAAAAATTATAGGTCTGTGTCCTTGTTTTTAAGATATATGGCCTTTAAAAATTATAAAAAGAAAAGTAGGGGTTAGTGGGCAAAATTTTTATTGGCACTACATGGATAAAACTAGAGGATTCCGAATATCTGACAAAAAGTCCAAAACAAGAGAAGCGAACATCCTTTCAGGTTTTTCTTAATGAATTATATAAAAGTCACTATTGTTTCAATTTTTTAAATTGAGAAGAAAAGAAAAATTGGGATCTAATAAATTTTACAACAGTAATGGTTATAAAGTTTAACAACAATTGTGCTGAAAAGAATCTTGTTATACATGTACTAATTTATTATCAATCCCTTCAGGAGTCAAACTACATATCTATTCTATACCAGTACACAATGAAGCATTTATTTCTTGTTACATGTGAACTGCTTCTTACATAATTCCCTATGGCATCACACTGAAATATTTGTCTCTCTCTTTTAAACAGTACCACTGCCACTTATTGTGGGTCCATGGAATACATGGGCAGCACCTGATGCCACTGGAAGCACCTTCAGATGGAGATATGTATTGAGACCAGCAATCAACAAAGACGAAAAGGTTCCAGAACTCATTGAGGCCAAGAAAGGTAAATTGACCTTTTTTTATCATGGTTCTTATTAAAAAAAAAAGCTGATAGTATTGACCACCAATCCTGTGAAATAAATGTACCAGCTACTTCTTGAATTTGCTATTTCAAAGTGATCATCTGTTATAAAATCAGCCCATATATTGCAAGAAAAAAATTGGTGTTAGTATTAAGCAAATGCTGTGTACTGAAAATATAACAATCTTGTGTCAATGATAGACTTTTTAGTTCACCTGGCCCAAAAGGGCCAAGTGAGCTTTTCTTCTCACTTGGCATTCGTTGTCCGTCTTTGTCGTCCATTTACTTTTATAAAAATCTTCTCCTCTGAAACTACTGGGCCAAATAAAACCAAACTTGGCCTAAATCATCTTTAGGGTATCTTGTGAAAAATGTATCAGATGACCAAGCCCATCAACCAAGATGGCTGCCATGGCTAAAAATAGAACATAGGGGTAAAATGCAGTTTTTGGCTTATCTCTCAGAAACTAAAGCATTAAGAGCAAATCTGACATGTGGTAAAAATGTTCATCAGGTCAAGATCTGTGTGCGCTGAAATTTTCAGACGCATCAGATAACCCGTTGTTGGGTTGCTGACCCTGAATTGGTAATTTTAAGGAAATTTTGCAGTTTTTGGCTATTATCTTGAATATTATAAAAAATAGAGATAAACTGTAAACAGTAAAATTGTTCAGTAAAGTAAGATCTACAGATAAGTTAACATGACCAAAATTGTCAATTCACCCCATAAGGGGTTATTGCCCTTTAAAATCAATTTTTCATAATTTTTTGTAATCTTTTACAAAAGTCTTCTCCACTTAATCTACTGGGCCAAATAGAATTAAACTAAGCCACAATTTTCAAAAGGGTATCTTGATTGAAAAATATATCTGATGACCCTGTCATCCAACCAACATGGCCACCATGGCTAAAAATAGATCATAGGGGTTTACTATAGAATTCTATGGGAAAATTGTAAAAAAAACAATTTCAAATGGTCACAACTTGAAAACTAATCTAAATAATGATAAGGGGTCTTCAGTAACTATTGTAAAACTACAATGGAGTGACCTGCTTTAAATTTAACTACCGAGCCAAATTAAACCGAACTTGGCCTCAAACATTATTAGGGTATCTAATACAATTATGATTTTAACCTTAGCAACACTGGCTCTTGAGAGCCTCTTATTATTTCACATGAAAACTGGAATTAGCAATGAATTGAGTTTTGAACAAAATTTCACAAACTCTATGTCCAATTGTCAATCCAGTACTTTTTCAATCATTCTGAAATTAAATTTAAGCATATAACCATATTTATTTGTGTTATTTCAGTCCAACTTCCATGTATTGTAACTGACTGGAATGAATGGTCAGCACCTGATGCCACAGGTTCTTCATTCAGATGGAGATTTGTTGTCAGACCAGCAATTAATGGAGGAAAAGAATGTCCAGACCTCATACAGGGCAAAAAGGGTAGGTTTAACAATATGTTCAATAGATATACATGGCTAGTAAGATTTACATTAACTCTTGACCTTAATATATGCAGATATTATTTTAGAAACTCCATTCAATCAGCATAAAACCCTTAATTTTTAGGTAACCTGTAAATGACAAATAATGAAAAGATAAATCTTTAAAAAGTAAATTTCAGTTTTTTTTAAATGAATTGTATGAAAGTCACTATTGTTTCATTTTTTTTTTAAATTGAGAAGAAAAGAAAACTTGGGATCTTAAAAATATTTTTCTGCAGTAATGGTTATAAAGTTTAACAACAATGTGCTGAAAAGAATCTTGTTATACATGTACTAGCAAATTCTCCATCGCTTCAGGAGTCATACTGCTTATTTATTCTATACCAGTACACAATGAAGCATTTATTTCTTGTTCCATGTGAACTGCCAATTACATTATTTTCTATTGTATCAAACTGAAATCATTGTTTCTCTCTATTTAATAGTACCACTGCCACTTATTGTGGGTCCATGGAATACATGGGCAGCACCTGATGCCACTGGAAGCACCTTCAGATGGAGATATGTATTGCGACCAGCAATTAACAAAGACGAAAAGGTTCCCGAACTCATTGAGGCCAAGAAAGGTAAAGTGACCTTTTCATGGTTCTTATAAAAAAAAGGTTGAAAATATTGACCACCAATGCTGTGAAATAAATGGACCAGCTTCTTCATTAATCTGCAATTTCAAACTGATCATCTGGTAAAAAATCAGCCTATATATTACAAGAAAAAAAATGTTTTTTGTATTAAGCAGTAGCTGAGTAATGAAAATATAACAATCTTGTGTCAGTGATTGACTTTTTATTCTCATGAAATCTGGAATTAACAATACTTTGAGTTAAATTTCACAAACGCTACATCCAATTGTCAATCCATTACTTTTTCAATAATTCTAAATTAAATTTAAGTATATAACCATATTTATTTGTATAACTTTCAGTCCAACTTCCATGTATTGTAACTGACTGGAATGAATGGTCAGCACCTGATGCCACAGGCTCTTCATTCAGATGGAGATTTGTTGTCAGACCAGCAATTAATGGAGGAAAAGAATGTCCAGATCTCATACAGGGCAAGAAGGGTATGTTTATAAACAATATGTTTAATAGATATACATGGCTTTTCAGATTTACACAACTTTGAAGGAGTTAACTCTTGACCATAATATTATATGCAGATATTATATCAGGAAATCCATTCAATCAGCATAAAAACATTAATTTTTAGGTAACCTGTATTGACAAATAACGAAAAAGTAATTCTTTAAAGAGTAATTTTCAGGTTTTTTCTAAATGAATTGTATAAAAGTCACTATTGTTTGATTTTTTTTAATTGAGAAGAAAAAGAAAATTTTGGATCTAACAATACATTTGAGAATAGGAATGGTTATAAAGATTAACAACAGGTGAGCTGAAAAGAATCTTGTTATACATGTACTAACAAATTCTCAATTGCTTCAGGAGTCAAACTATACACTTATTCTATACCAATACACAATGAAGCATTTATTTCTTGTTCCATGTGAACTGCTAATTACATAATTCCCAATGGCATCAAACTGAAATCATTGTCTCTCTTTTTAACAGTACCATTGCCACTTATTGTGTCTCCATGGAATACATGGGCAGCACCTGATGCAACTGGAAGCACCTTCAGATGGAGATATGTATTGCGACCAGCAATTAACAAAGACGAAAAGGTTCCAGAACTCATTGAGGCCAAGAAAGGTAAATATAACTTTTACCTATAATGTGACAGGTTTGTCCACTTTTGCATTTGTTTGCTACAGGTTACTGTATTTATTCATGATGTCTTTGTTCTATTCGAATACCAATTTACCAATTATTTCTATGCTGCAAGTGATTGCTTATAAAAATAGTTGTAGTGTAATAATAATATTTTTATCATATAAATCCAAGTATTGAATGTTTCATATGTAGACTATAAAAATCAAACAACAAAGTTTCATGAAACTCTTCATTCACAAGTCAATTATGTTCTTTTCAAATCATCCTTCACCCTTTAAGTAACTGTCTTATTTGTATAATTTTCAGTGGTTCTTCCATGTGTTGTAACTGACTGGAATGTTTGGTCAGCAGCTGATGCTACAGGCTCTTCATTCAGATGGAGATTTGTAACCAGACCAGCAATTAATGGAGGAAAAGAATGTCCAGATCTTATACAGGGCAGAAAAAGTATGATTATAAACAATATGTTCAATATCTATACATGACTTGTCAGATTTACATATTTTTGAAGTACTAAACTCTTGACCATGATATTATATGCTCATGTTATAACAGAAACTCCTTTCAATGAGCAAAAAAAATGGGTGTTTTGGTAACCTGTAAATGACAATTAACAAAAAGGTCAACCCTAAACGAGTAAACATTGTGGGTTTTTTTTTTAAATTGTATTAAAGTCAATTCTGTTTCAAATGTTTAGTTGAAAAGGAAAAGAAAACTGTGATCATAACAAAATATTTTAGAACAGTAATAATTTTGAAAGTTTAACATTAGCTTAAAAGAATCTTGTTATACTAGCAGTTTCTCAATTGCTTCAGGAGCTATACTAAACATCTATTCTATACCAGTACACAATAAAGCATTATTTCTTGTTCCATACACACTGCCATTTAAATTATTCTATATGGCATCAAACTGAAACCATGGTCTCTCTGTTTTTAACAGTACCACTGCCACTTATTGTGGGTCCATGGAATACATGGGCTGCACCAGATGCCACTGGAAGCACCTTCAGATGGAGATATGTATTGCGACCAGCAATTAACAAAGACGAAAAGGTTCCAGAACTCATTGAGGCCAAGAAAGGTAAATTGACTTTTTTTCATTTTTCTTATTTAAAAAAAAAACTGAAATTTTGACCACCAATGCTTTGAAATAAATCTACACAGCCACTTCTTGAATCTGCAATTTCAAACTGATCATCTGGTAAATAATCATATATTGCAAGAAAAAAATTGATGTTACTATTCAGCAATAAAAATTCAACAATCCTGTATCAACGATTGACTTTTTATTTCACATGAAAACTGAAATTAACAATACATTGAGTTTTGAACAAAATTTCAGAATCACTTACATCCAAAAGTCAATCCAGTACTTTTTCAATCATTCTGGAATTGAATTAAAGCATATAACCATATGTATTTGTTTAACTTTCAGTCCAACTTCCATGTATTGTAACTGACTGGAATGAATGGTCAGCAACTGATGCTACAGGCTCTTCATTCAGATGGAGATTTGTAACCCGACCAGCAATTAATGGAGGAAAAGAATGTCCAGATCTCATACAGGGCAAGAAGGGTATGTTTATAAACAATATGTTAAGTAGATATACATGGCTAATCAGATTTACATTAACTCTTGACCATGATATTATATGCAGATATTATTTCAGAAACTCCTTTCAATGAGCATAAAAAAAACTTAATTTTTAGGTAACATGTAAATGACAAATAAGGAAAAGGTAATTCTTTCAAGAGTTAATTTCAGGTTTTTTTCTAAATGAATTGTATAAAAGTCACTTCTGTTTCATTTTTTTAAATTGAGTAGAAAAGACAAATTGGGATCTAACAAAATGTTTTAGAACAGCAATAGTTATAAAGTTAAATCACACCTGGGCTGAAAAGAATCTTGTTATACATGTACTAGCAAATTCTCAATCGCATAGGAGTCAAACAACACATATATTCTATACAAGTACCAGTACACAATGAAGCATTAATTTCTTGCTATATGTGAAGCCTGGTTACATAATTGCCTATGGTATCAAACTGAAACCATTGTCTCTTTCTTTTTAACAGTACCACTCCCACTTATTGTGGGTCCATGGAATACATGGGCAGCACCTGATGCCACTGGAAGCACCTTCAGATGGAGATATGTATTGCGACCAGCAATTAACAAAGACGAAAAGGTTCCAGAACTCATTGAGGCCAAGAAAGGTAAAGTGACCTTTTTTTCTTGGTTCTTATTTAAAAAAAAGACCGAAAGTATTGACCACCAATGTTGTGAAATAAATGTACCAGCTACTTCTTAAATTTGCAATTTCAAACTGATCATCTGGTAAAAATCAGCCCATATACTGCAAGAAAAAAAATAGTGTTTGTATTAAGCAGTTAATGAAAATATAACAAACTTGTGTCAATGATTGACTTTTTATTTCACATGAAAACTAGAATAAACAATGAATTGAGTTTTGATTAACATTTCACAAACTCTAAATCCAATTGTCAATCCAATACTTTTTCAACCGTTTTGAAATTAGAATTAAGCATATTTAATTGTATAACTTTCAGTCCAACTTCCATGTATTGTAACTGACTGGAATGAATGGTCAGCACCTGATGCTACAGGCTCTTCATTCAGATGGAGATTTGTTGTCAGACCAGCAATTAATGGAGGAAAAGAATGTCCAGACCTCATACAGGGCAAGAAGGGTATGTTTATAAACAATTTGTTCAATAGATATACATGGCTATTCAGATTTACACAACTTTGAAGGATTTCACTCTTGACCATAATATTATATGCAGATATTATATCAGGAACTGCATTCAATTAGCATAAAAAAAAATAATTTTTAGGTAACATGTAACTGACAAATAAGGAAAAGGTGATTCTTTAAAGAGTAAATTTCAGGTTTTCTTCTAAATGAATGTATGAGTCACTTCTGTTTCAATTTTTTAAATTGAGAAGAAAAGAAAAATTGGGAACTAATAAAATGTTTTAGAACAGTAAGGCCAACATGAATTAATTAGTAGATTTTTATCCAGCTTTTTGAAAAAATTGTGCAGGTGGGAGGATTTTATTTTTTAAATCTTATTTCCTCTGCAACCTTTCGTAATATGTTTTTTATATGCAAAGGTAATAATAAGCTTATATCATATATATATAAAAAATACTACACACTTTTTTCAAATTCTGAAATAAATATTTCTGAGTGGGAATTACTGTTCTAATTGCTTTAGATACCAATTTTCAGTAAATAGCAAAAAATGAGGAGAAATGCTCTCTTTTAGACTACCTACATCAACTTTATTTTTTGATTTTTAAGATAGACAATGGTTTATTGTGCCCATAAAATGAAGCATGTATGTATGCATTGGTATGAAACACAAGTACTAAAGTAGAGTTACATGAAAACTCAAAATGTGTTGAAAATACTAGGGTTAATGCTTTTAAGATTCTTATGCAAGGTGATAATATGATATTATTAACTAGTAATAAACATACAATGTATATACATGACCTTAACCAAAAGAAGACGTTGTTTAATTACTACATTGAGGGGCTGGGATCAGAGGGTGTTTGATGTTTGTCAACAAAAAGGGACAGTTTTGGGGTAAATCTTGCTATATATGTTGACTGACTTTTTTTTACTCATTGAAGTCAATATTAAGTCCTAAAAAGAGTAAATTGTATCGCACACGATTGTGTTTGGGTCAATTTCTTTATCCCAATCATGTTTTTATACGTGTGTGTGTCAGGATTCGTACGCTTTGAATATCAATCTGAGTGTGAATTTCCTGACACAAATTCTTCGTATAAATATAAAAAAATCAACGCTTTTCTAATCACTGAAATATGTAATATACCCCGATTTGAGTTCTTTGATGCAGCTTATTACTTATATCAGAATATATCAGGCCTTTCCAGTAATTCATCTTTGTTCTCCGAAGATATTGTCCAAATTATTTTGGTTAAATTACTTGAAGTAATACGAAAGCCTAATTTTTCAACAGGAAGTTTTGAATGAAACGAAGTTGATATCGCTGTTAACGGTAACAGACATAAAAAGATCCGGAAAGCGTAAATTTTTAGAAAGTAAAAAAAATCAAGGCAGGTGGGAATGAAAATCTATCAATTAATTTTAATTGGCCTAATGGTTATAAAGTTTAACAACAGCTGAGCTGAAAAGAATCTTGTTATACATGTTCTAGCAAATTCTCAATTGCTTCAGGAGTCAAACATCTATTCTATATCGGTACACAATGAAGCATTTATTTCTTGTTCCATGTGAACTGCCAATTACTAAATTTCCTATGGTATCAAACTGAAATCATTGTCTCTCTTTTTAACAGTACCACTGCCACTTATTGTGTCTCCATGGAATACATGGGCAGCACCTGATGCCACTGGAAGCACCTTCAGATGGAGATATGTATTGCGACCAGCAATTAACAAGGATGAACCAATTCCAGAACTCATTGAGGCCAAGAAAGGTAAATATACCTTATTTTTAGCTAGGTTTTACCACATTTGCATTTGTTAGCTATTGGTTAATGTATTTAAACATGATGGCTTTGTTCTTTTTGAATAGTAATTACTTCTATGCTGCAAGTGATTGTTAATAAAAAAAAAAAACAGTTGTAGTGTAATGGAAATATTCTTACCATTCAATTCCAATAACTTACCCTTTTTCATATGAAGACTACAAAACAACAAAATTGTTTTGAACATAGTTTCATAAACTCTTCATTCACAAGTCAGTTGTATACTTTTTAGCTCACTTGGCGTCCGTCGTCCGTCGTCGTTAACTTTTTACAAAAATCTTCTCTTCTGAAACCACTGGGCAAAATTTAACCAAACTTGGCCACAATCATCATTAGGGTATCTAGTTTAAAAAATGTGTCCGATGACCCCGCCAACCAACCAAGATGGCTGCCATGGCTAAAATAGAACATAGGGGTAAAATGTAGATTTTGGCTTATATCTCTGAAACCAAAGCATTTAGAGTAAATCTGACAAAGGGTAAACTGATTATCAGGTCAAGATCTATCTGCACCGAAATTTTCAGACAAATCTGACAACCTGTTGTTGGGTTGCTGCCCCTGAATTGGTAATTTTAAGGAAATTTTGCAGTTTTTGGTTGTTATCTTGAATATTATTATAGATAGAGATAAACTGTAAACAGCAATAATGTTCAGCAAAGTAAGATCTACAAATAAGTTGTCATGACCAAAATTGTCAGTCGACCCCTTTAGGAGTTATTGCCCTTAATAGTCAATTTTTAACAATTTTTCGTAAATTTTTGTAATCTTTTACAAAAATCTTCTTCTCTGAAACTACTGAGACAAATTTAACCATACTTGACCATAGTCATTATCAGGGTATCTAGTTTAAAAAATTTTTCCGATGACCACGCCTTCCAACCATCATGGCCGACTTAGTTAAAAATAGAACATAGGGGTAAAATGCAGTTTTTGGTTTATCTCTCTGAAACTAAAGCATTTAGAGGAAATCTGACAGGTGGCAAAAATGTTCATCAGATTTAGATTTATCTGCCCTGGAATTTTCAGATGAATCCGACAACCTGTTGTTGGGTTGCTGCCCCTGAGTTAGTAATTTTACAAAAATTTTGCAGTTTTTATATGACCGCAAAAAAAATTTTGTGGTCGTATATTGGTATGACATTGGCGTCGTCGTCGTCGTCGTCGTCGTTGTCTGAAGACACCTTAGTTTTCGCACTCTAACTTTAGTTTAAGTGAATGGATCTCAATGAAATTTTACCATAAGGTTCAATACCACAAAAGGAAGGTGGAGATTGATTTTGATGGTTGTGGTACCCACAGTTAAGGAATTAGGGGCCAAAAATAAGCATTTTTGTAACTTCCAGACATAACTTGTGTGTAAGTGTATGGATCTCTCTGACATTGTACCACAAGGTTCCATATCACAAAGGGAATCCTGGGATTGATTTTGGGGGTAATTGCCTTCAAATTTTAGGAATTAGGGGCAAAAAAGGGGCAAAAAACAAGCATTTTTCTAGTTTCATGACAATAACTTGTGTGTAAAGGTATGGATCTTTATGAAATTGTACTACAAGGTTCCATATCACAAAGGGAAAGCTGGAATTGAGTTTGGGGGTAATTGCCCAAAAAGTTTAGGAATAAGGGGCAAAAAAGGGGCCAAAGATAAGCATTTTTCTAGTTTCCAGACAATAACTTGAGTTCAAATGTATGGATCTCTCTGAAATTGTACTGCAAGGTACCATACCACAAAGGGAAGGCTGGGATTGATTTTGGGGGTAATTCCCTCAAAATTTTAGTAGTTAGGGGCCATAAAAGGGCAAAAAAACAAGCATTTTTCTAGTTTCAGGGCAATAACTTGTGTGTAAGTGTATTGATCTTTATGAAATTGTACAACAAGGTTCCATATCACAAAGGGAAAGCTGGGTTTGAGTTTGGGGGTAATTGCCCTAAACGTTTAGGAATTTGGGGTCAAAAAGGGGCAAAAAAACAATCATTTTTCTAGTTTCCAGACAATAACTTGTGTTCAAGTGTATGGATCTCTCTGAAATTGTACTGCAAGGTAGCATACCATAAAGGGACAGCTGGGAATGAGTTTTTGGGGGTGATGAATCATAAGGGGGTTAAAAAAATTGGGGGTGGGGGATTTTTTTTTTTCATTTTTTTTCTTTAAAATTTTCCATTTTAAATTGGTTATTTCTGATTTATATATAAAAGCAAATAATAATGATATGGTTTGAATAGGTAAATTTAAAATTTTGAAGTTCTGTGTGAGAAACCTATGCTGTGTCAAATATTTAATCACAATCCAAATTCAGTGCTGTATCAAGCTTGAATGTTGTGTCCATACTTGCCCCAACTGTTCAGGGTTCGACCTCTGCAGTCGTATCAAGCTGCGCCCCAGCGGAACATTTTATTTGTTATTATCTTAGATATCATTATAATATCTAATATCTAATGCTATTAATTATGATTTTAACCTTATTTTACATGATTTCCAAAGCATCAGTAAATACAGGTGAGCGACACAGGCTCTTGAGAGCCTCTAGTTAAATCACCCTTCACCCTTTAAATAACTGACTTATTTGTATAATTTTCAGTGGTTCTTCCATGTATTGTAACTGACTGGAATGTTTGGTCAGCAGCTGATGCTACTGGCTCTTCATTCAGATGGAGATTTGTAACCAGACCAGCAATTAATGGAGGAAAAGAATGTCCAGATCTAATACAGGGCAGAAAAAGTATGATTATAAACAATATGTTCAATATATATACAGACTTGTCAGATTTACACATTTTTAAAGTTAAATAAACTATTGATCATAATTTTAAATGATCATGTTTCACTAGAAACTCTATTCATTGAGCATCTTACAAAAAAACTGTAAGTAAATAGATAACATTTTAATGGCAGTTAACATGAGGTAATTCTGAAAAGAGTAAAAATTGTTGGGTTTTTTTTCAAATAAATTGTGTCAAAGTTCCTTCTCTGCCCAATGCTTAAGTAAAAAGTAAAAAAATTGGATAGTTTCAAACAGAATTGGTTATAGAATTGAACAAGTTATGAAAAGAATCTTACAGTACTAGTTCAGCAGTCAAACTGAATATCTCTTGTAAAGCAGTTCACAATAATACATTTATTTCTTGTTCCATGTGTGCTGACATTTAAATAATTCCCTATAGTATCAAACTGAAATTATTGTCTTTCTATTTTTATCAGTACCACTGCCACTTATTGTGGGTCCATGGAATACATGGGCAGCACCTGATGCCACTGGAAGCACCTTCAGATGGAGATATGTATTGCGACCAGCAATTAACAAGGATGAAAAGGTTCCAGAACTCATTGAGGCCAAGAAGGGTAAATAAACCTAATTTTTATGGTTAGAATAATAAACAGCTGATAGTATTGACCACTTTTGTATGAATAAAACAGTTTCAGAGTAATGGAAGATTCTTAGCTTTCAATTGCGTTTTTTTAACAATTTCCACATTCATGTGTAAATTAGGTAATTTTGAAATCGTACTTAAGATACTTCTAAAATGCAGCTTAAATCCAAATTTTATAATGCACCAGCCATCACCAGAGGGGGCATTAAGTGTTACCTTTGTCTGTTCGTACCTTCTTCTTACGTAACCGTTCTTGAGTTATGCCCCTTTTTAACGTTATATGCAAGGGGGCATCATCTGTGTCCAATGGACATATTCTCCATTTATTTGTTTTACTTTCAGTTCCACTTCCATGTATTGTAAATGACTGGAACGCATGGTCAGCACCTGATGCAACTGGATCTTCATTCAGATGGAGATTTGTTGTCAGACCAGCCATAAACGGAGGAAAAGAATGTCCAGATCTTATACAGTCAAGAAAGGGTATGACTATGAAATATGTGCCAATTGTCCTAAGTCAGGAGCCTGTTATTTAGTGGTTGTCATTTGTTGCTGTATACCATTTTTGTTTTTCTTTATGGTTTTGTACATAAATCAGGCCATTAGTTTTTTTAGTTTGGATTGTTGTACATTTTTCATTTTGTTGCCTTTTATAGATTGCTATGCGGTATAGGTTTTGCTCATTGTTGAAGGCCCTATGGTGACCTATAGATTCTAACCTTGAATGGTCTCATTGGGAATCATATCACATCTTAGATTTAAATAATCTTGTCATGGTTCTCAAAACTCTCTTTTTTTTTTTTTGGCTTCCACAACTTTTAAAAGAATGATGGTTACCAAAAAAGCTTATTTACATAATTTTGAGATTGGGGGATATAATTCACTGCAAATTTTGTAAATGACAATCATTTTTGGGTTGATAATATATATGAAAGTTTGACCCTAAAAGTGTTTACACCTTTCATGCAAAAAAATATCAAATCATACCTGATAGTCAATTATGGGCCCAGATTTTAGGAGCAATATATATAATATTTATCTATATTATTTTAACACTTTTTTCATTGTCAATTTTGATTGACAGTGAACCACAAAGACCACTTACAATATTTGAATTTTTTTAAAGGCCGGCTTCCATTAGTTGACTGTTTTAGACAATTAAGGGTTTATTACTGGTTTCATGTGTACTGTAATTTAATTAACTCCAAATAGTATGAAACTGAAATCATTGTTTCTCTCTTTTTAATAGTACCATTGCCACTTATTGTGGGTCCATGGAATACATGGGCAGCGCCTGATGCCACTGGAACCACCTTTAGATGGAGATCTGTATTACGACCAGCAATTAACAAGGATGAAAAGGTTCCAGAACTCATTGAGGCCAAGAAAGGTAAATTGATCTTATTTTCTTGGTTCTTATAAAAGAAAGTTGAAAGTATTGACCACTGTTCCAGCAAAATCTGCTTTACCTGATACATTTTTTTCATGTTAATTTAAAATAAAATCATTACAAGTCAGTTGTTACTGCATTTTTACATACTGGCTTTGTTCTTTCAGAATACAAATGTACCAATTCAGCCAATAGCAAGAAAAGGATTGTTGTTAGAATAAAACAGTCACAGTGTAATGAAAATAGGATAATCTCAATTAAGCCAATGATTGACTTTCTATTACAAACAGATTCTGGAATTTAAAAATCAAACAATGAATTCAGTTTTGATAAAATTTTACAAACTGTACATCCTTAAGTCAATCAGTTACTTTTTTAATCGTTGTGAAATTAAAATTTACCATGTAACCATAATTAATTGTATAACTTTCAGTCAAACTGCCATGTATTGTCAGTGACTGGAATGTATGGTCAGCACCTGATGCTACAGGCTCTTCATTCAGATGGAGATTTGTTGTCAGACCAGCAATTAATGGAGGACAAGAATGTCCAGACCTCATACAGGGCAAGAAAGGTGTGACTATAATCAACATTTACAATAAATATAAATCACTAGTCAGAATTCTATAATTTCAATGTAAATAACTCTTGACAATTTATATTATATGATCATTTTACACCCGAAATTCCATTCAAAAAGCTTCTCACAAAACAAAAATCAGTTTTTGTCTCGTTTTTAATTGCATCAGTAACAGAAGTTTATCTTAGGCATACTGTTTTTAGCTATGGTATAAAAATAAGAAGATGTGGTAAGGTGTCATCATAAAAAAATTTAATTAAAGTTTTGTAATTAGGTCAGTTTGAGTGGGACCACATAGGTCAATTATATTTTTTTTTACAGTTGAATGAGCATTGACACATATTTCCACATACCACATCTAAGTTTTGAATAATCTTGTATTGGTTCTCAAAACTCTCATTTTTATTGGTTTCAACAACTTTAAAAGAATGATGGTGGCAAAAAAAGCTAATTTACATATTTTTGAGATTGAGCAATAAAATTCACTGCAAGTTTTGTTATAAAAAATTCATTTTTGGATTGAGAATATATATAAAAGTTTCACTCTAAATGTGTCCACACCTTTCATGCAAATAAAAAATATCAAATCATACCAATCTAGTCATTTTTGGGCCCAGACTTTAGGAGCAAAATATATCATATTTATCTACGTTATGTAAACACTTTTTTCATTGTTTTAGACAATTAAGGGTTTATTACTAGTTTCATGTGTACTGCCATTTAAATAAATCAAAATGGTATGAAACAGAAATCATTGTTTCTCTCCTTTAACAGTACCATTGCCACTTATTGTGGGTCCATGGAATACATGGGCAGCACCTGATGCCACTGGAAGCACCTTCAGATGGAGATATGTATTGCGACCAGCAATTAACAAGGATGAAAAGGTTCCAGAACTCATTGAGGCCAAGAAAGGTAAAAGAAAGCTGAAAGTATTGACCACTATTGCAGCAAAATCGTATTTACCTGAAACAATTATTTCTTTTTAATTAATTAGTTGCAAGTCAGATGCTTCTGCATTTTTACATATAAGCATTGTTCTTTCAGAATACAAATGTACCAATTACTTCATCAATCTGCAGTTTATATAATTAATTCAATATCAAACCAATCATCTTGATGAAAAAATCAGCTCATTGCAAGAAAAGATCATTGTTAGAATAAAACAGTCACAGTGTAATGAACATATGATAATCTAAAGCCAATGAATAGAATCTGGAATTTAAAATCAAACTGAATTCAGTTTTGAATAAAATTTCACAAACTGTTACATCCTTAAGTCAATCACATACTTGTTTAATCGGTGTGAAATTAAAATTAATCATGTTACCATATTTAATTGTATAACTTTCAGTCAAGCTGCCATGTATTGTCAGTGACTGGAATGTATGGTCAGCACCTGATGCTACAGGCTCTTCATTCAGATGGAGATTTGTTGTCAGACCAGCAATTAATGGAGGACAAGAATGTCCAGACCTCATACAGGGCAAGAAAGGTATGACTATAATCAACATTTACAATAAATATAAATATCAAAGTAGTTAACTCTTGATAATTATTATTATATGATCATGTTACACACGAAATTCCATTCAAAAAGCTTCTCACAAAAAAATTCAGTTTTTGTCTAGCTTTTTACTGCATCAGTAACAGAAGTTTATCCTAGGCATACTGTTTTCATCTATGGTATAAAAGTAAGAAGATGTGGTAAGGTGTTGTCATAAAAAATTTGATGAAAGTTTTGTAATAAGGTCAGTTTGAGTGGGACCACATTCTGTAGGTCAATTATATTTTGTTTGCAGTTGAATGAGCATTGACACATATTTCCATGTAGAATATTCATCCCCGACTCAGTCATGGCTCATTGACTTTAAAACTTATGCATAACTCTCATGTTTAAGTTTGTGATAAGATCAGGTTAATGGGAATCGTTACATAAGTGCATGATATTTAGTATGCAGTTGAATTAGCATTTGCACATATCATTTTCATTGAGATTATTTGACCCTGTCCCCTAAGTCATTGTCTATTAACTGAAACTTTAGCATAGCTTAGAAGTAAGTTTGTGATTAGATCAGTTTAAGGGTAACCACTAATGGTGAGTCAATAATATGTGGCATGTTTATTGCTCTGTTCATAAATCAGGCTGGTAGTTTTCCAGTTTGGATTGTTTTACATTTGTTATTTCGTGGCCTTTTATAGATTGCTATGTGGTGTTGATTTTTCTCATTGTTGAAGGCCCTATAGTGACCTATTGATGCTAGCCTTGAGTTGGCTCATTTGGAATCATACCACATCTTAGTTTTAAATAATGTAGTCATGGTTCTCTAAAATCTCTTTTTTTTCCCACAACTTTAAAAGAATGATGGTGGCAAAAAAAAATAATTTGCATATTTTTTAGATTGAGGGATAAACTTCACTGCAAGTTTTGTTATTAAAAATCATTTTTGGGTTGAGAATATATATAAAACTTTGACTCTAAATGTGTTCACACCTTTCATGCAAATAAAAAATATCAAATCATACCAGATAGTCAATTTTGTGCCCAGACTTTAGGAGCAAATTTATCATAACTTATCTTCATTATTTAAACACTTTTTTCATTGTCAATTTTGATTAATAGTGAATCACAAAGACCACTTACAATATTTGAAAAATTTTAAAGGCTTGCATAAGTTTACTGTTTTAGACAATTAAAGGTTTATAATTAGCTTCATGTGCACTGCTATTAAGTAAATAACTCCAAATGGTATGAAACTGAAATCATTGTTTCTCTCTTTTTAACAGTACCATTGCCACTTATTGTGGGTCCATGGAATACATGGGCAGCACCTGATGCCACTGGAAGCACCTTCAGATGGAGATATGTATTGCGACCAGCAATTAACAAGGATGAAAAGGTTCCAGAACTCATTGAGGCCAAGAAAGGTAAATTGACCTTATTATAGTGGTTCATAAAAAAGAAAACTGAAAGTATTGACCACTATTGCAGCAAAATCTGTTTTACCTGATACAATTTTTTCTTTTCAATTTAAAAAACAGCATTGCAAGTTAGTTTTTACTGCATTTTTACATATTGACCATGTTCTTTTAGAATACAAATCTACCAATTACCTCTTTTATCTGCAGTTTATATAATTAATTCAATATCAAACCAATCATCTTCATAAAAAAATCAGCAGATTGCAAGAAAAGATTGTTGTTAGAATAAAACAGTCACAGTGTAATGAAAATATGATAATCTCAAGCCAATGATTGACTTTCTATTACAAACAGAATCTGGAATTTTAAAATCAATCAATGAATTCAGTTTTGAATAAAATTTCACAAACTGTACATCCTTAAGTCAATCAGATACTATTTTGATGTTGTGAAATTAAAATTTACCATGTAACCATATTTAATTGTATAACTTTCAGTCAAGCTGCCATGTGTTGTTAGTGACTGGAATGTATGGTCAGCACCTGATGCTACAGGCTCTTCATTCAGATGGAGATTTGTTGTCAGACCAGCAATTAATGGAGGACGAGAATGTCCAGACCTCATACAGGGCAAGAAAGGTATGACTAAAATCAACATTTACAATAAATATGAATAACTAGTCAGAATTCTATAATTTCAAAGTAGTTAACTCTTGACAATTTATATCATATGATAATTTTATACCCAAAATTCCATTCAAAAAGCTTCTCACAAAAATATTTTTGTTTTTGTCTGGCTTCTAACTGCATCAATAACAGAAGTGTATCTTGGGCATACTGTTTTCAGCTATGGTGTTTTCATAAAAAATTTGATAAAAGTTTTGTAATTAGGTCAGTTTGAGTGGGACCACATTCTGTAGATCAATTATATTTTGTTTTGCAGTTGAATGAGCATTGACACATATTTCCATTGATATTATCCATCCCCCACTTTGTCATGGTCCATTGACTTTAAAACTTATGCATAACTTACCACATGTTTAAGTTTGTGATAAGATCAGGTTAATAGGAATCGTTACATAAGTGCATGATATTTAGTATGCAGTTGTATTAGCATTGGCACACATCATTCCCATTGAGATTAGTTGATCCTGTCCCCTAGTCATTGTCTATTGACTGAAACTTTTGCATAGCTTACCAGTAAGTTTGTGATTAGATCAGTTTAAGGGTAACCACTAATGGTGAGTCAATAATATGTGGCATGTTTATTGTTCTGTTCAGAAATCAGGCTGTTAGTTTCCTAGTTTGGAGTGTTTTACATTTGTCATTTTGTGGCCTTTTATAGATTACTCTGCGGTATGGATTTTGCTCATTGTTGCTGGCTGTTTGGTGACCTGAAGATGCTTACCTTGAGTTGTCTCATTTAGAATCATACCACATCTTAGTTTTGAATAATCTTGTCATGGTTCTCAAAACTCATTTTTTGTCTTTTTTATTGTTTCCACAACTTTAAAAGAATGATGATGGCAAAAAAAAGCTTATTTTACATATTTTTGAGATTGAGGGATAAACTTCACTACAAGTTTTGTTATTGACAATCATTTTTGGGTTGAGAATATATATAAAAGTTTACCCTAAAGGTGTTCACACCTTTCATGCAAATAAAAGATATCAAATCATACCCTATAGTCATTTTTGGGCCCAGACTTTAGGAGCAAAATATATCATATTTATCTACATTCTTTAAACACTTTTTTCATTGTCAATTTTGATTGACAGTGAATCACAAAGACCACTTAAAATATTTGAAGATTTTGAAGGCTGCATATATAAGTTTACTGTTTTAGACAGTTAAGGGTTTATTACTAGTTTCATGTGTACTACCATTTAAATAACTCCAAATGGTATGAAACAGAAATCATTGTTGCTCTCTTTTTAACAGTACCATTGCCACTTATTGTGGGTCCATGGAATACATGGGCAGCACCTGATGCCACTGGAAGCACCTTCAGATGGAGATATGTATTGCGACCAGCAATTAACAAGGATGAAAAGATTCCAGAACTCATTGAGGCCAAGAAAGGTAAATTGACCACTATTGCAGCAAAATCTGTTTTACCTGATACAATTTTTTCTTGTTAATTAAAAAAAACAGCATTGCAAGTTAGTTGTTACTGCATCTTTGCATATAAACATTGTTCTTCCAGAATACTAATGTACCAATTACTTCTTCAATCTGCAGTTTATATAATTAATTCAATATCAAACCAATCATTTTGATAAAAAAAATAAGCGGATTGCAAGAAAATATTGTTGTTAAAATAAAACAGTCACAGTTTAATGAAAATATGATAATCTCAAGCCAATCATTGACTTTCTATTACAAACAGAATCTGGATTTTTAAAATCAAACAATGAAGTCAGTTTTGAATAAAATTTCACACAAACTGTACAACCTTAAGTCAATCAGATACTTTTTTAATCATTGTGAAATAAAAATTTACCATGTAACCATATTTAATTGTACAACTTTTAGTCAAGCTGCCATGTATTGTCGGTGACTGGAATGAATGGTCAGCACCTGATGCTACAGGCTCTTCATTCAGATGGAGATTTGTTGTCAGACCAGCAATTAATGGAGGACAAGAATGTCCAGACCTCATACAGGGCAAGAAAGGTATGACTTTAATCGACATTTATGATAAATATAAATTACTAGTCAGAATTCTATAATTTCAAAGTAGTTAACTCTTGACAATTTATATTATATGATCATGTTACACCCGAAATTCCATTCATAAAGCTTCTCACAAAAAAAAATTCAGTTTTCGCCTTGCTTTTAACTGCATCAGTAACAGAAGTTAATCTTAGGCATACTGTTTTCAGGTATTGTTTAAAAATGAGAAGATGTGGTAAGGTGTCATTAAAATTTCATAAAAGTTTTGTAATTAGGTCAGTTTGAGTGGGACCACATGCTGTAGGTCAGGTATATTTTGTTTGCAGTTGAATGAGCATTGACACATATTTCCATGGATATTATCCATCCCCCACTTAGTCATGGTCCATTGACTATAAAACCTATGCATAACTTACATGTTTAAGTTTGTGATAAGATCAGTTTAATGGGAATCGTTACATAAGTGCATGAAATTTAGTATGCAGTTGCATTAGCATTGGCACACATCCTTTCTATTGAGATTAGTTTATCCTGTCCCCTAGTCATTGTCTATTGACTGAAACTTTTGCATAGCTTACAAGTAAGTTTGTGATTAGATCAGTTTAAGGGTAACCGCTAATGGTGAGTCAATAATATGTGGCATGTTTATTGTTCTGTTCAGAAATCAGGCTGTTAGTTTTCTAGTTTGGATTGATTTATATTTGTCATTTCGTGGCCTTTTATATATTGCTATGCGGTATGGACTTTGCTCATTGTTGAAGGCCCTATGGTGACCTATAGATTCTAACCTTGAGTTGTCTCATGGGGAATCATACCACATCTTAGTTTTGAATAATCTTGTCATGGTTTTCAAAACTCTAAGTTTATTTTTTTTCAACAACTTTAAAAGAAAGATGGTGGCAAAAAAAGCTTATTTACATATTTTTGAGATTGGGAGATAAAATTCACTGCAAGTTTTGTTATTGACAATCATTTGTGGGTTGAGAATATATATAAAAGTTTTACCCTAAATGTGTTCACACCTTTCATGCAAATAAAAAATATCAAATCATACCAGATAGTCATTTTTTAGCCCAGACTTTAGGAGCAAAATATATCACATTTATCATTATTATTTTAACACTTTTTTCATTGTCAATTTAGATTGACAGTGAATCACAAGACCAATTACAATATTTGAAAATTTTTAAAGGCTTGCATAAATTTACTGTTTAAGACAATTAAGGGTTTATTACTAGTTTAATGTGTACTGCCAATTAAATTAAGTCAAAATCGTATGAAACTGAAATCATTGTTGCTCTCTTTTTAAAAGTACCATTGCCACTTATTGTGGGTCCATGGAATACATGGGCAGCACCTGATGCCACTGGAAGCACATTCAGATGGAGATATGTATTGCGACCAGCAATTAACAAGGATGAAAAGGTTCCAGAACTCATTGAGGCCAAGAAAGGTAAATTGACATTATTTTTGTGGTTCTTAATAAAGAAAGCTGAAAGTATTGACCACTATTACAGCAAAATCTGTTTTACCTGAAACATTTTTTTCTTTTTAATTAGAAAAAAGCATTGCAAATTAGTTGTTACTGCATTTTTACATATTAGCTTTAATCTTTCAGAATGCAAATGAACCAATTACTTCTTAAATCTGCAGTTTATATAATTAATTCAATATCAAACCAATCATCTTGATAAAAAGTCAGCAGATTGCAAGAAAAGATTGTTGTTAATCAGATACTTTTTTAATCATTGTGAAATTAAAATTTACCATGTTATCATATTTAATTGTATAACTTTCAGTCAAGCTGCCATGTATTGTCAGTGACTGGAATGAATGGTCAGCACCTGATGCTACAGGCTCTTCATTCAGATGGAGATTTGTTGTCAGACCAGCAATTAATGGAGGACAAGAATGTCCAGACCTCATACAGGGCAAGAAAGGTATGACTATAATCAACATTTACAATAAATATAAATAACTGGTCAGAATTCTATAATTTCAAAGTAGTTTACTCTTGACAATTTATATTATATGATCATTTTACACCCAAAATTCCATTCAAAAAGCTTCTACCAAATAAAAATTCAGTTTTTGTCTCGCTTTTAACTGCATCAGTAACAGAAGTTTGTCTTGGGCATACTGTTTTCAGCTATGGTGTTGTCATAAAAAATTTGATAAAAGTTTTGTAATTAGGTCAGTTTGAGTGGGACCACAAGTTGTAGATCAATTATATTTTGTATGCAGCTGAATGAGCATTGACACATATTCCCATCTGGATTATCCATCCCCTACTCAGTCATGGTCTATTTATTTTAAAACTTATGCATAACTTGCATGTTTAAGTTTGTGATAAGATCAGTTTAATGGGAATTGTTACATAAGTGCATGATATTTACTATGCAGCTGTATTAGCATTGGCACACATCATTTCCATTGAGATTAGTTGACCCTGTTCCCCAAGTCATTGTCTTTTGACTGAAACTTTTGCATAGCTAACAAGTAAGTTTGTGATAAAATCAATTTAAGGGTAACCATAAATGATGAGTCAATAATATGTGGCATGGTTTTGTATTAGCAGCTGCACATCTCATTTCTGTTGAAATTATTTGGCCTTGCCCTTCTCAGCCATGGTCAATTGAATTTGAAATTTTTGCATAGTTTATATATTAATTGCTGCAATTTCATTTTCAATATATACATTATGTTATCAAAATCAGATACACAAAATTTGAGAAAGATTTGGTTATAAATTTTTAGCAAAAGCTGAAAAGAATCTTTAATTACTAGCAGTTTTTCAATAGGTTCAGCAGCTAAACTAAACAATAGTAGACAATAAAGCATTAATTTCTTTTTCCTTGTGTACTGCTTTTAAGTAATTCCCTATTGTATCAAACTGAAATCATTGTTTCTCTCTTTTTAATAGTACCACTGCCACTTATTGTGGGTCCATGGAATACATGGGCAGCACCTGATGCCACTGGAAGCACCTTCAGATGGAGATATGTATTGAGACCAGCAATTAACAAGGACGAAAAGGTTCCAGAACTCATTGAGGCCAAGAAGGGTAAATATACCTAATTTACTTGATTAAGGTAAAAAAAAAGAAAAAGCTTACAGTGTTTACCTGTATTGCAGTTGATTTACTCAGGTTACAATGTTTATGCATTGAGGCTTAGTTTTCTCAGGATACCAATTACCCAAATTTTTATGCTTAAGTTTGAATAACCTATTCAAATTGGATAAAAAAACATTAATGGTACCAATTTTACGGCACCAGATATACATTTTGACATATAACATCTCTTCAGTGATGCTGGAGGCCAAAGTATTAAAAAGTTTAAGCCTGAACAAATGTTGAAGAGCTGATAAAATCAATATGGACCAAAGGTAAACCCAAAATCCAAACATGGAATGATAGGGAGGGAGATACACTGGTGATAAGAAAATTAGGTTATTGAAAGGGACAGATTGTTAATAGTATAAAACAGTCACAACTAAATATTCTAGATCAAATGATATACAAAGATTTTAAAAGAAAAAAAAGCAAAACTAAGAATATTGCACAGAGTCAATCAGGTACTTTTTTTTATCATGTTTAAATTACAGCAAATCACATAAACATCTTTTCTTTATAACTTTTAGTTCAACTTCCATGTATTGTAACTGACTGGAATGAATGGTCAGCACCTGATGCTACAGGCTCTTCATTCAGATGGAGATTTGTTGTCAGACCAGCCATTAATGGAGGAAAAGAATGTCCAGACCTCATACAGTCAAAGAAAAGTATAAATTAAAAATCCCTATGTACAATAAATATACATGCTTAATGAAAACTTCAAAGTAGTTAACTCATCACCATATATATTATGTGCATGGTTTTTTTTTTTCCATCAGAACATCCATTTGATGTGTATCTCTTAATACCAGACTGACGATAGTAGGGGCATTGTGGTTTTTGTCTGTGCCACTGTATGTCATGACCAGGATCAAGTTTAAAGTAGTTAATACTATAAAGGTGTGAGGAAATCAACTTGAAACTTAGTACATATGTTCATTATGGTGTGAACTTTAAAAAAAAGATATGCCAAATTAGGTTTTTGTTCTAGATTTCATGGTTCACTGATCATGTTAATTTTTTGGTGTAGTGTAGTTTACCGTCAAGTTGTGATCACATCAACTTAAAACTTATTGCACATGTTCATTATGATTTTAACTTGTTCTACATAGTTGCCAAATAGTTCAGTTTCAAAATTAGGGCTTAGTCACAGATTTTGTAGTTGACTAAAATTGCATATGGATTGTGATATTGTTTAATGGGGCATTTTGAGTCATTGGTAGTAGTTCTAGATAAAAGTTTACCAGAATTTATGGTTTTCCTCATTCAATTTTTTCACACTTTATCTTAGGCGATTTTAGTGATCAACTGGTTACTCTTTAATTGTTTGTAAAATGATCAATAAAAGAGGAAAATTGATTTTTTATGGATTATATACACTGATTTCAATGAAATTTCAAGAAAATGCCCCTGTCTGAACATTTTTCCAATGACGAACCCTCAATATTGAACCAAGTTTTGGTTCATATGTGAAAAATAATTAGCCTGATCTACTTATTGATAAAGTTATGACAATTGTTCACATCTTACCTGATGCTGTCAGCTTTTCCATTGCCATCATAGCTCAACTTCTCATTAAGAACCTCAGAAATTTATTTTTAAAATCAAGTGATAATTGGGTATTTTCAAGCAGTTTTAGTAATATTCAGTTTTCAATATAACATTTTTAAAATATGATTGTGGGCATTTTATTTAATAGTGATTTTTTATGAAAGTCACTTAGCATTAAGTTTTTTTTTAACATATTTTATCTCAGAACTATATTAATGATATTTACCTTTAACAAAAGCTGAAATAAATTTGTTTATATTATTTGTTTCTTTAAAATATGTTTGACAGTGAAAATGAAAGTCTATCCAGTAGATATTTAAGGGTTAACTTTATTACTTGTTTCATATGTTCTGCTAGTAAAATGATTCCCTAAGGTAAAAACTTAAATCATTGTTTCTCTCTTTTTAATAGTACCACTCCCACTTATTGTGGGTCCATGGAATACATGGGCAGCACCTGATGCCACTGGAAGCACCTTCAGATGGAGATATGTATTGCGACCAGCAATTAACAAGGATGAAAAGGTTCCAGAACTCATTGAGGCCAAGAAGGGTAAATAAACTGTATGCTAGTGGTTGTGCTAATGAACAGCTGATTGATCGTGATCAAATTTGTTTATAATTGCTTTATACAAATTTTCTTGTTAGTGGTGACTGTGTTTACTGAAATAAACTGATCAGTGCAGGAGAAATCTGGTTAGCTGAAAATAGTTTCTATGTTATTAAATATTTTTCTTCCAATTACGATGATTTAACCATCTCTAAATTCATGAGTAAGTCAGGATCTTTTTCATCATATTAAAATTACTTGTAAAATGCCACACATAACAATTTCTTCATTTTATAACTTTCAGTTCCACTTCCATGTATTGTCAATGACTGGAATGCATGGTCAGCACCTGACGCTACAGGCTCTTCATTCAGATGGAGATTTGTTGTCAGACCAGCCATAAACGGAGGAAAAGAATGTCCAGATCTTATACAGGGCAAGAAAGGTATGACTATAATCAACATTTACAATAAATATAAATAACTAGTCAGAATTCTATAATTTCTAAGCAGTTAACTCTTGACAATTTATATTATATGATCATTTTACACCCGAAATTCCATTCAAAAAGCTTCTCACAAAAAAAAAAATCAGTTTTTGTCTCGCTTTAACTACATCAGTAACAGAAATTAATCTTGGGCATACTGTTTTCGGCTATGGTGTTTTCATAAAAAAAAATGATAAAAGTTTTGTAATTAAGTCAGTTTGAGTGTGACCACATGCTGTAGGTCAATTATATTTTGTATACAGTCAAGAAAGGGTATGTTTATTTATGAAAGGAGAAGGTTTGTTAAGGGCCAATTTTTTAGCCTTTCGAATTTGAAAATCAAAAAGTATTGTAAATCTACCAAATGACATCTGTCACATGTTCATAAGACGTTAGTCTGTCGAATATCAGTATTTATATTTTTTTTATTTATCTTAAGTTTTGGCAATAATGCTTCAAACTCCTTGCATTTAGTGCAAATCTACTAAAACTGCAAAAAATAGCCTCATTTTAGATCTTGCCATTTGTATTTGAATGTGAGCTAAAGCTTTACCCAAAAAGAAATTTTTCTACAAGATGTATTTGACAAAGGTGCCAGTAATGTGTAAAATATATTTTTGGGGTAAGGTCTTAATTTCGACAGACAAGTACATTAATTTTGACATGTTTAGGACATTATATAGACCAGTTCATTTATCAATAAAAATAATATTTTTTTTTACAGTAAATGCTTGCATATGTTTACTGTTTTAAACATTAAGGGTTTATAATTTATTTCATGTGTACTGCCATTAAAATGATTCCCTATGGTATCAAACTTAAATCATTGTTTGTCTGTTTTTTACAGTACCACTGCCACTTATTGTGGGTCCATGGAATACATGGGCAGCACCTGATGCCACTGGAAGCACCTTCAGATGGAGATATGTATTGCGACCAGCAATTAACAAGGACGAAAAGGTTCCAGAACTCATTGAGGCCAAGAAGGGTAAATAAACCTAATTTTCATGGTTAGAATAATAAAAAGCTGATTTATTGACCACTGTTGCAACAGAATCTGTTAAACCTGATATAATTTTTTCTTGTTAGTGGTTGTTACTGCAGGGGAAAAAAGTAATCGAGGAGAAATATTGATGTATGCAGAAAATAGTTTCAGAGTAAAGAAATATTCTTAGCTTCCACTTGTGATGATTTAACAATCTCCACATTCATGTGTAAATTATGTCCTTTTGCTATTTTACTTTATATTACTAATAAAATGCAGCTCAAACTATATCTTATTTGTGCAATTTTCAGTCCAACTTCCATGTATTGTAACTGACTGGAATACTTGGTCAGCAGCTGACGCTACAGGCTCTTCATTCAGATGGAGATTTGTTGTCAGACCAGCAATTAATGGAGGAAAAGAATGTCCAGATCTTATACAATCAAGAAAGGGTATGACTATGAAATATGCTTATGATATTCACAAAACTCTCATTTTCTAATTAATTGTATTAAGGACAACTTTAAAAGATTGAAGTTGGCTGAAAAAGTTTATTTACATATTTTTGAGATTGAAGGATAAAACTCTGACCCAATTGCATTTTGTTTCATCAAATCAAACTCTTCAACTTATCAGAAATTTTTTTAAACTCCCGTTGAAGAACCAGTCAAATAATCAATGTTAGTAGTGAAAAGTGAAAAAAGGCATACTTGCAATCTTTTTTTTATTTAATTATAACAGTACCACTGCCACTGATTGTGTCTGAATGGAATACATGGTCTGCACCTGATGCCACTGGAAGCACCTTCAGATGGAGATATGTATTGCGACCAGCAATTAACAAGGATGAACCAATTCCAGAACTCATTGAGGCCAAGAAAGGTAAATATACCTTATATTTAGCTAGGTTTGACCACTGTTGCATTTGTTTGCTACTTGTTACTTGCGACCAGCAATAAACAAAGTGGGAAAAGTAACAGGTCTTATTGAAGCAAAGAAAAGTAGTTAATATAAAAAAGGAGATGTTGTATGATTGCCAATGAGACAACTATACACCAGAGTCAAAATGGTATAGATGTTAGCAATTATAGATGGATGCAGTTAAACCCAGTTACCACTTACTGTTATCATGGATAGTTTTGCAATTGAATCTTAATGTTCTAGTTGATACAGATTTTCTTGTTAGAGTCAAATTTTAGAAACCCTTACATGGTCCTTCCTGATTTTTTTCTTATTAAACAATTATAATGCAGTTATACTTTTTATTTTGTACATATAGATAAGGAAAGGAAATTTTGTAAAGATTCTTATAGAAGTGTAGGTCTAATGAAAAGTACATTTCCATTGTTAATCACCATTTTTAATCATTACAGTACCACTGCCATGTATGGTGTCTGACTGGAATGAATGGTCAGCACCTGATGCCACCGGAACTTCATTCAGATATAGATCTGTCACAAGACCACCAATCAACATAAATGGAGAATGTCCACCATTAATACAAGCTAAGAAAGGTTGGTGTCCTTTCATTTCATATAAATTGATATATATGTGCTGTATACCAAGGTGTTCTTTCTTAAATTATTAACCTTTTTAGGTATTTTTTGTGTACCAATTCACTGTTTGTTGCACTAAAAAATACTTGAAATGATTTCATTTGTTAATAAAACTAAAAAAAGTATGTTAAAAAAACAATATCTTCAAACCAAGGCTTTATGGAGTCTGAGAATGTTAAAAGAACAGTTTTGCACATGATACATACATTGTATGGTAATGCAAAAAGAAGAGTTTTACACCATGATACATAAATTGTGTGGGAATGTAAAAAGAACAGTTTTGCACCATGATACATAAATTTTGTTAACAACTTTTCTTGTAACCTGATTATTACCTCATATATACTGTACCACATTTTCTTTAATTTCGTTTGTGTAACTTTCAGTCAAACTACCATGTATTGTCACGGATTGGAACACTTGGTCATCACCTGATGCTACTGGGTCTTCATTCAGATGGAGATTTGTAACCAGACCATCAATAAATGGAGGTCAAGAATGTCCAGACCTTATACAAGGAAGAAAGGGTATGAGTTTTAACAAGATATAAAAAAGAATTGTCAATTTTTTTTTCTGATATTAAATGTTTCCTGAGGTTAACGAATTAGATCACAAAGATAAATTCTTATACATTCCAAGCCAGAACTGGACTCTGTACACAGCTTCAAATTGTAAAAACAGGCAGATATGTTACAATTGCCAAATATGTAAGCAACTACAGGTCACTGTACAGCCTTCAACAATGAGTTAAACCAATGCTGTATATTTAGCCATAAAAGTTCCACCACTGTCCTAGTAGAAAGTGGTTGTTTATTGGCATGATTGAAATGATGAATGTTTTACTACTTTTTCCACTGAAAAGTTGATTTTAGCAACACTGGCTGATCTATTTTTGCCTAGTTAGTTTTCATATTTATACCATATATTGATGTCATTTGCTTCCAAAACTTAGGGTCTTGAGTGTAGCTGATTCATTCTCTGGTTTATATGGAGATGGGGATTAGGAAATAAAACACCTTACTATCAGTGACACTTGTATAAGAAATTTTTCAATACTGTAAATTCAGAAATTATTGCGATGTTTTTATTATCGCGAAAAATGCGACAGGGTTATAATCGCAATAATTTAAACTCGCATTTTGAAATTCTTTATATGAATTAAACAGGATTTTTCTCAATATCGCCAAAATTAAAATCGCATTTTAGTCTAAAATGGCAAAATCGCAATAATAAATGCACGCAATAATTTCTGAATTTACAGTATAATATGAAATATTTTAACATAATGACATCATATGTGGTTTCAAACAGTGGACAAACTTAAAAGTTGCATCCACTCTATGTTAAATATAATGACAGCAAAAGCTCAACTCATTTTCCAAGAAATTGTATGCCTAATTCATATGATGAAAGAAAAGAAATTGTAACACTAATCCATTCAGTGTGTACATCAGCTTTGTCCACTCCTATTGTTGACAGGTGGAAATAACAAAATCTTGTTGACGGGTGGAAATTACAAAATTTGTTGATGGGTGGAAAATGTAAATCTTGTTGACGAGTGGAAATTATAAAATCTTGTTGACGGGTGGAAATTACAAAATTTGTTGATGGGTGGAAAATATAAATCTTGTTGACGAGTGGAAATAACAAAATCTTGTTGATGGGTGGAAATAACAAAATCCACCTGAGACTTAGTACATAGTGCAAAAAAAAACAATATTCTGGTTATATATCTAGGAAATCATTGCCTTTGATAATAAATAGAATTCTTTATCTAACATTATTTTTCAGTACCATTGCCATTAATTGTGTCTGACTGGAATGAATGGTCAGCACCTGATGCCACAGGAAGCTCTTTCAGATGGAGATTCGTAACAAGACCAGCAATTAACAAGGATGAACCAATTCCACCACTTATACAAGGAAAGAAAAGTAAATACTTTTATCATTATATGTTATTACTGTAAATTCAGAAATTATTGCATGCATTTATTATTGCGATTTTGTCATTTTAGACTAAAATGCGATTCCAATTTTTGCGATATTGAGAAAAATCCTGTTTAATTCATACAAAATATTTCAAAATGCGAGTTTAAATTATTGCGATTATAACCCTGTCGCATTTTTCGCAATAGTAAAAACATCACAATAATTTCTGAATTTACAGTACCATTGATATTGTGTAAGGGCACAGTAAGGGTTTTATTGTTTTCAAACTATTACATTGCTGACTTGAATCATCTTAATTGATTTATTATAGTTTTATCAACATTCTAGTCTGCCTAATCTGTTTTGCTGTAGCAGCTCATTTATTTCTTAAAAGATAAGCATTACTGTAAATTCAGAAAGGGGGGTTCAACATTTACCTTAAGTTCTTATATCAAGTAGATCATCCATATACTGTACCCTTACTTATTTTTGCAGTGCTTTTTTCATGCTTACAGTTTACTTTTTCAATTCTTGCAAAAGTCTTAACCTAACCAAAATTAAGTGATCTGCATCTATACATTATCATTTCAGTACCACTGCCATGTATGGTATCTGACTGGAATGAATGGTCAGCACCTGATGCCACAGGAACATCATTCAGATACAGATCTGTCACCAGACCACCAATCAACATAAATGGAGAATGTCCACCATTGATTCAAGCTAAGAAAGGTTGGTTTTGATTTCATAGATGAACTTTAATTTACATTGTTCTTTTACTACATTTATACTCTACTTAAAAAAAATTGTTAAGTTTGTAGACAATGTATGGCTGTCCTCTTTATACTGCAACTCTTAGAACTGTTCATAATGAAATATTTTTGGCAAAAATCAATAATTATGAATTTGAAGCGGACAACAAAAAGAACCCCAAATCTGCATTCTTTTACTCCATAAAAGATAAAACTATAGTGAGATATATTATCAATGTTGCAAACAAGGACTTTTGGTCATTTCAGTGTCTCATACACTAAAATCAAAATCTTATTCAGCCTAGTTGCAAACTGACATGACTCTTGAGATAAAGTTACAAAAAAGAGAGTGTTCTCTTATTCGTAAGCAACTTGCTTTCATAAGGCAAACATTTTTAAAAAATAATAAGTTGCTCTCCTAATTGAAATTAAACACACAAATAACTAGTGGTCAAAATGAGAATGGCTTGTGTAATTCTAACCTAAACTGAAACCAAACTATTATTATAAATTGTCTATTTTATTACTTTCAGTCAAATTGCCATGTATTGTTACGGACTGGAACACATGGTCATCACCTGATGCTACTGGCTCTTCATTCAGATGGAGATTTGTAACCAGACCATCAATAAATGGAGGTCAAGAATGTCCAGACCTTATACAGGGCAGAAAGGGTATGATTATGAAATATGTGCAAATATTACATCGATGGCCCGCTTTATGAGACTTCCTATTTATGTGTAAAAAAGATCACAAGGGTATGCATAGCAAGTCAGGACATAACTACACACAACAAAAAATATGTTGCAGTGACTTGATTGTAAGTGTTTCTCTCCACATATTGCAGTTCGTCTAAAATTTTGACCAAATTGCAATTAGTTTGAACTTAAAGAAATTTATGCATATATAAATGGAGCTTGTCGACCACTGAAGAAAATAAAATGTATTCCTATAATTTTTTGAGTCACAACAATGATATTTGACATTACATTACATTGCAAACATCATAAGGTTGATTGTTGAAAAACTGAGGAGAGTCAGAGTAAAATCATTAGAACTAAAACTTGGTTTATAAGTATTTTAACTACAATGAACACATAAAGAATGATTTCCTGTTTCTTCACTGAAATGATGTATTATGGTCTCGAAGTCATTGTGTTTATCTTGTCATTACAGTACCATTGCCATTGATTGTTTCTGATTGGAACACATGGTCTGCTGCTGATGCCACAGGAAGCTCTTTCAGATGGAGATATGTAACAAGACCAGCAATTAACAAGGATGAACCAATTCCAGAACTCATAGAAGCAAGAAAAGGTAAAGAAACCTAGTTATCTCAATTGGTTTTCCTTTAAATTTGTCAGTATATATATATATGTATAAAAAAGAAGATGTGGTATGATTGCCAATGAGACAACTCTCGACAAGAGACCAAATGACACAGAAATTAACAACTATAGGTCACCGTACGGCCTTCAACAATGAGCAAAGCCCATACCGCACAGTCAGCTATAAAAGGCCCCGAAATGACAATGTAAATCAATTCAAACGAGAAAACTAACTACCTAATGTATGTACAAAAAATGAACGAAAAACAAATATGTAAATATGTGTCTATTTAGACTGTAAAATTGTTTTTTCTACTTTTTTTTTATAGACCTTGTCTTTTATACTTTAAATATTGCAGGGAAGGTACTATCAAACACATACCATTCTATTATATAACTGGTATATCATTGTTTGTTTTCAGTCAAACTGCCATGTATTGTAACTGACTGGAATACTTGGTCAGCAGCTGATGCTACAGGCTCTTCATTCAGATGGAGATTTGTAACCCGACCAGCAATTAATGGAGGAAGAGAATGTCCAGATCTCATACAGGGCAGAAAAAGTATGTTCATTATAAAAGGATATTATTTATTATCATGTTTTTTTTGTGGCTGTAGAAAATGTTCTCAGAGCCATCATTCATTATCCATTAAATGGTTATCAGCATTTTATATCTTTATCAATATATGAATATTAAAATTGTTATTTTTTTTTTCAAAGCAAAGTTTTAAAGCTTAGAATTGATAATTTTTTTTTAAACAAACTTTCCAATATTTGATTGTTATTGCTTGATATCACTAAAATTATGATTTCCTTTGATTAATAATGACAAATCTTTGTATGAAAAATAGGTTTTTCATGGGACATTTTTCAAAATGATTAATTAACTAAATCTTATGTTTCCACTGATTTTAAAATTGAATCAATGAAAAGTTATTTAATAACATTTTATAGTACTAAATTACTATTGTAGTGAAAAATGAGGAATTTGAGGTTTGACTTGCATAAAGCATCTGGGTTTTTGTAAATATTCATGTTACCACAAATGGTATGAATACCTTAAAATCAGTAGCCAAAATGAAAAATTACTTTCTACCTCAGCAAAATAATTCATCATTGTATCAAATTGTTTATCTTGTCATTACAGTACCATTGCCATTAATTGTTTCTGACTGGAACACATGGTCTGCTACTGATGCCACAGGAAGCTCTTTCAGATGGAGATATGTACTGAGACCAGCAATTAACAAGGATGAACCAATTCCAGAACTCATACAAGCAAGAAAAGGTAAAGAAACCTAGTTATCCCAGTTGGATTTCCTTTAAATTTATCAGTATATATATATATATATATATATGGAAATAGTCTTTTTATATACCTTGAAGTTTTGTATATTCTCTGTGTGAATAGCTATTAACAAACAGGAAGACATTCAGAACTCAAAGAAGCAAGGAAATTGTCATTAAGATTTGAGTAGAATAAGTTATTGGTATGTGCAATACTGTTTTTCTGGATACAAATTTTCAAGCCTATGTTCAGTTTTAATCGGCTGTTCATAATCAGAAGTGGTAAAAAGAGTACATATAACACAACTGGTGTGACATTATCCTAGTTGAGGGAAGTAAAGGGGAGTGTGTACACTAAACAAAAAGGAAATAAAATGGTCTTTCCATGATAAACAAAAGAATACAAAAATAGCTTACATGTTGCAAATTTGCTCAAAATACTTTGAATGATGACCTTCAAGCACAAAAATAAGTCAAATAAAAATTGCAAACACTATGCAAGAAAATAAGCCTTACCACCCACCTAAGTAAGTACTTGTTGAGCAATTTATATTTACTACCTGTGTGATTGTCTGGTTCTCTCCCATGTAATACCACTGGACGTTAAGCAACCAACAATCAATCAATCCCATGTAATACTGGTAAATTTACCATGTTTCACATACACTATTTCACGTATGCACTATATACATTCCCCTGAAATTATGTTTTGAAAATGATGTCATTTAATAAACAATTATGATAACAACATTACAGTCCAAAAACTCAATAACAAGTTTTTAACTTTGATAATCCTATATATATAACACATCTTTCATAATATTCAAAATTGTTTATTTTCAGTCAAACTGCCATGTATTGTAACTGACTGGAATGAATGGTCAGCACCTGATGCTACTGGCTCTTCATTCAGATGGAGATTTGTAACCAGACCAGCAATTAATGGAGGACAAGAATGTCCAGACCTTATACAGGGCAAACGAAGTATGCTTTATAAAAATTTAATTGTGTTAATAATTGGTTAAAAAAGAGAAAAAAACATTTTATGTTTCTTAAGTTATGTATGGTTTGAAAACTGTGAGGACCAGACATCATGCAGTTGTATTTTTAATCATCTCTTGGGACAGTGCATCAATTATTATATGTTGCCCTTTTGAAAGAATAATATACTGCTAAAGAGAGGTGACAGATGCCAAAGGGATATTCAAACTCATAAGTCAAAAACAAACTGACAATGCCATGGCGAAAAACAATGAAAAGTCAAACAACAGTACACAAAACACAAAACACAACATGGAAAACTAAAGACTGAGCTACAGGAACCCCACCAAAAACCAGGGATGATCATTAAAGTTTATCATTTGCAGGTTCAAATTCTGTACAATGCAATATCTCAAAGATATCATTATGAGCCAACCTTTTGCAAGTTTTTAAACTTACTCTGAAGACCAGTGCCCTGAGAAGGCATGTCTAATCTGCCATTTTGAAAAATTGTTGATTTACTTTAATGTTTATCATTAGAATGATTTGTTACAATGGGCCTAGTGAAACATATCCTCTGATTTATTTCAAGTAATTCTTTTAGATTTGCATACTCTTAGAGGAATAAGAGCTTTTGTCCATTGATAGTACTGTTTAAAACTGAAAGTGTTGTTTAAAAGGGTACAGAAACAATAGAATGCATATATTCTGTTTTGGCACAACTTTTTAAGAATTTATCTCCTTATTGTTTTGCCCTTCCAGCTGTTTCCATTTGAGCACCACTGATGAGTCTTATGAAGACAAAACATGTGTATGGAGTACTAAAAAAGTATAACAGTAACAAAATTACAGAACTCCAAGAATAATTTCAAAAAGATAATCATGGTTCATTTCATGAGTTTCAGTGGCAGATCAGGCAGGGGGGATCCGCCCCTGAGTTTTAACCAAAAACATTTGCAGTAGCAATATTGTCTTCAACTATGTTCAAGTAAACAACATGTCTTTTAAAGTCTTGAAATAAATGCTGCCTTGTCTTTTATTTATGTTATAATATATGTTTATTTTTCAGTACCTCTGCCATGTCTTGTCAGTGAATGGGTTGAATGGACAGCACCTGATGCTACAGGAACTACATTCAGATACAGATTTGTGACTAGACCACCAATTAACATGAAGGGAGAATGTCCACCACTCATACAGGGCAAGAAGAGTAAGTATACTTTTATTCTCCATATAAAATATCATTACATTTTAATTCTCTTGGGTTTTGTTGATTTTGTTTTAAGGTTACTTCATAGCAACACATATTTATTGGTCAGGTCTATTTTTAAGATAATATTGATAAATAACTAAGATTTTAGACTCAAAACATTGCTTTTAATGTGATACCTTGACCAAAACAATGCTTTCCTAGTAAATGGGTAAAGAGAAATTAAAAGGTACATAGCTTCTTGAGATGAAAAGGGAGATAATTCAAAATTCTTTGTTCATTTCAGTTCCATTGCCATGTTTGGTTTCTGATTGGACCACTTGGTCAGCACCAGATTCTACAGGAACATCATTCAGTTATAGAATGGTTACCAGACCTGCAATTAATGGTGGAAAAGAATGTCCAGAACTGATCAGATCTAAGAAAAGTAAGATTTTTTTTTCTTTTTAAAGATGGGAAATAAATTTCACAAGTGATCTGAAACTCATTTTCAGTGCTTTAACATTTGCAATTTCAAAATACTAAAATTCGTACAATTTGGCATTATGTTAGTAAAAATGATTTTGTTCTTTTAAAGTTATAGTTTGATTTTAATTGCTTAAGAGTTTGATATTAGACTTTTTGTGTGTAGTCCTTTTCATACCTTTAATATTCTCCAATTCATGATTATAGCATAAAACTGTATCAAATAAGCTTATTAAACAATATTTCATTCTCAGGATATGAGTCGTTTGAACTATATACAAACAATTTTTAAACATAAATGGTATGGTATATTTAATGTTAACTTTTAATTAAAAATCTTTTTTTTAAATAACTGAGACACAAATTAAGAACCAGTACATTTAACGCGATCAATTTCAACTTAAAAAGAAATATATAATGAGGAGGTAGACTTGTTGGGTTTTTTTTTTTGATAGATAATGATGATCAATGGACTTTTAATGTCCAGTGGCAAATTAAATGCATATTCAGGACGAGAACATTTTATATAATACAATATTAATAATATGAACCCTGCATTTTACTAGATTGACATGCTGAGCCTGATTTTTAATGTGCTAGTTCACAAGGTACCAACTACTTCCCACACCTGAGACCAGCACACAAACATGAAACACCATTGAAAATCTTATTGTATGTTTGAAGCCATTGTGACATTTATTTTAATTATGTGTTTAATCTTTCAGTACCACTGCCATGTCTTGTATCTGACTGGACTGAATGGTCAGCACTTGATGGTACTGGAACTTCATTTAGATACAGAATGGTAACCAGACCACCAATTAATATGGACGGAGAGTGTCCACCATTGATACAAGCTAAGAAAGGTTGGTTTTCTTTTCATTTGAAAGATGAGTTTAATTTTATCCACCACTCATAATGTCAAACTAAGGTATGCTGTTTATTTTATTTGTGTATTTTTGGCAAGGTTGCAATATAAGGTTTGCAAATAGTGTAAAACAGGCTTAATTACAGTGTGGTGATATCAGGCTTTCTGCAGTCGGATTGGAGGGTGATTTTTGGAAAAGTTGATACATATTATGTATTGTAAATTCACAAATTATTTCAAAGTTTTTATTAATGCGAATAATGCAATTGGATGAGTATCATAAAAATAAGAATTTGCATTCTGATATCCAATACATATATCTGTATGGAGATTATCCTGAAATCGCAATAATTAATCTCGCATTTTGTCCACTTTTAAAAAATCACAATAATAAATGCACGCAATAATTTCTGAATTTACAGTATTAAATTACTTCCATGGTCTTCATTAAAAAAAAGATTTTTTGATTCTATTTTTGAATTACTTTTGCAGAACCACTGCCATGCATTGTTTCTGACTGGACCGCATGGACATCACCAGATTCAACAGGAACTTCATACAGTATCAGAATGGTAACTAGACCTGCAATAAATGGAGGAAAAGAATGTCCAGAACTCATTAGATCAAAGAAAAGTAAGTTTTTATAAACAAATTTTAGGCTCTAGGCTTAACTATGAATGTAAACAATATATGAGGTGAAGGTGAAGGTTATCTGGCTGTTACACATTACAAAATGTTATTCCTCCCTTACATTGGCCTCAATGTCTTGTCTCATTGTACCTTACATGCCTTCGTTATGGCAGGTTACGTATAGGGAGTAAGAGCAAGACTTTAAATTTTAGTTCCTTTTTTCTGGCTGACATACCTTGGAATATATGGATCAATTGGACTAGTACACAGTAGGGTTCAAATTCATATCCCATTAACAGTCAGGTTTTCATCCCATTATGTAAGATTGTACCCGAATATTAAACATGTATCTATCCTTTTTTTATAAAATCTATTATCAATGAAGTGTCTAAATGGATACTTTATCAAATTTTTGTTGAATATTGTGGGATGTTATGAGAAACTGTCACAGTATTGTTGTTTATTGTGTATAAAGTTTCCTCCAATCACAAAAGGGGGCCTCGGTGGCCAAGTGGTCTAAGTAGTTATTACTGTAATCACTAGCCAGTCAACACTGAGGTTGTGAGTTCGAACCCCGCTCGTGCGGGTGCACTCGACTCCAATCTTAATTGACTAGGATTGTCAGTTTTCCTATCGAAGGTCGTGGTTTTCTCCGGGCACTCCGGCTTCCTCCACCAATAAAAACTGGCCGCCAGGAAATAGCCCAAAAGCGGTGCTTAAAAGTGGCGTTAAAACACCAAAAATCAAAAATCAAATCAAATCCAATCACAAAATTTAGTACCAACAAAAAACATTTTTTCCATTGAGTCTGAATCTGTTATTGTTATTAGTAAGTCTGCAAAGTATCCAATGAAACGAGAATGTTTTCACAAATTAAACTAGAAAATAAACACCCACAAAAGAACTGTACTTTGAGAGAAATTTTGAATTAATCCTGTGTATCATGTGATCAATCATAATATGAGGGACCTCTTTTAATTATTTTTTTTTTTTTTTTATTATTATACAGTAAGTCTACCATGTATAGTAAGTGATTGGACAGCATGGAGTGCACCTGATACTACTGGTACAGTCTACAGATTCAGAATGATGACAAGACCTTCACTCAATGGTGGTGCAGAATGTCCAGACTTGTTACAATCCAGAAAAGGTATGGTTTAAAAAAAATTATTTGTCGAGAAATTTGTAAACCAGTTGAACCCTTGATAGAAAACTGGTGAACATGAAATTGTTGAAAATTAGAACTCCTAAAATTGCCTGTTTATTATGGTATTTGTTTGGTATTTAATCTATATTGTAAAATTACCTTGTATTTTTTTTTAAAACAGACTTGTTTATGTTATTTGTTTATTTAGTTTGGTTTGTTTACAGTGCCATCATCATGCATTTTGAATACTCTGGATTCATTTATTTTTTGTGGATTTAGGAAAATTTGCGTTTTCGTGGATATTTGATTTCATAGTTATTCTAATGTATGTACGAATACATTCTTATATAAAATTTGTAATTATTTGAATATTTAAATTCATGGTTCCCCTGTACCCACAAAATCAACAAAAATTGGTATCCAACGAATAAAATAATAAATCCATCGTAACTGTTTTTCTTTAAATTACCTGTGAGACTCTTTCTGATTGAATGGTTTTTATCTTTACAGTGAAATTGCCATGTATTGTAACCGACTGGAATGTATGGACTGCTGTTGATGCCACAGGTGTTTCCTACAGATACAGATATATTGTCCGTCCAGCACTTAATGGTGGCTCTGAATGTCCACCACTTATACAGTCCAAGAAAAGTGAGAGTCATTTCACAGATGATTGTGTGTGTTCATGTGTGTGTGGAAAGGGGGTAGGGGGTTGGTGCCAGAATAATGTCTTAGTTGAGTGACTTGTCATCTTTTGCAATGTTACCATATGTGGTAGCTAGGGGTTTGGGGCACCTAACTCTTTACTTTATATATGTGGGAGCTTTCGTATAATTCATTTTTAATAATTTAAAAATTTGGCAAAGTTTTAATCTCTTGAGGCAATAAATATCTCACTTTTGAAGGAAGAAAAAAAAATGATCAAAAGTTTGTTTTTTACACCTAATAGAGTTCTTAGGCTACCTGACACATTACGTTGTTATACTTTTGTTTTAGGAGCATAGATACAATTTTTTGCAGAAATATAATGAATCTAGTAGAAATAGCAGTATGACTACAACCTAGTGCACTTTGTAAACAAAAAACTGCTACAATTCCCCAAAATTCTTATTTTGACAATTTTTCTTCTTTTAGTACCACTACCATGTATTGTTAGTGAATGGACATCATGGACATTGCCAGACCAAACTGGAACAAGATATAGGTACAGAATGATGCAGAGACCACCACTCAATGGAGGAAAAGAATGTCCAGATCTTGTACAAATGCAGAAAGGTAGATATATATGTATATATAAAGTGACAGGTTTTAAATTGTTCATGCTTTATGAAAATACAGTGACAATTTTCTTCAAGTGTGCACAGTACTACTAAAAAAAAATCAAAGTGGGGTTTTTTTTTGCATGACACAAATTCAGTAAAATTATGTTAATGTAGTTTTCTATTATCTAATTTACTGACACTTAGTTTTATGGCACATGGATAAGAATATGACATTTTTTTCTTTTCTGCGACAAAAGTCACTGAATCAGGAATTAAGCATGGTGTTTTACGTGTCAGCCTGTCAGGGTCAGCTGAGTCATCAATTATATAAGGTTGTGATAAGGTTAGACAGACAAGACATATCTCTTTTTTTTTATTAAAATCCTTTTCCACTGATTTAGGTGCAAATAATAGTGTTAAAGTTACTATGACCCTGTCAGTATATATTGTTAAACCTGACAGCATAACACATATTGTTTCTATGCCATGCCGCCTTTATGCTTAACGTACATCAAAAATATTTTTTTATGCCTTGTCTTTGATAGTAGGGGCATCTTGTTTTCCAGTCTTTGCTTACATCTATTTGTCAGTCTTGTAACAGGTTAAAGGTTAAGTTTAAGGTAGTTTACCATGAAGTTGTGGTCACATGATCAACTTGTTTATTTTATTTCAAACGAAAATATTCAGCTAAAATAGGAATGTAAGGAAACTGATCAGAAGTAATTTAAACAATTTGTAGTTGTTTACTCCTTTCCTATTTAGTTTTGATCAGATTGATTTTATAGGTGTTCGGTAACAAGTGAAAACAACACGTTATAAATTTCATGAGTCTGAAGCGCTTTTCTGGATTTACCTTCATCAGAAACGCTAAAAGCCAAATATTTGAAAGCCAAGGATGTATAAAACCGAAACAGTTGAATAACAAACTATAGATTTTGACATTTCTGCATATGGAGAAATTTGTCAATTCAAAATGTCAAACTGTTTATATTCAAATGAAAAATAGCTTGACAGAATTGCTTCATTACAGATACATTTATGTATTCCATTATTATATGCAGAATGGATTTTTTTACTATAAAGCTTTTATTACAGAGATAGAAGTAGACAGGGGGAGAAATATATACTCATATCAAAAATAACCTTGATTATTTTTATTCTTGCAGTACCACTTCCATGTATTGTAAGTGACTGGACAGAATGGAGTGCACCTGATGCTACAGGAACATCATACAGGAACAGAATGGTACTGAGACCTCCACTTAATGTTGATGGAGAATGTCCACCACTACTACAATCCAGAAAAAGTAAGATTGATCAAAATTAATAAGATTTTCACAAATTTTAGTACATATTTTTTTTAAGTTTAATGGTTAAAGAATGGGAATTTACAAATAAAAAAAAATTAATTTATTGTATTTCTTTTTCCATTAAAAAATGTTTAAAACCATATACTTTGACAGTAGAAATGATCCAGCCTTTAAAAACATGTTCTCGTTATGAAATTTGTTTATTTTGAATTGAACTCATATTTTTTGTGGAATCCATTTTATATGAAAACACCCATTGTAAGTTATGATCCCAGTCTTGATAGTTAAAAATAATCTCCTTATAAAATCCAAAGATATTTGGTTATTTTATGTTTAATTGTCAAATATGAAATGCCACAAAAGAACAGTTTTCAACTTCTATTGGTAAGACTTGTCACCATGTACATTTGTATCAAGGTATATACAGGGGCGCATTCATCATTTTTTAAAGGAGGGGGACGTAACTGAAAATATACTGCTGAGCGATGTGAAAATTTTTAGACAATTTTACGCATAAAAAATTAGACATTTTTATTATCAAAGGGGATGGTACGCCCTCTATGCTCCTTCTGAATCCACCACTGATATCATACATGTTTTCTTGAAAGTTAAGAATTTCCTGACATGTTTTTAGGAAATCATGAGCAATGGTATTTTTTTTCAGTCAAACTCCCATGTATTGTTTCTGAATGGACTGAATGGTCTAAGCCAGATCCACAAGGAACACGAACCAGAACCAGAGGTGTAGTAAGACCAGCAATGAATGGTGGACAAGAATGTCCAGAGTTAATCCAGAGAGACAAAGGTGGGCATCATGGTTAACTCTTAGTGTGATAAACTATGTTTGATATAAGGTTGATTTTGGGGGAAATAGAATGACAATTAAAAATGGGAAAATAACAGAATTTTTACAGCAAAATCAAGGATATAACAAAGGTAAAACATGTAATATGTTCACCGAAATATACTTAGAGAAGAAATAATATTCGATTGATCTTTTCTATGATAATCTATTACTGATAGGTAGATATATACTAGTAGATAAATATCTTCATTATTTTAGAACTAAAAGATAATAATATGTAGATATTTCCTACAACAAACTTTTACATCTTTTACAGTTGAGGTAATATGTGTAGTATCTGAATGGGGACCATGGAATTATGCAAACTCTGATGGAATAAGTAAACGAGAGAGAACTGTAATAGTACCACCACAAAATGGTGCTGGCAATTGTCCTCCATTAGAAGAAACAAGAAAAGGTGAGTATTAGAAAACATGCTTAACATTGTTTTGGACAAAAGTCCCCTTCAAAAGTTTTCTTTTATTTCTTTGATGATCTGGTATGGAACTTGATTATATGTTTTACAGCTAAATTATTTTACCTAATGCAGTAAATTTAAGTTTGCTTAGTGAACCATGAGTTCTCTATTAGCTATTGTAAATATATAATACTAGTCAAACAGGTTTACTAGTCATCCTTTTGGTGCCTATCCAAAGATTATATTAGCTATAAGTAATGGATATTGTTACTATTTTGATAGATAGTAAGCAAGGGTAATATGGATCTTATGGTTCACCTAGCAAACAAATTCTAAATCAGAATTGTTCTTTGTACACGCTCAAGTAAACAAGCTGTAAAAGCAAGATATTATTAGGTTTATGATATTTTAGGTTAAGAAGAATATAAAATCTATACTGTGAATTCATCTTTATTCCTATTGGTTCTAATTTTCGAGGATTTTGTTGGCATTGGTGAACCATGAATTCAAATGTTCAAAAAAATACAAATTTCCTACATGCTTGTATGAAGAAAACCAAGTATCCTTAAAAACACACTATTTTTATTGAAAACACAAAAATTAGTACCCAAGAAAAAAAAAGATTCCAAGTTAATTATAAATGTAAGGTGATGTGGGGTATAAATTAATGAGACAGCAACACAACAACAAAAAAATAACAAAAAATATGTAGAGGGCAATAGACTATCTTCAACCAATATTTCAATATGTAATTATGCCTATTTTTTCCAGTATCGAGAGATTGTGTTGTAACAGAATGGACTTTGTGGACTACACCAAATCGTGGCGGCAGATCAGAAAGAACAAGAGATGTTCAGGTTGCACCATTACATGGTGGAAAACAATGTCCTCCACTCAAAGAGACAAGACGAGGTAAAATGAAGAGAAAATTCTGTTCTCCTTGCAACAAAGTTAATATAGAGTATTTTATATGTCTGTCTGTTTATCCATGCATTTATATGATTATGTGTATGAAAAAAAGACAAATAGACATTCCATGGTCCTCAAAAGACTGCAGAGAAATGAGATTAAAAAATTCAAATTTCACTAAAAAGACTGCATCATTAAAGCACCAGATTTTCAAACAGATAAAAAATAATTGATGCCTCACTGCATTGCAGTAATAGTCCAAATATACATTGACACATATAATTTACTTTATTGTAATGAAATGTTCAAAATGGCTCCCAGATAACCAATATGGGCTTCAAAGAGGGTTATGGGGTTGTTCTTTTTATTTGCTCATATTCAAAAGTAATCCAGAAACTTTAGAAGTTTGGTTGGCAAGATGAAAAGGTTACTTCTAAAAAAATATGCTGTGACGAAAAAGTGCTCTAGTACTTTGGTATTAATTATTTTCATTCCTTACAACATGATCTTTGCTTTTTTGTAGTTGATCAACCTTGTATTGTAAGTGAATGGTCATACTGGTCAACACCAGACTCTAACGGAGTTTCAAGAAGAACAAGAGAAGTACTGCGTGGAACTGTTGGTGAAGGCACAGGTTGTCCAGATCTCCAAGAAACAAGACAAGGTAAACTAAACTTTTGACTATGTGTATTAAAAAATTTTTACTGTAAATTTATTTCTATAGTTAATTGCTGTATTGTGATATTCTGTTTATAAGTTGATGGTAAGGATAGACAGAAAGGCCAATTGTTTGCCATTAGTGGGGGGAAAATGGGCTTAACTGATGGATTAATGGAGGGTAAAAAAATGAATCAATTTTTAGATATTAGGAAGATAAACCTCAAGTGAGAAGATTTTTAATTGTTTTTTTTTTAAATTCATTGTTCATGCAGTAAAAAGAATAATAAAAAAGTAGTCCTGGTGTTTGGAAATGTCAGCTGATTAGAGGTCAATGACTTGCCCACCTGTTTGTCTGTTTGTCCACAATGATAAGCACAATAGGTTAAATAATCAGAAAAAACTACAGCAGAATTTTGTTCACACATATGAAACTTTTTTCTTGCTATGAATATACTTTAAGCAGTGATAATACTGTTAAGTTTCTATTTTCAACACAAGATTATACCTCCACTCTGAAAAGGCAGGCTATATTACAATCACCTTGTCTGTCTGTTCATCCAACAATATCTTAAATTGTCACACTTTTCTCTAGAACCACTGAACTAAACAACTTCATATTTGGTCAGCAGCTTGGCAATCGTGAGTTTTATCGTGTGAGCATATTTTGGTTACAACAGTTTCATTATTTGTTCTCACCATGACGAAGCTCATGAGTCATGATGTAGCATTAAAGTGCCATCAAACAATCAATAAAAGTGAGTTTTAATTGTTGTAGTTGATCAACCTTGTATTGTAAGTGAATGGACATACTGGTCAACACCAAACAATAATGGAATTTCAAGAAGAACAAGAACTGTCCTCCGTCCAGCTGTCGGTAATGGTAAACCATGTCCAGATCTTGAGGAAACAAAGGAGGGTAAGTTAAAACTGTCAGTTACGTGTATCCCATAAGCCTACGGGAAGTCTAGTGGTTGTCATCTGTCATAAATATTTTTTTGTCCCTGATAATACACACATCATCATCAGCACAGATCAAATATTTTTACAGGAGTTAGCCCTGTTGGAATTAGAAACTATATGTGAAATAACTTTGTTAGCAATTCCAAGACTACATTTCATATATATTCATAAAGAAAAGTTATTGCCCTTGGACAGATAAAATATGTGCATCGGTAGGAGACAATGAAATGCTGTTCTTTTATTCATTGTTTTTATATTAAATCAATCAGTTAGTTTTTCCTGTTGTATTGTTTGACATTTTATCAGGTGCTCATTATAGAAATTGTATAGTATTGGTTTTGCTCATTAATATAGGCTGTACTGTGTGTGACCTTGTCCTTCAACATGTATTATATACCTGACTTAATTTGGGGGAATTCAAAGTAAGGTATAAAAGAAATACAGAAATCAAAAACATGGAGCTGCAAATAATTATGCTCTTGGTTGCATTACAAAAAGAGACTGATACATATAAAAGTTACATTGATAACTGATAAGACAAAAAGTTCTGGAATAAACAAACTCAACATACTCAGATATACAACACATGATATTGTCCTTTGGTCTTTGGTGGATAGTTGTCAATAATACCACATCTCCTTATTTTTATACAAGATCATGTTTATGTTACATGTCCTTAGTAGCAGGTGCTTATACTTATGAACCATGCAATAAGGATGCATTCCTTTATAAAAGACATATAATATAACAAGAAACAAGTAATTTTTATTTTTTTTAAAGGCTTTGTTCAATGAGCCAAGTCAGGAATGGTGTTGCATTAAAATAAGTTATTGTTCTTGGGGAAATGTCTTTTTCATATGGCTTTGTTAAACTAACCATGTCAGAAAAGTTAATAATTGATTTTGAGGTATTAAATTTTTCGAGGCGTTATTTTTTGTACTGACAGATGTTTCAATTCTTAACTCACCTGCTGTTCAATACTGAAACATATAAAAAAAAAATCACTCCTAAAAAAATCTTTGTTTACACTATGCATGTGCCGTTAGGTCACTTATATTTTTTTAAATGTTTATCTTTAGTTGGAATTGACTGCGTCATGGGTCCATGGTCAGAGTGGTCAGAGATGATAGAAGGAGGTCTAGTAACAAGATCTAGAAGGATAATGAAGAATGGAAACCAATATGGAGAACCATGTGGCGACACTGCAGAATCCAAAAAACGTATGTATTAATTGAGCATAGGAAAATGGATTCACAAAAACAAATTTGATTTGTTGTAGAATAAAAATGTGTGATATTGTCTTCTTATATAATGGGCACCATGCATGTTTTAATCAATTTGCTGTAAACTAGTCAGTTAATTTTTATTTCTCAAAAGCTATTTTAAGGATGTTGGCTGCTCTGTTTCAAAATCACAAGCTTTTTGAAAGACTGTTATAAATTGATAGAATATAGATAACGGAAATAAAAAAGCAGAAAAAATCTGAATTTATGTAGTAGTTTATATGTAATTTACTAATTTTACAATTGTAATTTGTAATTAAAACATTTTAATTATGTTGTAATACTACACATGTCATTTATTTGTAAATATAGTGAAGATTGACTGTGTAGTACTTGAATGGGGAGCATGGACAGTAAATGCAATTACTGGTACATCAACCAGAAGGAGGGCAATCAAACAGGTTGAACTGAATGGAGGAAGACCATGTCCTAAAACATTTGAAACTGAAGAAGGTAAGGATCACTTACACTTAATTAATCACAATTAACTAGTCACAAAACTTTGGAATTTTCCAAACACTAAGGATTTTCTATCTCAGGAATAGATTACCTTAGCTGTATTTGGCAAAACCTTTTGGAAATTTGGGTCAATGCTCTTCAACTTATTTGTAATTTATTTGGTCTATTTAACTTTTTTGATTTGAGAGGCACCAATGTGTCTTTTGTAGACAAAACGCGTGTCTGGCATGCAAATTTTAATCCTGGTATAAATGATGAGTTTATTTACAATCATTTTTATACATGAATAAACCCTTTCATGGGCTTATGTGCCTGTCCAAAGTCGGGAACCTCATCATTGGTTTAACAAAGTCAGGAATACTCATCAGCAGTTGTTCCAATTAAGTCACGAACCTCATCAGTGGTTTTACAAAGTCACGAACCTCATCAGTGGTTTTAAAAAGTCAGGAATCCTCATCAGTGGTTTAACAAAGTCAGGAATCCTCATCAGTGGTTTAACAAAGTCAGGAATCCTCATCAGTGGTTTAACAAAGTCAGGAACCCTCATCAGCATGCAGTTGTTCCAAGTCATGAACCTCATCAGTGGTTTAACAAAGTCAAGAACCTCATCAGGGGTTGTCCTAAGTCAGGAACCTCATCAGGGGTTGTCCTAAGTCAGGAATTCATTATTATTCGTTGGATAATGATTTTTGAGGATTTTATGGATTAAGGTGAATTGCAAATTTAAATGTTCGACAAGACAAAGTATTTAGGCTAGTATGCAGACTTTGGCAAACCACAAAATCAAATATCCACAAAAATACAATTTTTTTCTCAAGTACAAATATTGGTACCCATGAAAATAAATGCATCCACAGTATGTTATATCTTATTGTTTGTTTGTAACTTTGTGTTGATGGGAGATCTTTGATAGTCTTTGTTTTAAGTTAAGAGCAATTTTTAATTGACAATTTAATTGTTACATTAAGTGATCATCATATTTAACAAAGAATATGCATTCCTGTGGGAATCAACTGTGCTCCACTTCTCACCAACCAATTCTTTTGTTTGTTTGAGGCAAACTTATCATACAGGGTCTGCTCAATCAGCTGATTATCAAGTTAGAAAAAGACTTTTCCACTTTCTTATGAAGACACCTCAATTGTTCAATTGTTCTAAATAATTCTATCAAGCACTTTAAATAACAGTTTACTAAGATTATTATTGGGGGGTAGTGTGGAAGACATGTAATTCATTGTAGTTCTGGCCAAATGAAATGATTTCATATTTTTGTGTTGTTTAGTTGCTGTCTCATTTATGTATACTCCACATCTCCTTTTATTCATTTTTGACTTTTTGCACAAGAATATTAACTATGGCATGCTTAAGCAATAAATGATTTAAGGTAATTCAAAAATGCTGGAATTTGCTGAATTCCTTTTAACATATATGAGATGCATCAGGAAAAATCCTATTATAAATCCCTTTATTTGCATTGCAGTTTCTATTGACTGTGAAGTAGGAAATTGGGGCTCCTGGGGAGCAGCTCATCCAAAGACTGGCATGAGTGAGAGAACTAGGAAAGTTATCAAGAGTCCAAAGAATGGAGGAAAAGATTGTCCTGAACTTCTTGAGAGAAAGAGAGGTTTGTTATCAATACTTTGTGAAAAAAAACTCTTTATTACTATTTTTCCATACAAGAGTGATAAGTAAACGATATGTATGACCTTTTTCAAACATAACAACAAAAATTTTAACAGTGAAAGACAAAACACATTATCAATTTTTAAACATCTGTATGTTTTAAAAACTAATTTTATGATGCAAACTAATAAAATTTGAAATGACATCTTTTATTTCCCTTCATGAAGGGTAAATAACAAAAACCGAAAGAAAAAAAATCAAGGTTCAATTTAATTCTACAGAAAAAAAGAAACAAAAAGTCTTAATTTTGTTTAGTTGTTGAAACTGTTAAGTTATGTAAATCATCTATCATTGTTAAGGATGTTGTCATAAATTCACAAAATATCAGAAATTTCCACCACCTGTAACTTGTGAACCCTAGTGACATGGTCGTATAATTTTTAAAAATACATTTTGGTGAAGAATAAAAACATCCTTCATTTCTTATACATCCGTGGTACATTAAGTAAAATAAAAGGTTTCTAAAGATATGTTTTTCTATAATTAGTTAAAATTGACTGCCGTGTTGGACACTGGGAAGAATGGAGTGAACCATTTGGATTTGGAACAAGGACCAGGAGGAGACAGGTCATTCAGCCCCCAGCAAATGGTGGTGACAGATGTCCAGATTTAGAACAAGAGGCTCCAGCTGGTATGTTTATTTGTGTATGCCTGTAGTTATATATCATTAAGATATATAAAAAAAAAAGTTCTCATCCTTTCACCCATTAATTGTTTTTTTTTGGCTTAGTTTCATTTAGCACAATTATTCTTCAAATTCCTTCTAATTTATTTAAAATCAGCTAAAAGAAATAATAACTGAAACCATCAGTTTTCCCCATATTATTGTGGAATGAGGGTGATAATCTAAAATTGATTTCCTAGAGACTGATGATGTCATTGGGTTGCTTTCACATTGAATTATACTCCACATCCTTTCATTTGTATTGCAAATAAATTATACAAAAGTAACATGAATCAATATATATATGTGTGATACATACTAATTTGAAACGACAGGAAAAGGATATCACGTAGTGCTACTAACCTCTTTATCAGAGCTAAAAGATAAATGCAAAACTTCCCTTGTCAGAAAACCTGAATGCTGTCAGAAAATTTCACTTTAATAAAAAAAGAAAATATTTTGAGCCTCATTTTTCTGGAAAAACAAAAAAGTGGCCCGTTTTATTTTGTGATTTTAAATCAATGGTCTTGCACAACATATCTCACAATCAGATAAGTGACAATAAATTTTATATATCTTAATGAAGATCAATCAGATTTTATACATAATAAGAATATTTATGAAACAAATTGGTTACATCAACAAATGGCAGTCTGTTGCAAATAGATGAATGCAAAATACATTTTTCATATGAATATCTTTTAGGTTAAGAGTTACGGCATATTCTATTTCTCAACATTTATGAATTTTGCAGTTGATATTTTGCATAATTTCCAATTTTATTGAATTTACTTATAATTTGTTAAAGCATATAGATTTAAATTTAAGTTTTTCATATTGTAAACATTTCAAAATACATTTGATTAAAGGTTTTTTTTACCCCAAATCAATTACTTTTGTATTTTGCAGAAATTACTCCTGAGAAAACCGCAGAACACATTATCAAACACTTCATCCGAGGATATAATGGATCAAGAGATATAATGATCATCGTAGACTCCTCTGGAAGTATAGGATTAAATTATTTCAAGAAATCTCTTGAAGACTTGTACAACCTTCTGTCATACATGTGTCCATCACCAGAACCTTACCAACCAAGACAAGGTCAAGGTTACAATCAACTTGGTATGATCCAATTCTCTACTGATGTACAGGATATATTCCACTTTGGCGAACACAAGAAACTTGCAGATATAAAGAATGCCATTACAAGTACTCCTTATATGGGTGCTACAACATGTACAAGCAAAGCATTGGAACATGTAGCAAACCACCATATGCCAAAAGGTAGGTTGATTTTTCATATAGGTAAATACAAAATGTAGCTTTATAAACTTGTCCCAAGTCAGGAGCCTCTGGCCTTTGTTAGTCTTGTATGTTTTTTAATTTTAGTTCATTTATATGTTTTGGAGTTTAGTGTGATGTCCATTTTCACTGAACTAGTACACAATTTTATTTAGGGGCCAGCTGAGGACCACCTCTGGATGCGGGATTTTCTCGCTGCGTTGAAGACCCGTTGGTGGACTTCGGCTGTTGTCTGCTCTTTGGTCGGTTTGTTGTCTCTTTGACATATTCCCCATTTCCATTCTCAATTTTATTTATATATAAAATGTAGCTTTATAAACTTCATGATATCAATCTTTTTTAATAATTCTTACTGTGCTTAACAAACGGCAGTGTTCTTTCATAATATAATAAGTTATTTTATTTGACTAGTAAGTTTTTGACTTTTGTTGAACTAACGTCTCTTTAATTTTGTGCTGGTACTGAGTTCCCTTAAGTAGATACCAGATGGTATGCAGGGTTGTCAGATAAAAAAAAATAAATAGCGCTAAATTGACAACACTTAAGTAAACTTAAGCAACATGTCAATTAATAAAAGTTGCAGTTTATTTAAGTGTTGTTGTCAATTTAGCATTATTATGAGAACTTGTAATTACCTGATCATTGAATATTATTTTCATATATATAGACATGTGATACAAGCAATTCTGATAAATGATTCTTAAATGTTAATTGTTCAGAAGACCACACATTTTGTCAGTATGAATAGTGAATTTTGTTAATTTATGAAGGAATTTGTACATGTTGCTCTCCAGGCTAGCTATAAAGGGGAAATAACTCTTATTCAAATTATGTGGATGGCAGTGGAATAACAATGTTTGAATGAGTTTGGGTAAATTTAAAACTTAACTTACAAGATCTAAAAAAAATTAATTAAAATTTTTATGGGTATGGGTTTAAGGTAAGAATAGCAAAAATATTTCAGTCATTAGAATTTTTATATTATTTTTAAATTAAATCATTCTTTTTTATCTTCTACCTGCAGCAAGACCAGGTGTCAAGAAACAGATTCTGTTGTTGACAGATGGTCTATACAACTGTAACAAGAAGGAAGTGACTGAAAAATTCGCGAAGGAATTACAACAATTGGGTGAAGTTTATGGAATGATGATCGGTATCCAAGGACAACAAGGAAAAGATCTATTGTCAGGATTGGTTTCAAAACCATTGAAAGACCATCTGTACTCATCCAGAGACTATAGAGAGTTTTCAGACCTTGTGCGTATCATAAAGAATATTCTGATTAGCACGGGTATGAAGTGTACTTCATTTAACTAATCATTTCACATTTTATGTATTGTTTTACCTAATAAAAGAGAAGGATATATTGTTATTGGTTGTTTTATTGATTGTTGCAGCATTCATACAAAAGCTAAAAGGAGGATAAGAAAATTAATGAGTTTTGTTATCTTTCTGTAAATTTGCTAAACTAAGGCTGCAACTCCCTCAGGTAAATTTGACCTTAGAAGTGTTTTGGATGTTTTATTTAAGGTCCTTTGTTTTTTGTCTCTCCTTGACAGAGTCAAAAAGCGAGACATAGGTATTCTGTTTCCAGTGGCGGAGGCATCAACAATGTATTAGTTTGTCATTAGGTCAGTTTATGAGGAACCACTAGTGATAGGTCAATGATATTTGGTATGCAATTGTATTTGCATTAGCACATCTCATTTCAATGGAGATTATTTGACCCTGCCCCTTAAGTCATGGTCTATTGACTTTGAAACTTTTGCTTAGTTTACATGTATTAGTTTGTGATTAGGTCTGTTTATGGGGAACTATTAGTGGTAGGTCAATGATATTTGGTATGCAGTTGTTACTATTAGCATTGGCACATCTCATTTCCATGGAAATTGTTTGGACTTGTACCTTCAGTCTTGGTTCATTGACTTTGAATATTTTGCATAACTTCCATGTTAAATTATTGCTATTTTAATTTCAACATTTGCATTTTACTATCAAAATAAATTAAAAAGGCAAGACATTTCTCGGTGTTAACAGTTTATTATATTTTGGGATCTAAAGTTTTGTTCACAAGTATATATACTGGAATCTTAACTGACTTAGGGATTGCCAGTTTTCGTATCCAAGGTCAGTTGTTTTCTCTGGGTTATCTGGCATCCTCCACCAATTAAATCTGTCCACCAGGGTTCTGGAAGTGGCATTAAACACCAATCAATCAATACTATTTGATGAAGGTTTTTTTAGACACACGTATTAAGCTCAAGGAAATCATATCATTTGTTTTATATTTTTTTAATGTCCTATTGAAGTTTATTATTGATGTTTTGTCACTGAATGATTTTAAATTTTTATGGTTATTTACAATATATTTCTCCAAGTGAATGTACACTTTAATTTATAACAGTTGGTTTCATTTCTTCAGTCCGTAATCTATGAGGAAAAGAGATTTACCCTAATGAGTTTGTGTCACTCTGATCCTACATAATAAATAATGAAAATATAACTCTTTAAAAATTTGGTCCGTCTGAAGTGCATTTCTTTATTTTCCTTCATCAGAAATGCTCAAACCAAAAAAAATGAAAACAGAGGATGTATAGGAACCGAGGGACCTAAAAAGAATAGCCAAATGTCCTATGGTCATCTTTGCTTTAAAGAGTTGGAACTTAATTTCTGAATAATTTCTAAATTCATCAGCAGAAAATTTAATGTTTTCATGTACAGAGTCCAAAAAACTGAATCCTGTAAACTGAAACCAGGGCATCAGAATTGTTCTATCTGTAGGAGACAGCTGAAAGGACCATTAAAATGTGTTGTTTCTTATACAGAGACCATAAAATTTAATGTTATCAACTGTAACAGAGACATCAAAATTGTTCTATCTTGGGACAGATACCATTAAAATTTGTTGTTTTCGTGTACAGAGACCATATAATTTAATACTTAAAACTGCTGCAGAGACATCAAAACTATTCTATCTTGGGACAGATACCATTAAAATGTGCTGTTTTCATGTACAGTGACGATAAAAAATAATGCTGTTAACTCATACAGGGACATCACAATTGTTCTATCTCAGGACAGTCACTTTCAAATGAGCTTTTTTCATTTATAATACAATTGTTACATATAAGATATCAGGGAAAAATGTTGTTCTATTTTGGCATAGATACCATAAAAAATTATGTATGCTTTGATGAGACAAAACAAATGTTGTATACCAGTAAAAGATCATGATTAATGTTCTACTATGATAACATAGACAATAAAAATTGTTCTATACTAGACTGTGACATCAACATTAATTGTATAGTGGTACAGAGAACAAAAATATTATTAGAGGTTATCATAACAAGAGGCTCATGAGAGCCTGATATCGCTCACCTGGCTGTAATTTCAGTTTCAGGCATTTGACTTATTTGTAGATCTTTCTTTGCTCAACAAGTTTGTCATTTACACTTTCTCTCTTTCTATAATAATATTAAAGATCATACATAACCCAAAACTGTAAAATTTCCTAAAAATTAACTATTTCTGGACAGTAACCCAACAATAAGTTGTCCTATTGGTCTGAAGATTACTTGACAGGTAGATCTAAACCTGTTTAACACTTTCACCTATGTCAGTTTTGCTCTTACTGCTTTAGTTTTTGAGATGAAAGCCAAAAACTTCATTTGACCCCTATGTTCTATTTTTAGAAACTGTTGCCATGTTTTTAAATGGATCAAATCCCAGAATACAATCTATGAACTAGATACCCTAAGGAACATTCAAAATATTTTAAGGGCAATAACTCCTCAAGGGGTCAATTGACTATTTTGATCATGTTGACTTATTTGTAGATCTTACTTAGCTGAACATTTATGCCATTCATACTTTCACTCTATCTATTATAATATTAAAGAAAATAGCAAAAAAAGTAAAATTTAATAAAAGTAAACTATTTCAAACAGTGACCCAACAATTGGTTGTTGAACTCGTCTGAAAATTTTAAATCAGATAGATCATGACCCATTTATCACTTTAACTCTCTTTCACTTTTGCTCTAACTGCTGCAGTTTTTGAGATATAAGCCAAAAACTGCTTTTGTCCCCTATGTTCTATTTTTAGCCATGGCGGCCATGTTTGTGGATGGATCAAAACTTCGAATACAATTTATGAACTAGATACCATAAGGAACATTTAGTTAAGTTTGGAAGTATTTGGCCCAGTAGTTTCAGAGAAGAAGATTTTTTAAAAAAGTAATAGACTTGCATGAAAAAATGTAAAAAATAAACAGATCTTACTTAGCTGAACATTTTTGCCATTTACACTCTCTTTATCTCTTATAATATTAAAGATAATAACCAAAAACAGTAAAATTTCATAAAAATAAACTACTTCCGACAGTAACCCTACAATGGGTGGTCCAATTGGTCTGAAAATTTCATATCAGATAGAACTTGACTTATTCATCAATTTAACTCCATGTCACTTTTGCTCTAACTGCTATAGTTTTTGAGATAAAAGCCAAAAACTGCATTTGACGCCTATGTTCTATTTTTTGCCATGGCGGCCATGTTTGTTAATGGATCAAAACTTCAGTTACAATTTAAAAACCAGTTACCCTAAGGAACATTCAGTTAAAGTTTAGAAGTATTAGGCCCCGTAGTTTCAGAGGAGAAGATTTTTAAATGTTAGCAAACATGATGAACAAATTGTGAAAAATTGTCTTTAAAGGGCAATAACTCCTTAAGGGGTCAATTGACAATTTTGGTCATAATAAAACTTTTTTGTAGATCTCACTTTGCTGAACATTTTTGCTGTTTACAGTTTATCTTTATCTTCAATAATATTCAAGATAATAACCAAAAACTGCCAAATATTCCTTTAAATTACCAATTTAGTGGCAGCAACCCAACAATAGGTTGTTTGATTCATCTGAAAATTTCAGGGCTGATAGATCTTGACATATTGAACATTTTTACCCCGTCAGATTTGCTCTAAATGCTTTAGTTTTTGAGATATAAGCCAAAAACTGCATTTGACCCCTATGTTCTATTTTTATCCATGGTGGCCATGTTTGTTGATGGATGAAAACTGCGGATACAATTTATAAACTAGACACACTAAGGAACATTCAGTTGAAGTTTGAAGGTATTTGGCCCAGTAGTTTCAGAGGAGAAGATTCTTGAAATAGTTCATGACGAAGACAGACGACGATGACAGACGAAGGACACCAAGTGATGGCATAAGCTCACATGGGGACCTTCGGGGCCACGGTGAGCTAACAATGTGCTGTCTCTATTCAAGAAACAGACCATGATCCAAAAAAAATATTCCATACCAGGACAATCTAAAAATTGCAGGATGCTAGTAAAGAGACAAAAAAAATCTGTATGTACTTGTACAAAGATCACCAAACAAAAGATGCTGTAAACTGGTATTGATACCATTTAAATTTGTGTTTTTCATGTACAGAGACCATAAAAATGAATGCTATAACTAATACATCAAAATTGTTCTATCTTGAAAAAAAATGAAAACAACACGTTATAAATTTAATGTGTCTGAAGCGCTTTTCTGGATCTACCTTCATCAGGAACGCTCAAAGTTGAATAATTGAAAACCAAGGATGTATAAAACCGAAAAAATTGAAGAGAAACAGATCCCATTAAAATGTGATGAGTTCATGTACAGAGACCATCAACATTTATACTTATAATTTTATGTTGTTCTATTTTGGGAAAGATATCATTGGATTGATTAATTGGTATTTAAAAGCCTTGTAGGCTATTTTGTGGCGGTCAGTTTTTATTGGTGGTGGGAGCTGGAGTGCTCAGAGAGAACCACTGATTTCTGTAAGATAACTGACAGTTCTAGTCAGTTAAGACTTGAGTCAAACGCTTCTACCATGTGTGGGGCTTGAACTCACAACATCAGTGTTGAGAGGGTAGCGATACAGAATTTAAAACCCCTCAACTTGCCACTGTACTTTTGTTCAAATTGACCAATTTTCAAGAAATTCAAACACACTGAATGACACTTAACATAGGGCTGGTATTGATTAATTGATTTTTATCCACTTTTTGGGGTGAAAAAGAACCAAATAGGCTAAAATAATGCACTTATATTGACGTCCTGTATCAAAGAGTAGAGATTTTGAGATTTTTGTCTTCAACAAGGAATGCAACTGAATAATAGAGTGTGTTTGAATTTCTTGAAAATTGGTCAACTTGAACAAAGTACAGTGTCCAGAAACTAATGAAAACAATCAAACCTTATTACAACTGATAAAACCTTTGCTTTCTACACAAAATATTTTTTGTTTGTTTGTACATTTCTTTTTTCAAATACAGTCACAACAGCATGGGCAGTTGTCAATATGCTGTTTCAAAATATAAAACTATGTATAATTTCATTCTTCCTAATCAATGTCACCCCATTAGTTGTTAGCCAATTTTTGGTGTATGCTTTTGAATATTACCCAGAATGCATTACCTGTAGATTCTGATACGGCGACTTATGAAAACAGCATGGTAACCCCTGAATATGATTGACTGATTAATGGCGTAATACCCTTCAACAAATATCATATGCACATTATGGACAATTACAAGTTTGTGTCACAGAAATATTCCCTGCTTTGTGCTAACACTCTGAATAAAGCTAAATTGCCAGCTCAAAAAGAAGATTGATTGATTGATTCTTGTTTGCTTATTGTCTAGTGGCAAATATTTCAAGACAAAAACAAATTTACAATAAATCCAGTAGGTAGGTTTGAATTCTGCACTGCATGTCCAACTGGATGAAAGATGGGAATATTAACTGCCACTGGGAAATGAAGGTATGTTGGAAAGAACCAAAAATTTTGCATTGCAACAGATTTACAAGGGCTGTTATTAAAGTGCAAGGAGTCCACAAGAAGCCATGTCCCAAGAGAAATTTCAATCAAAATTTTCAAGAAAAGGGCACTTAACTTCAGACAGTATTATTGGTATTACAGACTGCTTACACAGTGATAAGTAGAGTACTACATGTACTGATTAATACAATAACAAAGAATGATTGCAGTTTCTGAAAGCTGGCTCAAAATACTTATTTGCTGATGCAGAAATCGTATCTTCTCACTCTTCAATATTGGTCGTTATATTTCAATGTGATTTCAAAGTACAGAAATAGAGTATAATCTTTTACAGACTTTCTATACTAAAAGAAAACAAAAGAGGCATAATAGTTAAGTTTCAAACTGTATTAAAATAAGAACATCAATACTTGAAAAAAATACATGACACATTGGATGATTTCACATAAGCAATACATTAACTTTTTACAATATGTCTTCCTGTCTATAAAGCAAAATGGAAAGATTTAAAGTACATGTGCTTTATAAATAATATGACAATCAACTATGAAAAGCTGTATGTGAAGAACACTTCATATTAAATTCTTGTAGGTGGAATCATACTTCCATTTCCACCATCAAAGTATATAACATAAACTTAGAAATGTTCAATATAAAGTTAGAAGGAATCAACAAATTTTAAATATCACCACAGAGGAAAAGAAATATCTTTCTGTTTTCACAAAATTTGGTATGGAGATCTAGAATACATTGAACATGTTGAAAAACTATAATATTAAGGCAAAATAAGGACACCCATAACTTGGTCATGAATAGAACGTTCATATAAAAAAATTAACATGTATTTTGAAAAACTTGTAATACTGGATTGTTATCTTAAAGATTTCTTTTAATTACTGATTTTCAATCAAGTTCCAAACCTACTGCAATATTTCAAATTTTCCTTTCTTCTACCATTTTCAATATCAATTTAATATCTTTGACATGTTTAACATTCATGATATTTACAAAACATTGCATTAGATTTTTATGATACACTCACAATAGTTACATTATTAAAAAAAAAAAGGGTCATGAGTATAAAGCTGTTTATATATCATTTGTGTACTCGCAACATCAGCCAGATATGATTTCAAGAACTGTCTTTATGATTTAACAAAGCCGATCGGATTCCAATTTTCTGCAATTCATCCACAAGTTCTCCATTTTTGTGCATCTCCACCAACACATCAGAACCTCCAATGAATTCACCATTTAAATAAACCTGGGGTATGGTTGGCCAGTTACTGTATTCTTTTATTCCTGGAATAAAAAAAAATGAACAGTTTAAGAACAATACAGAGTAATGTTTGTTGTCAGGCAATGTATCACAGACTTTCTGAGACTACTTAACTAGATGTTATTTACAAGTTACTCATATATTCTAGTATGTTTTTTTTTTTATGGCAACAAGAGAAATTTAAAGTGATGTGGTTAAAAGTCAATAAAAAAACCCATCTTCCTTAGCCAAAGGTTACGATCCGACCCACTTTCTTATGAAGAGGAACTGGTCTGATCCTAACGTGAGAAAACCAAAAACAGAAAGAAAAATTGAAACTTGATCTGTGTTTTGTGGTAATATGCGTTGTGTATAAGATTCATAACATTTGGTTGAGGCAAACTTAAGTTAGAGAACGGAAACACAAAATTCAGCAATTTTTCCATTTGTAAAAGGGCATAACTCTAGAAAGATGGAAAGTGACGCCATCCAAATTCAAACCTGATCTGTGTTTTGTGGTAATAAGCATTATGTATAAGTTCCATAACATTTGGTTGAGGCAAACTTAAGTTTGAGAAGGGAAACCAATTTCGGGATGTACGGATGGATGGTTGGACAGACATACAGACGGACAAGGGTAACACTTCATGCCCCCTCCGCTATGGAGGGGCATAAAAAGTGGTGATTATTTACAGTTAGCCAAAAGATCAACGACATTGGCACAAAACCCATATACATGTATAACTGTTTAATTCAGGAACATGTACCAGGAGAAATATAGGTTTCTGCATGCTTAGATACATGTACAAGACTTCCTTTACTTTGACATCTATGAAAAAATGGATGTTTGCATCTTTTGTGGTAGACTAGTATATATCATGTATAAAGTAAACATGTACATGTAACTTAGGATATTTTTTAGACAGCAGTTCAGCATTCTAATTCATTAAAATGCTGTAGCATGAGTATCATATGATAAAGGCAAAAGAAATACAATTTCATAACAGAAGTGACTTTTTTTCTGTATAAGAATATCCTAGGAATCATCCAATCATATTGCTCTACATTCTTATAGACGGAAGTTCTGCTTGGAATCAATGCCTTGGATAATTGTTTATACTTTATTTATACCGATGATAAAAGGGCATACATGTGCCGCTACTTGGGATTACAACCAGTAATAAAGCGTTAAAAACTTTTACAAATATTACTGGTCTTTAAAGATCTGAACTAATTTATCCCAGGTCTTAGTATGAATTGGGCAGTTTTAGGGAAATTCTGCCACAAAGTGTAACGTGAAAGCAACATTTTTCTGATCATTTAAAAAAGTGTTATTGAAATTTGGAAATTCATGAAATTAGACATATTTTTGAACGGGGAGTAGTTTGGTAGAACCCTACAGATAGTAAAATATAAGACCACTTTAAATCCAGAGACAGATAACTAGAATAAATCAAATTTAGCCATAGGCGGATCCAGGGGGGGCCCTGGGGGGCCCGGGCCCCCCCTTTCGTAGGAAAAATTTGCTTGATTATATAGGGAATCACTGAAGCGTGACTGGAGCGGGCCCCCCCTTAGGTCAGTCAGCGGGCCCTCCCTTACACAAAGTTCTGGATCCGCCACTGTTAGCACTCAGTGTTGCAAGCGTTATGTCATAGACGGCAAGATGTCAACTTGGGTCATTTGCATAACTAGGTCAGTTGTCTCTTTCATTGACAACTTGGTAGCCATGAGATCTGTCCGATCATTTACTAAAATAAATGCCATTGTGATCTGCATAATAGGATAAAATTATTACTGGATTACATATTTAATTAGAGTCATGATAGATAATCTACAGATTTCAATTTTACACAGGGAACAACCACGGAACTAAGGAAACGTGCGAGAAGTTCAACAGGATAATGGGTAGCAATGCCCACGTATATGGGTTAGCAACACCTTGGGGAATGGGTTTTTTAAGGATGGTCATTAGCCAATCAAAAACCATGAAATACATAAGCTGGGGATAAATAATGATATTGTGTATTGATTTAAACAAGGATTTGTATAGTATCCTTGATTTAAACTCTTTTTTTTTACCAATTTTGTTGCATAAAAATGCCTTACAAAAATTCTAAATTATTTTTGAAATATACCTTGTCTCAAACTTTCATCTTGAAGAACATTATATGCTTTAAATTCAACACCATGCATATTTAGACACTGCACTGCCAATCTGCTGAAGCCACACATGGGCTGATCTGGTGTGCCCTTCATGAATAAAACAACTTTTTTGTCCTTGACAAGACCGTCAATGTGTTCTTTGCTTCCAGTATTTTGTGAATAATATGCAAGCAGTCGACAGTATGTTGACCGGCTCTCAGTATTCAACAAGGACACTGTTGATCTCAGTAGTCTATTCATCTTCAATCTTATGCAAGGAAAACTAATTTTAGCAAGTTCTTCTTATTCTTTCGGAACCCTACGACGATTTCGAAGATAAATTCCGAGAGACAAAGACAGCGGTTTCGGTGTACACGAAAACATGACTGAAAAGTCAGAAATAATTCAACAACTTCACATAGCTGTAGAGAATGACAGAACAGATATCTTACGAGCTTTTATATCAACAATAGAACAAAGTATGCAGGCCAAGCTAATCGTCAGAGGGAGAACGTTAAAGTTGTGACATTGCACAAAAATTCATCCAAACATACATGTCATAACAATAATTTTTATATAGGGTTCATATGTACATGTAGTCCATCTATTGTGATGCCTTGCTTGGAAAACAAAATGTATAGCTCTGAAACCTACGTGAGTCAATGAGGATCATAATCCTGATCAAAATGAAATAATGGCCCTTAGCAGACGTAATACACCTTATTGCTATTTGGAAATCTGTGACGCTCGAACTATTGACGTCATACAACAATCACTTTTCCATTGTGGCATCAGATATGTTCTATTATGACGTCAAAATTTTACGGGAACCTTTGTGATGTCCAGTATGGCGGACAAATAGCGATAAGGTGTACAGTACGCACAGAGAGTTTGTAATCGCGAACTCTAATCACGGATTTCGGAGTGTAGCGGTGTCACACCGCGAATCACGGATTATACTCCCAATTTCCTCCAAAGATTCTCTCCCAACACCGCGTGGCTGTTAATTGGTTTATTGCCCATCGGATGTACTGAAAATTAATGACGCGTGACAACATAATCGGATTAGCCAGATTTATTACCTTTGTACATTTAATCGATCTTGATTGCACCTGTGTGCTTTAAAACACGGTATTAAAATTTCCTTTCTTTGACAGATAAAAATGTGACATTTTCATTCAAAATAAGATAATTATTCTTGTATGTATTTGCCCCATGTCATTGTCATTTGAAATAAAACGTACAAACGTATAAAAATACGAATAAAACACTTATTTTGTATTTTTATTATAGTCCGGTCAGGTCATAATTTTTGTTTTTTCAACAAAGACGATTTTACTACAATTAGAATCTTTTATGACCTACTCAGTGAGCAATATCCGGTTCATTAATTGTTCAATATATAAATATCAACTGGCTTAAAACAAAATGATGTTTTACGGTAATTTGTCCAATCTAAACCCAAGAGATAATTTATCGGATCAACAAGTGAACTCTGTTACTTTCAATTTATTTTGCAATGTAAAATATTATGTTTCACTACCTCGGTAGATTACCGACTTTAAATATTTGAACTCAGAAAAGAAACTGTAAAGTGACAACTCTGTTGAACGAAGGGAAAACGTTTTGTATGCAATGTGCCCTATATTCATAAAAACACAACACTGAGAGACATTCCCCGCCCAGACACAACACAATAGTCACAACCTAATTTAATTATATGAAGAAAAAAAAATCATGTGTTGTTTATCTCTGTTATGATCTGTTATTGATCCTCTATTATTTAAAATAAAATTAGATGGGCGCAATCCGTATTTTACTGCTCGTTAAAAGTCCATGGCGAAATAAAAAAAAGAAGTATTTCAACAATTAATACTAAAGAATATTTAAATGAAATTATATCGTGTTCTACAAGAAAGAAATATGTGAAAAAAATGTGGATCGGATTTTTACGATCTACACATTTTCACAGAGGATCTCTACCAACGCCCAACAGGAACTGAACGACATGCATCCTGTTTTCATCTACCATTTATGTATATTGTTGACCATGGACGTGTAAATAATGTCCAGGTATATGTCCTGTGTTGACTGAGAAACGTAAAATTAAAAGGCTGGTGTTCGTTTATTCAGAAAAGGATCATATTTTAGATTCCGGTTAATCAATTGTAAAAGGACCTTCTAGAGCCTCAATCTTAAGGCATACAAATGTCAATCATTCCAAAGCAAATTTAAACCCCGAATGAGTTTTCCCACGGTCATCCAGAAAGGTCACCTGAGTTTACTGTTACGTGATAATATTTCCCGCCAAATAAAAATCTCGTGGACAAAATTGATGTCACTATTTTTAGCATTCAATATTGTGAGCGAAGTCAAGTTCAAAGTTCAACCACGGACTGTTGATCACTGAGATGTGTATTGTCTTCCCACGGCAATTAATTTCTTTTAAAAAATTTTAAAATCACTGTCCTTTATACAACACACAAGTTTACATTTATTGTGCGTAAATGAATATTATGCAACGACGAGTTGGTGCAGCTATAGAAGTATTCCTGTTGTAGCCGAAATTTAATTATTTATCCTAAAGTAATGCCAACAAATCGTAAAGAGAAAATGCCGTAGACTTATTAAGCATAACTAATGGTGAATAGTATTTTCTGTTTTACTTGCATATACAAATTTTGAGACACGTAATTTTCTTTAAACTGCTCACTTTTATATTCAGCGTTAGTTTCCGTTTATTTTTACGCAAGTATGTCTCTTTTCGTAAATAAAATAATTTACCGATGAACTTAAACAAGGTCAAAATCAAGTATAGTTTTTGTTATAAAACTTTAACGCAATTGAAAGAATTAACAACAACATTCTGCTTTTAAATCTTTAATTTGTTTCAAGCAATTATGTAATCGTAAAATGAAAATGGCGTGGACTTATTAGCATAACGAATAGTGAATAATATTTTCTTTTTCACTTGTATTTAAAACTTTGAGACATGTAATTTTCCTTTAAACTGCTCACATTTATTCAGCGTAAGTCTCCGTTTATTTTTACACAAGTATATCTCTTTTGTAAATTAAAAATATTAATTTACTGACCAGAAAATAAACGAGGTAAAAATCAAATATAGTTTTTTTTTTCAATAGAACTATTTTTAAATGTACAGTGTAATTGAAAGAATTAACAACAACGTTTTGCTTTTAAATCTTTTATTTGTTTCAAGCAATCAGAAATATAACTTGATTATCAATAGACAGGAAATACAATTGTTTAATTACATAAGTAATCTCACATACCTTGACTGTCGCGTGCCGGTATAGATCAGAAGGATTAGGGCAATTAATTACCTGGCGTGACACCGCGTCACACCGGACTGGGAGAGATGTCGCTAACACAATAAACAAAAGGTAGCGAATTTACGCGGAAGTCGGAGGGAATACTCCCAAATTTCTCCGAGAATTTAGGGAGGGATGTCGGAGTTTCCTGGTGTCACACCAAGAAAAAACTTGGTGTTCAGAGTTTGGGAAGCCTTTCGCGAAATGTGTACTGTATAGTCCTTATATAGTTATTTAGGAATCTGCGACACTTGAACTATTGACGTCATACAACAATCACTTTTCTTTTGTGGCATCAGACATTTTCTATTATGACGTCAAGATTTTACAGGAACCTTTGTGATGTCCAGTAATGGCAGACAAATAGCAATAATGTGTATAAGACGTTGTGATAGACGTTATTGCTATTTGAAAATCTGCTACATTTGACACTAGAATTTACAACACTTGACCCTTTGAACCATTCAGGCATTTGAACTTTTGATGTCATCCAACAATCACTTTTCCTTTGTGGAGTCTGACATTTTCTCTTGTGACATCAAAATTTTACCGGAACCTCAGTGATGTCCAGTAATGGCAGACAAATAGTAACTTTCAAATCCATGTATTTTCCAGTACATTTCCTAAGTATGGCACAATGCCTATGTTACAACATCACACTACAAGCCAAAAGTTCAATGACATCTTGAAGGTTCATCTAAAGGAATTTACCATAATGGCCATGTTTACACCACAGACATGAGAACAGACTAACCCGAGCATATAAGAAAGTTATAAGGCATGGCTCGTCCAAGATATATAAAAATTTTATGCATTTTTATTTCAGAAAATTAAAAACTTACCTGGATTTTAATGTGCATTCTTTTTCAAGTCGGCAGATCTAGTGATGGAAAAATATATGAACACCTGACTTTCACTTGATATGGTCACTAGCAAAAAAATGACTAGTTTAAATCACCTATTTATTGCAGATATCTGTTGTCACAGTTCACTATATTTATTAGATGAGGGGAGCTTCTCAAACATCTTTCCCAACCGTCCTTTATTTTTGCACCTTCAGCAGGAACAATAAAAAATGCACAGCAAAATCCAGTTTAGTTTTTGATATTTTGAAACTTAAAATATATTTAAATTTTATTTATCTAGGCCCAGCCAGTGCCATGCTTTAACATTTTTCCAGGTTCACAGGGTTTCCTGTACTCAAAGAGTAAAATTTGGGGTGTAAATACAGCCATATGTGATGAAAGTTTATTATGAACCTTAACACGAATTGACCTCAGTCCTCAGGTCATCTGGTGTAACTCATTCATAAAAAACAACTCAAGATTGGTCTATTTTGACTATGGTTACTTGTAAACCCATTTTTTCAGTTTTTGTCTTTCCTTCAACCTAAGTGGCAGAATGCAAGACATAGGGATTTTAATCTGGCAGGGACTGCCTTAACTATCTGTAAAAATCTTTACATGTCAGATGGTAATAATCCTGTTATTTCATATCTTCAGATTTGTAGACAGATGCCTTTTGCTACAATGTATAAAGTTTCTGTCTGTTAAATACAGTTTTGTGTCCATTATCCATAACCTAATTTTCATTGTCCAGTGTCTGTGTGAAAAAAACCTGTTTAGTTGTTTTATCACATGATGTTTTTGCTGCTTATGAGATATACATGTAGGACAACTATATTTGGTATATTGAATCATTGAGAGGTCTACATGTCCGTCTGGTAGGGTTCACATTTCATGGATGACACAGGATAATTTTTGTAGTCAAATCTGTATCTCTGATTCTATAAGCAATAGAACAACTATGTTTGGAGAATTGAATGATTGAAAGGTGCACATGTCCGTCTTGCAGGGTTCATCTAACATTGAATTCATTTTGATGGTTCATTGGTCATTGTTAAGTTTTTTGTGGTAAGGTTCCACTCTGTTTCTGAGATATTATTAGCAATAAGTCAACTACATTTTTGGCGTATGAAATTATTGTAAGGTGTGCATGTTACTCTAGCAGGATTCATAGGTCAGTGTTAATATAAGTGTTCAATGTTATTTCTGTAAATCTCTGTTTTTCTAATGCTATAAGCAATAGGTCAACAATATTTGATGTGTGGAATAATTGTAAAGTGTACATGTCCTCCTTGCCAAGTTCTTCTGACCTTGACCTCATTTACATGGATCATCAATAATGTTAAGTTATACTTGTTGATATAAGTTATACTTGTTGATAAACCTTTATATTAAAGACTTCCAACATATTTCAATCTCGCCGCGATATTGCCATTTGTGCTGATGCGGCATAAAGCAATCACCAATCAATCAATCAATCATGATCAGTCCAACAGTAAAGCCATTTCAAAGTGTGCACTCTGTTACATTTTGTTACTTGTAATCACTTTTTAAACACATCAAATTGACTGAAATTGAAACACAGTCATAGCATTAAGATAAGATGTTATGATGTACTGAACTATATGTTTTACATTATTATTCATATATAAAGTTTTCACATTTATGATTATGTAATTCTTTATTTTGTGTTCAGATTCTACAGTGATTCTACCATACTATCCAGTAAAAGTCGGAAATCCTATTAAGAGGAGAGCATAGTAAAGGGTTCATAATTTGCTATCACTTTAAAATTTTTATTTCACATGCTTTCATGCTTAAAGATGATTATCCACTGCAGTTGAAGAATTTTAGATCAATTTCTATGAATTTCGATTTATCTAGTAAAAAAATATTTGTGAAAGGAAATTTGAGGATGTTATTCAATTGTATATATAAATCCTAAAACAGTTTAAGAACATGAATTGAAATTCAAAACCTTATAATATATTTGTAATTATTATTTATAATTTATTTTAGATGATGACCATCATCAGGTGATATCAAATGTACTGAACAATTGTTACCATGACGATGGAACATTACTTCATGTTGCTTCAAAGGTAATTTATTCAGTTACACTAAGTAATTCAGACTTGTCATATGTTATTATTAAATTTATCATGTAACCTTTAAAGGTTTTACATGGAAAAATGTTTGGGATTGATTAATCATTTGTGAAATGTTATCAAAGTCATCAAGCCTAGGGCTGTTTCTACGGAATTGTACTTGGAAATGACAGATGATTTTTGAAAAGATTATCAGTCTTCAAATATAAAATAAGAAAATGTGGTATGATTGCCAATGATACAACTATCCAACAGTGTCCAATTGAAGTGAATTTGAGCAACTATAAGTCACAGTACAGCCTTTAACAATGAACAAAACCCATGCCATATAGTCAGCTTTAAAGGCCAAGACATGACAAGATGTAAACCAATACAAACGAAAAAACCAACAGCCTTATTTATGGCAAAACTAAAACGAAAAACAAATATGACAGTTACCAACAACAACCATTAATTACAGGCTCCTGTCTTTAGACAGAATGGCAAGGACTTTTTACCAAAAAACTCAAGATGTGGGAAAACACAAGAATAAAAATGATTCTATGTTCTAAAGTGATATTTATCTATTCACATACTCATAGTGTATACAATTTATAAGAAAAAAAAGATAAAGGAATTTTTGTTTTAATTCTGGCTCTTCCAATACTTTTTTTTTTAAAAGTCTACATGTGCATTGATTTAAAAAAGATTTACCCCAAAAAGTTTCCAAAATGAACTGGTTTTCATGATTTCATAAGTTTGAAAATTGACTTACAGCTTGGAAAGATAGATGTAGTTAGAACCTTATTGTCATCCGGAAGTGATCCTGGTATCCACAACTCTTATGGTAAAACAGCAGTGGACTTAGCAGCAACACATAATATTACCAAAGTCTTTAACGAAGAACTGTTACAGGCTGCAGCCCAATCTAAGTATGTAAACAAAATAACCATAATTTCTGAACAATATTTAAGCAAAGCAATCCATTATGTTTGTGTATATGTACAGTAAATTGTATTTATGATAATTTACTGTTTTTGAAAAACAGTTTCAATGATTTTGATATTGTATCACTATCTCCTACATCATCTACTCTATGTTTCTCAGAAATAGCTTTACAATGATTATCCTTGAATGTTTTGAAATAAAGGATGTTTATCTTTTTATTATTTTGTATTGTAGCAAAAATCATGCATGGATAAAACAGCTTTCTTTGAAGGAGTCAGCTCTATTTATATGTATCAAGGTCTATTTGAAAAATTCAATATTAATAAAACAATATTGCTCTGACATGTGAAACTCCAAAAATTCTGAGGTAAAAGTCACCTGGAGCAAACTGTTTATTTTACAATTTTTATTTTGGATTTTAACAATTGTTTCAATGATTCTTTATTATAAATCATAAATTTAACTGACCAGTTGCAAGAAAATTAGTTAACATATGAAGTATTTTGTAATTGTTTCAGTGTTGGAAGAATTTGTCAGTTATTAGCTGCAGGAGTAGATGTGAATCTGTACGACAGTGAAGAAAGTAAAAGTTCACCTCTTCACTGGGCTGCATCATTTGCCAACAGAGATATCATCCAATGTTTATGTGGTAAGATTTGAGCTCAGCTTGTACAAAGGACCAATGTGAACTATTGCGTTTGTTGGTGTCAGTCATCTTTCTTTTGTTTTTTTTAAATTCTTAAACCGTGAAACAGTGGGGAAAATAACCTACCGTACCTACTCGCTTATTAGTCGGAAAATTGGGAGTAAAATTCATAATCCAGAGAGGGGGACCGACTTATAGACGAGATCTAGCGACCAGAGGAAAAATCCAAGCTTGAGAAAAATGGTCAGGAGTGAATTTCCTGGTCAAAACTACGTTTTTGATTGCCAAACCTACATAAATCAATAAATAAAAAGTTTTTGTTGAAAATAAATGACTACAATACTGTCTTTGTGTTTTATTTGTTCTTTGGTAAACATTTTCTGCAAATTCGTGTTGAAATTCTACTGTTTCCGGTTTGTGTATTGATTTTCATGGTCACATGGTTTTCCTATAAACACAAAAGAAGAGCCAAGAACCAAAAATGAAAAGGAGATAACAATGTACCAAATATGTGAAAGGATGTTTTCAGCGGTGTTATTGTGTCATTATTGTGATATCATGATATCAATTCAATGCTTATAAATCATATAATAATCAAAAAATAATTTTAAGATTCATTCCCAAAATCAAAATATTATTCATTAAAGTGTCTCAGGTAAACAAAAATTACAAAATTGATTGACAAGCCAATATAATCCATTGATAACCCCAATTAAGAGACAAAGAGTTGTATTTACTAAAGGTGTGAAAACTATCAGTGATAGGTATACAGATGACACTAATGAGTTGGAGTTAGTTATTTTAATATATTGATAAGCTTCACTTAATTTTTTTAATCCTTTAATCATCACAATATAATAAGAATTATGAAGTGTACATGCTCATTTAACACCGAGTTATGTATGCTGTGAAAAATATTTTCATCAAGTGTTGATTGACATTAAATTTTTCAGGTTCATATTGGTTTATATTGGCTTTTCTCAAACAATAGGTTGTTAGTCATACCCTACAAAATCATTGATGCATTACGTAAACAACACATGGCTAATCTAACATTTGAACAGTGAACAAAACAAGAGAAATGAATACATCTTTATTATTAACAGCAATATAAATTATCATGATGAGCATCAACTAAATTCAAACCAAACATTAATGCAGAAATGAATATTATTCCTGGATTTGCATTGGTTCTACCGGCGTTCAGTTACTGTCAGCTGGAAAAAAAATGCCCAAATTTTGTCCGACTTATACGAGGGTCAAGACTAAATCCTTAGAATTTGGAGCTGAAAAGGGCCCCCGACTTATAGTAGGATCGACTATTAGGCGAGTTTATACGGTAGCTAGATTTTAATCATCCTAATCAAATTTTGTTCAAAAATTTTATCTTGTGATGCTGCTGCTTACAAAGGAGTAAGTTCGGTAAGGGCCAAATTTGGCCCCGATTATTATGTTCAATGTTTCAGGATAAAATGTGTTTTAAGTTGATGAAAAGACATGTGAGAAAGTTATATAGTACTATTTTTGCCAGAGTTTTATTTTTAAGCATTGATTTTGACATCCCAAATAGGTTAAAAATAGAAATTTTTGCAAAATTTGACAAAATCGTCCGGATTTCAACCAAATAAAGACCAAGGAAACATAGAGCGCAGACATCTACAAACAAAATATTCAAGTCAAGATATGTAAAATTTCATAAAAAACATCAGGTTTAAATATCTTTGTTGTCGACGCATGCGCTCTATGTTTCCTCTCCAAAAAATCAACATAAATTTACCCGTTTTCATCGAACTTTCGCAGAAAATCAAAATAAGTGACATTTGTGACGTCATGAATAGAAAGCAAAAACATAAATTTTCAACAAAGTGACGTTTTTCCAATCTAGTCATTATATTATGTATGATTCCTTGTGACATTGGTCAATAAATCCTAATTTCAAATTTCAGCTAGAATTAGGGGCAACTTTAGGGCCTTATCGAACCTACTCCTTTTATAAACTTATGGCTGTTTTGTGAGTTAAGCAACAAGTTGCAATGGAGTTAGTTTTTCTTTTGCAGTTAACATCTAGATATAAACTGTGGTATAAGGTTTTAAAACTTAAATAACCATGTCAAACCTTCATGGAATATTACAAAACTTAGACAGAATCTGAAGTTTCTTTATACATGTTATTAAGAGATAGCACCCTGAGCATTTTTTGTTTTTACTTTTTTATTATTCTTTTTACTGTCATGACTGTGTTTTACTGATCGATACCTTTTTGACAGTCAACATTACACTTTTGCAGTGACAGCAGCAGTCACAGGCTTGTTGGTTTTTATTTTGGGGGTGTTTTTATAACCTTTAAGTCACAATCCTATCTGAAAGATTGTTCCCTGCAAGACAAAACTAGATTCAGTATTATTTGTTGAGTATTTATTTTTCATGAAATTCTACATATTTCCTATAATAAAAGTGCATTTTAAGTTTGGAAAACTGATTAATTTGATATGTTCTCTGATTTAAGTTTGCTTGATATTTGAATATTTCATATGTTTTCATAGCAAGAGGCGCTGATGTGAATCAGATAAACAGTCAAGGTTACTCTCCATTACATGATGCCATTAAAAGAGGAGATGTTGAGGTCATCACAGAGTTACTTGCTTATGGTGCTCATTCATCAGTTAATGTCAGAGCTGGGTAAGTTTCAATAGAAATCATTTATTCATTAACCAATTTTTCAATTGGTCAATAGGTTTTTGATAATGACAAAGCTTTCAAATTACTTCTTAGTTGTTGAACCACAATTGCTAAAAGGATAAAGCTTGAATCAATAATTTAAGTAAAGAAGAAATCAAAACTAGCTGTAAATGGATAGTGTACAAGAATTGAATTCATAGTGGTAGACTGCACATTTTTAATTTAAAGGATATTTTAGTATTTTTTGTTATAAGTAAATTTTAAATTTGTTATTAATTTTCGCATTAACTTGTTCTTGTCCTGAATATTTATGACAAAATTAAAATTTGTTTTATAAAACCAAACTGTTCAACTGGTCAAAAATTTTGGCAAACTGCTGTAGAAAACACAATCAAGTGGTGAAAGTGCAAGGTGATAAAATAAAGCATACTTAAAATCCTATAAGACATTTATTCCACTTCAATGATATTATGAAAAATCAGTCTAACAATTTGTATAAAATTTTTTATTGTAATTTGCTAAAGGTAGGTAGTAATTTTTGAATTACTATAAAACTAAGTTTTCATACAATTTTTCTTTTGAAAAGATAAGAATCAGACATCATTTGAATTAAAACATCTTATCTTCTGTAAAATATATGTGAAATTACAATACATTGTTAGTAAGTTTTCATGGGAGACAATCTAAAATCATTATTCTTATGAATATAGAAGACTTTTCGAAAGGAAAATTGATTATCTCCCATGTAAACTTCCTAACAATGTATTGTAATTTCACATATATTTTACTGAATATAAGATGTTTTAATTCAAATGATGTATGATTCTTATGAATATAGAAGACTTTTCTAAAGAAAAATTGTATGAAAACTTAGTTTGGACATTTTTATAGCAATTAAAAAATTACTACCTTCACCTTTAGCATGACAAATACAATAAAATTTGTATACAAATTGAAAATTTGTTTTTTCATAATATCATTGGAGTGGAACTAAGGTAGCAGTACACAGAAGTTTAGTTTCACATTTTGGCCATGGTGAATTTTATAAATATGAAAGTTTTTGTACAATAAAATTGACTTTTAGATAGCTGAAGAATAATTTAGTCTTCTAAGTGGGTTTATATAAACATCAAGATTGTTTTTTGCATGTTTTATAGGCCATTTTTTCAGTTTTGACAGTCCGTATTTTCACATCCGTAACACCCATAGGTCCAAAAATTATTGTAGTGTTTTTCAACAAAGATTTGACCCTCGAACTTTTCAATTCAATTGTATGGAAAAATAAGATGAAATGCATATGATTTTTTTGTGACCTATTGATAGATGAATTTCTATGGTTTCAGAAAAGGTAACACTCTAATGGATTGATATTCTTCTTTGGACCAAATTTTTGGGACTTTTGTGACATTTTCACCCCCTTTTTGTAATATTTTGTTTCAAATAAATGCAGATTGTTGCCATGGTTACACCGAAGAGATTATATTTGACCATTTTAACTACTGGAAATCAAATCTATGGAAGATGCTGTTTCCATACATATGCACATACATAACACAAACATTAAGCCTTATTTGTTAGAAAGCAAGGGAAAGAGGGTGGTTAAAAATTATGAGTGTCAATTTTAACTTTTTTTCCTAACTGTGTATTGCTACCTAAAGTCTTATAGGATTGTAAGTATGCTTTATTTTATCACCTTGCACTTTCACCACATGACTGTGTTTTCTACAGCAGTTTGTTAAAATTTCTGACCAGTTGAACAGTTTGGTTTTATAAAACAAATTGCAATTTGGTCAGAATTTTTAGTAAATTGCAAAAGGTGGAGAGCAACACTTACAGTCAAGTCACAGTAATAATCAATCTTGTTTCAGATAAGTAAAGTTATTTTGTTCTATAAATGATTACATGTGATTTCATTAATAATATAATTCCTTGAATTATCTTTTACAGCAAAGATGAAGGGAAGACATGTAAAGATTTAGCTGGAACGAGGAAAGAAATAGTCCATGCCTTAGACAATCCTCCACCACTTATAAATATAGAAGAAGAATTCGGTAAATACCAAACCTTGTGGGTTTTTTTATAAGATTTTGTAGATTTGCTGGTCTATGTAACCATGAAATATGAATTTCTTTGGTTTTTTTTATATATAATAAACTTTATCTTTTAAGAAACCTACAGTACACAAAAAAAAATGAAACAGAGTATTGGAAATTCTAATATCTATTAACTTTAGCACCAAGACAGTAATGCATTTTTACTGATGACAGTAGCAATATTGTCAGCATATAAATTGAATAATCAAGACTTAAAATCTAAGTTTCAAGCAGTATTCAAAGCACTATTCCAGAAAGTCACACGCTATGTACTTTAATTTTTTTCTTGCATAGTTTTCCTGAGTAGGAATGTTTTAAAAGAACATTTCTAGTAGACCAGAAATACTATATGGTTTGCTGTTGTATTGGAATACATGCATTCTCGTTTCAAGCTGTCAGAGTATGAGACTAGTGATTCCTTAAACTTGGAGATTTTATAATGTTTAAAAATAGAATTTTCTATTATTATATTTTTTTAAACGAAGCTTATTTTAAAGAATAAAATGAGGTTCTACCTTATTGGTCATGCTTGGTATTTGTTTAAGGAATGACTGTAATATTTTTTCCGTCTATGAAGAAATAATATCAAAAATGTTGTGCACACTGAATAACCTGCGTAGCGGGTTTTTTTAAAGTGTGCACCACATTTTTTATGTTATTTCAAATAGACAGAAAAAATATTACAGTCATTTCTTATAATTTGATTCTAAATTCCATTTTAAACCGGAGTGAACCATGAAAAAATGTTGATGACGTCACGGTCACACGACAAAATTATGTCTATGAGCTGATAAACAAAACAACATCAGCCAATCAGAAGGCGCGTTACATCCAAAATTAAATTATTGACTGTTGATGTAATATCCACTCAAGTGTAAATTAATGTAATATGGAACAATTCTTGTAGTTGCTACAAATTATAGTTAGTGTTAGCAGTTTTTTTGGAAAGATTATTTCGATGCACTGGAAGGAAACTACAGTATCTTTTCCTTCAATCTTATCAATTTCATTTGAACATAATTTTTGTTATTTCTATAGATTTGGGAAAACTTTCTTTGAAATCTGACATTGGAGCTGGTACAGAAACAATAGAGATGAATGGAACAGCAGCTAATGGATCAGAACCAGGATCTCCTGAATTGAAGACTCCTATATTTATGGTATGTACTGGTGATACCCAAGAATTCACTGTCATTTAATGGGTTTCTTAATCAGATTTAATTTTACATAAAATTGACAACAGTTGTACATTTAGTTTATAGATTTCTTAATTTCATCAAATAAAGAAAATAAATAATTACATTGCAGTATTTTTCTATTTTTGCATTTTGAATGGGAAGCCCTGACTACATAGATTTTTCTCTAGTTGGGTACAAAAAAATAAAATGCTTACAGCAGAAACCAGTCATGTTTCAACAATTCTTATTTCTCAATTAGCCATTTGAATTAGAATTTTGTCAAGAACTAGTCAAACAGCTTAAAATTGTTGAAATCTGAGAAATAGATTGAATCAGGTTTGTTAACCTTACTAGAGTTCTGTTGGTCCAATTTTGGTTTCAAAATCTTGAGAAAAACTTTTTATAAAGCTTTTGAAACTATCAAAATAGAATTGACCCTGTTCAAATAATTTGCGTAACATGATAACCTTAGTCATTTGTAAGTGGAAAATAATCAGGGGTAGCATAAAATGCATTATGGCAATTACATCTTTAGAGCAAGATATATAGAAACATTGCTATTTCTTTGGAGATTTGCACAAAATATATGGAAGGATTTTTTTTTCTTTACAGAAAACAGTATCTTTTGATGACATGATCCAGCCACCTCACCCTGTTGTTACAGAAGAGAAACTGAGCTTGTTATGGCCCCAACCACAGAGCATGCTACAGCAAGAAACAAAACCTTTTGTCATCCGTCATCATCTTCCTATATATGTGTCAGGGGGACCAGCTGAAAGTAAGGAACCAGATTTGTTTTCAGGGCTAAAACCACATAGCTAGCTTTAGGGAAAACAATACATAAATATCAACTTACAGTAAAAATGTTTAACTGATTAGTTTACCAAAAATAGCATGTCCTTAATAAACAAGATTCTAGGACAGTAAAACTATTCAGTAAAATTTTTGTACCTAGAATGTTCAATGAATATTCTGAAGTAATTGAATTTATGTAAATTAAACACTTGGCTTATCAGAAAAAAGTACAAATTTTCAAAGCGATATGTTAAAACACTTTATTCTGAAAAAAAATACATATTATAAAAGAATTTCAAACATTCAAACAAATAATCCACAAAGATTCCAAAAAAGTATCTTCATATAAAAGCTTGATCTGTAATGAAAATTATTATCATTTTAGATTCCATACAAGTAATGAAGATTGTAAAAATGAGAAAACTTAGTTTTACATCATTGGGTCTGGATCTGTCAGTCAACCTCCTAAGTAGTCTGAGTGATACAAGAGTACCACATCTTCAGTGCCATGTCAACAACAGATTATGTCCAGGACATGGGTTATACAAGCTCACAATATCTCAAGGACAGGTCAGTACCTCAAAGGTCAAATGTCATGAAATGTACAAACTCACTATATCACAAGGACAAGTCAGTACCTCATATGTTAGATGGAATACATGTACACATTCACTATATCACAAGAACATGTCAGTAAGACTAAATCTACATGTCAAGGGTTTTATAAGATACTGCATTACAATGACAGCTCCAGGGTTCAAAGGTTACAAATCAGTGGTTTAAAAATGATCATGTAAGGGTTTTTCTGCCATTCTAGGACATTAAACACCCTTGTAGTTATACAAAGCTGGTGCTGTATCACATTTAACTGGTCAGTAGGTCAAAGGGGGTTATCAGGCGTTCTTGGGATAAGTCAAACTCACAGTATTTCAAGGACATCTGTTTCATATGTCAAAGGTCAAATAATCTGGACTATATACAAATTCACTATATCATATGGACAGGTCAATAGGTCAATGGTAATATGTCAAAAAAGATTTTTCACAATGACATGTCAAGGTTACATGTCCATGATGACCAAGTTCAGGGTTCATAGCTCAAATGTTATAAGATATATAAAAATAAAATTGAGAATGGAAATGGGGAATATGTCAAAGAGACAACAACCCGACCAAAGAGCAGACAACAGCCGAAGGCCACCAATGGGCCTTCAATGCAGCGAGAAAATCCCGCACCCGGAGGTGGTCCTCAGCTGGCCCCTAAATAAAATTGTGTGCTAGTTTAGTGAAAATGGACGTCACACTAAACTCCAAAACATATAAATGAACTAATATTAAAAAACATACAAGACTAACAAAGGCCACCTCCCCCTATACCTCTAGCCAATGTAGAAAAAAGAAACACATAGCAATACGCACATTAAAACTCAGTTTAAAAGAAGTCCGAGTCCGATGTCAAAATAGGTAACAAAAGAAACTAAGCAAAATGACAATGATACATAAATAAACAAAGGACTACTAGCAGTTACTGACATGCCAGCTCCAAACCTCAATTAAACTGATTGAAAGATTATGTCTTCATCATATGAAAATCAAGTACAATGATTTTAAAAGTTTTTTTATGTACTTTATAAAGCTGCATCTCAATACAAGTTATTATGGTTACAACTTGAAATTTTACAAAAACTGAAACTCAGTGAAATTACATATTTTTACATTTCAAGCTAAAATAAATTATAAAACGCATCCAAATGATCATGATTACATGTAATGTTCTGTTCACTGTTTTTTTCAGATAAAAATGTTGTGTAGTGATTACAGCAGTTTACATTGTGCCATATCTACTGTGTATCAGCTGATGTCATTGTATAAAGATAATGAGGAAATAATTATACCTGGACTTTTGGTAAGTATTTCTTACAGAACCCTGTAACTATTGGTGGCATTAAAAAATGTAATGATGAGATAGTTATACAGGGATCATTTGTTGGTATTTCTTAAATTCTACATCATTTTGACAGCATAGTACAAAGACAATGATTATTACATTTATTAGTCTTAGTTACAATGTAAGATTCCAGTCTCTTATCTGAAGTGAGTGTCTTTGAGATTTTCAGTTAAAACGATTGTAGGAAAATGAACATACATTGTTCTCACCATGACTGAAATATCTTAGTTCATTGCATGCATTTGAAGTGTAACTAAAACATCTAAGTGAAACAATGAAATCTATCATGTTGTTTACGGTTAAAAGCCATAATGATTTATAGAAAACAGAACAAGGCTGAAATAGTTTCTGTAAGGTGTCCCTAGTTTTCAGTAAGTGTTTGTAATTGAAAACATGTATTTTTCCAGATTGATGATTGGCCTGATCTACACTACAGAGGAGTTCTTTTTGATGCTTCACAAGGCAGATTACCTAACTTTGTAAGACAAATATTATAGATTTAAAATTCATGTATTTTATTAATGCTTAAGTTTTTTGCAAAAAGAGCCATAAAAGGATTAGACACATATTTTACCTACTTATTTTATGCAGTATCAATTTATGTTTTTTTTCCCCATATTTTAATCATAGTTATTTGAATAATAAGACATGCAAATAATATCACAATATTAAAATGTTTATGAAATACAAATTTTAAAACTATCATTTCATAGCAAAACTGCTTATTCTAGATTAATCAATATCTGAAAGATTTCAACTTATTTCAATAGATAGTTCATATACCTTGATATTTTTTTACAGGAAACTCTAAAGAGGGTGATAGACACATTAGTCGGACTTAAAATCAATATGGTAAGCTCAAAAATATTGTCGTCCTGAATATGTATGGAATATTTGCAAATAGTTGTTAAGCAAACATACTCTCATTTGCCAGTGGCAATCCAAATTTTCAGACTTTCCTCCTAGTTTACCTATCTTGTAGTGCCTAATTGTTAATTTGTTCTGGTCCCGAATATACATGAAATATTTAACAGTTGTTAAGTAATTTATTCTCTTTTTCCAGTGACAGCCCAAATTTTCTCTCCTTAATAATGATTGACCTAATTTGCACAATCTATTGTATCAAGTTTTTCTTGTCTTGGATATGCATGAAATATTTGCCAATAGTTGTTAAGCAAACATCAAATAATTGTCAAGATGAGATATTAAAACATCATTTTCTGTTGGGCTGTTTCTTTGACCTCATATCTTCTCTTGTTTCTTTGCAAACCAGATGATGATGTCATCATTTACAAATGAAAGATAGGAATTAACTGAAATATAGTTTTTCATACAATTTGATATGACCTTATACAACTAAGATTAAGACATACAAATCCAAATTAATATAAATTATAAAAATGTGTGTAATAAGATCAGAATGATGAATTTGGTACCTGTTTGAGAAAACTTTCAAGTAGACATCGTTATTTTAGAATTGTATGTTTATTTGAATACAAGGTGTGCAGTAGAGATTTCAACCTGACAACAAAACTTAACAAAAAATGCACAATATTGTCATTTCTAAATCATTAATGAGTCTTAGCAAGATGTCAATGAATTACAGAAAGATGATAGATTCCTGAATTCAGACAAAATACATAAAAGCATATCTCTTTTGTAGGTGCAGTTGTTTTGCAGGTTTTTAAAGACACAAGGTTGGCAATTAGGATATTCCAAAAGGTGCTTTTATACATTTTAGTTCCTTTCATTAAAGAAAAGCAGATGTCTATAATTCTTAAGCTTGTAGAGCCCATTTCAAAAACCTTCAAAAATAAGAAAAGAGAAAATGATTTTACTTTATTGAAATAAAAGTTCGTTTTTATGATATTTTCATTGTTTGAACTTTCTGGTAACATTCTGTTAATTCTGGTATTGATTCACTTTACTATTGATATTGACCAGATTTCCCCGATAATTACAGCAATGTTTTTATGTATCAAAGTTTTACAGACACTAGGAACCAACATTGACCTCTTTCTATGACCTTTTTCAATATTTATTTCTTTAGTCAATAATTCTCATTTATGATCTGCTAACTTACAGTGAGATAATGGATTTGGTAGATCATTGTACTGATCTAGGTATACAGTTAGTCCCTGTGTTAGAGGTGGCACCACAGGTCCAGTTTGATGAACTAGATGATATATACTCAACCATTGAAGATTTTATGACTTGTTTTACAGATAGTCAGTAAGTTTGCCATGCAGAATAGAACTTAAGGTTTTTAAACTGATCAAGCAACTGTAGAGATAGCAATAAAAATGCTGTTCCATTGATATGGAATTGGTTGCACAAATGTCAATTAGCATTAAAATATTTTTTTTTAATTTTAAGTGTCAATTAATTCATAAACAAATACAATACATCTGATTAACAATTAAAATTTAAATGACGTTTAACTTTAATTGACGTTTGTGCAACCCAGTCCAGGTTATTTTTCATATTACATTTTGACATTGTTACCATATATTCCTCTATACATATTCTTGCATTCCACTGGAGAATTTAGATGAATCACATAAGCCCCCTTCAATTTTACAAGGCTCATTTTCTAATTGGCAATCATACCACATCTCCATATTTTTTTTTAGTAAAAATTGTTATATTGACATTTGATTTAAAAAAAAATTAAATGTTATGTTAATAATAATTATTTGAATTCTTTCAAAGAACATTGTTTTAGAGAAGCAGTTTGAAATTACATTACAAAAATGAAATGGATTTTTTGTGAAAAAAACAATGTCACTCTTAGCACTTAAGATATTTTAAATATGATTTTGTTTTTTTTAATATATATCATAACATAATGCCAACATTGCTGTAATTTATATTGGAACATCTAATAACTTAATGTTATTTTCAATATAGAAGCGAAAAGAGAGACATGTGGGAATATTTTTTTACATATAGAGTTTTTAAAAATAAAGCTTGTATTAATATACTTGAGTTATGAGTTTTGTCTAGTCTGCAACAGTGGCAGAACCAAGATTGAGGCATGGTGTTTCCTGCTTCTGTGGCATCAATTATTGTTAAAAGTTTGTGATTAGGTTACAAATACAAGGCATAGCCCTGTGTTAATAGTTTATGATAATAATGATAACTGTATATTATGTTTTAGGTTTGTAAGTCTTGGTCCACGGTTGAGTAGTTTTGTGATTGATACAGAAAATAATGTGTTAGATGTGACTGATGCTGTGAAACTTTTACCTCTACGCCATAACCAGATTCTCAATATATGTGGGTATCCGTTACATGGTATGGACTCGGAACTGTTAATTCACCTGCCACCAGATGTTGTCATCAGTGAATATGGTATACAGGTATGCCAAAAATATAATCCATGATGATGTATTAACAATTTGAGAAAACTCTAATAAACTTTATGGCAGGCAGTTTTATAGGGATATTAACAATGTCATATCATAATGCTGAATGTATGATTTTGAGAAAAAAATAAGTTAAGGGTTTCTCTAAAACCTGTAGCAAAGAATCTGTAAAATTATGAAAAAAAGAAGATATATACCTTGAAATTCACAGAATAATTAAGATTCACAAAAGAAATACTATAACAGGTCTGTCAGCTAGCTCAGTGGATTGATCACTTTGGTAATTGTTCATTACACCCCGGTATATTTTTTTCAAAAATATTCTAATAGGGCCATGACATTTTTGAGCTCCATCTAGTACTGCTCCTTGCAGGTTTTACATATGAAACATGAATATATTTATAGCTTTCTGGAATAATCTTTAGAAGTAGTTGTTGATAGTAGTCATTGACTCCGTCCATCAGAATGACCTTAGGTTGAGAACTTTCGTCAAAGTTTTCTTGGCTTCTATTGAAGGGAATGACTTTATATTTGGTCTGCAGCTTGATAATGCTGATTCATAGCATGTAAGCAATTTTTAATCTGCAGTGCAGCCACTTCCGGTTTGCAGATAGTTTGAAATTTACAAAACTTATGGTACAAGGAAATTTTCTAGTTATGCTTCAGTATACATGCAACCTCAATTCATTGTATGCAGCCAGGCAGGTCCAGACCCGGTATTGCTCTTGTTTTACTTTGGTACTGATTGACTTCCAATATTGTCTCAGCAGGTCACTTAATAACTAATTCTGTTGGGTAAGATGTATAAAGTGAAGTAAACTATCAATTTCTTGAAAAAAGTCATGAAACTGTAAGAGCATATCTGAATATCTGGTATCTTTATTTTGTAGGCAGACTATGATTTCCAGAGATTTTGTTCACCATTGTCCAGTCATGGGTAAATATAATGTCAAACCAAACCTTCAGATAAAAAACTGGTGATTACAGAATTTTTCCAAATTTATCAATAACAGAAATAAAAATAAGTTCAAACTCAAATTTAAAACAAGGGATACTACTTTTTTTCAACAAAAATAATTTGTTTCTCTTAAGACTTTTATTTTATACTTTCAGGATAAGTTATATAATGTGTCCAGGAACTTCAGCATGGAACAGGTAATAAATACAAATATAATGGAAAATTTGGAGGAGGAACATTCCAAATGAATTCATATGTTCTAATAACTGGTCTGATTAATTTTCATTTTGATTTTCTCTTTGAAAAAAAATAATAACTGTTAATAAGTAAAAATAGTCAATGAAACTTGGGTAAAATGTACCTATTGCATTTTTCAGCCTGGATTGTTGCAAAGTTGCAAGGTGTTACTTAATACAAATTTTATGATATTATGATATTAGTTCTTTCATACATAATTTTTCAAGGACACAAGTAATCCATCATTTGTAAGTTCCACAAAAAATGGCAATGATTATTACATAAAAAAATGTATACATTTAGAAAAATAGGGGCACAAAATAAGAAGTTTTACAGTACATCATTAATGAGGGATATTTATTCAACATGGACGATAATAAAATCAACTTATTTTACATTTCAGTTTAGCAGGTTGTCCTGAGGCAGCTATAAACAACATTTTTAGTGCTGTAAAATGTGGGGATGCCCATGGTGCTCTAGGGGCAATAGTCTGTAACTGGTCTGGTAAAGGACACTTAACACATTTACCATTTGCCTGGCCTGGTATCCTTGTACTTGCAGGATTAGCATGGAATTCTGATTGTCACCAGGTAAATTCATGTGTCATAGATCACCATAAAAAAGGACAGACATAGTTCTAAACTAGCATTACTCTCATTTAGTGGGAATTAGTTTATCGCAAATGACCATGTGAGAATTTGTAGCAAAATCTATATAATTGAAGAACGTGTGTATATAGATCCATTAAAGTATAGAATTCTTGAGGTTTTTGGCTGTAAGACAATCTTGATGTTCTTGAACATATTAAAAATTTTCAGAAACTTTTCTGACAATTACTTTACAAACTGCTTATTTTGAAAAAAAATGTTAAAAAAACCCTGAATAGCCTTTAAAAAGACAATGTTGAAAATGAATGCCTGGAATTTGAATTCCCCCAAGAAATGAATTTTCTTGTAGAAACCACTAACTAGTGATATTTCTTTGCATATATTGTTTCACCATTATTTATATTTTACCGTTATAAAGATGACTTTAAGGGTTTTAATTATTTGAATTTCAGGATTATTTGTATGGCAACCTCGGGGAGCTTTTAAATCGTCACATTTTTAAGGACACCTCAAATACAATTGGTCATGTGATAGTGGAACTTGGTCGAGCAGAAACATATCTCATACGCTGTTGTAGAGGACAAGCAGGTAAATGCCAATCCTACTATACAACATTAGCTTGATTATATTTTTCAGAAGAAAAATGAATATCAAAAACACTCAAATCTTTTCCATGGTATCTTCTAAGATGTGTTTTTAAAGGCAGTGCTTTAATGCCTTTCTAGTTGCCGGGTTAATCCTTCCTTCCGCGATATCCAACTTATCTACGTGGGGGGTCATTAGACTCCAAGTAGATCCGGAAATGTTGAATTCTCTCCTCTTCTTATTGCGATATAAAATGTTTTTTGTTTCATTTCATTTACATTGGGAAATAGAGAAACGATCATTGTGTTTTGTTAGTTTTAAAAACTTTTGATATATTAGTATTTTGCATTATAAGCAGTCAACCGATTGACAAACTAGAATTATTTGAATTCCGTGTGGAAAGAGCTCGGGTTAATTTCGAGTGTTATCTGCAATCTAGATGTTTATAAATCATTTCAGTCGTTGATATAATAATTAAAGGTCGACTGAACATGAATTATATTATACAATTTAAAGCGCATTTCTGTTTATGCACGTGAACCCGTCTAACGTTATTTTCGCAGTTATATAAAGTAGCAAATTATCGTTCCTGAATAGGTGGCGCCGTGGTAGCGGATCCTGTTCCTCTTCTTCCGGTTTCTGCACTGTGCAACTATTTCAGTTATATTTTTAATTAACGATGCCAAATACTTGTTGTTGTGTACCTGAATGTCATTTAAGAGGAGGACATGCATTTCCAAATGACTTAAAAAGAAGGAAAAGTTGGATCAACGCCATGGCCCATACGCAGATTGGACGAGAACACGATGATATCGTGGAGTCCATCTCAATCAGCTGTTGTTTGCAAGGCACGTTTTACTGAAAAAGACTACGTGCAGGAAACTATTCATGGTAAAACTCTATTTTCTTTGTGAAATATATAGTTATATATGTAATCGCCATGCGAATAAACCAAAGTTTGTTTACAACCGCAATTATCGTTTTAGAATAAAAGGGGTGGGTAATTCAAGACGTCATAATTTTTTGGATTACGATTCAATGTGATCTGTTTGAGATTTTTTGGTGATTGCTACAATTATAATGATTTCTTACAAGAGGTATATCATACTGAGAATTATTTTAGCAGTAATTATGCTAATGTAGTAATGACAGGAATGCGTAAGCTATGCCTCATAGACTTTCTTGAAAAATATCAATGACAATGTTAACAGGAACAAAACAATGACATGCTCTCATCTATATTATAGTTATTTAGGTACAAACAATGTACGTTTGTTGCATAAGTCTCTCATTGTTTGTCCTTTGGATTTACATAACATACATTGAATCAGGCAAACATAGTTTTATCCAGATTTTAATGAATAAATCTAGTTAATATTTAGCCAGGTAGTACAAAGTATACATTGCTAATGGAAGTTCATTTAATTATAAAAAAACTAATGTTTTATAACCTTTTTCAGGGCGCAAACCCACCATACAGAGACTTAAGTCTACTGCAATTCCCAGCCTATTTTCCTGGACCAAGCAAGAGACTGAATCGTCCGCAAAAAGAAAAATCAGGGCAGTTTCCTGTGAAAAAAGAACTAAACTTGATGAATATTGTAGTAGAAATCTAGAGGAAAGTTTTGATTGTAAAGTTGGTTTTCCTGAAGAAGTCATTCATACTGCAGAAAGGATTTATGACTGTTCACCAACTGCCGAGCTAATGTTGAGCTTCACAGATGGAATTACGCAAACACCATCAATGCCTATGTTTTCAGCAGAGAATTTTGAAATGAAGACACGTGACACAGCCATGCATTTTTATACCGGTTTAGAGTTGTATACTAAATTTTTATTTGTTTTGACCACACTTGGTCCAGCAGCACATTGTTTGAGATACATATATTTTCAAATTGATAGGGTGTCAGTTGAAAATCAGTTTTTTTATGACTTTGATGAAATTGAGGCATCATACAACCAACTTTGAACTGTCTAGATTCTAGATTGAATCTAGTGTTAAGAATATTGTGTATACATGGATTGTTTTTATGTCTAAACAGTGGTGTGAGGCTAACACTTGGCCTTCTAGTGGTTTAGTCAGGTATTTTTCACCATCCAACTTCAAATTAAAGTTTCCTACGACTTGGATTATTATTGACAGCACAGAATATCCCGTGATAAAACCTAAAGCTCCTAGAGCTCAGGCAACCTTTTCATCAAATAAAAACAGAAACACTGAAAATTCTTGAATGTTCGACACCTGGTGGTTTAGTCAACTATGTCTCTATGTCACATAGAGCGAATTATTGGACTTGGCAAAACATACAAAATTCTAATAAATACTATGAATGGAACTGAAACAAAACTTTCATCTGAAATAACATTTAGTTGTTTTATGTTGTGTAATTTTAGAACTTGTATTGTGCCAAAGGATGCATAAATAAAAGTGACGCAATGAATTTTGTTCTGATATATATATATTTACAATTACATGCACATGTAAATTGTAATGCATATGAAAATAAGGAGATGTGGTATGATATTCAGTGAGTTTATCAAACTAAAGTGCATAAGAAATGGGTTTAAGCAGTTACAGGTGTTACTGTCACCGTACAATCTCCAACAATGAGAAAAACTCGTACCGTGTAAAAAATTTCAGAGATCTTACAACTAAGTTTTGTTGTCTCACCTTGACTTTGGTGAATTTTTTATATCTGTTGATGTAAATATAAAAAAGAAGATGTGGTATGATTGCCAATGAGACAACTCTCCACACATGCACAAGAGACCAAATGACACAGAAATTAACAGCTATAGGTCACAGTACGGCCTTCAACAATGAGCAAAGCCCATACCGCACAGTCAGCTATAAAAGGCCCAGAAATGACAATGTAAAACAATTCAAACAAGAAAACTAACGGCCTATTTTATGTAAAAAAATGAACAAATATAACAAATATGCAACACATAAACAAACGACAACCACTGAATTACACTTTTATAGGCTCCTGACTTGGGACAGGAACATACATGTACATACAGAATGTGGCCGGCTTAAACATGTTAGCGGGATCCCAACCCCCCCCCCCCCCCCTAACCTGGGACAGTGGTGTAACAGTACAATATAAGAAAGAACTATAAAAATCAGTTGAAAAGAGGCTAAACTCATCAGATGGATAAATACAAATACAAGTGGACGTGGTCAGGTAGTTGTACATCCAAACAACAAAAAGACACTAAGTACAAATCTGAGAGTACTCGCAGTTACTGACAGCTAGTTCAAAGCCACTAACAACTGATAAAAAAATCTTGCATCTAAGACTAAATTATCAATCCGTAAGCTCCCTTTAGAATTTTATAAATTTTAGATTTTACATTTCTGAGTTATGGGGTTTTATTCATTAAAAAAGGGGGGATTTTCCAGTTTTTGGACAACAACTCAAAAATGCTTTAAGCAGTTCACATGAAACTTTGCGAATTATTTATAGCTATTGATGTAATCTCCCTATTGATTTTCATAAATTTCAAATATGACATTGAGAAGAAATTGAACTTTATTTGTTTATACTCTGGCAACAAATTTATTAAGTATTGCACAACAGCACAGTGTATTGCACAACAGCAAGAAATCTTTAATTGAATATAAATTCAATTCATATAACCGATTTCAAGTTCATTGACTACATTTATTCAGAAACTATATTATGTCAAATATTTAATTACAATCCAAATTCAGACCTGTATCAAGCTTGAATATTGTGTCCATTTTTGCCCCAGCTGTTCAGGGTAGTACCCCTGCGGGTGTATCCAGCTGCGCTCAGCGAATCAGTTTATTTCTTAATTAAGAACTCCTTTTTATACAACTGCAAAAAAAATTTTGTGGTCGTATATTGGTATGACGTTGGCGTCGTCGTCGTCCGAAGACACATTAGTTTTCGCACTCTAACTTTAGTTTAAGTGAATGGATCTCAATGAAATTTTAAAATAAGGTTCAATACCACAAAAGGAAAGTGGGGATTGATTTTGGGGGTTATGGTACCAACAGTTAAGGAATTAGGGGCCAAAAATAAGCATTTTTGTAACTGCCAGACATAACTTGTGTGTAAGTGTATGGATCTCTCTGACATTGTACCACAAGGTTCCATATCACAAAGGGAATGCTGGGATTGATTTTTGGGGGTAATTGCCTCCAAATTTTAGGAATTAGGGGCCAAAAAGGGGCAAAAAACAAGCATTTTTCTAGTTTCATGACAATAACTTGTGTGCAAGTCTATGGATCTCTCTGACATTGTATCACAAGGTTCCATATCACAAAGGGAATGCTGGGATTGAATTTGGGGGTAATTGCCTCCAAATTTTAGGAATTAGGGGCCAAAAAGAGGCAAAAAACAAGCATTTTTCTAGTTTCATGGCAATAACTTGTGTGTAAGTGTATGGATCTTTATGAAATTGTACTACAAGGTTCCATATCACAAAGGGAAAGCTGGGTTTGAGTTTGGGGGTAATTGCCCAAAAAGTTAAGGAATAAGGGGCCAAAAATAAGCATTTTTCTAGTTTCCAGACAATAACTTGTGTTCAAGTGTATGGATCTCTCTGAAATTGTACTGCAAGGTACCATACCACAAAGGGAATGCTGGGATTGATTTTGGGGGTAATTGCCTCCAAATTTTAGGAATTAGGGGCCAAAAAGGGGCAAAAAATAAGCATTTTTCTAGTTTCATGACAATAACTTGTGTGTAAGTCTATGGATCTCTCTGACATTGTATCACATGGTTCCATATCACAAAGGGAATGCTGGGATTGATTTTGGGGGTAATTGCCTCCAAATTTTAGGAATTAGGGGCCAAAAAGGGGCAAAAAACAAGCATTTTTCTAGTTTCATGGCAATAACTTGTGTGTAAGTGTATGGATCTTTATGAAATTCTACTACAAGATTCCATATCACAAAGGAAAAGCTGGGTTTGAGTTTGGGGGTAATTGCCCTAAACGTTTAGGAATTTGGGACCAAAAAGGGGCCAAAAAACAAGCATTTTTCTAGTTTCCAGACAATAACATGTGTTCAAGTGTATGGATCTTTATGAAATTGTACTGCAAGGTACCATACCACAAAGGGAAGGCTGGGATTGAGTTTTGGGGTGATGAATCATAAGGGGGTTCAAAAAATTTGGGGGGGGATTCTTTTTCCTTTTTTTTCTTTAAAATTTTCCATTTTAAATTGGTTATTTCTGATTTATATATAAAAGCAAATAATAATGATATGGTTTGAATAGGTAAATTAATTTTTTTTTAAGTATCTTAGACCACTTTCATTCTGTGTCAGAAACCTATGCTGTGTCAAATATTTAATTACAATCCAAATTCAGTGCTGAATCAAGCTTGAATGTTGTGTTCATACTTGCCCCAACTGTTCAGGGTTCGACCTCTGAGGTCGTATCAAGCTGCGCCCCAGCGGAGCATTTTATTTCATTCATAAATTACTTTATGCTTGGAAATATAATTTTGCTTGGAGTTGAAAGAGTTGACATGTTGCAATGTACATTTACTCTACATAGTTCTATGGTACCAAATCAAAAGTTTATATAAAGAAAGAAGTCAAAGGTTTCCCATCATAGTTTAGTTACATACATTTTTTTTGTACCTGAGGTCGTTGAATATAGATCATTATATAAATAAGGAGATGTGTTATGATTGCCAATGAAAAAACTAAGGATTTTCTTATCCAAGGAATAGATTACCTTAGCCGTATTTGGCACAACTTTTTGGAATTTTGGGTCCTCAATGCTCTTCAACTTTGTACTTGTTTGGCTTTGTTACTATTTTGATCTGAACGTCACTGATGAGTCTTATGTAGACGAAACACACGTCTGGCGTATTAAATTATAATCCTGGTACCTTTGATAACTAATTTGACTATAAACATAGATAAAAAAGGTACAAACTGGACATAATGCACTAGTTCATAAACAAGTGAGAACAATCGCCTTCATATAGTGCTCAGAATATGACATTCATAAAACTTATTCAATACCATTAGAGAACTCTAAATCTTAAATACTGAAAGCCACCTCTGATAAGTACACTGTACTATGCAAGATAATGATATAACTGGACTTAAAATACACACAACCTGTAATTAACTGCCTTTACAGCGCTTTCGTGCTTTGATTATTTCATTGCTGCTATGTAAATAATGTGTAACTCAAATACCAAATTTCTGAAGAAAACAAGGTTGAGGTTAAATTTACCTCGTAGTAATCAATGTTTTATAAGTCAAATTTGATTTCAACTGCAGTTAAAAGGTGGGAATGATTTTATTATAACTCTTTTATTTTAAAATATGAATCTCTGAATAAAATTGATATTAATTAGAATAAATCTAGATGTAGGCACTATACAATAAAGTCTTGAATTTTATAGTACATATGTATTTAAAATTTCACAGATTTTTAATATTTTAAATTGTCAATCTTATTTAGGTGGAGATAGTCATAAATTACCAGATGAAAATGGATCAACGTTATTTCAATTCTTCTTTAATCCTGATGCAGTGCCTATAGAACATTTAACACCAGAGGCCTTACAGGTAATTATCTCCCTTGCTCAACACTTATAGCATAAATAATTTGATGTAGTTGTCTCCCTTGACATGATGACGTCTGTTTCCAAATTGAAATTTAGTCATTTACAGATACTAATATCATTCAGAAGTCATATATGACTTTTGTCATAATTAAAAATTTTAAATATTTCTTTTCCAGCATATATTTTCTATGACTATAATAAAAATGCAGTGTAAAATTATTATCAATTGTGCGATACTTATATTATGTGTTTTATGTTTTTATGAATTTGGTTGATTGTTTTTGAAGTAGAATTTTTTTTCTTCAGAGAAGTGTTCGTCATTTGAAGAAGTGTCAGCAAGAAGTGCTAAAGCTAAATATGACCTGTGAAGATGGCGAACAAATTAAAAAGGAACTAAGCCTTACCTGTGATCTGATGATATTTTCTGCAAGGTAAGGGCAACCGTATGATTTTGTATTTTTTATTTTTTTTGGAAGAAAAAATTGAAGTTAGTAGATCAGTATCCACACAAAAGTAGTTGACTTACCTTGTATGCTTCTGATTCATGTTTACATCAAATAATACTTATAAAGGATACAAGGAATCACCGAAATTCTCATAAGGCCAGGATTTTTTAATTTGTTGGTTTACAGATTTTTGTGAAAATGTCAGGTCGAACGGTCAGAAAAAAAAAGAAAAATAATTTCTTACAAGACAGAAAAATATGTATAAATTTGATAAATATTTCAGCTTGCTAACAATAGTTTTGGATAATTTTTCCTTAATTTTTAGTTCCAAACATTATTTCGCAGCTGTTTCAAATGTACAATGCATACCATCGCTACCTAAGTTTGTAAAAAGGGGGTATGTCCACGGACAATCAGGAAATAAATGGTCATTTCATGAACGAAAAAAATCCAGCTACTGGTTGCTTTTTATCAACTTTCAGGAAACAAAGTAATAAACTTAAAGCATGAAAACACTTGAAATAAAAGTTGGAAACACGTCACATGAAAGTAAAACTTGACCATCCATGTCGTAAATGAAGTAGACCCGTCCAATGGAAAATAAAGTTTTTATACGACCGCAAAAATTGAAAATTTTTTGGTCGTATATTGGTATGACGTTGGCGTCGTCGTCGTCGTCGTCGTCTGGCGTCGTCCGGCGTCGTCCGAAGACACATTGGTTTTCGCACTCTAACTTTAGTTTAAGTGAATGGATCTCCATGAAATTTTACCATAAGGTTCAATACCACGAAAGGAAGGTTGGGATTGATTTTGGGGGTTATGGTACCAACAGTTAAGGAATTAGTTGCCAAAAAGGGGCCAAAAATAAGCATTTTTGTAACTTCCAGACAATAACTTGTGTGTAAGTGTATGGATCTCTCTGACATTGTACCACAAGGTTCCATATCACAAAGGGAAGGCTGTAATTGATTTTGGGGGTAATTGCCTCAAAATTTTAGGAATTAGGGGCCAAAAAAGGGGCAAAAAACAAGCATTTTTCTAGTTTCATGACAATAACTTGTGTGTAAGTGTTTGGATATTTCTGAAATTGTACTACAAGGTTCCATATCACAAAGGGAAAGCTGGAATTGAGTTTGGGGGTAATTGCCCGAAACGTTTAGGAATTGGGGGCCAAAAAGGGGCCAAAAATAAGCATTTTTCTAGTTTCCAGACAATAACTTGTGTTCAAGTGTATGGATCTCTCTGAAATTGTACTGCAAGGTAACATACCACAAAGGGAAGGCTGGGATTGAGTTTGGGGGTGATGAATCATAAGGGGGTTCAAAAAATTGGGGGGGGGGGATTTTTTTTTTTCTTTTTTTCCTTTTTTTTTTTCTTTTAAAATTTTCCATTTTAAGTTGGTTATTTCTGATTAATATTTAAAAGCAAATAATAATGATATGGTAGGAGATACACACCAAACAGGATGTGTAAATTATTATATAATAAGTATTGTGCAATAGCAAGAAATTTTCAATTGCACAGTATTGCACAATTGCAAGAAATCTTCAATTGCACAGTATTGCGCAATAGCAAGAAATCTTCAATTGCACAGTATTGCGCAATAGCAAGAAATATCCAATAGCACAATATTGCGCAATAGCAAGAAATTGTCAATTGTACAGTATTGCACAATAGCAAGAAATATTCAATTGCACAGTATTGTGCAAAAGAAGATACTTGGTATAAATTGCTTATTTCTTGATCAATTTCAATGGGGTTTTATTCTTGAATTCTTGGGGTTCTTTAATATGCTGAATCTAACTGTGTATTAAGTTTTTGGATTTTGGGCCCCGTTTTTAAATTGGTCCACATTGAGGTCCAAAGGGTCCAAAATTTAACTTTGTTTGATTTCATCAAAAATTTAATTATTGGGGTTCTTTGATATGCTGAATCATACCGTGTATTTAGATTCTTAATTTTTGGTTCCGTTTTCAAATTGGTCTCCATTAAGGTCAAAAGGGTCCAAAATTAAACTTAGTTTGATTTTAACAAAAATTGAATTTTTAGGGTTCTTTGATATGCTGAATCTAAACATGTATTTAGATTTTTGATTATGGGCCCAGTTTTCAAGTTGGTCCAAATCGGGGTCCAAAATTAAACTTTGTTTGATTTCAACAAAAATTGAATATATGGGGTTCTTTGATATGCTGAATCTAACCATGTATTTAGATTTTTGATTTTTGGGCCCCGTTATCAACTTTGTCCACATTGAGGTCAAAAGGGTCCAAAATTAAACTTTGTTTGATTTTATCAAAAATTGAATTCTTGGGGTTCTTTGATATGCTGAATCTAACCATGTATTTAGATTTTTTATTTGTGGACCCGCTATCAAATTGGTTCATATTGAGGTCAAAAGGGTCCAAAATTAAACTTTGTTTGATTTCATCAAAAATTGAATTATTGGTATTTGATATGCCAAATCTAACCGTGTATTTAGATTTTTAATTTTGGGTCCCGTTTTTAAATTGGTCTACATTAAGGTCCAAAGGGTCCAAAATTTAACTTAGTTTGATTTTAACAAAAATTGAATTCTTGGGGTTCTTTGATATGCTGAATCTAAACATGTGTTTAGATTTTTGATTATGGGCCCAGTTTTCAAGTTGGTCTAAGTTGGGGTCCAAAATTAAACTTTGTTTGATTTCAACAAAAATTGAATATATGGGGTTCTTTGATATGCTGAATCTAAACATGTATTTAGATTTTAGATTTTTGGCCCAGTTTTCAAGTTGGTCCAAATTGGGGTCCAAAATTAAACTTTGTTTGATTTCAACAAAAATTGTATATATGGGGTTCTTTGATATGCTGAATCTTACCATGTATTTAGATTTTTTATTTGTGGGCCCGCTATCAAATTGGTTCATATTGAGGTCAAAAGGGTCCAAAATTAAACTTTGTTTGATTTCATCAAAAATTTAATTATTGGGGTTCTTTGATATGCCAAATCTAACCGTGTATTTAGATTTTTAATTTTGGGTCCCGTTTTTTAAATTGGTCTACATTAAGGTCCAAAGGGTCCAAAATTAAACTTAGTTTGATTTTAACAAAAATTGAATTTTTGGGGTTCTTTGATATGCTGAATCTAAACATGTGTTTAGATTTTTGATTATGGGACCAGTTTTCAAGTTGGTCTAAGTTGGGGTCCAAAATTAAACTTTGTTTGATTTCAACAAAAAATGAATATATGGGGTTCTTTGATATGCTGAATCTAAACATGTATTTAGATTTTAGATTTTTGGCCCAGTTTTCAAGTTGGTCCAAATTGGGGTCCAAAATTAAACTTTGTTTGATTTCAACAAAAATTGAATATATGGGGTTCTTTGATATGCTGAATCTTACCATGTATTTAGATTTTTTATTTTGTGGGCCCGCTATCAAATTGGTTCATATTGAGGTCAAAAGGGTCCAAAATTAAACTTTGTTTGATTTCATCAAAAATTGAATTATTGGGGTTCTTTGATATGCCAAATCTAACCGTGTTTTTAGATTTTTAATTTTGGGTCCCGTTTTTTAAATTGGTCTACATTAAGGTCCAAAGGGTCCAAAATTAAACTTAGTTTGATTTTAACAAAAATTGAATTCTTGGGGTACTTTGATATGCTGAATCTAAACATGTGTTTAGATTTTTGATTATGGGACCAGTTTTCAAGTTTGTCCAAGTTGGGGTCCAAAATTAAACTTTGTTTGATTTCAACAAAAATTGAATATATGGGGTTCTTTGATATGCTGAATCTAGCCATGTATTTTGATTTTGGACATTGGACCATAATAGGTAAATTAAAAAAATTGAAGTTCTTAGACCACATTCTTTCTGTGTCAGAAACCTATGCTGTGTCAAATATTTAATCACAATCCAAATTCAGAGCTGTATCAAGCTTGAATGTTGTGTCCATACTTGCCCCAACTGTTCAGGGTTCGACCTCTGTGGTCGTATCAAGCTGCGCCCAGCGAAGCATTTTATTGGTTATTATCTTGAATATTATTATAGATAGAAATAAACTGTAAACAGCAATAATGTTCAGCAAAGTAAGATTTACAAATAAGTCAACATGACTAAAATTGTCAATTGACCCCTTAAGGAGTTATTGCCCTTTATAGTCAATTTTTCGTAAATTTTTGTAATCTTTTACAAAAATCTTCTCCTCTTAATCTACTGGGCCAAATAGAATTGAACTTAGCCACAATTTTCAATAGGGTATATTGATTGAAAAATGTATCCAACCAACATGGCCGCCATGGCTAAAAATAGAACATAGGGGTTAACTATAGAAGTCTAAGGGAAAATTGTAAAAAAAACAATTTCAAATGGTCACAACTTGAAAACTAATTTAAATAATGATATGGGGTCTTCAGTAACTATTGTAAGACTAAAATAGGATGACTTGCTTTTAATTTAACTACTGGGCCAAATTAAACCAAACTTGGCCTCAATCATTATTAGGGTATCAAATACTATTTATTATGATTTTAACCTTATTTTACATGATTTCCAAAAACACTCTAGATACAGGTGAACGACACAGGCTCTTGAGAGCCTCTAGTTAAAATTGATATATTTTTAAAACATATAAAAAAAAATAACATTGCAGGTTCATGGTCTAATACAGATCGGTGAATGTATTGGTAGATGTATTCTCTACAGTAATATTTACCAATTCATCATGTAGGCTTTGGCGCTTGTGCTTTATTTATTTTGCTTTGTCATACAGTAATTGAATTCATGCCCATGTTCATTTAAAATAATTATCAACCATATTCAATTTCACTTTATATTTTCTTTTTTTCATTGTAGAATATGTAAATCCTTGTTACTGGCTGGTAAGAATCCAATGGTTGGACATGCAGGTTATGCTGTTGTAAATTTGGGGGTCAGTAATCTTCCAGCTACAGTCAAAACAGATCTGGCTAACAGGTTAGTAACTTGACTATGACTACTAAATGCAGGTTAAGATTAGAGCAGAAATTGTTCAGCTGTTTATCAATTTTATCAATAATCAGATTGTAACAAAAGCTGCTCAAAATTTTTCAAGTGGATCAGCTTAATTCATGTTACTCTACCTTAGATTTTACCTTGGTTGTGCCTGATCAATTTGAATAGACCACTTTCGAGTTTGTTGCATTTCCGTCAAAAACTTTGGTTTTAGTGAAAATCATTCGTGCGTTTAGGGGCATCGTCACTTCCTTCCCATGTTGAGCGAGTGGCTGAAAAAATATGATGCTATATTGCAGGAATTATTCGGCAAATTGAATTCTTATAAATGATAATCAGCACTGCTGTCATTAGGGAAATGATTATTTCTAGTTTATCCTGCATAATGACGATCACGAAGATGCTTGATGAACTTTAATAGTGCAGGGATACAGGCAGTCCCCTCTATCTGGTAAATGACGTCATAAAGGTTTGCTTATTGAGGAACTTTTCCGGTAAAGGAAATATATAACTCGAATGTAGTCTATTCAACAGCTAACAGATTGTAGATAAGCTTTTGTAACAGTTAGAACAGAATTGGAATTTTTTTTTTTAAAGCAGATTTGTTAAGAGATAGGATTGTTTCAAGTGAAATTTGTTTGATCATAAATAATTAAAGTATTATTGAAAATATCAAGAATTTAGTATGATTGCTATTGGGGAAAATAGGTCAATGTGTTTCATAATCTATTAAAAGTTTTTTGGGATTTTTTTTTTTCACTATAACAGACTGGAGGAAAATATTTTACTGTAATTTTAAATTTAATGAAGTTCTCCTCTGGCAACAGAAGACCATCTATCTTCAGACAGATACTTTCCAGGGCACGCTCATTGAAGGTTATCCTTAGAAGAAAATAGTTTTAACAGAAACCTGGATCTGTGATGACTTCTTTTGTTGCCTCACATTATTTTAATACATACTTTGCTTTATGATAAAATTTGAATGTGAACAAATATAGTTATGTTAAAAAAAAGTAGTTGCATATTGTCAAATATTTGAACTTGTGTAAACTATTAAGTAATTTTCGTTTCAGGTTATTAGAGTTAATGGAACCTTACAAAGAAGTATGGCACAAGAGATATGTAGTAAATGCAGGTTTGACTGAGTCAGTAGGAAGGTTACAGAATGTGTTTAAACTTTTAGTACCAGGAAGTGATTCAGAAGGTCTTATGACACAACAAAGTCATGACGACCAAGTTCAACATGTGTAATGTAGGCAGCTTCTTAGCAACACAACCATGAAGGTCAAAAGTCAGCATTTCTAATCCAGGGAATAGAAGCAAATAAGGAAATCTTGCAATTTGTTATTTCAGAATCTAATGCATTTTGGGTAATATTTTCAAAAGCATACACCAAAATGTTGTGATTGGTTAAAAATGTCTTTAACAATGGAAATTCAACCAATGATGTGATATTATATTAATTTTGGGGTACAAGCAAAAAATAGTGGGTTAAGAATTTTTTTTTCTTTGTGGGTTAATTCTTTACAATAAAATGGGTTAAGAACATCTTTTTCTTCTCTGATTTAATTCTTGACCATAAAAGTGAGGGTATTATAGCATTTTTATTCCCTTCCTCTTCGAAATACCCCTTTCTCAAAAGTCTGAATTTGGCTGTAACTATATATGAATTAGGTCAATTCCTTGGAAATTTAACTTGTTCACTGCAATGAAGAGTAGTGGGTAGACACAGTGTTCCTTGTTAATTTTCTAGTAAGTAAATAAAGATTGATGATACCCTGTTTGACTCACAGTGACAGGGTTTCAGGATTTTTTTAGATTTGTAACAAAATCTTTTTTTTGTCATTACACAGCAAAGTAATATTATGTATTGATCAAGGAACAACTTTTAACGATAATCCTAATTTGCATATCTTAATTGTTTTTTTTTTGTTTGTTTGTTTATTTTAAACTATATATATATAGTCTTCCATATGTACAGTTTTTTTGTTTATTTAAGGTTGATAGGATTAGTTTAGCTGCTTGGTCTAACTCATAGAAAGTCTGGTATCAGGAGTCGATTTCACAAAGAAAATTACGACTAAGATTAGTCGTAGGTATACTGAATTGTTCATGACTTACGATTAATCTTAGTCGTAAGTTTTTTTGTGACACCGACTCCAGGTGCTAAATGATTTATATATTTATTTATGGATTTTATTAGTTTTTAATACCCTGCAAATTCTCCACACAAAGCATTTCAAAAAATTAGTTTGTTTCCAGTTTCTGTATTATTTTCTATCTGGACCTGAAACTAGGATATCTTATCTTACCATAGGCTGTGAATTGTAATGGGTTTTTTTGCTGAATGTTATCAAAGTTTATTATACATTTAAGTTGTTTACAAAAGAAGTCCAATAAATACATTGCAAGTTGTAGAGATTTTTTATTTGTTAATGATATTATTTTGTTATACATTTGTTACTTTTTGTATATTTTTTATTGCTTATATTTTAACCAAGGACTACTGGTAAATTGTTATGGATAAAAATATTTGAATATAGTGTTATACAGTCATGTCTAATATTTAATTGTAAAACTTAAAGACAATCAACAAAAGTCATGGGGACATTGCATCATTATTATTTTTAAACCTTTTGTCAATTTGCATATTTTTTTTGCATTGAGCTCAGAGGTGTTAAGTAGCAGCAGTTGTGCTTTTAGGAATTTTTTTCTTTGTTTTTAGTGAGATGGGTAGTGTTGTCTTGGAAATTTTTAAAGAAATGAACAAAAATCAATGGAAAATTTATGTTGAAATGACAATTTTTCTGCACTATAGTAGCCTAGATAGGTATCAATGTCTTGAATATTTAGAAAAGGTACCTTGACTTTTGGAGTCTGTAGATTAATATTGTATCATTAAGCATAACATTTTCTGAGGAAGTATTATTTTAAATCAGTTTCATTTACACTAATTCATTTGAAAAATATAGCATAATGCATAGGATGTCATTGAAATTTCTGCCAATACATTACTGTGGATTCAATAGTATTCCTGGGATACCAATTTTTGTGGATTTCGTGGGTAAAGGTAGACCACAAATTTAAATGTTCAATGAAGGATATTTTTTTTTCTATTTATAAAAATAAGAAGATGTGGTATGATTGCCAATTTGACAACTCTCCACAAGAGACCAAATGACACATAAATTAACAAATATATGCAGACTTTGGCAAACCATGAAATCAACTATGAGGGGGTGGACAGCTATTGAGGGAGGTGGGAGGTGGGAGACAAAAAATAGGTGGGAGAGAAAAAAAGATTCTAAAAGTGGGAGGTAGGGGCGGGAGGTGGGAGAAGGGTACCCCCCTGTCCACCCCCTCAAATATCCACGAAAATACATTTTTTCCTCCATCCATATAAATAAATGAATCCACAGAATGCATTAATAATGGCAAGGTTCAGCTTTAACTTGTCAATTAATTTTTTATAGCAGGCACATCACTCTTATGTATGAGACTTCAAATATTTGACTTAAACCATGTATTTTTTAGTTACAAAGGTACTTCAGTAAACAATGTAACTGTTACATTTGATCTTTGTTTGTAACAGGTGGAAAAACACCTGTTTAGTATAGTATTCAATGAAATCTGCTGTTAATCAAAATTTTTTCCAAGAAAATCTCAGAGAATCAATGCCAGTGTTTTGAAACTTACTTTAAGAACCAAAATATTAACAAATATTTTTTCTGAAATGGTGATTTTTGTTCAATATAAGTTACAATATAAGATGACAAAATGATAGATTTATGTGAACTTACAAATTATATGATCAAAACACTAGAACATGTTTGAAATATTTTATTGACTGAAAATTAAGAAAATGATTGCTTACAAAACTAAGTCTTAAATATATTATCTATTTCACTTAAAATGCACTTAGTTACTGTCCTAACCATATAATTGTGAAGCAGACTACAATATCCTGTGAAGCAACATAATAGCACTTACTTTTTAAAATTTGTTGGATTTTTTTTTTTTTTTAAAGGTGTGGATAATTATTACTTTACTTGAAAATTTAAGACTTTAACAAAATGCATGTAATTTTTTTTTTTAAAGAATTTACAAATTGGAATATCATTGAAAATAATGAAGCAAGAAGTTTTGGGAGCGAGTATATCCAATATGAAAAACATAATTTGATGTGATGTTAGAAAAGAATATTCGGCAGAAATACAAATGCTAGGTGATGTTTTTTGTGATGTCACAACTAAGGGTTGATACATTTTTTACATGTAAAAACGTTGGTATTTATAAATTATACTGTACCTATTATATTACTTACTATAGCATAAAAAAGCATAAATACATTTTTAAGTGTGTATTTAAACAAGGGGAATATATTCTATGAATATATTAGATAGTTAAGCTTTCATTACAAAATTATGGTTCAGTCAATTAAATAGATAACACTTGGGAAATTATATTTTCTTTTATAGGCCATTTGTTGAAGTAGTCAAATAAATTTGACAATAGCTAAAGATTGCTACATATTCATTGGTTTGTGGAAAAAAAACTATGAGTTCAGCTTACACAGCTTTCTGGAATAACCTTCATCAAGTACGCTTAAGATAAAAAATTTGTCACTGATATCATAATTGCTTACATCCACTTCATTTGAACTTTGGTGGATAGTTGTCTCATTGGCAATCATACCATATCTCCTTATTTTTATACTCATATCCATTCCATGCATGCTCTGCAACTCTAATTTATATGAAACATTGTATATAACAGAAACTTTGCTCACAAATTGTTGTCAATATAGTGGAATTCTAATACTATGCAACTGTCATACAAGTGAGAGGTTTAGCTAGCTATAAAACCAGGTTTAATCCACCATTTTCTACATAAGGAAATGCCTGTACCAAGTCAGGAATATGACAGTTGTTTTCCATTCGTCAGATGTGTTTGAGCTTTTGATTTTGCCATTTTATAAAGGACTTTCCGTTTTGAATTTCCTTTGGAGTTCAGTATTTTTGTTGTTTTACTTTTTAAGCACCAACAAACAAACAAACAAAGTAATGAAGTGAACTGATTAGTATCATATTCCCTTTTGTACTATTGAATTACCATATACATATTTCCTTTCCAAGCGGAATATTAGGTTCATCCTTATCTATCATGCTTCATTATCCGATGTGAAATGTATAAGGTGTATTTATTAAGAAGTACTTACAATAGACCACTGGTATTGGGCTCTTGCATCCGTACATTTCAGCGTACTTAGAATGAACTACTAGTATTTGGTGTGCTTTTGCATTAGCTTATCTGCATTTAAGTATTTAGCCAGAATCTAAGGATCTGCACTTTGAATATATAACTTTGAGACATTTTTTGTGGAAGTTTTTTTACTGAGAGAGTGTTTGTCCACCTTTACCAGACATGTCAGCTTTATGGATTACTAGTATCTCAATTAATGTTAAGAAATATTTTTTTTACCCAAGACATAATATATGTGTGAGTTAAACTCAGTGAAAAAGTGAGACTTAGATTGATAGGTAACCACTAGTGGCTGGTCAATGTTATTTTGTATGGCGATATAGCATTGGCACATCTCATTTCCATGGGAATTATTTTGCCATGTCCCTCGGTCATGGTCTATTGACAAACTTTTGTTTGTTTATATGTATTAGTTTGTGATTAGGTCAGTTTAAGGGGAACCAATAGTTGTAGGTCAAGGATATTTGGTATGCAGATGTATTACAATCGGCACATCTCATTTTACATGCAGGAAGTTTGGCACCATCTCCCCAGTCATGGTCTATTGACTTTGAATGTTTTGTGTAGTTTACATGTTAAAGTTTGTTATTAGGTCACTTTAAGATGAACCACTTCTGTTCAGTCAATGATATTTGGTATTTACCGGTAGTTGTATTAGCATTGAAAGTCTCATTTCCATGGATATTATATGTTATAATAAATTTTGAAAGCAATTATTCACTCTAATGGCTACCACATAAAAACAGATTAATTTGGTTCTAACATCATTACTAGAAGTAAAAACATAACAAAACCATTTATACTTTGATACATTAACAAAACCAATGGTTGACTTGGATATAGGACTTCTGTCCCTATCCAATATACTTCCAGTGGCATTCCAAATTTCCAACCCCTCATCCTGGACGAATCTCTATTGCAGCACCTACATGTACCTATAGCACTTATTATTAACTTATACTTGAGCTGATTATGTATGACTATCACATAAAACAGATTAATTTGGTTCTTACATCATTACTAGAAGTAAAAACATAACAAAACCATTTATACTTTGATACATTAACAAAACCAATGGTTGACTTGGATATAGGACTTCTGTCCCTATCCAATATACTTCCAGTGGCATTCCAATTTCCAACCCCTCATCCTGGACGAATCTCTATTGCAGTACCTACATGTACCTATAGCACTTATTATAAACTTATACTTGAGCTGATTATGTATGAAATATTTGCCACTGGACATAAATCAAACAACAATTAATCAATGGATATAGATATGCAGT